GTTAAAGATGTTCTTAATGAATGAAAGAAAATTAAAAAAATTATAAATGAGAGCAAAGACAACTTTGAAAAAATAAATAACTTTGATCGCAAGGCGATAGAACTTTAATGTATAATTAAAAAGAATGTTGGTCTGATTATAAACATTATTTTTTTTTTTTTTAGATATGAAAAAGTATTAGAAATTGCAGACGACCTAGTCATTGATATTCCCATGATTTGGACATACCTCACAGAAATATTATGTAAGTTCTCCAACATATAATTGTACTTTTTTTTTTTTTTTTTTATTTTTTTTTTATTTTTTAACAAAAGAAACCAAAAATATGAAGCATGCATTATTATTATCATTTGAATTTAATGATGTTAATATTTAACCATAATTACTGTGATGGTTATTTAATAATGCTCAACAGGTCTGATAAAAAATAAATTTGAAGCTACAAATGAAGAATAATACATTATTTACTAATCGAGAAAAATTATTTTAACTTACAGCGGGAATGGTGATATCTGAAGCACATCCATTTTCCGAATTGAAGAAAACTTTAGCAGTGCTAAAGAGTTCAGGAACGTGTAGCCTAGTGTTGGGTGGACTTTTAGCAACATTAGCGAAAGAAAAAGGACCTAAATGGGTTGTTGACAATTGGGACAAAAGTGAACTCCAATGGAGTGATTTTGTGGATCCAAAACGTGAAAATCTTGACAAGATGATTCAGAGCCATAACTTGCAATTTATGTCAAAAGGAAGCAGTGGTTCTTTTGACGAAATGACGTCTGGAGACAGCAATATGTCTTATGCAGAAGTTTGCGATCATCTTGTAAAGCTGATGAGGGAAAGTTGCTTTGACAATATCACAAGTTGGATCAATGTAAGTTTTTAATAATGACTTTTTTTTTAAATATTTATTTATTTATTAAAGAATAAATAAAATTAAGTAACATTAATTTAAAAAATTATGAATCAATTTTAATTAATTATTTTTTATCAGCTCAATGTTGGTCAACGATTAAAAGAACCCCAATTTGTGAGAACTTTGACAACCGCTATTCTCATCGTTTCCGTTGGTAAATTTTTTTTTTTTTTTTTTTTTATTCTTTCATTGTAATTTTAAAAAATTATTTCTTTAACTAATAATGTATGCAATGTTATTTTAGAAAAAAGCGCAAATGGATACAAACTCAACACTCCAGTGTTGAAAAGTTGGTTATCGATAATAAGACGGTACGTTGACACAGAGCCTCAGCTTGAGCTCCAATGCCTCTATGCGATACAATCGCATCTTCACAAAATAGATTTTCCACGGGGTAAGTAATTTTATCCGATAATTAATTTATTTTTAAGTATTAATTGTTGCAAGGAAATTAATGGGTTTACATGGAATATTTTTTATCTAGGTATCCTTAGTCATATTATTGACGCAGTATACAATGAAGATTTGATATCCGACGACGCATTCTTAGCCTGGCAGCAATGTACAGACCCAGCAGAAACGGCGCTAGGACACTCGATAGCTGTGACGTCCCTTACGTCATTTTTCGTAAACCTCCGGGAAATACCCGACGAATCGAGCGAAGAAGCGTGAGAAATACCCTCGGATAGCTATATACTAACTATAACTATATTATTAGTTGAAATAATCTTGCGTATGAAGTGAAAAATTTTAAAATAATTAATAAAAAAAAATTAAAAAATTCTTTTTTTTTTTATATTACTATAATTCTCGTAAGAGATATTGTTTTGATATATTTAAATTACGATTTTATTTCTTTTCTAAATAAATTAGTTATTATATTATTATTTTATTATCACACTTATATAATTATTGTTTTTAAAATTGTCACTGGAATTGCTTCGGTAATTTATGCTCATGTTTATAAGATATTTGACTAAAGCAATTAACTCTATTTCATAATTGAAATGTCTGTACTAAAAAGTATAGGAGAAATAACACGTGTAAACAATATAACGTGACTTTTGCTGCATAAAACAAAAATCCGCAAATGAATAAATAAAAAATAATAGAAAAAAAAAAAAAAAAAAAAAAAAAAAATGATGAAGAACGAAAAAATTAATTTTCTCTTCTATTGTAAAGACAAACAAATATATATGGTCTAATATATTTATATTAATCTAGGTAAAATATAAATATTTTACAAAAAAAAAAAAAAAAATTAACTACTGCGTGGCAGTAGTTTAACCCGACGGGCAGCAATTGCTGACTATGAACGTTTGAATAAATGTTCAGAAAAACATTCAACATTTTTAGATAAAAGTTTAAATAATCTATGGTAAATATTTAATTAAATAAATATTAATTACCAGCTGAATGTTACAATGAGTATAATACCACAATTGATGGTATTAATATTTTTTAAAACTTGTCATGTATATTTATTATTAACAGATTAAAAATGAAAAGCAAAAAAAAATAATGTGAGAATGAAACCGCGATTAAATGTCACACGTGAGCGTCTTTATATTTATGACTGTGACAATTATTAGCAAGCGTGAAGTAATTAATAAGATAAAATGATTTAAATAATAATTTGTATACATCGACTTAGGATCATGACATAAATGAATGTGTGTAGAATGAAAACAATTGTGTTTTGGTGAAAAAGTTATTAACCGATGGCTAATACCATCGAGATACACACGTACACTGTTCGTAGATAGAAGATTAATGAAATTATAAATTTTCTCATGAATTAACGTAAATCCTCAATGGATCGCACTAGTTTGCTTAGTGTTTGACTCCCACATAATTTAGATAAAATAATTAAACTGATTTTTACATAAAAAAATATAAATATAAATATATAAATAATATAATATAATTACAGTTTTTAAGAGTAATAATTTAAAAGAAAAAAATCAGTAAAATCCAACGATTTAAAGGACTTAACGTGTATTCGTGAATATTTACTGAAAAAAAAACACGGTCGTACAAAAAAGAGAAAATAAAAACACCAAATGATGTTCTCTAATTTTCAATTTGCCGTTAAGTATATAGATACATTTCATATTCAAATTTTTATTTTTTGCAAAATAAAACACGCGATACATTATTAAGATTATTATTATTATTAATATTATTATTATTATTTTTATTATTATTATTATTATAATGATAGATTGCCTTGCGAATTGTATTTCTCATGTGAATATATTTACATACACGTGTTAATGATAAAAAAAATCTATTCAAAATTTTTTTTACCTCCCAAACGATCACCGTAATAACACGCTATGTATATAAATCACAAGATATATTATTCACATGTAAATAATTCAGTTAAACGTCAACAACTTGAGAAACAAATTTATTAAAGTCGCGTTATACATACACATTAAAATTTAATTATAATACAAGTATAAATATCCAGCTATATAGATGAGAATAATTATAATTGAACGATAAATGCATTTGTAAGAAAAAAAAAAATGCTATTCAAAGACAAGTATAAGAAACCAGGGCTTTTGTGGATGTGCGTAATAAATTTACGTGTGCTCTGTAATGTTTTTAATGAGCAAGACTTTGTTTTTATTTTATTTTTTAGTTTTTTCTTTCTATATATATATATATATATATATTTTTTTTTTTGTTATTTACGAATGTTATATTATTTTTATCAGTAATTTAAAAAATTAATTATTTTTAATTAGTTGACTTTTTTTTCTAAGGATCTTCGCGCTGGCTCATACGCGGTCAAAAATAATTTAAATGTCATAAATAATAATAATAATTATAATAATATTAATAATACCAATTATACTTAAATGTTTTGAATCGCATGCGAGTTATACATTTTGATTACTTTATCTTATTTTATTTGTTTGCTTGTTACCGAATGTTATTATTATTATTATAAATATTATTATTATTATTTTGCATAATAAGTAAATCGCGTCTATAAATGTAAATCATTTTATATTAATTTTAATTGATTAATTCTCATCGTGGTTAATTTTTCCGGGTATTTATGCCTTTCATTAAAATATAGTTACGATAAAATAAATAACTAGTTTAATTTGTACATGAAATACACAAGTTGTTAACTGGATAAATAATTAATATAAAATAAATAGGCAAGACAGATTTTGCATGAAAGGGAGATGCGTATAAATAAAATAGAATGTGCGAGGGTTAAAATAAAAATTGAAATTAAGCGTATGAATAAAATAAGTATAATAATAATTAAAAAAAAAAAAAAAAAAAAAAAAAAATAGAAAAGTGAATTGAACTTTGAAAATGAAATGAATTTATTACTTCTTGTAAATATTAGTTATTAATTAGAAAAATGTAGAATATACTGGTAATTACTATTATAATAATAATAATAATATTATTAAATTAAGAATTTTATTTGAAAAAATCTCAGTGCTTTTTAAAATGACACTTGAAGAAATAAAATAAAAAATGAAGATTAATAAAAGTGTACTGCATATAAATTACGCAAATGAGTATACTGAGCAAGCCAGGTGGAAACAGTGTGAAGGGTATATAATAAGAATGAAAATCGTTTAAAAAAAAACGAAAAAATTAAAATGAAAATGAAAATGAAAAAATAAGCAGCTATGCGGTGTCGCGTTGTATTGCGCCAATTCTATAAAACAGAGTTGTGATGCGTGTGAATGTAATAAATATAACGAGCATACAATAATAAATAATACCTATTATTATTACATGTCGCGTAACGCTCGCTCTATGTGTATATGTATATGAGCATAATTACATACATATATCACCGAACAAATACAATAATAAACATTAACAACACCATTATTAATTACCATCATCATAAGTATATTATGATTGAGTTATTAATTCTATAACAACAGGAAAAATAATGATAAATAAAAAATTTAATGTCAGACTGACAATTTTATTTTATTATTTACTTTTATTTTATTACCCACTTTATAGTTTTTATTTGGAACCTTTATTGTGTTGTTGTTATTTTAATTGTTATCAATCAATATTATGTAGATGATTATTAATCAATATCTGATGATCGTAAAAAGTGGGCTGAAGAAGTCAATATGTTATCTTCATCGAATCCTGCTATTTCTTGTGGTATTATTGAATGTTCTTCTACGCCTGTACATGGACGACACATACATTCTAGTGGTGCTTTTGTCGTTATCTTAAATAAAAACATACAATAAATAATTATTTACAATTAATTAATTTATTTTTTTAATTTTTTTTAATTATAATGGGGCATGCTTGATCGCTGTCACTTTTTTGACTGACATTAAAAAATTTTAATAATTAAATTATTATGAAGAAAATTTAATTAAAAAATTCCACGTGAGAAAATTAAAAAAAAAATTATTTATTAGTGAAAATTTTTACAAGTATTTTTTTATTATAATTGATTTGTTAAAAAAATTTTTTAAATTAACAGCTGACAGCTAACTTCAGTATCGTCATTTTTTCTCATCTAACTTCAAGCCACTTGAAATTTTTAAAGTGAAAATAAATTAAAACTATAATTATTGTTTAAAAAAATTAATTAATATTTTTAAAATAAATAATTTATATAAATTTAGAGTAACAATCACGTGATACTGTAAATTATGTCACGTGACAGTTCTGACAACAAAAAAAAACAAACAAGTAATAATAATAACAACCTTTCTGAATGTTCGCTCGCCGGGTTTAGCTTCCGGACAATAGAGGGCCACTGTCGCTTCACGCTCGCCACTTTCTTGACAACACATACAGCTTCGTTCCATTTGCCAAATTTTTGAGCCTGAAACCTAATAAAAATACAGGTAAATAATAAATTGTTTTAAAAATGATAACACACACAAGAATCACAGTCCTTTAAAAAAAAAACAATAACTCAACAAATCTGTCAAAAATTTAAACAACAACTCGAGCACGCACATTGTCAACATATCATTTGAATATTGTAATTACAATCGTATTTTTTTTTTTTTAGCTTTTCTGTCTTTATTATTCAAGTCATTCAGTGTATAATTTTTAGTGCCAAAATTTTTATATCACCTTCTCGTTAAAAATAGTGCTGAAGTATTTTATAATTAAATACATTATTATTATTATTATTATTATTATTATTATTTACTTGCAAGTAGCTGCTACATCGTCCAGTGCAAGCGAAACTTGGTATGGGTTTCGGCAAACATCCTGGATATCGGAGTAAATGAATAACTGGTGTTACCTGACATTCATCAACACCTACAAGTGCTTCAACAGTTGACTGTGAAATTACAAGTAGCAGCAGACCGAATTTTCTTGCTGTGTAAGTAAACATTTTGTGCTATTTATATTTGTTATTGTTAATTTTTATATTTAATACAACTTCAATTGTCACGTAGAAATTTTTATATTTATACTGAAGATTGAATTATCAAAGCTACGACTGTGGTCAACTGATACATTGTAGCAGAAAAATAACAACACTGCATTTATAAAATCTATCACAAACTCTTATATCCCTTACGTTAGCCCCATTAGACCAGAACATTAGCCACTTTACTCAAAGAGGGGATGAATTTAAGTAACAGTTCTTGTAATGGACCCTAGCTTAAATCTCTGAAGCTTGTTAACATTTTTTTTTTTCTTTTTTATTCCATGTTAATGCTTTATTACACTGCCATAAATTACTGACCTCTGTTTGCGGTTATTTAGAAGAAAAAACAATTAATTTTCTTTTCTAAATAATTCTTTAATAGAATTTAATCCAATATTGAATTTTTTAAATAGAATTTATGACAAAAAAATTATTTTATTCTTATTTTATAGTTTTTTATTTTCATAACTGGTTTTGATGATTTTTAAATTAAATTTTTTTATTTATTTTATTTATAAATTTTAATAAAAAATTGAATTAATTTTTAAAACTAGACTTTTTAAATAATTCAAATTAATTCTAAAACTTTTTGAGAATTTAAAAAAAAAAAAGATATAAAATTTATCTTTGCAATAGATTAAATTTTATTCATAATCATTATCATGTTACATTAATAATTTCCATATAAATAATTTTTAACGCAAAAAGTCAGTACATTTGTAACATTTGCAATCAGCTGGCTCCCGGAGTTTTATTTCCATACTCGCGAGTTTATCAGTTTCTAGTTTTTCACCGTCTGGGTTGTAACAATGGTTGAGCTTGACGACTTTTTCTTTGAGGTAGCTCTCACGACAGCAGTAACACTCCTAGAATAAATAGAATAAATAGAATAAATAGAACCAACTATCAATCCAATATTTCACCAATTACTTAATACTTAGCAGCAATAGTTACCTTGGAGAAGCCCGTTGATGAAATGACACTCGGTTGGACTTGTGAATTGCAATATCCTTCGCATTTAGTAACAGATACGTCATCACTGCAGGTTCTAATAAGTCCCCCGTCATTGTCGTACTCATCTGCAATCATAAAAAAAAAAAAATTAATTAATTGTTCTTTTTTAATATTAATAATTAGAAAAAAAAATTTTACCTTTGGTTAAATGAACTTCTGAAAAAAGAGTTTCACAGTCCTCTTCATTTTGGAGGAGCGCTTCAATTTTAAATATTGACAACAAAAGTAATAAATATATCAGCATGTTTAAATATCAAAAATTTTATTTCAATCAGCGACCTTCAAGAATTACACATGAATTGAGAGAATTCTGGATCAACGTTCAGGTTTTATAAGAAATTTTTTGCCCACCCATTGCGATGATTTAACTCCCGCTAGGTGTTAATAGTATCAAACAATAATTTTATGAATCAACTGATAATATTTTTATTTTATATTAATTAAATTAAAAATACTTATATATAAATTTAATAATTAAAATTAATGATCACTGCGCGTATCTCCAGGACAATTATCAGCTAAATCATCGCCATCATTATAATCTGTACCACACCAAATGCAGTAAAAATATTTATCCCTCAAATATTTATTTATTATTTGTAATTTCTCCGCAGCAGGAATTTCATCAGTGTCAGTATCAGTATCATTATCATCTTCATCTTCATCATCTTTATTTTCATCTCCATCTTCATTTTCTTCATCAGATTTCTTCTCTTTCTCCACTTTAGGCCAGTACCATAACTCAACGGGTTCGTTGATACCACTTTTGGTATCCAACTGTTCACACACTTTTTGGCTTTTAAATAAATCGATCTCCAGCAACTGTTGTAATTTTTTCATCGCTATTCTATCGCGAAAGTCCTCCGTTTTCATGCTCTCCAGCTTAGCGGTCGGGTTTATTTTTTTTTTATTATTCAAACTAGAGTTGTTACTTTTACCCAAGCCTGATCTATCAGATTTTATATTTATGGGTATCGGTTCTGAAGAACCATGGAGATTTTTTCCAATACCTTGACCAGGTTTGTAGCCCATCTTCATTAACATTTCAAAACCTAAAATAATTTTTTAACATTATTATTATTATTTATATTAAATTCATATTCTTTATAATGATACTGAAGTCAGCTGTCAATTTTTTTAATTTTTATAAAAAAAAATTTCTTCTAATTTGTACATGTGTAATTTTTTAACAATGATTTTATTGTTATAAAATTAAAAAAAAAAAAATGTCTAATATCTGTCACAACTTCAGTATCATTCATTATAATATAATAAAAAAAAATTACCCTTATTATCAGACGTTAATTCTTCAGACATTTGTTTGTCTCTCAATTCTTTCTCCATAACTCGTGAAGATTTATTTTTTTCTCTAGCCCTGGCATCGTGTTCAGCTTTTCGTTTGGCTACTTCAAGCCGTCTTTTCTCAGATTGTTTATAAATTAAACTTGAAGAGCTTTTGCTGACATTTTGTTGAAGACTCTCAAGAAATTTATCTGACATATAATCATCTTCGTCGGACATGATCTAAAAAAAAAAACTAAAAATATTTATTAAATTAAAAATAAATAATGATAATAATAATTAATAATAATCAAATAATATAACCTCACCTGCAGTGTTACAAATTGACAAATTGCTGACATAAAATACGTTACGACCATTTTAAAAAACATTGATCCAAAAATTAGAATGACATGCGCAGAAAAGTTGCGCGTGAATAAAAATCTTCGGGTTGCTTCGTAGCCATTCGGCAGGTCGATTTTTAGACAGAAGGAACATGGTGAAATAGAAACTAGCCGCGTAAACCAGCAGCAATGAACAAGAAACACTGGATTTAATGTGATAAAAAAAAAAAAAAGTTAAAAAAATACATACATAAGAAAAAGAAAAAATAAAAGGGAACGATGAAACGCAAAACAAGTATTTTGTCGTTGGTCGTTTAGTCAGAGCAATTACGCTTCATACTTACCATTTTAATACATATTTATCGCTATTGACAATTATTAAATATTATTTCACGGGCGTCAGTTTCGTTATTGAATATAATTATCAATAAATAATTTATTTGTGAATATACCAAGTGTTATTTTTAACGTGTGTGTTGTCCGTGTGAAATATGGTTGGAAATGTGTAGCAATATCTCCAAGTACCTTACTACCAATCGTGTGTCTCTTGTTAAAGAAGAAAAAAATATTTTTTTTTTTTCTTATAAATAAATTCATCATTGACGTCTTCGTGTGCCAGTTTACCTGACTACCATCATTATCATTATCGTCCAAGTATCAAGTCATCTTGATAATTAACTCGTGTCTAAAAGGTCACGAGCTAAGAAGAAAAAAAAAAAAAAATAATATTCTGGCAAAAGAGAAAAAAAAAAGAAACTACTAGGAAGAGGAAGTGAATGAAAAAAGAGGTTGATTGGATTTAAAGTCTTTGATGCAGTATTAATTAATAATTCATGTCAAATAGACTCATATAATAATTATTGTGATTTATTTATTTATTTATTAATTTGAATAAGTGATTTTTAGTGTTTGAAATTTGCAATGTAATACAACGCAAATGCAAATACTACTAACACCTCAATCAAAATGATTAGATGGACAAGCTAAAAATAGTACACTCGTGGAAAGCAACGTCGGTGTGATAAAAAAAAATAGTAATAATAATAATAATAATAATAATTATAAAAAATAAAGGTTAATAATAACATTGAAAGTAATCCATACAGGGTAGTAATTTTAATAATATAATTTATCGAGTAAGACTATAACAAGTGAACTTGGGTTATTATTTTCTAGGCAGCCGAGTGGATGGCGTTATTCTACGATTTGAATAATATCATGCGGAGAGTTGAGGCCTACGCCCTATTAGATTTCTTTGAAAATCTTTCAATTGATCTAATAGAATAGATAAATGATTGTTAACCTCAATTTGTTTATCCAAAGGACTCGGTAATTATCCTCACTTGTAAAGAATAAATAATCTAGTGGATTGTTTAAAGCTTTAAAAATAATAAATAAAGCCGATCAAGTGTGGGGCTATGGTTGTGGCAAGCAGTGGGTGGATACAAAATGTCAATTTTCCCTCAAACCAAAATGACAGTAACTTAAACTCCGGTACTGTGGTGGATAACAATAAAATGACTGCCAAGGGTATACTTATGTGTCGGGATAATTCCCACGCGTTCCAAGACAGGACACTTAATTTGGATCAACCTGTTAAGATAGGCAGGTCTGTTGCTCGAACGCGTGCAGCTAATGATAATGCAATATTCGACTGCAAGGTATTGTCACGTAACCATGCACTGCTGTGGTACAACGCCGGTAAGTTTTTCCTCCAAGACACCAGAAGCAGCAACGGCACGTTTGTCAATAATCAACGGCTGAGCGCCACGGGCTCCGAGTCAGCTGCTAAAGAAGTTTGCTCGGGCGATATTGTCCAGTTTGGCGTTGACGTGGTGGAGAGTACCAAAAAAGTGACCCACGGGTGCATTATCGCCACTTTGAAGCTGTATTTACCGGACGGAAAAGAGGCGAAAGCAAGCAGGAGCATGTACATGACCAGCGCCGCTGGAGATGTTACACTTGAGGATCTTTATAAGCTTAATCAATATCTCCAAGAGGCGAGCAGACGTGAGAAAGTTCTTCAGTCTAAATTGGCTTATTTGGAGAAGCTTGTTGACAATACCAAAAAGGCCGCCAGCCAGTCTTGGAAGGCCTTGATTGATGAGGACCGTCTCTTGTCAAGGATAAAAACTGTCGAGAGCCAGCTTATTGTTTATACGAAAAATTACAGCGAGGACAAAGTCAGGAATGAGATACTGAAGCTGGAGGAGGAAAAATCGCAGTATCAGATTGCTGCGAAAGAAGCCTTGGAGAAAGTTCATCAAGAAAAACTTCAGGTTACGGAAAAATTGATAAATCTTGAGAGTCGGTTGAATGAAACTGAGGAAGAATGCCAGAGTTTGCATGAGATTGCTAAACACGCTCAGATGGAGTTGCAGGAGCTTGCTGCCAAATACTCGAACGCGCAGAAAAATTTAGCCCAGGTAGAAGCTACACTTGCGGATAAAGAGCAAGCTTCCAGGGAGATGGTCGAGCGTGCTTTGCAGCAGAAAGAAGACTTGACCCGAAAAGTGAATCATCATTCGGAAATTGGTCAAGTGCTTCATCATAAGCTTGATATGAATCGCCTTGATTCTATGAAAATTCACAAAAAAATAACTGGCCTTAAAAATTATATGCAAACGCTCAAAGATATTAATGCTAAATTGATGTCTGAAGAGTCTAAAGACGGTGTCAATCCAATTGAAATAATAAATGCCATTCTTGAGACACTTAATGGGATGATAGCCGAGACTGAGACCATTGACATCTCGCCGGACAAATTGAAGAGTTTCAACGACCTTGAGTTTGGGTTGTTGAGGAACGCTGAGGATGATTTTACGAAGTATATTGTTCCGCCGTCATCGCGGACTACTATTAACGGTAAAAATGATGAAAATCACACGGAAAAGTCCGAGCAGGATGACGACGCTGGTTCTGAAGTTAATTATGATAGCTCTAGTACTACAAGCGAAGACACGCACAGTTTGGTAGGTAGTGAAGGGTCCAATGAAGAAAAGTCAGTCGTTGATATGAAACCGGTGAATAATGCTAGTCTGGATGAGAAGCAATCGGAAGTTACTAATAAATTAGAAGTTACATTTGCAGATGACAACGGCAGAGAACTCATTGAGAGCTATCATCATCATCATCATCATTATCATCATCATCATTCAAATGATAATAATATTGAGGATGATTCAGAGGAGTTTAATGATTCTAAGGATACTATTTCTGCCTTGTCATTATTACCGTCCACGTTAATTAAGCCAGATAAGGATCAATTTATCGCTGATAATGAAAATTTAGTGATGATAATGAATGACGCCAAGGAGGAGGTCGTTGAAGAAAAGGAAAAGGAAGAAACGGATGGAGATTACATCAAGACACTGAAGCCTGTTGGAAAGACAGCTTGTGACTGCTCATCCCAGTCTTTGCACACTCGGGAGTATATTCTTGATTTGTTCATGTCTTCGCTTGACTCTCTGGATAATGATGATGACGCAGAAGCTCAGCTAGCTGTTAAAAAAGAGCTAGAGCAAGTGCGCAGTTGGTTCGTCAATGAATCCAGCGATTTGCTTGTTGATAAACTTAAGGAGTTATATTACAAGGCTAAAAATGAAAAATCGCGTATGCAAGAGATAAATGAACAATTGGTTATTCTTAAAGAGAAATTTAATACGTGTAATGAAGATAAAAATGATCTGGCTAAGCAGTATGTTACTTTGAAGTCCGAGTGCGGTGATTTTATCAACACCAGTTACAGTGTTCCTATCCAGTATATTGCACCAATATTAATTGCCTTTTTGTGGCTACTCATGGAAAAAATGTTCTAATTGACTCACTATTAATTGATATTTAATTAAAATATGTACATAGTTAATTAATCACGAGATTGAATAATTATATTTATCATATTCTTTCATCGATTGTTGTAAATACTCGTATTGAATAATATTTCATTGTATTTTAATTAATCTAACACTGCGAATATTTCAAAATAATATTTAATTAATCTAAGGATTAAATTTTTGTATGAGTGAATTATTAATACGCAATGACTCATTGTAGTCAATAAAAACAATAAAACCACGTACTTTAAAATTTAAGTTCGTGTTTAATTAAAAATGTAATTAGATTAGATATTAATCACAGGACAATACTTGTATGTGTAATAAGCTGCCAATTTTAATATCAATTAAAATTTTTCTTATACTAAACGAAAAATAAAAACAATATGTTCCTTTATTGTCATTGATTATTTTTAGATTTTTTTTTTGCGTCTAAATTTATTATTAAATGTAAATATATATATCATCTAATGTTTAAGTTTAGTTTCAATTTTTGTAAACATTTAAAAAATTTTATGTTATCTTCTTTTTTAGATTTTCATTACAAGACATATTTATAATTTGTTTACTAGTATAAGTATATATAAGTTAATAGTGGATCATTTAATAAATGACTTTAAAAATAATTAAAAAAAAAAAAAAAAAAAACAATACAATTTTTTGTATTTAGTATTAGTTTTTTTTTTATAAAAAATTTTATATTTAACATTGTATTTATATATATATATATATATATATATATATTTAACATTGTATTGTAGAGTTAGTGAAGAGATGATTAATACTAATTAATGGGAAAATAATAAGATAAAATAAAAATGTTAAAACAAACAAAAGCCTATGAGCATGTCTTTTGATGCTTCACTGGCCTTAATTTAAAAACTATGTAATTAAATTTTTCTATACATTTTTTGTTATTCTCTATTGTAAATGTAGAAAGTAGAGTGCCATGTGTTATTTTTTATGTTCGCTTAAATAATTTATACTATTAAAAATAATATTAGTGATAAAGTCAATCAATAAACACAACAAAAATCATAACACAAATATTTTTATTGTTTTTATTTCACTTATAAATTACGTATATTACTTTAATTATTATAATTTTCTTTAAAAAAAAATTATTTCACATAAAATTACTCAATAAGAATTCATATTGTATATAAATATTGTTATACTATCAATCTTGCTACTATGTAACAATTACTATGAACATAAAAAAGTTGAATAAAATAAATTTCATTAAAATTCATCAGACATTCTATTCTTGACACATTAGTTTTAATTAAATCAGTGATTAATGGTAGAAATAATTTGGAGTATAATATATCGGTATTAATTTATAATTAGAATTTTTTATTTAATTAATTACTAGCAACCTTGCAGTCACTATGTGACTACCGTGACTTGTGAACTATAAATAAATAAAATTTTGCGTTATTAAATAATGACTTTTGTTAAATTGCACAGTACTTTTTTAAATATTGACGTTTTTAAAAATATCAGCTCATCTCGATGTTACACTCATCAAGAGCTTTCATTTGAGTACCCACATGCATTTTTCATATATACATATATATATATAAATATATGAAATATATATGAAAAATTGATGTGGGTACTCAAATGAAAGTGGAGTCTTGATGAGTGTAACATCGAAATGAGCTTATATCTTTAAAAATGTCAATAGTTCACAAGATACAAGGTCATTTCTTAATTATGTATCTAGATTTAAATTTAGCTTTTTCTCTTGTTAATAATATAGATAATTTAAAAAACAATTTTTTTATAAAAATTTAATAATAAAAATAATTTTTCAGGATAAAGCGATGGAGTACGAATGAAGCGAAAAATAAAAAATACACCAGGAGAAAATAAAATGGCAGGTGGTACATCAGTAACAACAGGTGGCAGCGAATCGCCACCTAATAGTCGAGTATGCCGAGACTTTTTACGTAATGTTTGTCACCGCGGTAAAAGATGCAAATATCTCCACGAGCGATCTGGTGATTCTCCAGTAGAAGAGTACACATTTTGCCATGATTTTCAAAATGGAATGTGTAACTGGCCTGGCTGTAAATTTCTTCACTGCACGGAGAGCGAAGAAAAGCACTTTCGTGCTACCAGTGAGCTGCCGGCGCACATAATTGCGCGGTTAAAAAACAATAGTGAGAAAACGGAATTCCCATTGTGCAAAGATTTCATGAAGGGTAATTGTCAGCGGGTGAATTGTAAATTCAGACATTACAAAAAAGAAGAACCACAGCATACTAACGTAGCTTCACCGATGATTAATCAGCCAGTGCGCTCACAACATTGTTTCAATGGGACTAACCACAATGACAATCGGATCCGCAATGGCTTTGAAGAATTAGACAGAAAGTAAGTTCTAATAATAACTCAAAGACCACTTTTCTTCTTTTAATTTAAATTAAATATTAAATTTATTTATTTTTTTTTTTTTTTTCAAGTGTACACTGGCAGTTTGAAGATCATCAACATGTCCTAACAAATAATAATGGCCATGGAGGTTACTCAGCTTCTCCACAATCAAGCGAATTTATCGGTGGCCCCCCGGAGCCTAAAAGAAGAATAATATCAGGCGGCGAAGCTATCTTGCACTTTGAAACTTCTCCAATTGTAGGTCAACACACGACTGCCCATTCAGCAGTGACTCCTGGGTATTATTACCCAGTGATCGCGAGGAACGAGGCCCGGGCAATAGTCCTCGAAGATGAAAATTCACTGCTGAGAAAAAAAATAGACGAATTAAAGAAGCAAGTCAGTGATTTAACGGCAACAAACGAATTTCTTCTTGACCAGAATGCCCAGCTGAGAATGTCCGGCAAGCGAACGGCCAATGTTACATCAGTGACTGTTCCCGCAGTGACGATCACTAACACCGTCCCACCTTCACAGGCTCCAACACCCCAGCAGATGGTCAACGCAGCTGTAGCTGCCGGGACTTTGAGGACTGTTACAGCTAGCGTAGCAACTGTTCCAGTTAGCATTGCTACAGTCACTCCCGTGTCAATTGCTGCTGTTTCAATGGCTCCAGTGTCAATTCCTCCGCCCATTGTAACGATGGCTCAGCAAACTATCACCATGAGTGGCTCTGGACCTCAGTCCGCGAACCAGCAGGCCCAAAATCCTCAACAATCTGCCAGCTTGCCGCTTTCTATTTCTGGAGCTACTGCTCCGATGGTGTCCTATCCGATTATGACTCAAGAACTTCGACCTGTGCTCCAATAAATCCATCTCTTAGTCTATTAACTTGCCTTATTTATATTTATAATATAAATAGTTTTTAATAAGTAATTTTTTTTCTTCAAGCTGCTATTGGTTGTTTAAAAAAATAATTATTTTTTTTTCTTTTTAAAAATTTCAAGAAATTTTTTTTTTCTTCAAACTTGCTATTGGTTATTTTAAAAAATAATTATTTATAGGAATTTATTGTTAATATTTAATATAACAGTGATAATATGAGAAGCTTTTAATGTTATTTTTTATAATAATAATAACAATTATTAATTACAAATGCCATTTGAATTATTTTTAAATTTGGATTGTTATTATTTGTAAATTATAAAATTAAAATATTTTATTTTATAGCTAATTTAAAAGTCAATTCATTAAATAATTAAAAATAATGTAATCAAATTAAATTATTAATTAGATAACATAATTGTTGTTTAAAAATTATAATTCTCAGGTGGCAAAAATATTTCGGGGTTTAAAATTGTTAATATTTAATTAAATGATCACTATTGTAGCGATAGTTCTCAGCAAAAAAAATGTATATAAAAATTAGATTAGTTTTTAGGCATATTTATTATTTAAGGTTCAAGATACGATTGTATCGAATTTTCTTATATTGTAAATAGTCTTAATATATTTACTTTAATAAAAAAAAAAAAAATTACAATGATAATTTGAATTTTTTTTTGTTTTTGAAACAATTTAATACAAAAATGTGGGGAAGCGACTTGAAAAAAAAAAAAAAAAAAAAAAAAAAAATAATGTAGAATTATAATTTATTTAAATTATATTGGAAATAGATGTGCGTTCAAAAAAAAAACTTAATCAACTAATATTGCTAATGGAATTGATAAATAATATAATCATTTTTTACAATTATGTCACTGATTAGAGCCATCCATGAGGAATCTGGTTGCCAGGCAGTAAATTCCTCCCACTAATACAACACAGAAGACACCAAGTGTAAAGCGGATTCGCCAGTGCTGCTTATAACTATTCAAAAGATTTATTATTTTAATTGTTTGCTTTTTTGTTTCTTCCCGGCTACCAGAGTTATCAATTACAAAATTAGCTTGCTCGATTTTTTTGTCCAGAGGCATTTGCGAAGTTATTCGTTGTTTTGACTTTTCTTCATCAATATCTGATCGTTTCATTAAACGCTCAAGTTGTTGGTCTTCTTCGCTGAAATAAAAAAAGTGCTTTAAAAAATTTTTACCAATAATTTTTTTTAATTTTTACATGTAGAATTTTTTTCATAAAAATTTATTTATCAAAATTTCAATAATTTTGTTAACAAATAAATTAATAATACTAAAGTTAATTTTTTTAATTTTTAAAAAATTCCCACTATTTATTTTTTTTTATTTTTACACGTGAAATTCTTTAATTAATTTTTTTTTTTCATAATAATTTAATTGCTATAAAATTATACAAAAATTCAAATGTCAGCTGACTTTAGTGTCATATAAATTATGGGAAAAAAAAAAAAAAAAATTGACATTAGAATGTAATATAATTACCAAGTAACGACAATTATTTTATACAAATAATTTTGCATTTTTCCAGTCTCAAATAGCAGCGGTAAATCCATAACAATATATGGATATCCTTGAAAGAAATAATCTAACGTTTCCCACCACAATTCTTTATAAATTTCAGGATGAGTTATTGCATTTAATTTCCGTCTTTTTTCAATGTCATTAAAGATTAAATCACCGAGTTTACTCCGATCAAGATAGCCATCATCATCAAATACTTCATCCCCGAATTGTTTTCTTATTTTCGACCAGGCCGTTTTACCAGGTTCCACAACTGTAATAAATTCATAAAATAAATTATTTAAATTTACAGCTTGTATAAATTTATTTAAAAAATGTCTAACCTCGACGAGCTGCAACATCAGCATCCACCACAGGAATTCCATGTTCACGGAATATTTCACAAACAGAACTCTTGCCAGTGGCTATTCCACCAGTCAGGCCGACGATAAACATTCTTTATTCTATTTATTTACTTATTCAACATAAATCATAAATAATTATTCAATTCACTGCAACAAATTAATAATTCGTTGCGAGTCTCAATATACTTGTCCCAGTAAACGCTTTTGCTATACAAGATTATTATTATTTTTATACATTTAATACATTTGTCTCTTCTGTTCTGTGTTGTCATTCAGATACACCTCACGAGAGTTAGAATTTAGTCTTACCGACCACGTCAAGCCATTATTGCCATTATTAACCTCTTATAACTCTTAACCTCGACTACAGCGCCTTTAACGGCTAAAAGGAGCGACCAAAAATTTTAAATTTTTAGAGCGCCTCTAGCGGCTAAAATTTTTATTCATTTGAACGAGGATTATCAGTTAAGTAAGATTTATTAAATTAAAAATATTAAAAATCAATAATTGTAAAGATAAAGATGATAATTAGTGATGTGTCAGTCAAGTGAAACTAAAATCAGCTGACAAAATTAGAAATAAAAAACTATTTTAAAAAAATTCCACGTATAATTTTTAAAATTTTCTACATGTAAAAATTTTTGTTTTAATTTTTTAAAAATTATTTTTCAATAAAATATAATTAAGTATAAAAATTTTTAAATGTCGGCTAATATTTAATTTTCATTGATCTTAGAGAGTATTTAATTTTTTCCAAATTTTATACATTTCAAAAATGTTATCACAATGTACAATAATATGATTTTCATAATATTCAGGCTCTGTAAATAAGAATTTAAAAAAAAATGATTGATGCAAATATTCAAAGCGTGGGTAATCAATAAGACTTAAATTAGCTTTTTTAACACAAATTCCTGTTAAATAGACGTCTTCCAGGTGGACAACTGGAGTTGTCAAAGCCGTTTTATACAGGATTAATCCAACGTCTGAGCTCATAATGTAACCGTGGCCAACGGCATAATTTGGAACGATTTTCTCCCCGTACATATAGGCTGCAACATACCTGCAATTTATGTTTAAGTAAAATATTAATTTTAATAATTATATAAGAAGTAATTTATCGCTACCATTTACTTCGAGGATTAGTTTGTCGTAAGTCATTCTTGAAAATGTGACCCATTAAAAGTCTAGTTGTGTTTGATGTCCTCAATGCTCTCATTAAAACTGGAATATTTACATAAACATCGTCATCTGTTTTCATAATAAATTTTGCTTGACGACACTTGGTTATTGCCCATTTCAACATCATCACCGATTTTATAGTTAAATTGTTGTAAGTATCAATGAAATTTTCTTGAATAATGTCACCGTACCGAAAATTTTCTTCTAAGATTTTATAGTTCAGTGTTTTATTTTTACTTTTGCCCAATATAAACGCAACTTCAATAATTTTGTTTATAGATTTAAAATATTTAAAATATATATTATGCTTATGAGCCCAGGTGTTTCGAACTACCATTCTCGCTTTTGAATTGTCCACCGCGGAATGAACAATAATCAACAGGTAAGGCGATGTACATATAAATTTAGGGCTTGTTATCAGAGTATTATTTTTTGGATTTATGTATAAGCTTATATCTCGAGAGATATTAAACTCCCATCCGGGGACTTGCTCATCTGAACATTGAGTGAAGTAATGAATTAAAATGTAGACAAAAAAACCAAGACTAATTGTGCTTTTTATTCTTCTGTAATTTTTTAATTTTATTTTTAATGAAAATTAATGTAGCATATATTAAAAATTTTATAACAAATAAATTATAGCAAAAAAAAAAATTAGAAAAAAAAAATTGACATTTAAAAATTTTTAAAAATAAAAAATGCAATTTTTTAAAAATAAAAAAATTGTCAAGTGACTAACTTTAATGTCATTTATATTTACTAAATCAAAAATTTATCATAAAATTATGATTACTTACCTTTTTAAGAATTTAAATAATTTGAATCTACGGATCTTCATTGAAAAATTTTTTCAAATAATATTTACAAAGATAAATATTGCAAGACTGTCGTTGGTTAAAATAATATTTTAAAATAAAAAATTCAAGATTTGTTCACTCAATAAACACTAAAAAAATTTTAAAATTCTACTCTATGGCAACTAATCCAAAAGTATGAATATATTTAACAACGTGGTACTTATTGTTACTTTAAATTATTTCTTCTTTCCGAGAATTAAAAAATTTATTATTCATTAAAATTGATAAAAATATAAAAAGAAATTTAAATAACAATATTCAAGGTTATTGATTAAAATATATCTTCAGGTTTAATTATTGATTTTTTTTTATTAAGGAATGCATTAACAGTAAAATACAATAATGAATAATTAAATAAGATATGCATTATACAAAGCAATAACTTAGATAGAATTTATCTTGTTAAATTAAATAATAGATATTTAAAACAATTATTTTATTACTTTGTTTTAACTACTAGTCAGATTTTCAACATTTGTTACATAAGGAACTTATTTTATGTAAAGATAATTATCAAAGTATAAATTCGTACAATTTATATTTTTCTTCGTAATTACAAGGAGAAAAAATAATTAAATATTTCCTTTTCAATCTACATCATCAAAAACAAATCAATAAATTTTTTTCTAAACTATTGTGATTGATTTGATGTTTAGTTAAAAAATTTATTCAATAAAATATAATTATTTTAAAGTACACATTTTTTTAATCAAGTCTTTAATTTTAATTGAATAACTCTCACACGTGACATTAATTACTTGGTTGAGTCAACGGGTGAGTAAATAAATAAAGCAATTTTTTTCTCCTTTACTTAAAAAACTTTGAAAGAAAAAAAAAAAAATGCATGATCATTCAAATAAATAAGAAGCTAATTATTTAAAGCCTAAGAAAAAAAATCTCGTGCAAAGATTGAAATAATTTAAAAAAAAAAAATGCATAATTATTACTTTTTTGATCATTATTTGTAGCAGTTGATTTTTTTTTTTTTATAAATATTCTTCCTTTCAATTATTATTATTATTAATAATATTGTACTTGAATTAAAAATGACGGCCGATTAATTTTATTCGCTGTAACAAAAAAAAAAAAAAATGACGTACATAAATAAATTAGTAGACTAGGAGTAAGAAGATAAAATAACAAAAGCGATAAATAATTACCTGTCACTGCTGTTATTGTCGGTAGTAGTGGAAGCCTCCTCGCTGCAATCTAAATCTAGCTCGCCTTGTATTGCGCTTTGTAGATCATCGATTCGTTGTAGAGCGAGCCTGAGATCATCTCGAGCTAATTTAGTTTCAGCTTCGGCGGTTTCAAGAGCCTTTTCAAGATCTCGTCTCACACGAGTAGACTCTTGTTCCCTTGCGACCGCGCAAGTGGCTTCCTCTTTGGCTTCCCTTAAAGACCTTTGCAGTCTTCTGGCAGTGTCCTGAGCAGTCTGTTCCTTGGTTCTGAGCAACGCGGACTCGGTTTGCAGCTTATCAACATTTTCTTTTAACCGTGTAATCTGAGTCTCTAGTCTCGCCCGAGTAGTTTGCTCTAGATCTAGCTTGCTTTCAAGCTCCTTTACGCGAAATTCGAGTCGCCGAGTAACGAGACTGTTGGCTGTAGGATCGCCAAGTTGCTCGACCGACTCGAGTCGCTGGCTGAGTTCCATCAGCTGGTCTTTTAGTGAGGATTTTTCAGCTTCGAGCGCAGCTATTTGTACCTGAGCTTCCTGCAATGCAGCTTGCTCCGTAGAAAGTTGTTGCACTGTCGTGCGGTACTTTTTCAAAACTTGTGCCAACTCTTCTTCATTTTCTTCAAGCTGTGAAATCAGCTCAGTACGCTCGCGATTTGCGGCATTAGCACGATCCTCTGCTTCAGACTTGCTCCGAGAAACTTCATCCAACGCCGCTTGAGTCTCATTTAATTCCTGCTCGAGCGCTTGCTTGGCTTTAACAGCCACCGCTTGAGCACACTGAGCGTCTTCTAATTGATTTTTCAATTGTCTTAACGCCACTTTGCCCGTCGCGTCGCTCTTAGACCGTTCAAGCATTGTCTGAGCGTCGCGCAAAAGCGCCCGAGTTCTACGAAGGTCTCTCTTTAATCGCTGAGTTACATCAGCTTCCGCAGCACGATCATTGCGACCTTGCTCTTCAAACGCCACCAGCCGTCTCTCCAATTCATGCTTCTCCCGCAATAAAATTGTCCGCTCCTCGTGCTCATTTTCCAACTGGGACTCCAGAGCTTTGACTTTTTTGTGAGCATTCCCTCGAATGTCCTCCAGCTCGTCATCTTTCTGTTGAATTTCTTTACGCATTTCTTTGCGCTGCTGCTCGATGCTCATTTCTAAACGCAATTTAGCTTGCTCGAGCAATTGAACTTGCCCTGCAAGATCGTCAAGTTCTTCTTCTTGGTCTTTACATTTCTTCTCGAGTTCGTGCTTTGATTTTTTCAGCTGCATTACTTCTTCTTCTGTCTTACCGCCGTAACTTAATTCTTCTAATTCTTGAGACAAAGTTGTCAGTCTTTCTTCTTGGAGTTCCATTTCTAATTTGCAATCCTATTTTAAAAGAAAATAATCTTAATTTTTCTTTAATTAAATTCTAATTAATTTTTTTTTATTCATTTTATTTATAATAAATAAATAAATAAATAAATAAATAATAAGTACTAAATATTTAAATAAATAAATAATAAACTTACACTTAAATTTTGTTCAATAGTAAACTTTTCAGCGACAGCTATTTCTTTTTCACGTAAAAGTCTTTCCCGTTGTGCTTTTTCTTGTCTTAAATCATCCATAAGATTCTGAGTCTCAGAATCAAATCTAAGAATAAATAAAATTTAAATTAAAAAAAAAAAAAAAATCTAAACAATCATTAAAATGCAATAAAAATTATTAATAGAACATACTTCCGCTGTTTCTTCTCCAATAAATTATTACGGGCTGTCTGTTCTTCAAGAAGCAGTCGTAAGTCATGCATCTCACCATTAAGTTTTTGGACTCTTCGTTTCCATTGACTGACTACCTGTCGCTGCTCCTCGACTTCCTCGTAGGCATCAGCAAGCTACAATTAAATAAATTTAATAAAATACCCTAATAATTTTAATAAAAAATCCTACCTTTTTCTCCAGTTGTTTTTTAAGACCGACAAGCTGCTCCAAATCATCCTCATGCTGTTGAGCCATTTTTCTTTTGGTAAACTCCAGCTCACGGATAGCATGTTCGTATCTCTGTTTATAAATACCGCCATCCTCTTGATTATTTTCTTCTCCATCAAGAGTAATTTGATTTAAATCAGCAGCTCTCGCATAGAGTAGCTCCATTTCCAATCTTTCGGTAGTTTGCTGGAGCGTTTTATTTGTCTCAGTAACATCTTCGAGTTGACGTTCCAAGCGAAGTCGCTCTGAGGTTTCGGCATCTATTCTTTCAGCTGCCAATGTCGAGGTCGAGTGCTCCTCCGCGTAGTCAGCAGTTAATACACTTAACTGAAAAATTGAATAAAATAATTAGTATAAAAAAAAAAAAAAAAAAAAAAAAAAAAAAAAAATAAATATTATCAAGCAATTGCTACCTCATCATCACACTCAGATAAAGTTCTATCTTCTGACAATCTAGATCGTAGATTATTGTAATTAGAAACGCTTCTAGCGGCACTATTGTCTCTATTGAAGTACTGAAAGCCCTTGATCATAATATTAGCCGCGCTTTTGCTCTTACCAAGCGGTCGATTTTTATCATAAGGCATTGACAAATAATCCAACTCATTATCATTAGTATTACCCCCGATTCTTTTCCACTCTTGCATGATATGATCAGTTCGCTGAAGAAATTGCGCGATACGCGAGGTCAAAAGCGAGGATGCCGTTTCTGGTTCCAAGTGTGAGGCCGTGGGTCGAAATGATTGTCTTACTTTCTGCTTATCAATCCCCAGGACAAAATTTAAACTCGCGTCAAATACAACCGGCGCTTGTTCTTTTTTTGACAAATCATGCTTAAGCGAAAAGTCCGCTAGACTGTTGTCCTGCGGGAAAAACCGCCGCGGAGTCGCAGATCTTAAAAAACTATTTGAACTGAATGAATCTCGGCATAACGATGATCTGGAGTAAGATTTACTTGACAGAGACACTGAGCTAGCTAATCTAGGTGTTGGGCTACGAGTAAAACTCGTTATATCATCATTGTAATTATTGTTACGCGACAGCGATGGTGTTACAATAGCGACTCTGTTTATTGGTCGAGAGTTATAGCTGTTCAATGATAATTGAGGCAGCGGAAATTCGTTGGTAGACATTACGTCTAAAGATGAGATACTTTCGGACATAATTGATATTTAAATTAATTTTTAAATTATAACTTGACAATTAAATTAATTTTTTTTTATCACTACGATTATGTCTCTACACTATTTAAACACTTATTAGGCATGTTATGATATGTTGCATAACAAATAAGTTTAGGAGAATCGAGTAGGTGCAGCTGACTGCATCAACTGTAGACACCACGGACGACAACGACGAGCGATGGGTAATAGTGATCACTTTCAAGTTATTCTAAGTCAAAGAGTGAAAGAGACTACATTAAAAAGAGAGAACTAAAGAGAAACTATTGGTTTTTGGATCGCAGCCAAATTTACTACACGGTGGGCTGAGAAATCGGTTAAATGATTACAAATAAAAAAAAAAAACAGTTGTAAAATAATTAAGATGTCTCCTAATTATTGACACTAATTTTTAAAACTTAAAAATAAAACTTACTTTAGCTTCCAATTTTACATTGTCGTGCTTAAGATGATTTCTTTCTTGTTCCAATTTTTCAACTTTAGCTCTCAATAACTCTAGCTCTTCCTGTAATGATAAAAAATAGTTTATAAATTTTTTAACAAAAATAAACATTGACAATTTTTTAATTTATGATGTTATCTAACCGTTCGTGCTTTCAATTGATCTTCAGTGCGATGAACATTTAATAAAGGCGCTACTTTTACGTAGAGTCTCCACCAAGGCCACTCACGAACAGACATAAGCTTCCTCACATTTCGCTGTATGCATCTTACAGCCAAATCTTGAAGCTGAAAAAAATTTAAATAGTTAAAATAAATTTTTTTATTAAAAAAAAAATAAAAATCAAACTTTTAGAGTACCTTTAGTGTATTGAGTTTTTTCCGCGCCAAGTAACCTCGACATCTCGCTTGCAAAAGCACAATATGGCCCGTCAACTTCTCATCTCGTTGAGACTCAAGTCGCTCTAGAGCACCGGCTCTGAAGAATATCTAAGCAAAGTAATTGTTTTTTTAGTTTAAGGAACTGTTGAGTTTTTATGTGTATGATATGATTAATAATAAATATTTTACCTGACTCTGACCAACGCGGTAAGACGCAGCGTCGACGTCCATAGTCAATAGCATGTCTTCCACAACTCTACGTTCGTCTTCGACAGGACTTGATGAGCGTACATTAGCCGCATAATCACTAGAAAGTAATCCAAAGCGGCGTCTGAATTCACCGAGTGGTAAATGCTTTGGAAATCCGACTTTGTGAAGACGCATTGCATCAATTATTTGCCCGCCACGAATCTACAGTAATTATAAGTGTTTAAATAAATTCTTTCACGTTTATAATTAAAATAACTCTAACATGTAATATTTTATAATTATTATTACTTGTGAACGTAGTAGTGGAACGTTAATAACACCATTATCATTTTTCGGTAATTTCATCGTGACAAATGATTTGTCAGTGCAGCCTGAGTTGTGTTGGGGTAATAAACAGTGGACAAATTTAACACGAGTCCGTCTCAATGTTTCAATTATTCCATCCTAGAATAATATTAAAAAAAAATAATATTTTATAAATTGCTAAATCAATTAAAAAAAAAAAAACAATTTAATAATTATTTGATAATTTTTTAAACCCGGTCTATTTTTTTATTTTTTTTATTTTTCTATTAAAATTTAATAGTTGGAGAAATAAAAATTTACACTTACAACAGTGAATTTAATTTGAAGACAAGCGCTTTTCCTTTTAACTGTTGTGAATGTTCGTCGAATACTAGAAGCTCTTCTTAATGATTGTGAGCCTTCTAATCCGGATATGGAACTAGTCATTAGTGCTCCAGTAATTCCAGTACTTCGTACTTGAACAAAAAGTCTATTGACATCCTCTCTGTTTAAAAAAAAAAAAATAAATAAATAAAGTTAATAAAAATACTTGGAATAAAATAATAAATAAAATGATTTAATAACAAACCTCGTGCTTTCTTGTAAAATATTAATGGCACTTTTAGTAACTGGATTTTCCCGAGTGGCCTTTAACCATCCGGTAGCAGTGTACAATACTGGATTGGTCCCTTGCAAATGCTGAAGAACAAATTGGTTATTACCGGGAGCTTTTCTCAGTAAAAGCTGATAATCACGATCACCGTACAACGAAAATAACCGGTCCATAAAAGATTCATCGCTGCCTCCAGCGCAAACAGCTTCTTCATCAAGAAGCCACAAAAGTCCTTTTTTCTCTCCCTGAAATCTACCGGTCAGATCATTTTGGCTCGAACGTATCATGGTCGCAGTATTTTGCTGACCGCGGTCAACAAGCGAAATAAGATCTTGTGGTGATCCAACACCGCTGTTTTCTTCGTCATAATCTTCATCGTGTTCAATATTTATTCCCTCTTGAATATACCGATTTTTCGGAGCTACTAAGCTAGAATAGTGAAATAATAATTGAAGACGCTCTTGTAAATAATTATGACAGAGATCTTCAAAGTTAGCACCAGTTTGATGACCACACGAGGCTGGATTTTGAAATCCAGGTGTATCACAAAGCAAAAGCGAGGATACCGTGTGGACAGGAGATGATATTACTTTATTGATAAGCGAAGCAACACAATGGAATACTTCTGTATAAAGACCAACGATAAATCCCTCAAGGGCGTCAAGTCCTGAATAATTTGAAGCACTATCAATGGGACTCGATGCTCGTAAAGAGCCTCTGCTACCACCACCACCACCACCACCACTACCAGCAGTTGTTGTAATCCCGTCGGCGTTCGAAGAAAATATTATTCTACTGAGTTCTTCAACACTCGTGCCCAAAAGATTGGCCGCTTTTTCAGCGCACTCCGCTCGAGCGAATTGCCAACGGCTTGATTGAGAATTAACATTTGTTTTTACAGCACCAGCACAACTCAAGTGATATATACCTGCAATAACTGTCCAGATGACTTTTTCATCAGCTTCCGACAGTCCTAATATTTTAAATGCTCCAACAATGCGATTGAAATCGACAACAGCGCGTTGTTTTTCTTCGTGCTTCTGCAGCGGTGTAATAAAGGGATTATTTTCGGTCACTAAATTACCGAGGTACAACTCTTTACGCAATTGTCCTTCTGCTCCAGCGAGCAATCGATAAATAATGTGAAAAGTCGGGTCACCGTTATTCCGTCTTCCTATTCGTGATTTTTCTAGCAGCAAAACTTGAATGCTCGCAGAAGCTATTTGCCCAGACTGATCAAAGTCTAAGCTGAATATTTGTGTGAATCGGGTCGCATTGGAATTCATATGCGTTTTGCTGTTCCCAAAGGCTTCAAGGATTGTAAACAAGGCATTTAATTTTTCAATAGTGAGTATCTGTAATAAATAGAAAAATTGAATTATAATTACCAATGAGTCACTGATAAGTTGAATATAATATATTCGGTAAATATTTACAAGTGGGGTCAACTATATATATATATATATTTTTTTTAAAAATACATTAAAAAAAAACAAAAAAAGTTGATTATCACAATTTTACAAATTTTTTTTTAATTGTTCCTTTTTTTATATACTTTTCAAAAAAAGATAAAATAGAAATTTTATCCAAAAACATGAGAGCCAAAATTTTTTTCAACTTTTGAAGACAAAAAAGCTATCAAAATTTTTATTTTTTTCTTTCATGACATTTTTTTATTATAAATCCGCCGTAAAAATTGGCAGAATAAAAAACAATTTGAAAATGTTAATTTTTCACCTAATTATTTGTAATTAATTACCGAAATTTTTTTTTCGGATTGAAATTTTCTAATTGCTGAATTTTTCCATGCATTATAGCAAACAGCTAAAAATCTTTTATTTTCATTAAAAAAATGAATTTATTCCAGATAATTTCTTCTTACGCGCAATTTAAAAAATCAATGCATTCCAAAATTCTTTAAAAAATTTTTATCTTCTAAAAAACTAATAATAATTTCAATTATTTAAAATAAAAAATTTATTTTTTTTTATAAAAATTTTTGATTTGTTTCATTTTTATTTTTAATTTTACCAAAATAATAAATTAAATTTTCTTCCTAAAACTTCTAATTTGATAAAAAAAAAAAAAAATTAATTCCATGTGTTGCATTTAAAAATATATTAAAAATTTTTATCTTCTAAAAAATTAATAATTTCAATTATTTAAAACAAACTTTTGTTTTTTATTCATAAAAATTTTTATTTTTTAATTTTACCAAAATATAAAAAACTAAATTTTCTTCCTAAAACTTCCAATTTAATATTAAAAAACTCAATTAATAAAATTATTAAATGAGTCGTGTTTCAACACGCACTCTCTGCTCGTTGCTTCAACCTCCGCAACCAATAAAAAAAAATCATCCGCCGATTTACACAAAAATTAAAAATTCAAAACCATTTTGACGCTCAAGAATAATTATTATAAAAAAAATTTAGGAAAATAAAAAAGCTAGCCTCAAAAGAAAAGCCGAACAAGCGGTTAATTAGGTTTATAACATAAAGTGCTTTGGTGATAGATTTCTCCCTTAGGATATTATTTGCAATAAAAAAGAACAATTATAAAAATAAAAAAAAAAAACAAAATAAAGTATTTATTTAGCGGGAGTTTATTTTTTAGCACATATTAACGCACAAGAGACTTAAGAGAACAAAGAATGAGAGATTGTTTTTTAATACAAGGTTGTATTCGAACTCCAGAATAATCCGAGCGCTTGCGCGCAATACGACTGATTAAAAAAAAAAAAACTATAAATAAATAAAACTAATAAATACTAATAGTATACAATTCAATACAATAAAATAGCTGCCGGTAATTAGGTACCATATCGTATCGCTGTTAAACAATGTTGCAACATATCAATTACCTCTATCAATATTTGTTACATGTATTTTTAATTATTATTATTATTTTTACTATTATTATTGATTATAGATTTGTTTCTGGAAATATTTTAATTGTTTATACAACGGCAATATTTTTAAATGAATTTAAAGGCTGACGCCTAGGCTATTCTAATTATAAATATATATTAACAATTTACATACAATAACAATAACAATAACATATAAATAATTATTAATTAAACAGAAAGAAGAAATATTAATTTTTAATTACAGATTAAATAACGATAGATTTATTACAGATACAAAGTTAAATTTATTTTCAATCCGTCTATTGGCGAAAAAACTTTAACATTAAGTTCCTACAACAATTACAATTTTAATACAGATATATTATCGTTACGCTGTGCTATTTTTTATTTTTATTTTATAAAATATCTATAAATAAGCATGTAAATAAATTTAACTTTCTTTTTTATTGTATTTTATTATTTTTATTCGGATACAACCTGGATCGACTTTTTACCTGGACTAATTTTTAAAGTTTTTGGTAAGATGCCGGGGATTCCCCGACTGAGCGCCTGATGATTAATATTGAGCGCCTGTCGGTAAGAAAGGGAAGAATTGTTAGTTTAGAAATGCTTGAGATGGTAATATACAATTCTGTAATTTACCTAGGGGAAATTTACTTACCGGCTTGGTGTCAGGCGAATAAGAATAGAAGAAATCTCTAAAGTCGATCTTAAATTAGTGCGGTATTATGAAAATTGCAGAATTAAAATTGTGGATTATAAAAATTTAAGTTTGCATTGTGAAGATTAATTAGGATAATAATTTATACCATTTGATTAAATAATAAAAAAAAATTTTGTACATTTTTTAAATGATAATTACAAGGTCAGTGAAGAAATAAATTTTAATTATTGTTTTTAAAATTTTTTTTAATATTTACGACAGCTGACATTTGAAAAAAAAAAATTTTTTTTTCATTGAAAAATTAATTTATTTTAAAAAATTTATTCTTACATTTTAATGTAATTAAAAAACATACAATTAAAAAAATCAATACATCTTAAATTATTCAAAGAAATTTTTTAATTTCTTCTAAAAAATTAGTAATTTTGCCGTGACTTGTGAACTATAAATGAATAAAATTTTGCTTTATTAAATAATGACATTTGTTAAATTGCACTGTACTCTCTTAACAATTGACGTTTTTAAAGATATAAGCTCATCCTGATGTTATACTCATCAAGAGCTTTCATTTGAGTACCCACATGCATTTTTTTTTATATATTTTTCATATATACATATATATATAAATATATGAAATATATGAAAAATTGATGTGAGTATTCAAATGAAAGGTCTCGATGAGTGCAACGTCGGAGTGAGCTTATATCTTTAAAAATGTCAATAATACACAAGATACAAGGTCGTTTCTTAACTATGTTAAATTGCACTGTACTTTCTTAATTATTGACATTTTTTAAGATATAAACTCATTTCGATGTTATACTCATCAAGAGCTTTCATTTGAGTACCCACATCAATTTTTGATATATTTTTCATATATACATATATAAAATATCTATAAATATTTAAAATATATGAAAAATCGATGTGGGTACTCAAATGAAAGGTCTCGATGATTGTGACATCGGGATGAGCTTATATCTTTAAAAATGTCAATAGTTCACAAGATACAAGGTCATTTCTTAATTAAATATCTAGAGATAGAAGATTTTTAAATGAAGCCTAAATATTTATCATCAATAATAATTTATTTCTTCACTGAGCTTTTAATTATTAATCTGATAGTTCAAATAATTTAAAGAATTTTCTTAAATTAAAAAAATTAATTTTTCAAGCTTAAACTTTAATTTTCCGTGATTTTAATTCAGCAATTTTGGTAATACCCAATCAGTGAAAGAACAAAGTGTATAAATGAAAATAACAAGGCGTCTATTGACTCACCCTAGCCTCTTGCTCTGACCATTTGGTTGTTAATAATTTGTAAATTATAATGAAGAAATAAAAAAACTACATAACAGTGATAATTTAATTAAGCCACCCGATTAAAACAAATATATATCGATATATTTATATGTACCATATTATAAAGAAGAAATAAGAAACAAAAGTAACAAATAAAAAAAATATATATTAAAAGTAATTATTAATAATAAACAGATGCCACCACCCAGTATATTTTTTACAGGTTTACAGTTTATAATATTTGATATTAACAAATAATTATAAAATATAAATACAAATAATTACACACGTTTTTTAGCGTTAAACAATATTTTAACAATGTGACTTATTTTGAGGCTACTGCGACATCCCTGGCCACGGGGACCAAATATATTTTTTATGCATTATTATTACAATTATTATTATTGATATTATTATCGAATTATTATTTATATTAGAATTTTCCGACGGAAAAAACAGTGGAAAAATTATATTTATAAAATTACAGTTTTAAATAACAGCAAAGTCCCTTTAGTGTTAAACTGTAAAAAATTACATTATTTCATTAAAAAAATAAAAATGTATTTTATATTTTTATTAATTAATTATTTAATAATTGCAGATATTCATTGATAAATATCAATCAACACTATAATAACAATGTAAAAACACATTTTTTCAACGTTTAACATATTAAATGCAATTTTTCAATTAACAATTACCAACAGAAGGTAAAAATTAAGAAAATTAAGGCACCATTTTTGCTATTAATAGCATGAAAAAAAATTACATTCAATCCAAACTATAAATTGACCTTAAATTAATTTCTTCTTTAATAAAAACAACTATTTTTCCTCCTAATAAATTTATTTCTTCAGTAAAGAATCTGGGATTCTTGTGGAAAAAAATACTAAAATTTAATCCCAACAACAATACGTATTTTTTACTGTAACAAAACTTGCTTTCTCTGTCAGTAAAATACCAAAATTAAAATAAAGTAAACTTCACCTCACTTAATTGACACGGATATATATAATATCTTCAAACAATCACGCTCTATTTCATATTTTTATTAATTAACTATCAAGAATTGCAGATATTAATTTATAAACATTAACTAACACTTTGATAACAGTGTAAAGACACATTTTTTAAAGTTTAACAATTTTTAAAGAAACTTTTTAATTAACAATTACCAACAGAAGGTAAAAATGAAGAAAATTATAGTACCATTTTTACTTTTTGTATGCTATTAATAATGAAGTTATAGTCCCAAGATTAAATTTGGTATTTCTTCGGGGATTATAACATTTTTTTTTTACAGTAACAATATAAATTTTTATTGTAAGACTACACTGAGAAAAAATTTCTTTTGGAAAATATGGGAATTTTTGTGACAAGAAATTTGTTGGAAATTTTCAACAAATTTACTTCTTAGCTGAAGAAATCAAATTTGTTCTCACAGTAACTTTTTTGTTGAAAAAAAGGTTTTTAAATTTAGAAAAAAAAAAAAATCATTTTTAAATAGACAACTTAAGAATTTTAATTCAAAATTATTTTTCTCCAATTACAAAAGACTTTTTTTCAGCAAGAAAGTTTCTGTAAGAACAATTTTGATTTCTTCAGCTAAAAAATAAAATGATTTAAAAAATTTCTTTTGATAAATATTGGAATTTTTGTGACAAGAAATGTATTGGAAATTTTCAACAAATTTATTTCTTAACTGAAGAAATCAAATTTGTTCTCACAGTAACTTTCTTGTTGAAAAAAAGGTTTTTAGATTTAGACAAAAACAATTTTAAATATACAACTTGATAATTTTCATCCAAAATTGTTTTTTTCCTAAATGTAGAAAACATTTTTCCAAGAAAGTTTTTAACGTGAAAATACTTTATATTCTAGGAGAAAAAATAATTTTTTTTTTTTTTCAGTTTGAAAATGATAATCAAAGATAGAAAAAAAATTTAATGAATACAAATCTTATCACTGAAAACGTTGATATCTACACAAAAAAAATAGCTTGAATCAAGAAAATAATTTTCAAGAACTTTTCTTTAAACTAAGAAATCTCTCTTGGATTAAATAAATTTAACTTAACTAGAAAATCGAGCGCGCTTTGCGCGCTTCTATTAAGATGTTTATTATCGACAATTTAATTAATCAATATTTTAAAAAATTTCAATCATCAATATTTAACTGTTGCCATAGTAACCGTTGCTTATGTGGTTACTATAGCAACGAAAAGCGACAATAATGAAAACAACTTTTTAATAAAGGATTCAAGAATTTCTTCTCTTGATTCAAGTCAATTCTTTGATTATTTTAATTTTTACTAAGACTTTTCAATAATTTACGGACTAAAAATTCATAATAAAATCTTAATTTTCAATTTCAATTATTAACTAATAATTTTTAATAAAAAACAGTTAAAAAAAAAAAAGTAACTAATAATTAAAAAAAAAATACATTCTAAACTCTAAAATTAGGTATTTTAAATTGTAATTATATTTTTACAAGATAAAATCTCAATTATTACAGCAAAAAATGTAATACTTGCAGTTTTTTCTCCAAGGGGCCTTTTTTTACTCAAAAAACTAATATAATTTTTCCACTTGAATTTTTTCCGCGTTATGCGCCAAGTTCCGAATTAATGGAGAGTTAAAAAAAATTTGGTTATATCGATAACGTCGCAGTGTCGATAAATAGTCATTAACGATGGATGCTACATACATGTGATACATTACCGCTGGTTACTTCCTAGTCTCTGACGTCTGTAATTAATTACCTAAATAAATAATTATTTTACGTGACGTTGGAGGCTCCACTAGTTCACTCACGCACTTCACCATTATAAAAGGTTTTTATTGACGATGAATTAATATTTTACTGGATTTATTTTGAAGAACATACTTTATAATTATAAATTATAAATTAATAGAGAGGAAAGATATTATTAATATGACGAAGCAATGAGGCTAGGGGTGAATGCTTACTTAATTAATTAATTAAGTTAATTACCGATTTACGATTAATCATTATTTAGTTAGTATTTTATTGAATAAATAATTAAATGAATTGGAAAGATAAATTAAATGTAATCTTCCTCTCCTGGACACCCTCGTACTTACCGACCCTACCTAAGGATAATATAAATCTAAATCTAAATTTACATTAATTAATTACCCTTAATAAACTGTACATACCAATTGTAAAAAAGGAGTTTTTATTACTTATTTTTAACCTTTTAATATTTATTTTTAAGGTCCTTTAGTGGTAGATATATTTAAAAAAAATTGAAAAAAAATAAAAATACTTATTATATTATTATTTCGACTGTATTTATGGCAATTTAAATTAAATGTACATTTATAGAGTAAGATATTGATTAATATAATTAAATTAATTATTTGTTAACGTCAAAAAATAAATAATAAATTATTTAAACATTTTTTGTCGTTTTTTATTAATCAATTTTTTTATGTTTAAATTCCTTAATTTTTTTTTTTAAAATAATTTTAAGATAATTTATAGTAGCAATCTATTGGAAAATTCGGGCTCGAACTCCAACACTAGCGGCGGTGCGAGTTGGACTCGGGTTGATGGATTGACCCAGAGCGATTCATCAGAGGCATCGTTGACGTCTTTAACAAACGTAAGCAGCACGAGTGGTGGTATGAGTGGGGTTGGAGGCGGTAAAAGTTTTCCGGCATTGCCTCCTAAACCCCCGAAGCGAGGAATCCTCAAAGGATCGCGTAGCAATATTGCCAGTATGAGTGGAACAAGTACTGAGGGCTCTAGCGCAATGTCTAATGGAAATGAATGCGAAATCAATCATTCTGATCCGAGTAACTTACTCGTGAGGAATACGCTTCAAAATGAAGTAATTACTTATCAAAATCTTCCCTGTCAGCAGCAGCAACAGCAGCAGCAGCAACAGCAGCAGCTGGAGAAAGATGAGTTTTGCAGCGAAGAAGAGTCCTCGTCAAACTACTATCACAACTATAATCAACATCATCACAATCAGAGTGACTCGAAGCTTTTACAAGTAATTACAAGTGCCAGCCCCTCTGCTGACTCATTAACAGACACAACAAACTCAAGCTTTGCGACTCCACCCTTCAGTCTCTCCCCGGTTGGAGAGTCTCAGGGTTTTTCACGCTGGAGATCCTCCAATTCTTTTGAAGAGCAAGGCATTCCTCTTCCATTACCTCAAATTATTTCTCTGGTACTTCCCGAGCCTCGGGAGTTGACAATTCAGCGGCAACTACCGCCAAGAAATGACTTTGGTTTTTCATTACGCCGGGCGGTTATAATCGATCGTACTTCGAGTGGCTCAACGCAAAATATCAAGTCCGTTATATTCGCCGAGCCCGGTGCTATTGTTCAAAATAATAATGATACTGGCTTATTGCCCGGCGATCGATTGATTGAGGTCAATGGTATCAATGTTGATAATAAATCCCGAGAAGAAATTATTGATCTTATCAAAGGATCTGGAAATAATGTTGTTGTCAAGGTAATGATAATTAAAATTATTGTAAATATTTATTATCTTTTTGAGGGTATTAATTCTTGAATTATTTTAGGTGCAACCAGTTGCTGAGTTGTCGGAATTATCTCAGCGAGGAGGACTAGATGGCAGACAAATAGAATTAGCTGCTGCTAATATTCAATGTGGAACCCTTCGACGGTCTGGTAGTTCACGATTTCATCAAAACACGGTAAATAATAGTTATCATTTATAATATACTATTAAAAATAATGCCTCGAGAATTAAATATTTTTTTTTTTCTGGTAAATATTACAAGGCTGAAAAGTAAAAGAGACCGTATATATTATTACTGTGAGATAAATGTTATGCGAGCGTGTTAATTCATTTATTACGTTAAAATTTACTATGTTGAACACCGCCAGGCATGTAATACTGTAAATTAAAAATAATTTTTTAGCAATATATATCTATACTGTCTCGTTAACAAGTAACAACTCGGTGCGTTACCATATGGAGAATATGGTATTCAAATAACGGTGTATCTCACCTACTTCTACAAAGCGTGTACGTAGATGCACTTCTGCTAGTATAACTGAGGAAGGGAGGTGAGAGACCTTTGCTTAGTGGGTATGAAAGCGCACAACTACCATACCTCAATGTGTTTCAGATTGTAGCAATTGTAGCATGTTAAGGAATGGAATAATCGAGTAAATGGTAATCACATAAGTATATCATTTTTTAATTCAAATTACATACGGATCTTAAATATCACGCCAAAGCTAAAGCTAAAGACCTCATTGCATAATTTATTTATTTTTTTTCCGTCGATCATCAATTAATTATTTAAATAATTAAATTAGCAACCTTGCAGTCACTATGTGACTGCCGTGACTCGTGAACTATAAATAAATAAAATTTCGCTTAATTAAATAGTGATTTTTGTTAAATTGTACTGTACTTTCTTAAATATTAACCTTTTTAAAGATATAAGCTCATCCCGATGTTACATTCATCAAGAGCTTTCATTTGAGTACCCACATGCATTTTCATATATTTTTCATATATACATATATATATGATATATATATATATATATATATATAAATATATGAAAAATTGATGTGGGTACTCAAATGAAAAGTCTCGATGAGTGTAACATCGGGATGAGCTTATGGTTAATTCATTAAATTAGAACTAAAAAATATTTTTAAAAAATTGCACTTACAGTTTTTAAAGTTTTTTACAAGTGAAATTTTTCTTTTAATTTTTTTGTAATAATTTTTTCAATAAAAAGAAATTCTAAAAATTTTTAAATGTCGGCCAACTTAATTTTCATAACTTCAGTGTCATAATAAATAATATATATTAAAAAAAAGTACCTCGTCAAGTCTTAGCAATTCTTCAGCAGACATACTCCCTCTGTCACGTTTTTTTACATCCTTACGCTCCTTCTTTTCCCGTTTTCGTTTTTCTTTTTCATCTTTCTCCGCGGTTTTCTTCATAAAGTTAAACATTTTCCTCTTCACAATAAGCCGACAAGATAAACTTTAATCACTACCGATTACAAAAGCGTATTTTTATAAATGATCTTTTAATATACACCGAGTATACTAATAATATTAGACATTTCATTGAATACAAAAGGATTCAATGACCAACGTACCGTTTCTTTCGTCTTTTTTTTCATTTCCTCACAATCATAAATAACAAATTCTCACTTATTACTACAAATGTTTCTTTCCTTATTGCTATTTATTCTTTACATCTTCTGATATGCAATCATAAATATATTAACTCAGCTAAGCTACATTAGAAAGTATAAATTCTAGTGACTGCCATTTATTTAAAGCTTGCACAAATTGTCTTTTTTTTTTTTTTTTTTTTTTTTTTTTACCGCATATAAATATTTAATCTTTGGAGCAAATTGATAAAGAAATTTTTTTATCTATGGTATTTAATAATAGCCCATCCCATTTGTCCTACAAACATTGTTAGGTGATAAAAATATATCAATAACAATCAAGCTAACGCTGTTGACTTAATAACCTAATATTTAAATATTTGTCAACTTTTTTTTTTTTCACTAAAACATTTTTACTTTCATTAATAACTTAAATATTAGTTAACATATTTTTTTAATTAAATTGATCATTTAAAAAATACTCAACCACTGTATAAATATATGATGATATTTGTTATTATTTATAATATAATAATGCAATGTCTCGGCATCGACATAATTTAATTTTCGGCCGGCATTATTTTACACCACTGTCAATAATATTTTAACAGACGTTACTTATTTATAAAACAATAAAGCTGATACTTTTTTAACAAGTAATCGGACACAGATTGTGATAAATAAACGTCGACGAAATAAACACAAGGGTATATGTGTATATATTATGTATGTATATAACTTGTGATAACTGAAATACCGTAATAAGTAGTAGCCTGTAGTATATATATTTATTCATTTTTTTTTTTTTCGTCAAGACCACATTCTTTGATAACTAGCAGTCACACACTTATTTGATGATACAATTAAATAGCTGTGCCTTTTTGTTATATTTTTGGTTTATGTTAATTAAATAGCTTTTTTACGTGCATTTATTTCCACAAATATGCGGTTAAATGCAATGATAGATTAGAGTTATCACGCAGTTTACTGCTGCTCGAGCAGCACAACTCGAATAACTGTCATGGCGCAGCAGTATTACACGCACACTAATGTTAACTTAATAAAATACGCACATGCGCACACACACCTGGGCAATTATCACAAACATATTTGAACGTAAATACCAGACCAAGTGTTTTTTTTTTTTGTTTTAATTATTATGCATAATTTTTATTTTTAAATTGGAATGAAAAATTATTTATTAAAAAAATTTTTTATGAAAATTAAATCAGCTGACATCGGAAAATTTTATTGAAAAAAAATAAGAGAAAAAATTTGACAGGTAGAAAATTAAAAAAAAAATTCTAAGTGCAATTTTTTAAAAATATTTTTTTACTTTTAATTTTTATTGATTTAAAAAATTGTCAAATGTCTGCTAATTTTAATATCATAATTTATTTTTTGCAAGTATGAAATTTAAATTTATTTACGTAATATTTTAATTATTTACATTGCCTATTGTAAATTATAAAAAAAAAAATACATACATACATACAATAATTAACAGAATAAATATATATCTATAAATTAAACAAATAATTTTAATATAAATTTTGTTTCAAAATAGTTATACAGATAAAAATAATATAAAATTAATTAAGACAATATTTAGACAACAGTACAAACAATTTTAATAATTTACAATTATTTTTTTGTAAAAATTCCGACACAAAAAAATTATTATCAAATTTAAGTAAGCAATTTTTTATTATATAATTATTTATTGTTTAATTATAAATTTATGAAATTTTTGTGTCATGAAAATGAATAAATTAAATATTAAAATCTTTGATTTTTACAGTGAGACATTTTTTTATGAGCTTATAAATAGGCACATTTAAACCCTTAGAGTGAATTTGTACAGATTAATAATTGTAATAGACATATTAGTACAAAAATAACTAGTATAGTGATATATATTGTGTGTAAAATACTATCCTTGTAAAAGCACCATCAGCTTATTTGTAGGCCTTTTGGAATGTTATAACATTAAAAAGACTTTAAATAATTCATATCGACATTTAAATTCATATTTTTTTCAATTTTTTACTAAATATAGTTTTACGGTATATAAATTAATGTGTACTTTCATTGAGATTTATTGCTGCATGATAAATAAAAAATGTCCTAATTCAAAAATAAACTTTAAAAATTACCCAATATACAAAATAAAAAATACAATTATTAAAAATAATAATTCTAATCATAATTAATATTATTATTCCTACCGTGTCTTTGTAAAAAGAAGGCCACTAATAAATTATCTAATAATAGTGACAACTATATCGACGTTTTAGCTTTTACAGCGTGTACTAAATAACAATGTATCACTTAAAAATATTTAAAACAACTAAAGTATCTAACAATCCAAAAAGTCTATTAAAAAATAAATATTTGTGCTTATATATATTTATATAAATTCTATTAGCCTAAATAGCGTAGGTAAAAATTGTAAAATTTTATTGAAGTATAAATTTGCTATTAAAATTGTCTGAGAAAATAATTAAAACCTCAGACATTTTCTGGTTTATTAGAAGAAGTTAACGCGAATTTTGAAGCCTCTGCTAATTCTGTTAACAATAATGTCTCGCCATCGAGTTCCAAGGAAGATCTAATATTACCACTAATACCTTGTCGACTGCTGCCTATACTCTTAACAAGTTTTCTCATAGCTTTATCTCTCCGCTGTTTAATTCTCTCGCTCTTAAGCCGGTTGAAGTCATCATCAGAATTAGAAAAGTGACTGCCTTGAGATGAAGATGAAGATCTGACACTTAAATTATCCTGAATGTGTTCTTCTATTGGTCCTTCTGGATTGTCGATCGGAGTATCCGAAGCAGGACTACCTCCTATTGGTAATCCCATAGAATTGTTCACGGATCTTTGAGGTCTGTACAAAATAATTAATTTAAATTAATAAATTAATAAATTAAAAAAAAATTCAATTTAATTACATAATAAATAAATTTACCTGACATGATGAGGCCTAGCACCTCCAACGGGTGCACTAACTGACAATAAATCATGATGACGATTTTTGTAAGACGGAACATCAACTGGAGCGCTGGGAGGAGGAGCTCCAGAAGCAAAGATACTTTGAACATGAGGACGAGGTTCTCCAGCGCGTATCGACTGGATAGTCATCTGCTCATCAACTTCCTCAATGGCTCCAAATCCCATTCTTGTAGAGCCACCAGCAGCAGGAACGCCGCTCATGCGATTTTGCAGTGAAGCAGATGAACCTGAATTAGGAATTCTTCCAGGTGTCTTACCCGCATTGCCATCAGGCCTGTCTTCCTTGCTGAATAATCTCTTTAAGACACTAGTGACGCTGTTGACGCGAGGGAGAGACTCACCAATATTACTTGCCGTAGAGCCACCACCATTGTAACGATCCCGGTTGCTGATTCTGCTAGCACTCCTGGACATCTTCGAGTCAGACATGAAGTGTATTCCTGATATAGCGTCATCTGCTACATCACTACGGAATTTATTGTAGGGTAAATCGGACGGTGGGTTCATTTCATCAATTCGCACTGAGGACGGCTGTAATTCTTGTTGAGCGGCTGATAATTGAATACCAGCGGTTGAAGGTACCGGATGTTCCTCACGGAACGGCTCTGCTGCTGCTGTATAAGGCAACTCAATAGGAAACACTTCGTCCCAATACTGGTCACGAATCAATTCAGGGTGATCGTGATGCATTTCATCGACGATTAAATAACTGACTTGTAAATTTCTATCGACTATCCAATTGACCTCAAAATCATCGTCGTCTTCGCCGAATGGGTTTATCAAAGTCTCAGCGACTTTTAGCCATCCCATGTAGAAAAAAAATTGCAGAGTCGTGAAGAAGGGAAAGTAGAGATCTATGTTGGAAATATTTGATAATTTTTGCTCTGATTTTGTAGTCTCAACCCACTGACGGCCCATCACTGTTGTGAGGAAATACGAATACACTGCTATTGTGACGACTTGCGTGTAAACAAGCGGCACTGAAATAGTATCGTAGTGAATCAGCCTTCCGCAATTCCCGCGGAATTTATTCAATTCATCGATCAGAGTTTTAACAGCAAAGTCATCTCTAATGCGGCCTTCTTTTCTAGCACGTGTTACTATACTCGAAGCCCAGACTATTGGGAGCCAGTGTTTGCTCGGCTTCGGAAACTTCATATTTAAATTTTGGAAAATTACTAACTCATTTTCCAATAACAGACCGGCGTCGACAAAGTGGTCGAGAGTTGGAAAACGTTTTTTCACTCGTGGTGATATGTTTGAAAGAACTAATGTCAGACATACACACACGTACCTGTGGAAAATTTTTAATTTAATTGTATTGACAAATTACATTGTTAACATCTATTGTTGTTTTTAGTTGTTGGACATGTTATTTACATACCTGACAATTGTACGTCTCATAAGTCTTCCTCTCTCGTCGTTACCGTGAATGGTAGCCGACACAAAGACGGCAATTGAGTCAGGCCACGGAATAGCCATATATTGGTTCCACCATCTAGTCATTACGATACTCACATAAAAACCAAGCACAAAAGACAATGGTATGAGATCACTGTATTCATTGCAATAAGCAACAACTGATTCAAATTTTCTTTTTGCCTCTTCATTAAGCGCAAATCGATAAATTATTGACAGTGTGTAGTAAATTGTGAGAAAGAGCAACAGATCGATGTATACAAGTTTGTAAATACTAGCTCGCCATCTGTAAAATAAAAAAAAAAAAAATTGTTATTGAAATAATTAAGTGTTAATGTATCATTGGAGACATAATTGTACTTGAGAAAATCATTCAAAATAATTGTCTTGATTCGTTTAAAAAAAAATTATTACGCAAACGCGGAATTGTTTGCTTAGGAATTATTTTCTAAGAATTTTACAATAATAAAAATATAAAAGAATAATTAATTTACCTGAGTAACAATTTAAGAAAACATCCTAAGCCTCTACATGTGGCTACTTCAGCAGTGTATGTCACAGTCATTTTTTTGCAGTATAAAGCTTCGCAATTAGCATTAAATTTTTAGTCAATAATTAACAAATCTTATGTTTAATATATATTTTTAAAACTTAAATTATTTAATAATATTGACCATTATTGTCTTAATAAAAGTTAATTATCACAATATCAATTTATCAATTATATTAATAAAAATAAATTCTTAGAATTGTGTAGTTTAACAACTGAGTAATTAAACATATCAATTTCTTCATTAATAACAACTCACAGCGAATTTTTCCATCAACAATTTTCCTTTAGTAGATATAAATATTAGTAACATTGGAAGATATGTCTACAGCCATTATTTTTTATTCATACCATGCAATTACACTTAGCACGCACATATGACTTGATATCTATCAGTCAGTTAGTCGTGCAAGGTAACTTGAATCATCAATACTTGCAATGTTTCAATCTTAGTATTTTTTTTTTAACTTAACAAATTATCTTCTTTGATATAAATATATATATATATATATATATTATTTGTCTTGACAATAATACTGACTTTATTTAAAATATTTATTCACATATCTTCAATACATATGAGAATAATTATGCACCGTCTTCTATTTACGTGTATTGCTTGTGCTCGCTAATTATTTATGATTACAATCACTCTTAAAAAAATAAAATTCAAATGTTACACAATTGTTCTCTCGAAGGAGCTCAGTTTATATCTGGCACTTTTGACTCTTTTCATCGCCCTACTTACAATTGTCAACCAAGTATTCTTCAATAACGTATATTATTAAAGTGTACATGTATCTTAGTAAGTTAAATTTATTATTAAACACACAAAACTTCGATATACATTATTTGTCATAAATCCAAGAATTCTTTCGCATGATTAATCTCGTGACGATAAATAGAAGAGTCTCGTGTTTGCTAAGCAGCGCTTACTTCTGAAATAAAAAACAAAATCTAATTAAACGGAAATATTGACATAAAAAACAACTATTTAATAGTTAATGGTGCATTAAAAATTTGTTGACAACTAACATTTGTGTTATTATGTCAATCGATTATGCAAAAACCAGAGTAATGTGCACCAATAACAATCGAACTCATACAACAGTAATATAAGCAGAGACTATAATAATAATAATAATAATAATAAATAACAACTCCTTAAGTTACTATTGCTATGATAGTAACAAAATAATTAAATTCTATGGCAACTATAATTTTAGCAGTCACTTGACAATTTTATTAGACAAATAAATGTATTTTTTAATTTAAAAATGTCAATTCTTTTTCTCATAATTTATTTGTTAAAAAAATTCATTAAAATTAATTCAGCAGATATTTATTAAATTTTAATAATTTTTTTTAATGAATAAATTATGGCAAAAAAATTGACATGTAGAAATTTTAATAAATTAAAAATGCAATTTTTTAAAAATAATTTTTTGGAGCACATTTGTTTATTAAAAAAATTTTTAAGTGACAGCTAAATTAATTTTCATAACTGTAATTTATAAAATATAAATTTACTTACTTATTTTTTTTATTAATAAATTTTTTATCAAAATATTTAGGCCGTAATACTGTTATCAAGTCATCGTTGTAGATGAATTTAATCTTTATAGTTGGAAATTAAGTGACATAGACACTGTACTATAATAACCATTTTATAAGTGATAAAGATAAGCGTAGTCGTTGTCGAGTGACACAGAAATTTGAGTTTGCCTTAATATAAATGATAGTTATAAATTTATTATTATTTTATCATATTTACTTAGTATCACATATCATGTTTTAGCGGTTATCCAGGGAAATAATTTTTAAAATAATAATAAAAAACACACACATGCATATCAATACCGCGTAATGTACAGGTAAGTAATTACGTAAACCAGACACACTGTTATATATTATTAAACACAAGGTATAACCCAAAATATTAAATAATATATATAACCAGGTATTGTGTCAGGCCAGACAGCGTGTCAGGTGACAACGATTGGTGATCGTGTGTGGTAAACTCTCCGATCCGAGGGCAGTAACGGACTGCAGCTTATTCAACGGGTATATACATATATATTGTGTATATTACTTGTGGTAGGTATCAACATTGATACATATACTTGTACGCTCACGGAATAAAGAGAAAGAGTAAGAGGGAGGATATATCCTGCAGCACTTCGTTCTACGAATACGTGATTCGTATCCCCCACAACGCTGTTACGACCCTCTACTACACAAAAGACTGCTGTTGTTATTATTATCAGTGTTTTATCAATCACGTGTTTCTGCGCAGCTTGTTTCTGTGTTGGATTGACACTCCATATGTTTTTTCGCACACCTCAACCGGGTTTCTTTAAATAAGCTTTGTTATTTCTTCTGAAGTAATGATACTGAAGTTGATGAAAATTAAATTAGCCATATTGAATAATGAAATTTAAATTAGCAGTCACTAGACAATTTTTTAATTTTATTTAACAAAAAAATTTGTTGCAAAAAATTATTTTAAAAAAATTGCATTTTATTTATTTTTTTTTTTTAATTTTTACATGTCAATTTTTTTTTTTTTTTTTATATAATTTACTTGTTATAAAATTATTAAAATGATTAAATATATGCTAAATTAATTTTTATTTTTTAATAAATAAATTATGAAAAAAAAATTGACATGTAGAAATTTTAAATGCAATTTTTTAAAAATATTATTACTTTTAATTTTTATTAATAAAAAAAATAATTAGTCTTCTAATTTTAATATGATCTGAGGTTGACAGATATTAAATTTTTTAAATAATTATACAACAATAAAAAATTGACAGCTGTCAGCTAACTTCAGTATCATTCAGAAATTCAAACTAATATTGTCAGATTTAATTATTCTTCTAATATAAATAATTATAATTTAATTCTAAGTAATATTAATGAGTAAAACATAATATTTTTACTCAACTAAAATAATATTTTATAATAAAGTATCAGTTACACTCTGGTTTATCATGAGACTGACATAAAAAAATGAGAGGAATAGATAAAAGAGTTAAGATAATTACAAACTATTTTTATTATACACTTTAATATATATATATATATATATATATTTATATATTTTAATATAAATTATAAATCACAAAAATTATTTCATTTATTTTTGCTATTTAATGTATCATTGAATGTACAAATATATTAATGCTTTACAAAAAAATAGATACATATGTTCAACAGTAAATAAGAGAGATATTTATTTAATAAGTCGTTGATTTTCATTAATATTTAATAATTATGCAGTGTACATATTTTCTACTCGTATTAACTAATTAAGCATTTTTATTAATCCCACTTTTGGCTCGAACACATATATGTATGTTCTACATCTACAACACTGTACAAATGTGTCCATTTGATATTATATTATTAAGATTGTATTTATTTATTAAAATACTTGGTCCCTTCCGTATAACAATAGTCACAGCCAATAAATGCAATTAATTGTAGACCACAATTACAAGGCCACTTTTTACTTATTATTATTATCATTGTTATTTTATATATCTTTTTAATATAATATTCATTGATTACACAATTATGATATTGATGAGAATAAAATGATCGCATGTAAAGAATGATTTGTAATTTTAAGAACAATATTAGTAATAGAAAAAAAAAAAAAAAATAAATAAATAGATTTATTAAAAATAATCTTAGCACTTTTCTTCCGTACAAATCATCTAGGTCTTACTTACTATTACGTCTGTCCGCGAAATTATCTTTGTAGATACAAAAATCATAGACGCTCTTTATAAGTATTTAATAAATTTAAAAAATAAATAATAAAATTAATTATTTGATTTCTTTAGAACGCTAAATAAAATTTTTTATAAAATAATTTAGCACCAATTAATTTGTATTATATCTAACAAAATTTTTTTAGCGTTCTAAAAGTCTTATAATTATAATTGGTCGATGCTTTAAAATTAATAGATTAAAAATAATTAAATTAGTGCTAATAAAGGTTAAAAATTATTCATCTGATCCCTTAAATTAATCTATGCGACAATAGTGGTTAGTGGATTATTTATTTCAGGTCTAACTTCGGTTTTTGGAGTTGTATTTTGCGAAGAACGTGAACCACTCGCAAGGATACCGTTCGCTTCCGAAAGACGACTGTGATTACTCTGAGTAGTCATAGTAGCCGATGTAAGCATCGTTGTAGTCGTTGTGATATCATGCTTCATTCTAGATTGAAGCTTTGCTCGAAGTATCACGTCCGGAGCGATTGTATTTTTTAATATTATGTACAGAAACCTAATTTAAAAAAATGAGTAAAAATTAAGAATATTTTAAATTCAATTAAAAAAAAAAAAAAAAAAAAAAAAAAAAAAATAATTACCTTGGTAAAATAGCAAGTACTGCAGTAAGTATCACTGTTAACCAATACGTATGACGTGTAAGAGCTTTTGGCATTATCCAGTACGAGCCAGGTAAGCCCATTAGATTTTTAAAGGCAATATTGTATATAAGAGCAAATCCGAAAAAAATTCCGAAAGAACCTACGATTGTGGCGACATGTATGATTGTCTGAAATAATAAATAAATTAATTTCAATAAAAAAAAAAAGAAGTAATAAAAATAAAAAAAATATTTACCCAAGATTTGAATTCTAAGGACGCTTGAATAAGCATAACAATTATGCAAGAGGTAGTTATTGTTAATCCAAACTCCCAGATATCCACTTCAGAGTCATGATAAGCCTATTAGTGATAAAAAAAATAATAAAATTAATCATTAATTACTTGTAAGTATATAAAAATAAGAAATAAGATATTGAAATAAAAAAATTTACCGCTTCCGCTACAAAAAAGATAACAATACTCTGATAAAATGCATCGGCGGTTGTATACCAAAATGAATAAGATTTATAAATAAGTCCAAGTCTTCCTCGAGCGTAAAGCTCTGGGTATGATAATAAAATATTAGCAGGAGCTATTCTGTCGTAAACTCCAATCGCCAAAGGAGGCAGTGAGGTAAATAATAAATTATAAAGCATCAGGTACACTTGATCAATCATTACTGCGCCGGAGAAGCCACAGTACATCTATTAAAATAAATCGAAATTTGTAACTTTAATTAATATTAATTAGATAGAAAAATTAATTAATATTGCACGTACTTGATACCAAAAAATAAGAAAGACAAACATTGCATTTTTGTAGAAAAAATAAAGGATCATTCGTGCAAGTCTGTCGTAACACCAGTGTCCGTGTAGAAGAAGTAATCGCGTGAGCATAGGAAATCTCGCAATGGCAAAATCGGAAGCCATCACGGCTTGTGTTCCTTCTCTCCCCGATATTCCGACACCAACATCTGCTGTCTGGATCATACTCACATCATTGGCACCGTCACCTATCGCTAATGTTCTAACAGACAATTTTTCCTTAACAATTTTAACTATGTAAGCTTTCTGCAGCGGTGTGGCGCGACAAGCCAGTACACTGGAGCAGAATTGCGTAAGCTCCAAAAACGGAGCCGTGAGTCCTGACCTAGGATCTAAAATAAACGTCAGAGTCTTTCCGTCGACCACCAGAGCTCTTTTTTGTTGCTGCTCTGGAACATCATCTTCGCTCATATGAATGGCTTCCAAAAAACTACGTATTAAGTTTTCAGTTATTGTTTTAGACCTCGCGTGAAGTCTCAGCAATTGCATTGAAGGGGTAAAAAGTCTCGCTGAGTATGAAATATTTACTGCTGTTTCTGGTTTATCACCAGTCAGTACCCAGACGACAATTCCTGCACTTATAAGAGTTGCTATTGCCTCAGGTACTCCTTCTTGTAATTTATCTTCAATGCCCGTAGCACCAACAAGTTTTAAATTAGACTCCAAAAGTGAGTAACACTCACGTATTTTTTTTTCCCTATTCTCACTGGCCGACAATTCAGCTTCCACATATTTCTGTTTCCACAAATCGAATTCACTTTCAGTGAGCACTCGTTTGCCCATCGCAAGGGTTCTTAAACCTTGACGACCGTACGTATATAATTGTTGTCGTATTTTAACAACACTTGCCGACGATTCCTCGTCATTAGCTTCAACACCTTCAGCCAGTGATGACAATACCGTTGAATCAGCTCCCTTGGTGTACAACAATATTTGATTTGTAAGAGGATGACGTACAACAATAGACATACACTTTCTCGTTGAATCAAACGGCAATACGTGCAAGATTTCATACGTAAGTGTTGATTTATTTGGCAGTGATATAACAACGCTCTTACACGTTCTGTTTATCAATTTAATATTATAAGCTTTTGCTGCATGAACGAGCGCTAACTCATCAGGACTTTCAGCCTCGTAAATACGTGGCTGTAAATCCGCTTGATAGCCATAAATTGTTTGAGCATCGGTATTCGATAGCGAATTAGTACTATCATACTTAACTTCTTCATCTATAGGCGAGTGTTTACGTAAAAGCATTCCGGATATTGTTGCAATGTTCAATAATTTACGTCGGAATATTTTGTTGGATACATTTAAAGACAAAGGCCTTTCAAATCTTAATGAAGATGTGGATATTGTTGTGGTTGTGGTTGGTGTTGTTGCTGCTGCTGCTGCTACTGTTGCATTATCCTGACTAAAATCGTTAAATGAGGTAGATAGAGGCAGTGCCGACAACGGTATCATCGTCGACAAATGTGTCTGTTGTGACGATGTTGGTGGCTGTGAAGCTAATGATGATGAAGACGGCGCGGTTGTGTTTAATATTTCTAATCTTTTTAATCTATTGTATTTGATCGGTGATACTTCGTCAGACTCAGCGGGCTCTTCATCCACTGTTCCATTTGAATTCATCGAATCATGATGTGGAATTGTATTCACTACAACTGTGTTGCAAATAGCGAGAAGAATTAAAAATTCTTGAAGCCTATGACGGGTGTTTCCGATCAATAAATCTTCTTTTAAACGCGTACACACTAAAATATTTTCATCCTCCCCATCGTGGTGGTAATCATACCCGTCACCTATTGTACATCGTCTAAATATCATTTTATTTTCTGTAAGTGTTCCTGTTTTATCGGAAAATACATATTGAATTTGTCCTAATTCTTCGGTTATATTCAAAGCTCTGCATTCAGTTTTTTGTTGGGTTTCTTCATCAAAAAGCCCAACGTCATGTCCGATATGATAAACTTGACCGACTTTAGCCATTTCCATTGTTACGTACAAACTTAAAGGTATCATTACTTGTAATATAATGATAAAAGTACCAAAAGATATTATTCCTTCAAAAATAGAACTCCGGGATATTGATAAAAATGGTATTGACATTGTTGAAGCCACGTCACTGCTGATTATTGATAGCCAAACTCGACAGCCAACTGCTCCGATGACACACAGCAGCAAAAGAATTACAACACACCATATGATATCTGTATTCATTTTTCTTTCTAGTCGCGATCGTTTGTACCTCGGTCCTCCGTTGTTCAGCATTGCTTTAGTCTCATGACCTGCATAAACGACAATACCTTCAACGTAGTCTGTATTTTTTAACAAACATTCTCGCAATAATAGATTCTCTGTTGTGACTGATACTCTGGTGCCATCAGGATGTACCACTGCCCCATAAAATCTGCAAAAAAAAATATTTTTTCTCTATTAATTTTATCAATAATCAATCGATAATCATCTATATTATTAAAAGAATAAGAAAAATTTTTGTGGCCAGTGTATTTGCTGGAAAATGCTTGATCTCTAGATACATAATTGAGAAATGACCTAACCGTGTACTTGTGAACTATTGACATTTTTAAAGATACTAGAAATTTGAATAGCGCTCTACGCGCGCGCCTAAATTTTAGCCAATAATGAATTGTGGCCCGTTTTTTGCGAGTTTCGACCTTTGACTAACTTCAAGACTTTCATGTATTTTAATTAAAAGGATAAGCTCATCCCGATGTTACACTCATCAAGACCTTTCATTTGAGTACCCACATCAACTTTTCATATATTTATATATATTATATATATATATGTATATATGAAAAATATATCAAAAATGCAAGTGGGTATTGATGAGTGTAACATCGGGGTGAGCTTATATCTTTAAAAATGTCAATAGTTAAAAAAATACAGTGCATTTTAACAAAAGTAATTATTTTAATAAAGCAAAATTTTATTTATTTATAGTTCACAAGCCACAGCAGTCATATAGTGACTGCAAGATTGCTAGTATAAATTATTTAAGCAGTCAATTTATCTTACCTATAAATTTTAGTCGTCGGTGCATCAATTTCAACTACAGAGCGAAATTTTGAAGGTTGGAATGAATTTTGGTGATTTAAAAATCCACGGACTACTTGACGTTGCTTAAGATTTGTCTCTCCGTCAAGATTACAAGTGTCCAAAAAGGCAAATCCTTGAGGATCACTGCTCCTAAGTAAGAGAATGTCTGCCGGTACAACTTCATTGTTTGATAAATGGACAATATCTCCAACTTTGATGTCTTTCCAGGCTACCTTGGCATATCGGTCAACTTCACTGTAAACAAAATTTTTATTATGTCTAAGTAATATCTCCATAAAAAAAAATAAATAAACATAATAATATTGTTCCAACATTCATAATTTAAACAATGATTATTGCGCCAGATTATCATTGATTTATTTTTATTCTTACATGTAAATATTGATGTCTCACAAATACTATCATTTAATACACTTGTACAACAAATAGAAAAAAAAAAAAAAAGTGGAGATGAAATTTACCGATAAAAATACAGCCAATAGTAAATCTAATAAATAATTATTGCTTGTATATAAAATCAATAAAGGTCACCACTTGTGAGAACACGGATTAGGTCTTAAGAAATTTCTGAACTTGATTAAATTTTATTGCACGCTATATATTGTATTCTATACCCGCGTCAATAATAACAGTATACAATATATAATAATACGCCTACTTACCTAAGGTATACACGACACATTGAATTGTTAACTCGTCGATCGCTGGCTAATCTCCGACGGTCTTCAAAAAAGTCTTTTACTGCCGTGACACCCAAAACAAATAAAACCGGGATCATGGCTATCTCTTTTCCAAATGCATTAATAGCCGGTACCCAGTTTAATAATACAATAAAAATGAAATACAAATTAGCAACCCGATGGAATTGCTCCAGTAGATTGCGTGGCAAGAAAGATAGCAATGTATACTTAGTTGTTCGTACCCTGTAAATAAAATATTGATTTTTAATAAATAACAATTGAAGTTGATTGAAATTAATTATTAGAAAACAAATAAATGTAATTGCTGATGGTCTATTTAATCTTTCCGTCCGTTCCGTAGATAGCATTTAATGTGGGAGTGTAAAAATCGAATTCTATGACCTTATAGATTTTTCCTGGTTGTTAAATAGTTTATTTAACAACCCGTCAGTTTAACTACTAACTATTGAACAGATTACTTAAAGAACTTTTTTAATTATTTAAAGTAAATATCGACAAGTTGATTCACGTAAAATAAGAATGGATTTTTTTACAACAAAATTAAAAAAAAAAATTGTAGCCTTTGTTACATTATTTTAAACTTCAATGTTAAGGTTGAGCATTTTATTTCTAAATGTTAACATGAGTGACATACGTCATCTAAAAGCTAAACGGTGTTAGTACATCACGGCTCATTTTTCTTTATCACCAGCAATTTGTGCGATAACTATTAAAATGGATCACGCATGAGGTATAATAATAATAATAATAATAATAATAAATGTAGCGTATTAGAATGTATAATGTGTGAATATTTTATAATAAATATAGGATAAAAAACAGAATAAATATATTACCTATTATCAACACGAGCACCATTAGGATGCTGATCTAATGGGGTTTTTACTGGTACAAGGTGATTAGGCACAATAGTTCTCAGTCGGGATTCTTCTTGTGAATTAAAAGAACCAAAACAATGGGCACATATTCGCCTCCACAAAGGTGGAGCAGCGGATCGTCTTATCGTATAAATAGACTCTGATCTGAAAAAGTAAAATATGATAACTAAAAGAAGAAAAAAAAAATCATAACAATAATATATATTAAAATAAAAAGTTATCAGCGTTTAATATGAATTTATTATCTCAGTTGCGGCTCATGAATATAAATGAATAGACTGACACATACCTAGAAGCTTGTCTCGCGTGACCCCGAAAAGATGGTGTCTTAGTAGCAGCATTGCCACCGACCCCAATTGATGCTGATCTTGGTTCATCGCGATGTCCCGGAGGCAATATAAAGTCTGTTTTCGAGCCAACTCTACTGTGCCCCGTCACCTCCGAGGACTGATTTTTAATATCAACTACTTGACCCTGTGAGAATGCTCTCTGATGCCCGGGTTTCTTCAGCGCCGACGGGCGCATTGCTCCCGTTACTGATGAGGTCACTGGTATATTTGGCAATGGACCCGACAGATTCATTGACTGTTGGCAAGCTGTTGCCGAAGGCGCTAAAACTCCAGCGTGGCTTGCTGACCTGGCGTGGGTTCTTAGCACCAGTGACGGTGCGTAACGTCGGCCTTTTACCAGGTCGCCACTTTCTTCCGAATCGACAACGTCCTTTACCCATGACAAAGTTGACGTCATTATTGCGGGCAGCCTCGTTGCTGGTGGATTTAATGCGGGTACACGACTCGCCTCCTCGGGGAACACGTACAGTGAACCCTCTTCTGTCTTCTCTACCTCCTCGTACTCTGCCTTCATCCTGCTTTCGGACATACTTGTACATCTACAAATAAATAAATAAATTTAATAAGTATGGTGACATTATTTATTCTACAGTTATATTTCATTTTTAACTTTTAAGAATAACAATTATATTTAATACAATCGTGTTATAATTTATAGAGCATTCATTAATTAGAAATGGGGCTGTATTATTTTCCTTGACCTCTTTTAAGTAGTCGTTTTTTATTTTTTTTTTTTTTTACATCACGATTTTAATACTGATACAGACTTTTTGTTGAAATAAATTTTAAGTGTTTAGAAGTTATTGTACTAAACTAAACTCTGATAAAGAACTTAAAAAAATCAAAATCCATTAATATGGTCTCTTATCGCTTAGCTACACAGAAAACGAATAGAACAAAGCTATAAAAATTTAATTCAATGGCTACAAAAAAAAAAGTAATTATTTCTTTAATAGTTTTAATGGACTTTACTTGAAAAAAAAAAAAAAAAATATTGTCTTTATATTTTTTATTTATATAAGTGTTTAATGTCTCGAAAAAATGATAAATTTGTTGACATTGTAAATTATTTTTAAAATGATTAAAATTTTATTTACATTTTTTCGTGAACTTGCGCTACCTCCACGTGGTCCTTTTATCGATTCTTGCTCTGTTATTTGGACAATTATAATAAATCATAAAACATAGACTTATCAAAAAAATAAATTAACAACACCCACTAATTGCCGAGTTAATTAATATAAAATATTGCACATATAAAATAAATTCTTTATTGACGCAACAGTTGTGTCCATTAATAAAATGCATTCCACTTTGCTAATAAAAATAAACATCCAATAGTCAATATTGTTCAATTAATATAATTAAAACTCGTTTCTATATTTGTAAATTTAATATATCTTCACGGGTGTACTAACTAAAAAGACATATTAGTCATACTCTTGCTCACAAATGACTGATAACGTTTTTTAAAAGGTTTTCTTTCATCACCACCTCACATCATCATCATCATCATCATCATCATCATCATCATCATCATCATCATCTGCAGGTCTTGAATTCCAACGTCTGTAGAAATACAATACAATACAATAATATTTATATTTACAAAAAATAAAACAACATCTTGTGATAACAATAATTAACAAAGTTGGTAGTTATCAATTGTTGCGAGATATTACTGTCTACACTTACCAGGAAAAAAAAAATATAAAAAAAAAAATAAAAAGGAAAATTAACACAGCGGGTCTCAGTGGTCACTTGTTTGATATGTCCTGACAGATCGGGTTCACACGTTGCACTCACCACTGACATCACTCAACTAATGTGGTTCAACTCATACTACAATAAACAATATTTAAAAAAAAGCATCACATCCTTGTAGTACACCCACTACTATGTTAATCTATTACTCATATATACTCAATTAAGTTGCCAATGTCACATGGACACTGACACAGATGCTAGTAATGTAAATATACACCTACATATACATTCTCTACAATAAAACAACATCACACATGCAACGGTATGTGTTTTTACACATGTAACTAATCATTTTTTTAACAACTGCGCGCGCAGCCACGGCCGTGCGAGTTCGTGGCACTCGCGGTTGTCAGATTTAGTTTGAATTTAATCTTCCAGGGGGCAGCACGTGCTTGGTGATTTTGGTGATTTTTTTAAATTGTTGCTCCTGTTATTAAAAATTAAACTGTAGATTTTTTTATAAATAAATCGGGTCGATAATTTATAATTAATTTTAATTTAAATCAAAGTAAGTAATTTTATTTTTTATTCCAAAGAAGAAATGAATTGAAAAAAATTTTTAAAGGTAGGAATAATAAAAGAAAGTGAGCCACGTGTTCTAATAAATTAACCAATCAAATGGCTGGCGTACTGACACCACATAAAAAAAAATTTTATGTTGTAGGGGGATTCGCTTACACACACAGCGCAGCAGAATTTTAATTCCAATAAATATCGCCAGCAGCAGAGGCAGCAGAGTTGGTAAATGGTAGCGCATCGGCTATTGTAAACCAGAAGAAGAAGAAGAAGCGAAGCTAAAGCGCTGTGAGTTTAAAGGCGTGTGGGTCAGCAACAGACAGCGCAAGTCCTTTTCGTCTGTGTGTGCATGTGTGTGTACAGGAAAAATAGGTGGATGTGTTGAATTGAGATCTATCTACATCTGTCGTGTGAATTTTGACGAGTTGGCATTGTATTGCGTGAGTACTCGAAAACAATAACAATTAATTTAATTGTTATTTGTAATTATAATATATTATGGTAATATATGTGTTTGATACTGATGATAATAAATTTTGGAATATTTAAAGCAGAACATCTCTCTCTACGTGGCTGGAGTGAGAGACGGCAGGAAGAGACGGATCTAATACATACGGGTGGTGCAGGTGGAAAAGTCGATATTATAATTAAATATTTCTATTGACGGAAATTTTTATAAAGTTAATACGCGATGGATGAAGAGTATGATGCAATAGTCCTTGGTACAGGGCTAAAAGAATGTATTTTGTCGGGAATGTTATCAGTCAGTGGGAAAAAAGTTTTGCATGTAGATCGTAACAAATACTATGGCGGTGAATCAGCATCAATAACGCCGCTGGAAGATTTTTTTTCGTAAGTTTACTGTTTTTAATTAGTTTTTTTTTTATTATTTTACGGTTGAGTTGTTTGTAGATTGTAGTATCATACTTTTTATTGAGATTTTTTAGTGAGCAAGTGATGAAGAAAGAGAGAGAAAGAGAAATTGAGTGACAAGTGTTATTGATTTTCTCTTTCTCCCTCCACTTTTCTACGCTTGAAGGCTGCAAGAAATTTCGCATTTACAATTGTTTTAACAAACATATTTTTTTATTTTTTTATTTTTTTATATTAAAATTTTGCATTTTTACAATAAAAAAAAATAGTTTGTCATTTTATTAATTGGAGTAGAGTTTTTGTATTGAGTATTATGACAGGTCACGACGTCATAATGATCACTTGATGATATCCGATCCCCTTTGATAGCGCTATCATTATGTTATTCTCACTTCCTTTTTAGTTCTACTTTAAATTTCTTTATATTATTATTTATGTAAACTACTCCAATTATCTCAAAGTTGTAATTAAGGTAATTTATTTTTCCTGATAAAAATATTTATTTTTTTTTCTAGACACTTCAATGCACCGGCTCCGGACAAAATGTACGGCCGTGGACGAGATTGGAACGTAGATCTCATCCCCAAGTTTCTGATGGCCAATGGACTCCTGGTGAAGCTTCTGATCCACACGGGTGTGACGCGTTACCTTGAATTTAAATCAATCGAAGGGTCGTATGTTTACAAATCGGGGAAAATATCAAAAGTACCGATTGATCAACAGGAGGCTTTGTCCAGTGACTTGATGGGTCTTTTTGAGAAGAGACGGTTCCGTAATTTCCTTACATGGGTCCAAAACTTGCAGGAAGATGATCCTAAATCTTACGATGGGTTTGACCCGTTCCATAATCCAATGAGCGCGCTGTATAATAAGTTTAGTTTGGAAGCCAACACTCAAGATTTTACTGGCCACGCTTTGGCGCTCCACAGGTAGTTACGCCTTTCACCGTTTTTTTTCTCACATTCATTATTATTTTATTATTTCCCAAAACTAATTTGCTGGTTGCTCTTTATTACCTGCAATTACTCTGAAAGTATGACTGTAATTTTTTCAAAATTAAATTTTATTTTCTTGTAATTATTTTGGAGTAAAAAATTTTAATATTTAAAAAATTAATTTAACAGATATTTAATAATTTTTGTAACAAATAAATGATTGAAAAAAAAAAAAAAATTGACATTTAAAATTTTTAAAAAGTTAAAAATGCAATTTTTTTTCAAATAATTTTTTGGAAAAATTTTTTTTAATAAAAAAAAATTAAAAAATGGTAAAAATAATTTTTTGGAACATATTTGTTTGATAAAAAAAATTTTTAAATAGTGAAAATAATTTTTCGGAATAAATTTGTTTGTTAAAAAAAAATAATCAAGTAACTGCTAACTAAAATTGATATTTTCAGAAATGATGAGTACATTTCACAGCCAGCCATACTGACAGTCAGAAGAATTAAACTCTACAGTGACAGCTTGGCACGTTACGGTAAATCGCCGTACCTTTATCCCATGTATGGTCTTGGTGAACTTCCTCAAGGTTTCGCCAGGCTCAGTGCCATATACGGTGGCACGTATATGCTCGACAAGCCGATTGACGAGATTGTCATGGAAAACGGCAAGGTAATATACAACAATAAAATCTTAGATCTAAGTAGCACACTAATTATAGTGATAATAATTAGGTACGTGTTTATAAATATTCTTTGTTTTTTATTCCAGGTAGTGGGTGTGCGATCTGGCAACGAAACAGCGAAGTGCAAGCAAGTATTCTGTGACCCTACTTACGTGACTGACCGAGTGAAAAAAGTCGGTCAGGTCGTACGTGCAATCTGCCTGCTAAATCACCCGATTGCTCACACAAATGACGCCCTTTCTACCCAAATAATAATTCCACAGAAGCAAGTCAATCGTAAATCTGATATTTACGTCTCTGTTGTTTCTTACACGCATCAAGTAGCTGCGAAAGGATGGTTCATTGCCATGGTTTCAACAACTGTTGAGACAGCCAACCCAGAGTTGGAAATAAAACCCGGTCTTGATTTACTGGGACCTATTTCACAGAAATTTGTCTCTGTTACTGATTATGTTGAGCCTCTTGATGACGGCGTTGACAGTCAATTATTCATATCAGCCAGCTATGACGCTACAACTCACTTTGAAACTACCTGCCTAGATGTACTCGACATATTCAAACGCGCAACTGGCGAAGAGTTTGATTTTACTAAAGTTAAACAGGAATTGGGTGATGAAGATCTGTAGTCAATATTTTGTGCATTAAAATTAATAAATATAAATTCCGCGATTAAAAAGCTTGTACATACATACAAACATACATACATCAAGACAAGCATTTACATTTAATAACACACTACACGCATACACACATTTATTATAAATGCGTATGTTTTATGTTGATTCCTGTGTATTAGATAAATAATCTTTCTTCGCGAAGAAATATACACATCATTTTTTTTTTTTTTTTTTTTTTTTTTTTTTTAAATATTTTTTGGTAAGTTATATGTAACTAATTTTGTTGTGAATTATGTCGAATTTGCAATTATTAGATGTGACATGGCATTATTATTATTAAATAATGAGCATAATAATGACGGAAGTACAGTGGAAAAAAAATTTTCAGCATTTCAAATGTTTAATTGAAGAATTTATTATACGTGTTTCTCACTAAATATATATTATATATATATATATATATCTTGTAGGAAGTTATATATTTTTATTTTGTCAATTAAATCATTGTGAGAATAAAATAAATAAAAAATAAGAGCCAGCCGAACATGTATTTAAACACACAAAAAAATTTTATCGAATAAATAACTTGTCTTAATGTTTTATTCTTCTATTTATAATTATCGTGATTTATTAATTTAACTCGTATCAAAAATTAATACATTTTTTGATAAAATCTAATCTTGAAGATAAAGAGTGTAAAGATTGTCATCCCGACAGCCAACGACAATAAAATTGTTGTGAAGTACAGGAGATGAAAAAGAATCACCGCTGAGGATAAAATTGTACAAAAATTTTCCGTCTTTCATATTAATCACTCTTAAGTCTCCGTTTTCTCTTACAATAATAGCAAAATCTTTTTCCACCCACGGAGTTGCTACTACCGATGATCCTAAGTCAACTTTGTAATGCAATTCCGGGTGTTGAGTTTCATGAAAATAATACTTGTAAAAAAATCCATTTTTACTGGTGAACATAAAACTGTTTGCTGTAGCATCAGTACAGATTACAATATCAGAAAAAATATTACCAGAAATACTAAAAATCCATAATTCATTTCCAGTATTTATATCAAGTCCGCTTATATTACCACAGACATCAGCTAAAATTAATTTATTTGATAAAATATTCGGAGTGGAAAATATTGAACTCTTGCATTGATATTTCCACCTCACTTTACCACTTTTTTGATCCACGGAGATACAATTAGAGTTCAATAAACTAAAAATAACTGCGTTTGTTTCAGTGTGTACCAAAGGCGTCGCCAAAGTACTGCCGTCGAGTTTTAGCTTCCAAACCAGAGAACCCTGCAATAAAAAATAAAAAAATGAAATTTATTAGTTAAATAAATTAATTATAAGTATAAATTACCTCCAAAGAAATGCAATAGACAAAATGGTCATAAGATCCGATGAAAATATTAATTTTTTCACTGCAAACAGCTGCCAAACACTTGACAATATTTCCCGTTTTAAATGACCAAAAAATGTGACCACTCTTGAGATGCAAGCAATAAATAAATCCATCATGACAGCCAACAATTCCCTTGAAATTATCTATCACCAAAGTAGAACCTTCTATCCTGTTAGGCAATTGAATTTTCCAATTTTCTTTAGTTTTAAGATCTACTGTTAGAATTAATCCTGAGTGAGAACTTACGTTTGCAAATGATTGGTCATTGGAGTACCCAAAAATCGTTGGAGAAGCATCCACGCATTTATTTAAATTAAAAACATTCCCAAGCTTAATACTCTTCAAATTTTCATGATCTGATTTACAATCAAGTAGTAAATCAGAAGATTCTGGATTAATTATGACCGTTCTACCCCGACATTTTTGCCAGATATATGTATCTAATAAATAATTTTTAGAAGTAAAATTAAGTTTGGTTAAATTCAAGACTTTCGAACTAGTATTTACATTATTAAAATTTTTACAAAGATAATCTTTACACTCCAGCAATGTTTTATTGTCAAATAACATTCCAATTAATTCCGGATAATTGTTCCCTGATTCGCTGGATAAATTACTTGATATTTGTAAAGCTATCACTGATGTTCCTCCTAGATCTAAAAAACCAAATTTATCCTGCTCTCCTGGCAAATGATCTCTCCAAATTTGTTCTAGCAAACTTCCAGCATCACTACCAGACATTGGTCTTGAACAGAAATCTTTCAAGTAATCTTTACAAATTTTTCCTCTGTCAGTAACTTTAAAGCTTTCTAAATAATAAATTTTATCTGGATGCATAATAGCAGGTAAAAGTTTTACATGAGACCAGACATTAGCCACCAAGTTGTCTTTTTGATCATCAAGTTCAGAAGTAAAAAATAAATTTAATACAGATAAATTATTGTCAAAAATTAATTGAACATCTTTAATAAAATTTAATTTTTGCAAATGATTTTTAAGTTTGTCAAAGTGAACTTTGGTACCAAATCTCTTGACACAACTGTCCAGTCGACCCTTAAAGGTCACTTTATTTTTATTTACAGTGACTATGTCTCCAGTTTTTCTATAAACTGGAAGCTTAAGATCGGATAATTTTTCTTTACCAAGCAAACAAACTCTGCTGGAACTTCCAATATAAAGAATTCCTTCTCCATCTTTAACAATTTCGTTGGAATTTTTTTCTCTGACTTGAAAAAGAGTATCAGTTAAAACTGTACCTAAATTATTACTACAATCAGCTTCAGAATAATTTTCATTGAAGAAAATCTCGTTGATGCTCGCCCAGCAGGACACTTCAGTGATACCATAGACATTAAAAATTCTAGTACAATTTTCTGGATGTTTTATTTTACGGATTAATTTCAGATCAGGAAAAGGCTCTCCGCCAATCAGGAGAAACTTGAGACAGCTTTCTTTGCTCAAGAGAGTTTCTTCAAGATCTTTCAATCTCCAGCGGTGCAAAAAGAGAGATGGAGTGGTTGATATAAATGTTATCTTCTTATTATAAAGTACTTTTAATAAAATATCAGGATGATTTTTTAAATCTTCTGCGAAAGTGCAAAGAGTTGCTCCGATTATTAAACTCAAAAATATTTCAACGTAGCTGGGGTCAAAAGTTAGAGGCGTAAGTTGAGCCACTCTGTCAGTACTGGAGAGCTTGAGGATATTTTTAAAGTCTTGTATATTTAATAATATAGATTTATGAGTTACTCTTACTACAACTGGTTGTCCAGTTGATCCCGAAGTTGTCACAGCGTATGCAAACTTTGAATTATTATTTAATTCTTTAGAGAAAAAAGATGGAGTTTTTGATAGAATAATTGGCTGCTGATGAAGCTCAAAAACTTTTATCTGCTCTCCGTGGATTTTGTTGCTTTCTAAGTGGAAAATATATCGAAAACCAAGTGATTCTTTTAGAAAATCAGCTTCGTTTTTTGAAATGTACACAAAAGAACGTCCAGATGATAGTATTCTATAGAAAAATAAATTTTTAAATAATTATAATAAAATTAATTTATTAAATATAATATTGGAAATTTATTTACCCGAGAATTAAACTAGTAATACAATATATTGGAGTGTCATAATAAATTCCAATAAATTCTGAATAGTCCAGCTCTTTTAGAAAGTTTTTAATATCATTCTGCGCTTCATATACTTGGGAATATTTTAAAGTAAATAAATCAGCATCACTGTAGTGTTCTAAAGCAATCTTATCAAAGTTTTCCCAATTTGTTATTTGGATTAAATCATCTTCTTGAATTTTCTGACGTTTGCACTCTAAAGATAAAAGTTTTATTAATTACAGTTGATTATTTTTAAATAAAGAATATATTTTTTTGATAAAAATTAATTTAGCCTGTAAATTTTTTTTTATTAAAAAAAAATAATTTCCACTTGTAAGAAACTTGAAAATCTACAAGTGCAATTTTTAAATAAAATATATTTTTTAATAAATAAAAAAATTAAAAGCGTCAGCTAACTTTAGTTTTATATTTACTTACCATTTTTAGTCATTTTTATTTTTCAGGTCATATTTTTTATTTATGACTCGTTTGAGGATGTACTTAGTTTTGTATTTATTAAAACTAGAAGTTGGGTTATGAATTACCCTAAAAAAATATCCAACTCCAAGTGCATTTACAATACTAAAATTGGCCATTTTTTAATTTTTTTTAACAAATTTCTTCCAAAAAATTGCATTTGTTATTTTTTTAAATTTCTCCATCAATTTTTTGCTCCAATTTATTTGTTAAAAAATTTATTAAAATAATCAACAATAATATTTATATTACCTACTTACTTTCAAATTCTATGAAATAATATTAGAATAATTGAAATAAATAGATCGACTTTAGATTCTAGTTGATTTATTTCAGTCAAATTAATATCAATGGTGAATAATAATTTTATTATATTTTTTTTTTTTTTTTTTTCGCAATAATACGCAATACATTGATACATTACTTAACTTGTAATTTCTTTAGGGCTCTTACAGCTGTCTATCAAAGTGTATAGGTACAAACATATTTTAATCCTAATGTTAAACTGTTAACATAGTGATGAAAATAAATATTATCGAAAAAAAGAAGAAAAAAAAACGATTAAAAATAACAAAAGATGAAGATCGGTTGGAAAAAATTAACTTTTAAATTCAAATTATTATTATTATTATTATTATTATCTACTTTTCCTCGCACCATTCGTTTTCTTTGCGAACCTGATCCTCCTCAGCAGCTGAAAAATCGTTCTTAATGTTGAAAGTCTTTCTAATTTCCTCAGGAGTCTTTCCTTTAATCATATTAGCGACAGTTTTGCAAGTAACATCCAGAAGTCCTTTGATGTCAAGGTAATTCGCAGCGAGAATCAGCTCGAACAGAGTACCCTGATCGACTTTGAGGAAGTCGGCATCCCAAGAGCTGATGTCATCAGTCCTCTTCTCTTTGTTCTCATCGTCTTCAGCTGGTGGTGGGTCATCCTTGTGGTAAGTCGCCCACTGGATGACTTTTTTCAGAATTGCCGAGTTGACGTTCGGCAGAGGTACCACCTCATCATCATCCTCATCCATACCCAGATCCTCCAACATGGTTTTGATGGTTACGGAGCATTTTGCTATTTCAACATCAACGTCGAAAATTTCGTTATCATTAGCCTGAAGTTTGATGTTTGTCATCTGGAATAATAAATTGTTTTTTTTTTTTTAATACAAATTGTTGACCTTTTTTTGTGCGTCACACGCCAACGTACTTTCAATTAATTATATACTGACGTGAGTTCTAAAATAAATCTATTGAATTGCCGCTGAATAAATGAAAAAACGAGTCAAAATAAATTAAACAAAAACAATACCAGCGAATTTTATCAGTGTTATTTTTTTTATAACAATCTGACGATCGATAGTCAGGGTAAATAACGCGGAAACTATACACACCACAAAACAAGTAAGTACATATATATCTATTTATTTACCTTAGATTACTATTATTATTATTATTATTATTTTATTATTATTATTATACCCAACAAATACTGAATAGTGAATCACCAATTAAAATAATTCTTTCTTCAGTAACACTTAATCCAGCAGTGTTGATATGATTGTTTAAATAATATATTTTATATAAGTGTAATATGAAAAAATTCGAGGAATGAATTTCCAGTGAGACTAAAACCAGATTTATTCTGCTACCCAGACAACCTCTCAACCTTAAAATATGTTTCTTTGTGTGAACGTAGCAAGAAAAGACAGCAGAGTGCAGCACCTGGTTGTTTTTTGGATCAGTTTCTCATTCTTTCTCTGTCGGAACTCGGTTTCCCGCGCATTTGTTTCTCTCAGACACGTGTTTTTTCATCAACCATTAGCTGAACGACACACAGAAATTCTAGGAAAAATTTTTATGGTCAACTAATTACTCAAATATGCAACGCAAACAACTGAAAGATAAATCAACATGTTGAAATGATGAATTTTTCTGATAAATTAAAAACAAAATAATATCTACTATGCAAATATCCAAAATGGCGATTTTGATAATTTTCAAACTGATTTTCTATCAGAAAAAAAAAATTGCATGCATTTTTTATAAAATTACATCTAAGTTATTATAATAATAATAAAGTTAGCGGACATTTTTTATTTTATTAAATTATAACTAAAAAATATTTTAAAAAAATTGCACTTGTAGTTTTTGAAGTTTTTAACAAATGAAAAAATCTTTTTTTATTAATTCTTTAATTAAAAAAATAATAAAAATTTTCAGATGTTGGCTAACTTTATTTTCATTAAATTAATTAAAAATAGTATTTGATACTTAATATTATTTTATAACATTATAATTTACAGAATAAAAATAATTAAACTAAAAAAACAATAAAATATAATGAAATTAATTCTTTATTATAATAGTTATATATCCATACTACTACAAACTAAGTACAGATATTATTATTATTATTATTATTATTATTATTATTATATCATAATTATCAATAATTAAGATTATATAAAATTTAATCTTTTATTTCAAAAAACTTCAGCTAATCTGTAATTGAACTCTGTTTACAAACCTTATTTTAAAAACTTATTATACATATTAAATATGATCTTATGATTAAAAAAAAAATGCTTAGCACTTATGATGAAAAAAAAAAAAAACTTGAGTCAAAATTAATAAAAACAAAAAAAGAAACTGTCTAACGAAATGATACTTATGAATATAAAACCTGGAATTAATTTCCCTCAACTTGATCAGCTTCTTTTTCTTTTTCTTTTTCTTTCTCTTTCTCCTTCTTCTTCTCTAGTTCCTCGTCTTTCTCTTCAGACCACTCAACCTCTTTCTTGGCAGCATCATCGTCGGCAGTTGGGACCATCGGGGTGATGTTGAAGGTTTTTCTGATTTCCTCTGGCGTCTTGCCCTTGATCATGTTGGCGACAGTCTTGCAGGTGACGTCCATGAGCCCCTTGATGTCCAGGAAGTTAGCGGCGCGGATGATGGCGAAGAGCGTCTGCTGGTCGACTTTCAGAAAGTCAACGTCCCACTCGGGGATATCATCCGATCGCTTTTCTTTGTTGTCATCGTCTTCCGGTGCAGGAGGGTCGTTCTTGTGATGCTCGGCCCACTCGACGATCTTCTTCAGGATGGGACCTTGGATGCTCGGCAGAGGAACCATCTCGTCGTCGCCTTCGTCCAAGCCGAGGTCCTCCAGCATCGTCTTGATGGTGGCGGACATTTTAGCCACTTTGGTGTCGACTTCAAACACCTCTTGGTCACTGCTTAAAAGCTTGATAGTCGTCGACATTTTTTTTTATTTTTAATTAAAAATTATTATTTTAAGTAATTAAATAATACTTAATTTTTTTTAAGATCGGTTTTGTTATTTAATCACTAACAGAAGCTGCACGTGGTGATTCCCCGCAGTTGAGCTTGTTGTGAGAGACCGATTATGGTTTGTTATTTTTTAAGGTTAGGTTTTTAATAAAAAAAAAAAAAGAAAAAACGGTTTGTTGTTGCGTTTTGTCGGAAGCGCGCGCATTTATTTAAAAAGCGTGCGAAAGTTTCATTATTTAAATTATTTTTTTTTTTAAATTGAATTTCCGACAAATTTAATAAACAAACTTAAAATATTAATTGAAATTTGTGTTTATAAATTAAAATAATATTCTAAATTGAACTTTGCATTTAAATTTATATTTTTTATTTATAATAATTCAGTAAAACGTTTTTTAAATATTTTTAAAATAATAATTATAAATAAGTGTACTGACAAACAACAATAATGCAAATTACAGCTGTAATTTAGATGATTAAGATTGTAATAAAAGGCTTATAAAAGATTTAAAGCCTAAAGAGCTCGACTACAACTTCTTTGAAAATAAAAATCAATTAGTAACATGCATTAAAAGTACTTTAACCAAGAGAATATAATTAGCCGTATTCAATAGAATGTAATTCAGGTAAAATTTAATCTCTGTTCGGTATTTTTTAAGCTATTCTTATAATTAGACAAAAGATAATTTTAATACTTACCTTTTCAAAGTTGCGGATTATTTTTCTTTGTGCCAAAAATAACAAATATCTTTTGTTCATTCATTAGGTAAATTATTAGCAATATTCCCTGAAATATTTTTCCATGCCTTATTCAAATATAATTTAAATAGTATGTAATTATAGAATAATTTAAATTATACTTATAATAATAAACTTAGCAATACTAAAAATAAGTAAAATAAAAGAAAAATTATAAAATTAACTTTTTTTATTTTTTTTAAACTCACATCAGTTGAAATTTTCAGTGTTCGAAATAATAAACATCACGTGTACAGAATAATTCATAATAATCAATAGTTGCTCTCTATTAAATAATTAATTGTGTAAAAAAGTATTACAATACAAAATAAAATTGTAGAAAAAGAAATATCAAAAATTATTCTTTGAATTTTTTCTCTCCAGAACATTCTCTGGAAGTGGAAGCTTGTTCTATCTTGTCATCAGGATTTTCGGGTGCGGGAACCGGCACGATGTTGAAGGTTTTTCTGATTTCCTCCGGCGTTTTGCCCTTGATCATGTTGGCGACAGTCTTGCAGGTGACGTCCATGAGCCCCTTGATGTCCAGGAAGTTAGCGGCGCGGATGATGGCGAAGAGCGTCTGCTGGTCGACTTTCAGGAAGTCAACGTCCCACTCGGGGATATCATCCGATCTTTTTTCATGGTTGTCATCTAACTCTGGTTTATCTTCATCGTCGACGTGTTTCTTGCACCACTCGACAACTTTTTCCAGGATCGTTCCCTTGACATTTGTTACAGGAATCACTTCATCGTTGACTTCGCCCTCCATGCCGAGAGTTTCCAGCATAACTTTGATGGTAGCCGACATCAACGCGACTTTGATCTCCACTTCAAAAATTTGTTCATCACTGCTCTGGAGCTGCACTGTTGCGTCCATGCTTGATATGGTTTATTTAACTCACAAACTTTAAACACAAGAAATTAGTTAATGTAAAATTTACTAGCAAGGAGTAGATAGTTATTAATGTGCAAGAGCAACTGTTTGCTTTGAAAACTCAATTGCAAGTGATTTCGGTAATTTGAGTGCTGGTTTTTATATGCAATCTGATGGGACTGTACGAAAATGGCTCCTCAGAGTGGGAGAAAGTAATTGCAATTAGAATTTCTCTAATTGGTTGAAAATTTTTGAGGAAGTGGTCATTTTTACCTGACTATGCATTATCCTATATAATATGTTCTAGCCCGCATTGCATACCTCAATATCAATGAAATAGTAAAAATACATTCTCTCAAATTCTATAAAGAAAAATTAAACCTAAATATACTGTCAAATGTTTGCAAACTAACGAAATTTAATTCATACTGTAAATATAAGCTACACCACAACACATCATTATGTATCATACGTAAAGACTAACAATTATACTTTTTAAACTTTTTCCTAAAAATCAACAGAATTCTTACTGGGTTTTTTTCATCCGTTTTTTCCCAAAACTGACTAATAAATATATAATATTCAAATATAAATGGCTCAAAATTGTGTAAGCCCAAGGGCAGGGAACAAATTGTACTTATTGTTCAGATTTAAATTTTAGACGTAATGAGTTTATAATGAAATTTACAATAGACAATGTAATTAACTCAAATTAGCCGACGTTCAATAGAATAATATAGATATACAATTAACATAAAGGTAATAGTCAATTTAATTAAATTTAATTATCTTTCTGAATCAGGAATTTTTGTATTATTTTCAACAATTAAATTGCAAGTAACTAAGAGAGATACTTAAAGCAAATTGCACGGATTATTTTTCAAATCTTCAATCTTCTATATGAGAATAAATTTTTTCTTTTAATTGTTTTATAATAATTTTTTTAATAAAAAAAATTATAAAAATTTTTACATAATATCGGCTAATTTAATTTTTAACTCAAAAATCTTCAACACATTCAATGAAAATGCAGCCGGGTAATTTCCTGAAATAATTAATCTATCAAAAACTTTGGAAAATAAATTAATAAAAAAAATGTAAGACAGTTGTCTAGGTTTTTAGCGATTGTGTAAATAATATACTTAGTGACGTCAAAGAGCTTTTAACTTACCGAAGATTTTGTTATTACTGGAGATTTACATGTGTAACATAAAAGAATCATAAAACAAAAAAAGATTTGAAAAAGCGTGGGCTGCCCAATATTTGATTGAGCAAATTCCGATTCTGTTGGTGATGTCATTACTTTGTCCCTTCTGATTGTTCGCGCTTTTCCCCCCGCCTATGGGTCAATCGTGTGCTGTAATCAGCCCACTCAATTGTTTCTTTCCAAAATAAAAAAAAGTCACACTTGGCACCGCCGGAAGTATTTATGACTTTCTTTTAGAACACTATAAATCCTGGGATTAAATAATTAATAATAATTTATTAATATAGGTATTTTTTTTTTCTTTCATTAAAATTAATTTAGAAAAAATTTAATAATTTTTGGGACAAATAAATTATTTTTAAAAAATTTCACTTTTAAATTTTTAAAATTTTTACAAGCCAATTTTTTTCTTTATATTTTTATTATTGCCACAATTTATTTCTTATAAAAATTATATATCTGCTAAATTAATTTTAATATATAGTTTTTTTGTAGTTAAGATTTTTTAAAAGTAAATCTATAATTTATCTTCTATAAATAATTAAAAATTTTTAAACTTTTTAGACAGTGAACCGGTGAATGGTCCGTACACCGGCTGATGGGCAATCCATATTTTTGATTAATTTTTCACCAACACAGTGATGTCATTGACGCTAGATAAGTACAAATAGAATGAAAACCACTGATTCTATTTATTTCCAAAAAAAAGAAAAGGAAAAACAAACAAAAGCAATTGGCGGGCTTGATTAATACCCTTATAATCAATTGATGTTTACTTAATAAACTTTTCTATTGGGGATCACAAACTTTCATCGGATGGATCTAAATTTGTTAAAAAATTTAAAAACATTAATTGAAACTAAAATATTTAATTCAACAACAGAACATCGATATGAACTCATGAATTTAATCAACCATTTACGACCAAGGTATAAATCACAAATAAAATATACATTGCCGAATTTCACTTTGATTATTAACTTTTTTTTTTACTTTTTTAGGTTCAAATAAATGGCAAGTTGTATTTTTAGTTCTATTGATATGTATATTTCTTAATTTTTTGTCTTGCCATAAAAAAAAAGCAAACGTCTCATTTTAATAACGCTGACTTCTCTAATATCATGCGCTCCAAATTATATGCTCAGTTTTGGTAAATCTTCTTCAGATGACGAAGTAGAAATTTTAATCATCCTAAAAAAAATTTGTATAATTAATACATTATTACAACGTAAGTATACTCATTATTCGAAGAAATTTTTGGATTTTAATTAATCAAAGTTTTAACAAAGATATTTCATCAAATTGATCAATGATCAAATTGCATGAAATAATGAGTTTTTATTTTTAAATACTCCAATCTCTAGAAACTTCATTAAATTTCTGTGATATTATATAACTCTTCTAGATATATATACATATATTTATAACTCAAGCGTATAAATATAATTAATAGCAATTCAAAGGATATTGCTAATTACGTAGAAGCTTTATAATATCACCGAAGAATTTTCACAGTTATAGTTCCATTTAATAAATTTATAACAATGGTCAATAGCTCGATTTGTCTCGAAATTTCTATTCGATGATTTATGACGTTTCAATCAGCATACAGTTGATTTATTATTTGTAAATACTCCTACGTGTTCAATTGTAATTTTGCTAATTCTATTTTGCCATTCCATAGCAGAGAAAACCATAATTTGGAGTATAGTGCAAGTACTCAATTAGCCGTCGAGGATTTAAGATAAATCAATTGAAAATGTGATAAATCATCGTAAAAGAAGAAATTTATCTTAATTAATTAATATTTAGATTACTTTACCTAAAAAAGAAAAAAATTTAATAAAATTATTATAAAAAAATTAAACCGGATAAGAATGTATCTAATATGGTAATGGGTTGAATGAGTTGCGTCTGCAATATAGTGTCTTTTCCTCCTACACACACCACCTCCTAGACAAATCTGGACCACGATCGATTGTGAGGAATATTCTTGGTGGCGCCAGGATGTCTGGACACTGTCCGTGTCTCGTATAATGTCTATATAAAAGGTTTATTGCGCGTATTGCTTTTTACTTGCATTCCTAATCTAACTCTCGAGTTTAAAATTCTTTCAGTTTTATGCAATCTCTTATTTTATTACATTTTAACTGTTAAATAATGTTGCCACTGCAATAATAATACACCTGCAATAAATTATGGATAATTAATTAATGATAAATAATATTTATTCTTTAACCGGAAAAATAATGAGGATTCTATTCATAAAAAAATCAACAATTTTATTATTCAAAGTATAAAACAAGATTTTACTCTTTCAATCTTTGATACTGGAGCAATGAAGCAATATATTTTCAAAAAATTTGATTGTTTATTTATTTTTCTTTTTATTTGCAGATAGGAAATAATTATTATGACGTTATTATAATCATAAAACATTTCGATTAATTGTTCAAAAGCATGACGCGTGTAACACAAAATAAAGAGGAGGAGGGGAAGGAAGAGAGTAAACTAGTACAATTTAAGGGGTGTAAATCGTCATGAATTGGAGTTGTTCTTACTTGCTCCGAAGGACTCGAATGAGAAAAAGCGAAGGATAAAAGCGAGATGCGAAGCTGGTTAACTTTGGGATGGAGAAAGATGAAGAAATAGTGTATCCGCGGTATTGTCGCGCGCGCAAGAACTGAAGGAGGGATGTGTACTCTTGGTACCACCGATATATTATATGGGGTATAAATACATGAATCGCGCAAGCTCCAATCATCATTTGTTCTCTGAATTTTCCAAAGTCAAAACTTGACGCTGGATGTTATTTTTAAATCGCGCTAGGCCGTTTGATTTTCGGTTTGTTGTCACTGTGCATCTTGATTTATATAACGTGCAATTTCTGAAAAATAGTACTTATTAAAAATCGCATACAGTAGTTGGAATTGTTTCTATTATAATTGGAGCAGGTGTAAAGGTGAGAAATTTTTATTTTAAATTTATTGCGTGTAAAAATATTTTATAAAATTTTATTTTTTTTTTTTTTTTTCAATAAAAATGTAAAGCGTGGGATGTAAAAGAACAATGATGCACTTGATTGTAGATTTTAATCAAAAGCGCAATTTTATTTATGCTAATTTCTTCGATACTTATTTTAGTGAATTTTATCACGTAATTTTTTACAAGCAAACAATTTTGAATTAATAAATTAATGAAGCTTTATTTTGATTAAAAAAATTATTTTCTATTTTAATTAATCGAAGCTTATTTTATTAAAATCACTGTACCGGAAAATCAACAACAAATATTGACTTTAATGAGTCACTGATGTGACATTTTTTTTATTGAAAAAAAAAAAAAAAAAAAACCTCGTGTTTGTGCAATAAAATGAAATTTGACGGAACAAAATCTAAATTTACTCGGTAACACAAGTAGAATTTACTTGGCATTTATTGAGTAAATGACTATCTTGTTACTATTCTTGTTAGCAAAAGCGATACATGCTCCTTTTATTTTTATACTTTAAAAATTTTAACAAGACAAACATGACAAATTGTATAACATCATAACAGCCTTCTATATAATGATTGTTAGAATTTATATTTTAATAATTCGTCCGGAACTATTTAACGGAATAGTCATATAATCATTTTCAAACAATAATAATAATATTATTAATTTACTTTAATCGACGGTAATATTAATAATAAGCGCATGTATTTAAAGTATTATATTTGGATAGAAGATTTAATTTCACAATACTATATTACTAATGAAATTGGCGGTAATAAATTGCGTGCTCGGAATCCAATCAATTACTAAAGTTTGACCACGTCAAAGAATAACTTTCCCGGAGGTTTTCATATGACTAATATAGATTTATCTATTCTTCCCATTCACACTAAATATCCTCATTAATAAATTCATTATAATATACGGCTCTTGATAAACTTTACCCTCTTCAGAAAGGCTTCATCATTAACTAAATAAATCCATAAAATCTTTCGTCAAATCATTTTTCATTTACTGTCTAACAAAAACTTTTTCTACTAATCAAATACTAACTGATTATGAGAAAGTGAATTTATCTTGGTGATTTTTATGACGTATAAAAAAGAACAATTTTTAGATTCAAGATATAATAATCTTGATTTTTATCTATAAAATTAATTTTTATTTCTTCCAGTTACTTAATAATAATATATCAGTTATTAAATATCAAATCTTTTAACTTAATAATGTAAATTTTAATGCATGCTTCCTTAAAATTTAAATTTGTATGAAAACACGCGAGTAATAGTAAAGTCTATATGTCATTTTTACTTTAACGATGTATACCCTACGTGACCCACCGCTCTAAATTTTTATCACACTATAACTATATATTAAAATTTTATAAAATGTTTTTCAGATATTTTATTACTGAAATAAAATTATTTTTAAAATAATTATTTATTTTTCAGTTTTATGATGAATCTCCGATGGGCATTATTAACATTGACTATTTTCGCTTGGTGGTCCCATTCCGACGCTGGAAGATTAGCAAGACCCGACTGCGAGTATGTTTTTTACCTAAAAAAAATATAATACTAGTTTATTTTTTTTTTTTTTTTTTTTTCATTTATTAAATTAGAACAAAAAAATACTTTTTTAAAATTGCACTTGTAGTTTTTTACAAATGAAAAATTTTTTTTAATAAAAAAAATTATAAAAATTTTTAGATGTCAGCTACCTAACTAAATTTACCTGAAAAGAATTAAAAAAAAAAAAAAATTATTAATTATTTTTTAATGAATAAATATCTAATAATTTGAATTATTTTTTAGGAAATTTGTTTTTCATCCACACTGCAGAGGAACGCAAGCTAAAAAACGAGTTATTGCAGATCCAACTGGCATAAACAGTAACATGAAAGACGGAAACACGGAGAAACTGTGTATTTGCAAGTACTTGACGAAAAGTGGCAAGAGAGAATTATTGGCAGTGACTAAATTATTAGAAACAATGCTTGCTAATGTAAGTATTAATTTCAGAGAATTTTTTTATACATAAAAATTAATTATTATAATTTATTTAATTGTATTTCATTATCTTGCATGACACGCGTTTTAAGTTTTATTGATCTAGATTTTAAGTAATTGTCTGACGTAAAATTTAATTTTAGGGTGTCGACGTGAACATGCTCTATGACACGTATTCAAATATGGGACTGTTATCAAAAGATCAAAATGATAATCTGAGATCCACGCATCATATAAACCAACTGAGCAGAAGTAGTGATAATCTCGATTATAACAAACCGGATATCGACTTGGATTACTAACATATAACGACTAGCGAATAAACAATAATAACAATAACGATTAAGATATGTCAGTATTTTACGCGATAATTGTATAACTTAATAATTCTATGAACTCTGTTTGCAATGTTAATTTATACAGTGTGCAAACGATCTTTTAACAAAAACCAGTCAATATATTTATGATATAAATTATTTTATGGTGAATTATTAACTAAAAATTTTAAATTCTTACATTGTATATATATATATATATATATATATATATATATAAACACATGTCAAATATTATTTTATATATATCATTTTAAGTGTACACTAAATTATTTCTCATAAAACTAATTATAAATTATTTTATTGAAAGTTTATTCATTAGGATTTTAGTTTTTAATCGAATTTACGAGCTTTTATCAAAATTTACACACTAAAATTTTTAACAAGTATATATAACTTTTTAAAATAAAAATTATTAAAGGTTTTAGTTGAAATAGGTCATTTATTGTATTATAATTAATTTGTAAAATAATTTTAATCTAATACATTATTTTACTTAAAAAACTATTTTTATTTTATTTACTTTGGAATACCTTTTCTTATTTTCATCAAGTTTACCCTCTTTTCAAGTTTGGCTTTCTCAAAATTTAATTATCAATAATATGAACTCTCCGGATGTTACACTTAATTTACTGAAAGATGTCTAAAAGAAGAGACAATTGTCTAGCCGATATTTAATACAAAAGCTAAAAAAAAAACTTTTTTTTTATAAAATTATGGAATTTTTTTTTTAATAAATTCAAATATAAGAGATGATTTTAAGTTAACAGAGATTAGAAATTTTTTTATAATTTTATAGAAGTTAAATTATTATAAAAAAAAAAATCGAATAAAAAATTCCACTTGTGAAAATTAAAAAAAATTTTTTAAAGGATTTTTTTTTTATTGTTCTAAAAATTAAAAAAATTGACAGCTGTCAGCTAACTTCAGTATCATAATATTATTATGATTATATTTAATTTAGTGTGTAAAATACCTTGTGTAACCACCAGATGATGCTGCATTATTGTGGCCGTTACAAAATTTAAAACTAAAAGTTTAATTAGAGTATAATGATTTTATTTGTATCTATTTTTTTATTAAACATTTAATAGAGTCACTAATTAATAAATTTAATTACTAATCATGAGTAAAGACATAGGAGATAACTTAGACTGGGCAAGACAATTAGGATGTCCCCCGTCAGCATTGACAGACGATGTCAAAAAAATGTAAGGTTATATTTACTCCAATATTTTTTTATTTTATACTTTGTTAATATTTTTATTTATTATTTTAAGTTTAAATCATGGAATAATGAATTTTGTATGGGATGAAATATCGTCTGTTATTGAACCGGTGGAAGATGTAGTTGAATCACGAAAGAATTTATTACTAAGCCGTCTCCAGACCCAAGCACCGGTGTCGGCTATTCAACATCTTAACAAAATAAAATTTATACAGAGTGAAAGAGCGCTTATTAAGTCACAAATTGATAAAACTGAAAATGAGTGTATGGCTACTTCGGATTCTCTTGACGAGAAAGGTATTTTTTTATTTTATTTTTTATAATAATGATCAATTTTAATATTAAATTTTTTTCAGGTTTAAAAATAGCCAAATTAAAAAACGAACAAGAAAAGATTAAAATAAAGACTGGTGCTTTAAAGTTAAAACATAAACAAATAAATAAAGAACTTAAGTCATGCACTGACTTAATATCAAAATGCAATAATTTGCTGCCAGGGTCCAAGCATGAAATAGATGAACCTTCTGTAAATCATTGTCTCACCATAGTTGGTCTAGTTTCCTCAAGGCAGGACAAGCATGAGGTAAAATAATTTTATTATTTCTTGTAGTAAATATTAATGGTACTTATATAATTATATATTGACTTTCAGGCGTTTAAACAAATTCATGAAATTTTAGGTCCAGTTGCAGTTCCTGAATTATGGGATATTTTATTACGAAAACGTATGCAAGATACTGAAAAATTCACTCGACTGCAATTAGGACTTGAAAATTCTGAAAAGTCCCGATCGTTTGATCAAATTTGGAAAATTGGTCTTGCTACTATTGAATCGCAAATAATTTCTGCTGTACTTGAAGCGATTATGCACTCTGAAAAATCAAATGAAAATATAGCTAATGCAACTGTGCTTATTAATAAAATAATGGTGAGTGAATTTTAATAATTAATTTTTATTAGATAAATATTTTTTAGGAGCTTTGACTCCATGGCTAATTAACAATAAAAATAATAATAATAATAATAATTAATTTGAATTAAAATTTTTTTGAAGGTAAATGACTCAGAAGATTTATTAACTTGGATAATGTTGAATATGGAAGTTGCTCAGCAGCATTCAAAATGTAAAACTTTTCAGTTATATCTTGAATATTTTAAAAATTTTAATAATGAGCATAATCATTTATCTGAACGAGAGTCTGAATTAATGAGTGATATTTATAATATTTGTCTACAACTTGTAAGTATTTATTATTTAATTTTACTTTTTATCACTAATCTTCTAGATACTGACCAGCTGAATATTTTTTTAACAGGATGACTATGTAACAGCAATTAAAAATTCTTCGAGTTCAGTAAAATCTGGTGGTCAATTTTTAATAAAAATAAAGGACAAAATAAGCGATGAGTTAGCGATGATAGATGCGTTAAATAGCGAAGATAGTTCCAGCTGTATTGAAATTAGTTTAGTTTCTGAAATCACAGAATTTCATAAAAACACTGATGTCAATGCATTAAATAAAGTAATGCTGCTAGATAAAGTTGGAGCTTACAGGTACTAAATAATTTTTACATCTTAGTTATTATAATTTTCTAATCATTTAAAATAATAAATATTAATTGTTTGCTTTTAGATACGCCTCAGCATGTATGAGCAATATTTTGTTAGTTACACCCTGCATAACATCAGCTATTCCAGTTTTTACTTCGCCGCTGTACCATTTAATTAATTGTCTGAGAAATATTATGACCAACAATTTATTGAAACAAAAGTTGGAGCAAATAAATCTGGAATATGCCAACCAACACATGATATCTATCAAAGATTCAGCTTTAGATTCGTCGAAAGAAAATGATATTTTCGAATTACTTGATAAAATAAAATATAAAAACGGTCTATGTCAGCGAGAAATAAAAAATCTAGAAAAACTATACGATGATTGGGCCACGCAACCTGTTCAAGAAGCGATGTCTGTTGTTGATGATACAGTCAATAGATTAACATATGAAGAATGGGTTAAACGTTATAGTTCATTACTGTTTTTGATGGCCAGAAACAGATGAGCTCTTAGATTATTATTATTATTATTATATTATTAAATAATTAATTATTTTTTAAATTATTATAGCATGTAAAATAAAATAGTGATACTGAAATTAGCGGCCACATAGTTTTTAGTTTTATTTAACAAATAAATTAGGATTAAAAAATTGCATTATAGTTTTCTAAAATTTTTGCATGGAAGTAATATAAAAAAATTTATAAATATCTGGTAATTTTTAGTATCGTAATATAATGCAGTATTTTTTTCAATAAATTTTTTTTTTATAAATTTAAGTATATTTTTATTTCATATCTCAATAATAATTATTGTAATAAATACAAGTAAAATATACAGGATAATACAATACGTCATGTGGTGAGACAAGAGACCACATGGTTCGGCCGTGCTTGTTTAAATGTCTACTTGAATGTACAGTAAAAAATTTTTATTACAGTTATAGTATGCCAAAACGGTTACACAGCTTTCGGGTATCAAGTAAAAAAAGATTGAGAATAAATAGTGATAAATTTTCAAACTATAAAATGGTGGTTCCAAAAAACGCTAAAGCTGTGCATTCTCAAAAAAATTCTAACCTTAAACAAAATGAAAACACGGTAAGTGTTAAATGTGTTGAAGGAATTATTGAGTCTAGTGATCACATCAAAGCTGAATATTTAGATACTCCTGTCAAATCGGATAATGATAAAAAAGAGTACAGGTAAATTATATTATTTATTTATTTTCAAGTTTTATGTCACTAAAATATATCAGCTGAGAAAAATTTTTGTCATTTGTTTTTAATTAGAACAAAAAATATTTTTTCTTTAAATTGTACTTATAGTTTTTCATAATTTTAATAAAAATCATTTTTATAGACTTTTTTTATTTTTTTCAGAGTAATAAAACTTCAAAACGGTCTAACAGCACTTTTAATTGCCGATACACATAATATATCCAATGAAAAAGACACCAATGAATCCGAAGCAGGTACTGATTTTTTTTTTTTTTTTTTTTTTTTTTTAAATTAATTTTTGACATTATTAAATTTTTTATTTTGATTTTTTTTAGCATCTAGTTCTAGTGATGAAGAAAGTGAAGAGGATGACGATGAGGAAGAAAGTGAAGAAGAGTCTTCAGAGGAAGAAGATGACGGGGAAATTAGTGAAGAAGATGACAAACGATCTTCAGTATTAAAGAGGGAAGAAAAAATGGTAAAAAATTTAAGATTTTTTATAATTATTTATTGTAATAATTAAATAATATTTTTAGGCAGCATGTGCCTTGTGCGTAGGAGTCGGAAGTTTCAGTGATCCACCTGAGATTCCTGGAATGGCTCATTTTCTCGAGCACATGGTTTTCATGGGTTCCAAAAAGTACCCAACTGAGAACGAGTTTGACGCGTTTATAACAAAGCGTGGCGGGTCGGACAATGCATCAACGGAACCAGAATTGACAACGTTTACTTTTGAAATCAACGAGAAACATCTTTTTGCTGCTTTAGACCGGTTCGCTCAGTTCTTCATAGCTCCTTTGATGCTGAGGGATGCAATTTCTCGTGAAAGAGAAGCTGTGGAAAGCGAGTTCCAGATGGGATTGCCATCAGACATCAACAGGAAAGAACAATTGTTCTGTAGCTTGGCCAAGCCGAACCATCCAGCGACCAAATTCACTTGGGGAAATTTGAAAACTCTCCGCGACAATGTAACTGATGACAATCTTTACAAAAAGCTGCACGAGTTTCGCGAGCGACATTACAGCGCTCATCGCATGACACTCGCTATTCAAGCGCGCTTGCCTCTAGACACTCTAGAAGACTACGTCAAAAAATGTTTCTCAGTTGTCCCGACAAATAGTTTGGCTTCTGAAGATTTCAGTATTTACAAAGATGCTAATTCTTTTGACACCTCCAATTTCCGGCGGATATACAAAATAAAGCCAATTAAAGACGCTTGTCAGGTTGAGCTAACCTGGTCGATGCCACCGCTTCATCATCTTTATAAGACAAAGCCTCATCAGTATGTATCTTGGATTATCGGGCACGAAGGCAAGGGCTCAGTGATAAGCTATTTAAGAAAAAAAATGTGGTGCCTTGATATATACAGCGGCAATGGAGAAAGCGGCTTTGAACACAGTTCTATGTACGCGCTTTTCAGCTTGGCTCTTGTCCTTACTGATGAAGGTCATGCTCACCTAAAAGAAGTTATCGACGCAATATTTTCATACATTAATATGATGCGTAAATTAGGACCGCAAAAAAGAATCTTTGATGAAATACGCAAGATAGATGATACGAATTTTAAATTTACTGATGAAGAGCCTTCCATTGACAATGTCGAAAGCTTGAGCGAAAATATGCATTATTACAAACCCCTTCACTATATTACTGGCAGTGAACTCTACTTTGAGTACGATCCGGAGTCAATTAAAGCGTGCATGGATGTTCTCACTCCTGAAAATGTAAATATTATTATCCTTGACAAAAAATTCGATGATTCTAAATTTGATAAAGAAGAGCCGTGGTTTAAAACCAAGTATACGGACGAAGAAATTCCAGCTGATTGGATAGAGTCTTGGAAAAACATTGAACCCATTCAAGAATTTCATTTACCCGAGCCTAATGTTTTTATAACCGATGACTTTACTTTAATTCCTGTTGCGCCAATTGAAGCGCCAGTTAAAATTCATCATGATGCTTTGTGTGAGATTTGGTACAAGCCTGATGCTAAATTTCGCCTACCTGAATGCTATATGTATTTTCAATTAATATCGCCTGTAGTTGCGAATTCACCAGAAGGGTAATTGTTTATTTTATAAAAATATAATTTTTTCTTATATTTATAAATTTTTATTTCTTTTTAATTAATATCTTTTTTTTAGATCTGCTCTGTGTGGTTTAATGGTAGGAGTTTTGAAACTATTACTTGCTGAAGAATTATATCCAGCAATTGCAGCTGAATTGAATTATGATCTGAATGCAAGTGAGAAAGGGCTAATCATTAAACTCAATGGATTTAATCAGAAACTTTCATTGCTTTTGGAAGCAATTATTAAATACTTGTCAAATATATCGGAGCTTGTTACAGAAAATTTGTTTCAAGTCATGAAAGAACAGCAATTAAAAGACTATTTTAATTCTTTTTTGAAACCTTCTACTTTAGGAAAGTATGTTATTAAAAAAAAACAACATTTTAATTAATTATTCATGCAACTCTTTATTAATTTTTTTATTTATTTATTTATTTATTTGTAGAGACGTCAGGCTATCTATAATAATGTTAAATCACTGGACAAATACCGAAAAACATGCAGCTTGTAGCAAGATATCATTTGAAGAGTTCAAACATTTTGTTAAATATTTTAAAAAGCACATTTACATTCAATCTTTAATCCAAGGTAATATGACAAGTGATGACGTGAAGAAAAATGTGTTAAAATGTTTTGATATTTTAAACTCTGGACCATTATTACCAAATACTTTTCCACGAATACGAGCAATGTCACTGCCTTGTGGAGTCCATTACTGCCGAATTAAAAATTTTAATCCAACTGATTCGAATTCTATAGTGACGAATTATTATCAATCAGGATTAGCTTCTATGAAATTGTCCGTGATAATTGATTTATTGACGGTGAGTATTTGAAGCTAATACGATAATTTTATTACTGTTAATCAAATAGATCTGATCATATAATATAATTAATAATTTAAATAAAATGCTTTGATGATATAGATGATCATGGAAGAGCCTTTATTCAATCAATTAAGGACACAAGAACAATTAGGATATGATGTATCTTGTCTACTGCGTGATACATATGGCGTGTTTGGGTACTCAATAACTGTGTGTACGCAAGCGGATAAATTTAGTGCCGACCAAATTGATGATCGAATAGAGGCATTTTTAAAGTCTTTCTATGAAAAACTTGAGTCCATGTCGGACAAAGACTTTCAAAATCACAAAGAAGGCTTGGTTAAATTGAAACAGTGTGCTGATGTTCATCTGAAGGAGGAGGTCACTCGTAATTGGGCAGAAATAAAATCCGGCGAGTATTTGTTTGATAGATTGACTCAGGAGACTGATGAAATTCATCGAATTCGTCTTGAAGAGTTGAGAGATTGGTTTAAAGAGCATATTGTTGGTGGTAATAACTTTCGTAAGTTGTCAACTCAAGTTGTTGGAACGAAAAAACATGATAAAAATATTAGCGACAATGAAATTAATAAAGTGGAAGATGTTAAAGGTAAGAAATTTTTAATTGGTTGTGTTAATTGTTTTTTGGGACTAATTAATATTTATTTTCAGACTCAGCAGTACAATGCAATTATGCCTTGCAGTATCTGGATCCAGAAAATGAGAAAAATAGTGAAATTTTTATTAAAAATATTGAAAAATTCAAGTGTAAATTATATGCCTATCCAGAACGCTATAGCAATTAGTTTTTGTAATTTATAATTGACTTTTTGAATTAAACAATTGACTGCAAAGAGAAAGAGAATTTTATTAAAGAACTAATTATAAAATTTAAATAATTTTAGATTTTATTTTAATTTAATTTGATAAAAAATTTTAAAAAGAATATATTCAAGTTTTTTAAAGAATCAAACAATGGATTTCGATTGGATTTATTCAAAAAAATAGTAGGAAAGGATATTAAAAATAAATGAAATAAAAAAATGAATTAATTTTATCTTTATTTTTATTTCATTTCAAAGTTCATTCGAAAGCTTAATCTTGGTCGTAAACAAAAATGTTTATGCTAATGTAACCAATTAACAATGATAATATTATTTTGTTATAATGATGTGTACATATAATATTTTTAGGATAGAAGGAGAGAGAGAGAGAGAGAGAGAGAACCGACGAAGTTATGTTATAAAATTCGCCACGAGAATTTCTTTAATTTTTTTTTCGTAGAAGTATATAATAGTTAATCAATAATGTTGAAACCTGTTAATTAATATAAGCATTTCATAACACTCTTTTACAGTACACTCATTCCGTCGCAGATATCAAGTAATTTAGTAATTGAAAAAAAACAATAGTCAGAACAAAAAATGAATTTTTAAAATTTTAGCGTATCAGCATTAAATTTTTATTTTTTCTACGGGTGAAATTAAACATCGGCAAAATTTTTATTATTAACTTTTCCTTTTATTATTTTAGGATTTTTTATGTACTATTTTTCATGGGGACATTATATGGGACCCACGTGCGTTTCCGTCTACATCAATATAGTGGTTGAAATTTTTTTTTTAGTATTAATTCGCACATTGCTACAATTATACGTTGTGAAATTTCTAACATTATGTCTTACAACAAATACTTTTAATAACATCAATTATTCAACCAAAATAAAATATAAAAAAGCAAGATATTAATTATTAGTTTAATAATATAACATAAAGTATTTCATTTAAAATAAAAATAATCAAAATTAAACTTAAATGTAAAAAGAAGAATATGCATTTTTTTAAAGATTAATAATTAATGATAGCCGATTTATTTTTTATAACAAAATAAAATTAAAAAGATATAATTATAGTTTAATAAGTTCAATATTTTTTTTCTATATTTTTGTGAATAATAAGAGAAATATGCAAACTACTGCTCAAAGCATTTTTAATTCACATTTCTCGGTACCATATTATATTTTTGTATTTATTTTTTTATCCTTTTTTTTTTTTATTTTTTTTAATTTTTTTTTTAATTATTATTTAATCTTTTATCAACTTGGCGCGTAATATTTTTTTCAAATGGAGTTTACAGATATTTTAATTACAATATACGATAGATTATGTTTAAAACGTGTTATAATATAGAATAAGTTTTTATTTTTTTGTGGGTCCCAAAATGCTACGAATATAACAAATAAATAAAGTGCATCAGCACTTTTTTTTTTCTATTTTTTTTCGCATCATTTCCATTTATTTTATTAAATGTTCAATAATGTGCATTATTATTAACTTTTCCATCATTCTTTATTGCATCGCCTTTTAATTTTCTGTTACTTCAATTATCGTGTATAGTAACTAATTTAAATATTTTATTTTAGTGTATTCAGCAACAGTAATATCAAGTGTGATAACTTTTTAAGTCATATCTTTTATTTTTTCTTCTGTTTTTCATAAAATTCAAAGTGCCATTTGACCACTGAATAATTAAAGCAATTGGCCATTAATTACCTCGGCAAATATTTATATTGTGAGTCATTAATTTCTTGATTTAAAAAAGTCGCGGCTTGAAAATGAAACAAGTACAACGCGGTACATTATTTTTTAATCACAATTTTCTTTTTAAAATCTGTTGACATTGACATTTACAATCATGATTCAATATTTTAATCTGAAAATATTTCGTAGAGTTGTGTCAGTATTGGTTTCAATATTAATCATCAAATTACAGGAATATTTAATTCCAAGTTATTTTTTTTTAAAAGCTCAATCCACCTGTAATTTATTTTTAAAGATTTTAAAATGGATTTTTTCAATTTTTGGAGGCACACATGCGCTTAAATATCTGGTAATGACATTAAATAAACATTTATTGTTTAATTTATAGTTTCCAGTTGCCGTGTTCAAACTAAACGCACATTCTCGTTCAATCTCCAAAAAAAAAAAAAAAAATACAAATTCAACTTTGTAATTACGACTTTGTTATTTTTTTCTTATTAAAACGTTATTTGTCGTATAAAGTCATTGTCACAATGCATATAATTATGCAATAACAAATCTACAAAAATATAACATTTTTTAATCTCTTGATCTCACATTTTAATCAACGGCTTTTCATTTTTTTCCTTGTATATCACTCCCGTTTTAATAATCGTATACTCTTACATTTTTCTTACTCCATTATCATTATCATTATCATAATCATATTATTTTATTTTACATGGTTCATAATATCAAACCATAGTCAGCCTTGTTTTTATTATCCTTATCAATGCCATGAGTTTCATCCAGATCACTTTTAATTATTACGTTTATTCTCTCCATACTTATTTAATTCAATTAAATGAATCAGATCTCTGAGAATTAACAATCACAATTAATGATTATTAATGCTCATTAATCAGCACACTACACTCTTATTTACAAATTACTTCACACATAACTATTACAAATCATTCAGTTTTATCATTGCATTCACACTTGACTCATTTATACAATAGTACGCACACTATTTTTCATTTTTCATACATAAATAACATACTTATAACAAATGTTATTTATTTATCGTTTATCCTTTACTTAAACAGATTAAGTTTATCAGGCACGACAATTCAAGCACTCGTTAGTCAGCATTTGTATCAATTAAAATACGAGAGATCCTACCAGAATAAATCATTTAAATATAGGGACTCGTATATATGTATAAATATATATTTTACCTATATGAAAAGCATCAGTCTCTTTACGCCAATAATACCGTCTAGGTATCTTGTGTCTCATTATTTTTATTTATTATCCGTTCAAGTAAACACAATTATTATCACATAATAATGATGTTTTATAAAACTAAATGAGGCATCCAATAACAAGACCGTGCGAAGCGAGCATTTCATATAATACCGGAAAATATATATTTTATATCATGGTAAAAAAAATAATCACATTCCTTAATAATTAAATACCTATAACAGTTGACCACATTTCGTTTTATGTTTATAAAACCAGCGTACAAACGCTAATCAGTCAAAGTTACGCATTTATCGTCGCAAGAGTATGATCTCTTTACTACGCTATTTTAATTTTTTTTTTCTTCGTTCGTCCATTATTTTTTTAACTAATGTATACGGCGATATTTTTGGCAGTGAGGACATGGTAATGATCGCTTTATCGATCTATTTATACATTTAGTTTATCCTTTTACATTTTCATATCTTTAAATCACACTCATTACTGTTTCATTTATTTTATTAATTTAATTATTGGCCCCACCAGAACTTTATATGCACATCGAGCCATAATGCACTTTTAATATTACATAGTTTATAACAAAAAAAAAAAAATATACTTAGATTTTAGAACGCGATAAAAAAAAAAAAATCTTCAACCATAAACTTAATTTTTATTCTAAATAATTTTAATAAATTTTTTACAAATATGAAAAAAAAAATACAACTTTAGCACAAATTAACATAACTCATAATAATAATAATTTTAATAATTACTAAAATAATATAATTATGCGTAATAATTAATTTTTTAATAAATGAATAAAAAAAAAAAATAAATTAACATATCAAACGTTACTTTAACTGTGCACGACCGCTCGATAGTCATATAAAGATATTAGTTGCGGTCTTTAGTTATATCCGAGAACTTTAAATATTCTTCCTCCACCTACAACCCGAAATTAAACTTAATTTCGAGTTAATTTAATTATCTTTTACCGTTTGTGATACATTTAAAGATGCATCGCCCTGGCCCTTCTCTACGGGCTTGCCACCACCGTTAACAGCACTCTCTGTTTGTTGATTAGATTCTGTTTTTTCTTTGGCATTTACGTCTTTCACCAATAATTTACTAAAAAAAATAAAAAATAAAAAATAAAAAATAAATTCGAAGATGTTTAAACACTTGAAGTAATTAATTAATAATTAATTAAACTTACGAGAAGGCATCTGCGTTGACTTCATCAACCGAATTGTCTCGATTTTTCGAATCTTTTTTCATATCATTTTCTTGATTTTTTTTAACAGCAGACTTTTTTTTGCTCGTAGCCTGTAAGTTATAAAATTAATAAATAAAAACAATAATTAAGAATTAAAAAAACTCGACAACTTACTTTCATTTGAGTTTTCTTTCCGCGAGTAGCAATTGAATTATTACCTCCTCTTGGTTGAAACATACGAGTATTTAAGCGTGGAAATGGCACCTAAAACAATCAATAGCAATTCTACATAAAATCAAGCTACAATAATAATAATAATAATAATAATTCATGCACTGGTTGGTAATTATTTTCAAAGACTCAAGTATTTAAAACAAATATTACTAATTCTCACCAATGCATCCACAATCTGGAGCTCCAATAATAGGAGTAGCGTCACAAATAAAATATACATATTACACTAATTGTACAATGTATTTTTAAATCATTTCAATTCATAATCAAGCCATTATTAATTAAAATATAAATATATAATACAATAACACAACAAAAGATAATTACATCGTGCATCCTGCAGAAATTAATTAAAAAAAAAAAAGATTTATACCTGTTGAGGGAGTCGACCACGAAGATGGCCTTGGATTGGCTGAGGACCTTGGATCCTTCCAGGTTGTCCGTAGTTAGCGCCCCATTGACCAACGACGACTCCAGCAATTTCTAGCTGACCTCCACGAGAAGGTACAGGTCTGCGAATTAATTCACGCTGTAAAACGTTGACAGGTCGATTGACACGAGCACGATTTTGCGTGTCATTCAATGCACAGCTAACTGGTAGACCGTTGGGTGTTAGCCCCAGTGATCGGAATCCAGGAATCAAGTCTATAAAAATAAAATCAAGTTCATTATCTTGGAAACTGACTCTGTACATACTAATAATAATAATAATAATAATAATAAAATGTATCTATTGAAATAAAAAATTACTTGAGGCTATTGGTGGTTGTGGAGGCCGAGCGTACACAGGATTAAATCCCTCGATAATGGCTTTACGCATTCTTTCGACTTTTACTACGCGATCAATATGGCCCCCACAGAGCTCAAGAAGATTTTTAGCCACTGCTGCACGAGCTAGAGTGTGGTGGAATAGTTTGCCGTCAAAGAACAACCATGGACAACACATCAGCCACGGGATTGGGGCACCACAAGCATCGTTAGCCAATAAAGCTGTTTCCACACCAGCCATGAACAGAGTTGCCAATTGAACACCACGGAATGTTACGAGTGGAAGCTAAATTTTTAAGTTAATTTTATTAACAAAACATTCAAAAATTATTTTAGGAGTTTTATTAAGTACCTGAAGATCTTGGAGGTATTGCGGGTTCATTAAATCCGGTGAAAATGCTTGGACAATAAAAGCATCAAGTTCCTGACGACGTAATATTTTTGTTTTGTCCGAAAAATACATGATGTATCTATAATAAATTTAATCATATTAAAAAAAAAAAATTATCTTTTTAGACAATTAAAATTGACTAAAAATTATTATTATACTTTAGTCATAAATTTTATATTATAGAATAAATGATAAATACCTCAGTACGCAAGCCATGACCAACAGGTGCTGTGGTACATAAGAAATATTCAACATGAGTGAAGTATCTGATTTCATGCATGTAAGAAATCCACGAAGTCGACGGCGTTTATCTTCAATGCCAGTACTGAAAAATAAAGTTCACAGAATTGAAATAAAATTTTCAAATTGCTGTGCGGTACTTATTTGATACATTTAAATAAATGCACAGTCGACACGTAATAAAATCCACAGATACAAAATTATTAATAGACACACAGACTATTAAAAATTCACAAATTCACAAAACTCTTCAGAGCAAGCTGTATTTATAAATAATGAATCAATGGCTAAAAGTCTCGTTTAAATAATCAAACTACCAATGATAATCATTTTTATTCAAATCTACTGTATAAATTAAAAATGAATTGCATTTAAATATTTAAGTACTTACCCGAACCACAAACGTTGAATTGTCGGTACACCCCAGCCAATCTGTTCGGCTTTGATCAGCTCTGGTGTTTGGTATGGATTTGTTTTTGACCATACCCACTCTTTAATTACAATATCAGGCACTTCGATTTTTTCATCTATTTTAAAAATGATAAATAATTCGTAGATTTAATTGATAAATATATTACTTATAAGCTCATTTTAAATAAAACTATTCTGTATTATATTACCTCCTTTTTCTTTATTCTTAGTAGCCATAAATATTTGATGATGAAGATTAAACAAAATAGCGTAGACCATTTGCCTCACCGGTCGATAAATGATATGAATAGATGGAAACTCCCGTTGATTTTCATCTTCCAGTAAAACGGGTAATTTTATTTCACCCGTCGCGAGAATTTGATAAATGTGAGGAGACATTAAACCTTTTTGGTGACGTTCAGAGGCAGTTCTCATTACTTCTGGCACAGTAGTTGGAATACTGACAGGTTTATCAGCGACTTTAGTTTGTCCCGTGGTAGGATGTGATGGAGAAGTTACTGATGAACTGCCGTTAGAATTCGGTGAGCTTGTTGATAAATTACTGTGTGTACCATTAACAGCAGGTTCTGTAGCAGGTTGCTCGTCATCGGTTTTAACATCACCGTCTCCTTGAGACTGCTGTGGTGGCTCGATAACTATTTGTGGTGCAGCTTTAGCGTTTGCTGTTGCCTGATTGTAGGCATCCAAACTCTCACGCTCGCTCTCCGCCGTTTCCGAGGCAAATCGGGAGGTTCCCATAGCACAATTCTCGTCAGGTGTCGTCGCTTCTGTTGAATTTTGCTGGTTTACAACAGGATTTTTTTTGTCTGGTTTGTGAGTTCCTAAATAAACATTTAAAATAGTTTTATAAGAGTTATTAATTATTTATAAAAAAAAAAAAATAACAAACCTTTAGTTGGCTTAGTTGTTTTATAATGCAAAAATCCCTCCTTTGTTCCATTAATATAATATTGGACGGACTGGTGGAGTTTAGAACATCTAGGATCAGACGTTGAGCCAAATACTTTTTGAGCTAATACGTCTTTGTCAGTCGATGGAAGGTCCTTAACAAATGTCGCGATTATTTTAATAGATTGATCAATATTTGTTTTGTTTGGACCAGTTATATTGATATTCAATTTTTTATAAAAATCTGTAAGTTCTTGTTCAGTAAGAATATAATTTCCAAGCAATGCAGCTAGTATACACAATCGGTCTGATGGTATTCCAAGTGATTTATTAACTTCTGACATTAAATATTCTTTTGTGTCCAAAGATCCTTTGTACGTAAGTTTCAATTGTTCTGAAGAAAAATAACGAGGTGGATCAAAAGCTGCATACTCTCCGTCATCAGCAACAAGCCCATTAAAGTTATTTTCACGACAATAAGCTATTACTTCTTGATGATGATCATCCATACTACACATCTAAAATAACAACAGATAATTATAAATTTATAGTGTCTAATAAAAAATATTCATCAACTCTTTAATCAATGATAATGAAAATAAATATTTACCACAGATACTTTTAAATGACGCAGTGCCATACGTAAGCTAGTGCGTAAACATACAGGAGGTGTCCACCAAATTTTTGGCGGTGGTGTACCCTTAGTAGCAATATGCTTTAAAACCTATTTAATAAATAAAAATAATTATTGTACTATAAATATATTTTTTCCGTTTGTTTGAACAATTGTATTGTCTCGTATTTATACTGTCAGCAACGTACATTATTAACTTTATTACGCATTTGAAGTTGCTGCTGAATCCATTCAGAACGACGCGGAACTTCATTACAGCCATTGAAAAACACAACCAAGTCAGCCCCTGACAGCTCAGTTGCTTGAATTAAAATAGCGAGAAACTGGAGCATACGATTCCATTGTCCACCACAAGCCCAGTCTATTCAATAAAAAATAAACAATTTATTTATCTCAATTAATTTCTCAAACTTTATATCAACACATACCTGAAAAATATCCACCGTAAAGGCGGTCTAGACAACATTCGGCGTCCAAAACAAGACGTAATAATGGTGGGTGGGATGATTGAGCTTTGTTAAGGCGATTTCGCTGTCTTTGAATAACTTGTCGTGCAATTTTTAACAAATCCACGGTCACTGCACCACCAGGTATGCAATTGCTATCTAAGAATGTTTGGAAATCCTGGATACCCATTGTGATTGTTTATTTTATTTGTGACAATTTAAAATTTCTTGTTGTTAGTTTAAAATTTTTTAATTTTGTCTTTTCAAATTTTTTTATCTCTTTATTAATTCCGTAGTATTTTTTTTTTTTTTTTTTGTAATTGTTTAATACAAAGTAATATCTTTAATCCAACATATAAACTCGGTATGTCTTAAATAGAAACCTGTAAAATAAAAGTCAAAAATAAAACTATTAGTAATAATAATAATAACAACAATATAATTAATAATTGGCGATAAGTTTGAAGACATTAAAGCGAAATGTTAACGCTGGTAATTAACAATATAATTAGTTACTTAAAAATAATAAATAATTTAATTTAATAAACAATTTATAAATATCACATGATAACTAACTAGTTTTAATTACGTAATGATTAAAAAGTGTCATAATAGTAAATAAAAATAAATTATTAAATAAATGGCAGCTTTTAAAAATTAACTATTTATAGGAACGCCATTGATTTTGTTTACTTGTGGACGTAGCAATAAAATTAATTGATGTATACCTATATTTATCGCCACCATAAATACATAAATATTTATAAATCATTACAGCCAATAAATTAATTATTAATTACCTTCATTTACTAGGGTGACAAAGAATTAAATAAATAACTGCATTTAAATTCTTTACCAGATAAATAAATAAATTGCTCCTGATAATTTATTAAATTAATTGGGATTGAAATATGTATTTTATAAACCGGCATGGCGATAGTAGACTCGGGGAAAAAAGAATAAATTTAAAGACAAAGACAGCGGTTACTTATGCAAGCCTATCAACTGGACTCGTGATAATTTTAATGTAATTACGACGTCCACATTATTTTTCAATATTTAAATATTTATAATTAATGCCATTGATTGTTATTATTAATATTTATTTAATACTCACGCAAATTCCAAGAGAATCATCGTGGCTCCTAAAATGTAACAGAAATCACACACACACACACACATACACACACTACCAATTTTTTAACGTGTGTGCTTCTTCATCTCTTTTTCTCGGGTATGGTGCAAATTACACGACCAAAATGGCGGAAAGAACTTCAGGAGAATTATTTAAGTTGGCAGCACTGTCGTAAATTTAAATTATTCTCGTATCATCTTTTGGAAATGACGAGACTTGTATGACCAGCTGAGTTATTTATAAATAAAAAAAAAGAAAAAAAGTAATAAAACTTATGTTTTTAATTGCAAATAATTAATAAATTTTCTATTATTAAGCAGGCGTGATTGTGAATTGTTGAGTGAATAATATTTAAGGAAATTTTTAAAATATAATTTAATAAAAAAAATCTATTTGATAAATTTGATGACATTGTGAATTCTGACAGCTTTTAAAATTAATAAATAAAATACATATTGTTAAAAATGATTGAAGATATATAATTAAAAAAATTATTTTGAAGCATTGGTAGAACAGGTTTCTTTTGAATTACAATAATTATCTCTGTATTATTATAATTCTACTTGTTGTTATTATTATTGAAGTTCCAACATATGTAAGTGCATGAAGTATTGTTTTGTTTTGAACGCGGTAACTGTGTTTTTTTGTAATTTATTTAATGTAATAATTGTAATTAGTATAAATTTTTTTTTTGTAATGTCGAAACAATTTATAATTATTTATAGTTCTAAGAATATAAACTAATATATAAAAAATGTGTGTGTTACTCTGAGATAAGGAGTTAAAATAAATAAATGACGTTGTGTACTATATTTTGTAAATTAGAATAAATTATAAAAAATAAATAAAAATGATGAAAATATCGGCTTTGAATGAGGAGTCCAGTGAGGAGAGTGATGAAGAAAATACACCGACAATTACTAAAGAAGCCCAGGTAAGATTTTAAGTTTTTTATAGATATAAAAATAGTTTTTATCTAGCATAACCTAGTCGGCAACATTGAGCCGGTATTGAAACATAATTACCTATATTTATTTTATTTTTTTTAGGAGCAAATCGCTTTGTCGGAGTACAATAAAGGATTGGAGCTGCGAAAAGAAAATAAGATAGAAGATGCCTTGACTATATTTAAAGATTTGCTGGAGACTGAGCTGCTGGACCAGGTGGAGAAACCTGAAGTTCCTGATGGACGAGCGCGGCCAATGTTGTCCTTAAAATACTGCTGCTTCAAAAATATTGGAGCGATTTATAACCAAATGGAAAATTATGAAGAAGCTATCAATAATTACTGGGAAGCTGCTAATCTAGACGCCAGTGATGTAATGCTATGGTGTCGGATGGGCACGATAGCGATGAAGACATCTAATCTAGAGTTTGCTTGCTCAGCGTTCAAGCGAGGGCTGACGTGTAATCCCAACCATTGGCCTTGTTTGGATAATATCATCACTGCGATGTACGCGGTACCAGATTATATGAACTGCTTGCTGTACATATCTATGGCTCTGGAAAGAGATCCCAGCTATATCAAAGGTCTGGCGTTTCGTGAGCAAATATTCAGAGAAGTTCCTTATTTTCAGGAAAGTTACAAGCTATTCAATGTCGACTGGGCGCTGGATCCGCCGATGGACACTGAATTTGATAGAATTATTGGAGAAAAATTAATTGCTGAGGCGAAGGAAATCGCTGCCGGGTGGGTAGAATTTTGCAGGCCAGAATTTGAATTCAAACCTTTGCCGGATCTCTCCCTTCATAGGCCTCTGAAGAATCACTCTTGGCTGGACTTAGGAGAGAGTCTTGTAGAGATGCATAAACATATGAGCGATAATAATTTGAATTTTATCAGTAAAATAAAATTAGATATTCAAAATGAGGTTGAAGTGCTGGTAAGTAAAAATACTGAAGAAGAAAAGAGGGAAATTGAAGAAATGACTGTAGATATTAGCTCTGAACTGGAAAGCGTTACTGATGTTGAGAAAATGGACCACCGAGACTCTGCAGAAATTGAAGAAGATCAAGAGGTCCCAGAGATTAAGCTGGACAGCGAAATGGATGTCGATGGTGATGATGAGAAATCAAGCTCCAGTGATGTTCATATTATTGAAGATGAAGATCCGTTGAAATTGGAGTCTGATATCGAGCAGCTAGATCAAAGCGAGCCTAAAATTCCTGAGGGTGTAGAATTCCTCAACAGTACAGTTTTTGATGAAGTGGAAATTATTAAGGCCAATGAAAGTCCTAATGACAATACTGAAAAATCTGTTGAAGAGGTACAAGATAAGAGCGACCCCAAAGCCGAGTTAGCTGAGAAAAGTGAAGGTAAGTCGACGGAAAAATTAAATGACAAGTCGTCCAAGTCAGATAAGCCCAGTGAAAAGACGGAGAGTAAAGAGGAGCAGCAGAAAGTTAAAAAAAGACGGAGAAGTTCTTTGTGCTTCTTGCAGCAGTGGGCTTGGAGCAGCAGCAGTATGAGAAGGTCTGCTCGAGTCCGCGGTTCCAATAGAAGAGAAGCTGAGAGAGATGACCTTCAGCTTGAAGAAATGATTCGAAGAATATTTCCTCCAACTTTGTTGCCTGATACCGCTAAAATAATCAGAGATGATCCTACCAAGACTATGGACGACTCTATGGACACTATGGACTTGTATCAGCTGTTTGCGCGTCAAGAAAATGGAAACACTGAAGAAAGCAAAAGTTCGAGTCCAGTTCCATCCCCGGATTCTCCAATTCAGAAATACTTTGGAACAGAGAGTGAGAAAAGTCAAGTTATTGATTTTATTAATCAGCACAGCGGTAAAAGCAACTTGATGATAATAATTGCGAGGTATACGGAATTTTTAAGTACTAAATGGAACCACGAGTGGCCGAAAGAACTGACTGAAATTTATCAGCAAGCTTATTTGTTTACGCGAGAACATATTCCGCATGCTTCGCCTTTCGGTGACTCTTCTGAGGAAGATTCAATCTTAAAGTATGACGCAGAAATGACTTTGTTATTCAGCGAATTGCATACTGATAAATGGTTGGACAATAAGCCAGAAGTTTTGCCGTCTGCGACGATCGATAAATTCGGCACCGGAATTCCGTCTGAAGAACTAGGATACATTATTTTTGCAAGTGTCCGTGACAATTTATTGAATGAGGAGAATTTGATATTTTTATTGAGAGTATTATGGGTGAAGGCGAGTATTTTCTTGTGCCAAGGCGACACAGATATTGCAATTAAAAGCTTGGAAGTTCTTCTTCACGATATGGAGGAATTCAAGCAGCATTTTCCAGGATTATTAGTCAAGTTACCAAACTGTAAGCATAATTCACGCATTGATATGTCCGTAGTCCAGAAAAAGTTGACGTCAATAGAGCGTGGGCAGAAACTTGGCGAAGTCCAGAAACTTCACGAAGATAAAAAATTCTATGAGCTGTCTCTCGTGCTGAAGGACACCTTCAAGTTTGCCAAGCAGCAGAATGATTCATTGACCAATGTAAAATTAAATATCGACCGTAAAAAGCAGCTGTCGATGCTGCTGGAAAGCTTGTGGCAACTGGAGCAGTACGAGGATTGTTTCGTGTGGGCTGAAATTTGTCTGCATGAAGCTTGGCAGTGTTACAACAACAGTTCTGATGAAGCTGATCAGAAAAAATGGGTATCCAGTGTGCTTAACTGCTTGGAAAAACTGGAATCTTGTATTGAAATGGCCGGATCATCAGTAGTGAGGCATTTATCTGAGAGCAAAATTACTAGACTAGTTCAAACATCGGTCCAGATCCTTTGTCATCAGTTGGATGTCCCGGATACAGCAGTGGAGATGCCCGTGGAGTCTGTCACGCCTTGGATTATTCTCCACCATATTCTTCAGTACGAGGATGACCGCGAGCGAGCTAAGTCTCGGTTCAGTTCAAAAGCTAAAGCCGCTGATGATCCTGAGTCTGACTCTGATGACGAAGACAAGGACATTCCTGCGCCTATTATGTTGCTCTTTGTAGGTCACGACTTCCTCGGTCGTCATTCTTGGTGCTGTATTAATGAAGCTAAGCTGCTTATTTTTACGATAAAGACAGTCGTACCCAGAATGTGTAGCTCGCGATACAGTGCGGTGAGGGAAAAAATTACTAAACATCTGGAAAAAATATTCTGGTGTCTGTATGGACACCCCAACAGAGCCAACAAAACAAAACCAAAACATCTTGAAGATCATGGAGTGCCACAAATCCCACTAACATGGGACATTGCTCAATTACTTTTTGAATTCTACAAGCCAGATGTCCTGCCGGAGTTTGACACTCCTCGAGCTATGTCAATCAGCGCTGATACTAAAATTCTGTTCAAAAAAATAAACTCACTGGTTCCAAAGGAACACGATCCAAGTGGAATAGTTGATGAAATAAATTCTTATATTATAGGTGAAATAGAAGAAATGCCAAAAGTTAAAAAATCACTGCCATATAAAATAGATTCTTTGTACTATCTTCTTGGAGATTATTCATTTAAAAACAACAATTGGCTCTCTGCTACCAAGTACTATTCAATGGACGTTTGTCTTCATCCAAAAGCCTTTAACTCTTGGGTTGCACTTGCTATGTCTGTAAGTACTCTTATGGGAACAACTTTAAATAATTGCAAGCCTCTTTCAGATATCACCAAATTATTATGGCAAGCAAAAATCGCCCAGTGTTGTTACCAAAAAGCCGTAGAGATAAAACCAGGCCACAGTGTCATCTGGATTGAGTATGGAAACTTTGTCTACATGGTTCATTCATTTTGTTCGCGCTTACTCAAGCAGGAGGCTGATCTCAGCATGGAAAAGTTTCAGATTATTGAAAAAAGAAAGGAAGATACGCTGGATATTGCTGCTAATTGTTTCAACTCAGCTAATAATATTTACCTGGCGAACATCGATGATGCTGCACAGATGCAAGACGAGAGATGGTTGTACCATTACATGCTTGCTAAGATAGCTGAGAAAAAGAATCATGATCCTCCAATATTTTTAGAACACTACGGCAAGGCCAGTGAGTTGTTACACAAGAATAATGCTTACTATCCCAAAAAAATTAGCCATAAAAATGCGCACTATTTGTCAATTGAAGCTTTGGAAGTGCACTATCGAATTCATGCAAGTATTTTGAAGCATCTGGAGCTGTTTGAAGGTAAGCCGCTGAAAAAATCATTGGGTGACTTATTTTGGAAACATTTGTTGGACTGCGCTAGTGGACCTTTCATGCAGTTTCCTTCTGAATTGAGTAAGAAGAAAAGAAGAGATGAGTCTAATTCAAATGATACTGATTATAAGATTCCTGTTAAAAGCTCAACTGAAAATACAACAGAAGTGGTGCCTAAAAGTCGGACTAGTTTAGAAAAACGGCAGAATAGTGTTGAGGAGATTGCTGTTATTGAGAAAAGCTCTGAGAGTAAATTAAAAAATGATAAAAAAAGACCGCGTGAATCAGTAAGCGAGGAACCGTCTAAAAAAGTGAAACTAAATGAAGAATCACATCTGCAATTGTGGGCTGGAGTTGTAGAAACTGTTGACGGTATTATTGATAAGGTTTGTGAACTTGATTTGCAGAATGAAACGAACCAAAAAGATGCTGATGAAGTCATGGTAATATCCAGCGATGAAAGTGATTGTGCGAGGACTTCAAAAACCCGAAATGAATATGAAAAGACACGTGCTATGGAGAAGAGGTCTGAGGAAGATAATAAAAGGAAAAATGCTCAAGCGGAAGAATCTAGCTTGACTAATTTGCCGGTTTATGACAATCAGGGAGATGCTACTAAAAGCGATAACAAATGGCAGGCGAGTGATAGCCCGCCTTTTGCTACTTTTGATTTTGGAGATAAAGACAAAGCGGTTGAAAAGAAAAAGACTGAAGCTAGCTCGACTAAGGAAGAAACTACGTTGAGCCGACGTGCTTCGCAAGAAAGTACTAATAGTACGTTAACTTCCAGCACAGCAGAAACGAATAATTCAAGTTATAGCAGCAGCGATGAGTCTAGTAGCAGTAGCGATGATAGTTCTAGTAGTGACAGCTCTAGTGACAGCGATTCTGAATCTAGCGATAGCGATACTGAGAAAAAAAAACGCACTCCTAGTCCTGTTGATAAAAAAGGTTGTTCTTTTATTTATTTTTTTATTAATATAAATGACTTTTATCAACTAATTATTTTTTTTTAATTTCAGAAGAGTATTATTCTGAAGGAGAAGTCGCGAAGCTAATTTCATACTGTCTAGCTGGACTAGAACAGTGTGTCTTACGATTTCCCGAACACTACAAGTCTATCTACCGTCTTTGTCATTTCTTCTTCAACCACAAGGTTGCTAAAGACAATGACAAATGTCGCGATCTGCTGCTGAGTACATACAAGTGTCAATATTACGCTGATCTTACTTTCCAAGGACTTTTTGCTGATAGAAAATCGACCAACTTTTTTAATGTGAGTTTTTATCAATTTATTTATTTAATATTCATTTATTTTTTTTTTTAGCAAAAATACAAAAAGAAAATTTACATTTAATTTTATGAAAAATAACATAATAGCTTACATTTAAATTTATCAACGTCAATATTTCTAACAAATTCAACATTCTTCGGTTTTTTTGACACTCCATCGTGATCAATCATCAAAGCTCCTCTAGTCTTCCCAGCGGTGATAGGTAACGCGTTCATTTTTACTGCATCTGTTATTAACTCTGGCCAGAGCATCACTGCTGCTACCATTACGTCTGCAGGTCTCCAAGTTGAAGATTGACGATTCAAGCCTTTAACCTCGGCTTTGTTCAGAAAACTTACAACCCGTGAATTTATCTTTCCAAATACATTCACTCTCCATTCCTTAAAAAAAAAAAAAAATAATAATATTTATTTAAATATTTAAAAAAATATTTGTAAAATCAAACCTTGGAAACTGCTGCTTTAAAAACTGTCTCTTTAGGATACAAAAGATGAACTTTTCCAGACTTCGGAGCATTTAAAACAATATAATTACTGTCAGGATCATTTCCAAAGTTGTAATCAGTAACAAGAGGTTTTTTTTTGCCTCCTATACATCCGCCCATAATATACAACCTGTTGATGTTGTTCATAAAATTAGAATCCAGAGTTACTGCGATTGCAATGTTTGTTAATGGACCCAGAACAAGTATATCCAATTCTCCAGGATACTTTTTTGCCAAGTCAATTAAAACTAATGCTGCGTGAGCAGATCTATTAACATAACCATTGATTTCTTCTTCAAATTTGAAATCACCGAATCCATCGTTGCCAAAATAATCATCAAACTTGAATTCACCTACCAAAGGCTTCTTCGCTCCTCCATATACAGGAACCTTAAATAATTTTCTATCAGTATTAATAATTAAAAAAATTACAGAATTTTCTTACCTGCGATTTGGCGAGAGTGAGAGTTTTAAGAACATTTTGTTCAACATTCTCCTCATAAGTATTTCCGTACACGCACGTGATTCCAACGACCTCATAATTAGTATCATTGTTTGCGCAAGCAGATAAAATCAAGAGAATAGCTGCTGAGTCGTCGGGTCCTCCATCCGTGTCAATTATTAATTTCTTCGAGCGTACGCTATCGCAATTTATCTTTTATTGTAAAAATAATTAATTATAAAAATTATATTTAAATTTTAACTGTACTTACTTTGTTAAAAGTGCTAGTAATGTTAAAAATATTGAATAGATAATAAATTTATTCATGATTGGAATTTTATTTAACAGTCTGTTGCAAGACAGTTTAATACTGAAGTCTACTTAAATTTTGACGATTCTCAAATAATATTTTATTATTTTTATTAGTAGTAGGAGTAAACGTAACGTGGCAAGCTTAAGATTCTACAAAATAGATAATGCTCGTTTTTATTACGATAATTATCCGGGTTTTTATGACGCTTATTATTAAGCCTCACGAAAAGTTTATATAATTAATTAATAGTAAATTTACATTAATTATTTATTATCAATGGTCTCAACTGTTAAAGAATTATATAACTTGAAATTGAACATTATTATTCATAATCTCATATGACATTAACGTTATTTATTTAATCGCATTACAAAAGAGTATTAAACTTAAAACAAAGCTTAATTTTTACTTGAAAAATTATCAAAAGTCAAGATTCTTTATTGAAAATAATTTATAAGCAATCTTTGAAATTCTTCGGCGTCAAATTGTTGAATAATTTCGACGTTCATGGGCTTTCCGCTTTTTTGGGCATAATCTATCAGCATAGCCCCTCTAGCTATTCCATCAGTAACAGGTGTCACATTAATATTAATCATTTTCTTTGCTAAAGACGGCCAGAGCATCACCGCAGCTGTCATTGCGTCTGATGGATGCCAAGTTAGAGATTCGGTTGAAAAAGTTTTCTTCTCAGCTTTGTTCAAAAAATTTGTGATTGTTGAATTTAGTGAGCCGAGTTTTTTGAGTCTCCATTCCTGAAAAATGAAAAAATTTTATTTATTTTAATTTTCAAATACAAACATTAAATAATTTTTATGAAAATTAATTTAGCAGACAATTAATAATTTTTTTAACAAATAAAATTAAAATTTTTTAAAATTAAAAATGAAATTTTGTTAAAATAATTATAAAAAAATTTATTTGTTATAAAAAAATTAAAAATTGTCAAAACTTTTAACTTTAATGTCATATAATTTTAGCAAAAAAATTTTTTCTTAATTTCCCATGAAGAAATTTTTAAAAAATATAAATAAATTTTCAATACCTTTGGAATCTTTGCTTTAAGAATTGTTTCCCAAGGAAACAGCATGCTTGGTCTTTTCATAGTAAAATTTAGAACAATAAAATCACTATCAGGATCAGTTCCAAAATTATATTCAACGCCCGGAGATTTATTACCCCTCCCCTCAATACTTCCTCCCATAATATACAGTCTTTTCAAATTGTTGATAAAATTGGGATCAAGTGATATTGCCAGTGCGATATTAGTCAACGGACCGATAGCAAGTACACTCAGTTCTCCTGGATACTTTCGCGCAAAATGAACTAAAGCTTCCGCGGAATGAGTAGTCGGATTAATTTCACCTTTGATTTCTTCTTTGAAATCAAAATCACCAAAACCATCTTCGCCAAAATACTTATCCGATGTAAAGTTGCTCATTAGAGGTTTCTTTGCTCCTCCATATACCGGAATCTGAATAAACAATTTGAAAAAAACCACTATTAAGTATTTTCCAATAAAAAAAAAAACACTCAAAAGTTCAAAAATTAACTTACATCAGATGAATTAGCAACAGTAAGAGTTTTCAGGACATTTTTTTCCACGTTTTCTTCCTCAGTATTTCCGTAAGTGCAAGTAATCCCCACGACTTCATAATTAGTATCTTTTCTTGCAGATAAAACCAGTAAGATCGCTGCTGCATCATCAGCACCAGCGTCTGTATCAATAACTAGTTTCTCAGAGTACACACTAATTAAACCAAAAATTTTTTTTAATCACTTTATTTATTTTATAATTAATAATTTATACTAATACTTACTTTGTTGTAGAACTTAGCACGATTCCAGCCACTAAAAGTACTATTGACGCGCTCATAGCTCAGATTTTCTATCAATTAACTATCCAATTAAATTTTCCGTCTTATAAACTCAACTCATGTCCGTTTTTAAGTTATCAATAAAAAAATAAAATTATGACTCTTCGTAATGAATTCCGTTTTTATCAATAACGTTTAACTTTCCGTATGGTAGCCAAAGGACAACATTATAACGTTTATCTTTGCCAAACAATGAAAATCGATTAACAAATCAAACATTAACGACTTATTTATCATATTGAGGAAACGCTCAATGGCAGAAAGAGTTTAAATATCAAACAGACAGAATTATAAAATATAATCGCACATTTATTATCAACCGATCCTTGTAGAGATACAACGAGGTCACCAGGTTTATAACGTTCTCATAATTAATTATTTAATTAATTAGCTATAAAGTATGCTATGATAAAAATTCTTTAAGCATCTGTTTGAATTCCTCAGTGTTTACTTCCTGGATTATTTCCACATTCCCGGGCTGTACTGTTGTGTTCGCATAGTCGATCAGCAATGAGCCCCTGGCAGAGCCATCAATGACAGGAGCTACGTGGACAGTGGTTGATCTTCTCACCAAATTCGGGCGAAGCATCACAGCAGCCGTCAGAGCGTCTGCTGGGTTATATCCTGGGTTGTCATAGCCCAAAACTGTAGATTCAACTTTGTTCAAAAATTCTACAAAGCTAGAATTGATCAAGCCAAGCTCTTTGGTCCTCCATTCCTTTAAAATAAAAAAAAATTAATAATTAATCTTAGATTTTTTTTTTAGAAATTCAAAAAAAAAGTACCTTGGAGATGTTTAATCCAAAAATTGTCTCCCAGGGCAAGAGAAGATGCGGCGTATTTTTGTAAACACTCATGACGACATGGTTGCTCTCAGGATCAGCTCCAAAATTAAATTCAACTCCTGGAGATTTATTTCCAACGCCCGAAACACTTCCGCCCATGATGAAGAATCTTTTTACATTTTTAGCGAACTCCGGGTCCAAAGTCATTGCAATTGCAATGTTAGTCAACGGCCCGAGAGCTAAAATGCTCAATTCTCCGGGGTACCTTCGAGCTAGCTTGACTAAAGCCACTGCTGCGTGAGTAGACCGATCTACTTCACCAAGAATTTCATCCTGAAATTTAAAATCACCGAATCCATCCTCGCCAAAGTAATTGTCGGCTGTATAGTTGCTCATCAAAGGCTTCTGTGCTCCTCCGTACACAGGAATCTGAAAAAAAAATTTATTTAGGAATTTTTAAAGCATTGAATTAATTTTCAATCAATTCTAAAATATTACTTTGGGTAAATTGGCGACTGTTAGGATTTTCAGGACATTTTTCTCAGCAAGCTCTTCAAAAGTGTTTCCATAGACACACGTTATCCCCACAACCTCATAATTTGTATAATTTCTTGCGCTCATTGATAAAACAAGCAAAATAGCTACCGCATCGTCGGCTCCTGGGTCCGTATCAATCACTAGTTTCTCAGAGTACGCGCTAACGTAATCATTATATTTATAATCAATTTTTTTTAGCACTAAATAACACAGACAGCTGTAATACAATTTATCACATAAACCAGAACACACATCTTCAAATCAAATCAATTTCTCTAATTGTAACACCTAATAGTATAATTGATACTTACCCTGCTAAAAGTGTAATTATAACAACAACCAGCAGAATTAGAATTAATTTTTTCATAATAATTGTAATAGCTTGCTTAGCTGAACAAACAAAAAAGATTTTTTTCTCAACTTCTTACCAGCAACTTCTTACTATCTTGACACTACTCTAAAGAATTTGATCTTTTATTTATTTCTTTTCTTTCAGTGTATGTATATATAGAGTCATACATACAGCTTATCTTGTGATTCACTTGAGTACAATTCCGACCACTTAGTGTCACACCAACTAGCATGACCTTACTTGCTTATCTATAATCTATACAATTAGTCTTGTAAAAATTATAGATATTAAATAATAATAATTATTTGCTTAACAATTATCGATACTTTGTGTTAAAAATTATTGAAATAATTAAAAAAAAAATTTTTAATCTTAATTTTACTATAAAGAAAAATTATAATTGATAAATAATAATAAATTAAATTTTTTTCAGGGAGTCTGGAGAATTCCAAATGATGAAATAGATCGACCAGGAAGTTTTGCATCGCATATGTCAAGATGTGTCCATTTATTGATGCAGGTTCTCAAAGAAACTGATGACAGCTGTATGCTGATGGAACTGTGTATCCAGTTGCGAAAAATTCCCGACGCGGACAAGTTCGTACATTTACTATTTAATCTATTAGATAAGATAGCGATGATTAATTTTTATTTATTCTAATCTATGATATTTTTTTTACTAGGAAATATGTGCGAGATTCGGAGCGCGAGCAGCTGTCTCGACAAGCGTTTACGCTTTGTTTGCAGTCACTGCGAACACGTGTACAGTCTATGGGTCCTCCAAGTCCAGATACCGCCCAACCTGATCAAACAGACTCCAGGACCCGGGTACTTCTAGATGTATATAGGATTTACCAACAAGTATCCAAGAACTTCCAGTCCAAGGAGATGCAAGCCTTTGCTACGTTGCTCGTGGACACTTACAAGGTCTACAGAGACATGAAATCTTCAGTGGGCAATCTTCTAGAGGACGCGATGCGCTTCTGCCACCAGCAAAATGCCAACAAGCCTAAATTGACTGCCAGTCAAACGTCCCAGCAAGTTCAGAGTATTCCTCCGCCAGCAGTCACGACTGCGCCTTCAACAACAGCGGTGACACAGTCTCAACCGGTTCCTACCTCTCCGCAGACTTATCAGCAGCGTAAACCCTATAAAAATCCAGGAACTGGCAGACCTCGCGGTCGTCCTCCAAATGTCAATAAAAATTATCCCAATTTAATGAACTCTTATTGTAACAACGCCAGCAAAAGATACCAAAATTATCTTGGTACTAGTAACCAATCGCTGATGAATCCATTCTTCATGAACCATCCATTGCTTGAGTCAAACGCGATGATGTCAATGTTATCCTCGGGACTCAATCCCAGTATGATGGATTCACTAGCAGCAGTAAATTATTTGAGCAATTTAAATCAAATGGGCAACTCTTTGGATATTTTACGACAGTATCAAAACAATCTTCAATCAATGCCTTACGGTGGGTTCGGAAATATTCCTACAAGCTTGCCTAATGTCAGCAGTGTGCCCACAATGACTTCCAACACTGCTATAGGTTCTGTTCCTTCAGTCAGTTCCAGCAACCTTGGATCTATCAACAGTGTGGGTAATTTAACAGTCCAACAACTGTTGAATCTCAGCGCTGCTAAAGCTGGCTCTGCAATTACGACTAGTTCCACAATCTACAACCAGTCATCCTTCAAAACCACCACCGCAAGTTCTACCAAAGAATTATCTCACGGGGTTTCTATTTCTGCTGTCGGTAGTGGAAGTCAGCAGCAAAAATCTAAAACCAAGCATTCATCAATGAATTCTGACTTGAGTGTAATTAGTACTAAAAATATGCCAACATCTCAGCTGAAAACTGGAGTTTCAAGCAGCCAAGTTTCATTGCTGAAGCAATCGGTGATCCAACAGCCAAAGACAGCGCCTCCGAAGCAAGTTTCTGCACCGCAGATCCGAGTTTCTAAAAGCTTGACTGAGCCACAGCCTGCTCACAGCTCATCGTTGTCAGTCTCTCCACTGAAGAGCGCAAGTCCGTCGGGTATAATGAATATGCCTTCCTCTCATCAAAACTTAGGCAACTCCGGGCTGAATATCACGCCAGTTCCCATGGGGCTGGCTTCTAGAAGTGGAACCTCCTTGCAGCACAAATTACAGAAGAAACAAGCTCAGCAGGCCGCTCTGCCCGTCAAAAAGCCTCGCACATCCAGCAAAGCACAGCATGCTGTAAATAAATTGTCGACTATGTTAAATATGGCGAATCCTGCTGCTCTGATGGGTGCTGCTCCTTACTTGCCGCCTGAGCTCAGTGGGATTTCCGTCAACCCAGTGAGCGCATCAACCAGTTCCAAGTCTTCAATCAAGCCCTCGATGCGCAAGACCTCCAGTAAGCCTAAATCCTCGATGGAAATAACTAGCTCAATCCCTTCCTCGCTGGCACAAGCCAGCAATGCCGAAACTATCAGCATGCTCACTCAACTTCAACAACAACCTCATTTGGAAATAATTGCCCAGACTCAATCTAAAGCTCATTCTAAATCAACTGATTTTAATAAAAATCCTCCGTTGTCAGTTAGTGTTGTACCGCCTAAGACTGGTGATAATATTCGCACCAATATTCCTGATAGTGTTTCAATATTTGGTATTCCTCAAGGAAAAACAAGCAGTTCTACGTCTAAAGCCGATAAACATGCTCATGAGAACGTTGAAATTATTACTCTAGATGATTAGACTTTAAAAATCACGTATCTATCTTGGCTGCCCAATTTCAAAATACAGTAACTAACATTTAAAAATTTTTGTTATTAAAAAAAAGTTTACCTGCCAAATTGATGAAAAATTTGATTTATGAATAGAAAATACTTGAATATAAATATTTTTAAGAAAAAATACTTGAAACTAAGGTCTAAAAATTATAAAAAAAATTAGGTATAAAAATTTTGCAGTTACTGTGTTTTAAAATTGGGCAGCTGATCTTTTCTGTAATTTGTAAAATATTTAATGTGATATATGAAATGATGAAGTACATTTTTTAACTAGATTATAAAAAACTTCAAGGTGAAATTATTTATTTAATCATTTTCGAATAAACATACATTTATATTATTTTATTGAAGAAATAGAAAATTTATTTAATAATTATTTAACTCTGCTGGAAAGCATTGTTGTCCCAGTGACACCTAGTCCATGAACAGCAAAAAGCGAACCTGCAAGAGGCTGATCTTTAAGCTCTGCATCGGTCAATCCTTTGTTAGCGCTGGTCACAAAAAGAATGTCTTTCTTCGGGCCACCAAAAGCAACACTGGTGATTTTTGTTGCCGGCATTTCGATGGTTTGCAATAATCTTCCAGTTCGCGGATCAATGTGAAGTACCTGAAGACAAGTAAAAAGATTATATTGTAATTATGAATCAACAGGTAAGTCAATAAGAGATGTAATTAAAATTATTTATCAACCTTTCCACCGTCGTAAACAGCGACCCACAGGTTTCCAGCTGAGTCAATAGTCATTCCGTCGGGGAAGCCGGTAATTTTATTCTCCTTGAGATTAAATACCTTACGCTTGTTAGCTGGACGGTAATACCAGTAATTTGTAAAATAATTGCCAGTAATTATTTGTAAAATAATAGATAATATTTTTATTCTTACAGATGTCTCCAGAGTCATCGTTGTAATCATAGGCGACGACTTCGAAGGAAGGACTATCGATGTAGTAGAAAGAATCCTTGCTGTGGCTCCAAGTGAGCCCGTTGCTGATACTGACTGGAGTCACTAATTTCGTTGGAGTTGCGTCCAATGAGAACCTGTATAAAGAACCTTTTTCCGGAGTGATCACGTTGTCCTTCTCGCCCATGGTGCCTGCCCAGAACCGACCCTTCGGGTCTACCTTGCCGTCATTTATTCTAGTGTCATCACGGTCTATGTCGACTCTAGCGAGAGTCTTGACTTCTGGGTCTGGATTGTCAGTACTAGGGTCCCAAGTCATGCGGACTAATTCTCTTCCACATCCAACGATGAATGTGTTGTCGACACCCGCAACAGGTACTGCTACACCAACTGGACCATGCTCTAATTTTAAAATTATTTATTTTATTATTACAGTTTATTATTATATAAAAATTTTAATGATACTGAAATTTTATTTTTGAAATTTTGCACTTATAATTTTTTTTAATTTCTAGATGTGGAATTTTTTTATTAAAATTTTTTTTAGTAATTTATAAAATCATAAAAATAAAAAAAAAAAAAAAAAACAATTTCAGAATCATAAAAAATTTGAAGTATAAATGAAGTTTATATTTACTTAAATACGCATGAGTAATTTTTTTTGTTTCAGGATTCCAACAGTAAATTTTTTGCTGAGGAATATCAACATAGTAAAGCAGATTTTTTTCTTCATCCCAATGAGGACCTTCTGAAAGATCATACTTACCCCCAATAGGTTCTATTTTCAATTTTTGGCTCCTGAAAAAAATACAGAGCGTAAGTAAATTAAAAAAATTTTAATTTAACTTTTAGTATCACTATTAAATCTATAAAAATTATTTATTTTAAATTTAACAGTTCAAATCACTGCGCTTTTGCATCTCCATGCTAATTTAAAATAAAAAATAATAAATTACATTTTTCAATTGACAGGAAAAAATATTTCACAGAGTTTAAAAGAATGTGAACGTGAGAACGCCCAACGCTTAACTAAACTCTACTGTACTCGCTTCTTAATAAGCGATGACCTGACTACAACAGATAATTACATCCTATCTCTGTTATTAAAACGTTGCAGGAGACCAATCGCAAGACCGAACGTCGAAACATGTCACATGCAGATTAAACAACACTTGAGTTTCTTTCAGATAATGCAAATTTTTTTTAGATTGATAAATGGATTTTTTAAAACCAATCAGCACACTTGAAAGTTTAAAAGATAAAAAAAAATGATGTATATATATGAACATTTATGTAATAACTAGTTTTTCATTAAAAAAAACTTACTGTCCAAGAGTCATATCAACTAGAAGCAAGCAAATAAATGAAAATAATTTTTTCATTGTTACAATAAAGAATTATATTTATTGAATAGTTATTATGTTTGCTTGAATTGTAAATCTTTAATGAACTGAGAATGACATTGAAAGTTGTTTATATATCGTACGAGAAAGTTTGATTTGAATAATCATTCTTACCGAGTATTTCACAATTAAATCCACTCAAGTAAGATATATTATTTATCTAAATGTGTTTATTTATATTTTCATAAAATTAACATTTATTTTATTTGTTTTCAGTTAATTAATAAATTATGGAATAAATATGAAGGATAAGATTTGCATTTGCAGTTTCAATTTTCAAGAGTAAAATTGCAGTGACCTCAGCCTAGTTTTTTTTTGTTTAATAAAAAAAAAAAAAAAAACGATAGAGTAAACTCAACTGCAGTTTAAATCCTGGGTTTTAATCATTTAAAAAAGATAATTAAGTACGCATGCGTCAAAGATCACTGACTCACTGATAAAATTCTTAAGGCAAGATTAAATGAAAAATTATTTATTTAACAAACTTGAGTAAGTTAAATTTATTTAATAAATTTCCAAGTCATTGAAAAGCATCTCTATAAATTCATTACATAGGAACGCATTGGAGATCCTGAAATACAGAGATCATGAAGAGCAAAAACGCTTCCTGCCAAAGGTTCATTTTCTAATTGAGTAGCGTTCAATTTATCCTTGGCACTGGTTACGTAGAGGATATCTTTATTTGGACCACCAAAAGCAACGCTGGTTACAAGAGTTACCGGCATTTTTATTGATTGAAGTAATCTCCCAGTTTTAGGGTCAATTTTAAGAACCTAAACAAAAATACAACCAGTAGAATAAATAAATAGTAAGTATTATTTTTAAATATTATTTTTACCAATCCTCCACCATGGTTAGCCACCCAAAGATTTCCCACTTTGTCGATGGTCATACCATCTGGGATTCCCATTAAATTATTTTTCTTCAAGTCGAAGATCGTGCGCTTGTTAGCTGGAAAATTTTAATTTTTACATTTTAAATAATTATTACTTATGATCTTATGAATTTGTATTGTAGATCATTTCTTGGACTCACATATGTTTCCAGAGTTGACATCATAACTATATTCATCTATTTTATACGCAAAACTGTCGATGAAGTAAAACGAATCGTTGAAATGGTTCCAAATAAGACCATTACTGATATCGACATGGTCAATCATTTTTGCTACGGTGCCGTCGAGGTCGACTTTGTACATCGAACCTTTGCCTGTAAGAGGAACTCCATTTTTTTCACCCATAGTTCCGGCCCAAAGTCGGCCTCTTGGGTCGACTTTTGCGTCGTTGAATCTTGTGTCGCTGATATCTTGATCAACCTGCGATATGACACGATACTCAGGATTTAAGTTGTTGGTACTTGGATCCCAATGGAGTATGATTATTGATGTTTTACATCCTGCGATAAATGTATTATTTCTTCCAGAAAGTGGAATCGCGAAACCAACTTGACCACAATCTAAAAAAAAAAAAAAAATGTTTCATTTAAACAATTGCTTAAAAAATAACTTGAAATAATTTTTATAATTACCCAAGTAAGTGTAAGTTATGTTTTGCGAAGCAGGATTGTAACAGAATATCTTTTGGCCCGGAATATCAACGTAATACAAAAGATTTCTTTTTTCATCCCAATGGGGTCCTTCAGCAACAGTGTAAAGCCGATTAGGCCCATTAGGACCATAAGGCCCATTAGGACCATAAGGTCCATAAGACCCATTAGGTCCATTAGGACCATTAGGACCATAAGGCCCATTAGGAACATTAGGCCCATTAGGACCATCAGGCCCATAAGGCCCAGCAATAACTTCAATTTTTATTTCTTTTGAGCTATTAAAATAAAATCAAATTATTAAATTCCAGAGATTGAATAAAAAAACAAAAAAATTAAAATATAAACTCAGTAAACCATACCATTGTCCAAATACAGTATAAGTACTTGAAAAAATCGTTATTGTAATAAGTAAAATAAGTATAGTCTTCATCGCTTGATTTTTTATGATTGAAAAATTTAACTGAGTTTACCTGAAACTTATTCTGTATTTTATAGGTGATCAAAACCATTAAGCTTGAATGACCTAATAAAATTTTTGTCGGTGATAAATTTAATTATATCAGGTAAATTATTTTATATTAAAACGTTTGAAATATCAAAAAACAATAACATCCTTTTTAAATGTTATTGACTTGACTACTTTTTATTTTTGACCAAAATTACCCCACGGATAAGGTCAAAGTTTGAAAAAAATTAAAGAATATTTTTAATCTTATATTAACAATAAAAATATTTGTAATATTTTAAAGCAAGTCGATTTTAATGGTAAAACATACAAATAAATACATATTTTTGGTCATAGTATGAATACTTAATATCACAACAGTAAAGTCAGTAGATTGTTATAAAAATGATTCAATATTCCTAATTTTACCATTAAAATATTCTTATTATAATCATATTAAAAATAAAAATTATTTTAATTGAATTTTGCAGGGGACCATCGGCAATCCAGAGGCACCAAGCCCGTAAACGGCGACAACTGACCCGGCTAAGGGCTGCTGTTTCAGAAGATCTTCAGGCATTTTATCTTTGGAAGACGTCACATAAAGAACATCTTTATTCGGGCCTCCAAAAGCTACACTAGTCGCATCTCTCATCGGCATCTTGATAGTCCGCAACAATTTACCAGTCTTCGAGTCGATTTGAAATACCTGAAAAAAAAAAAAATTGCAGATAATTTCTACAGCTGAGAAAGACAAGATAAAGTAATTGATGATCTTACAGTTCCACCGCTATGATTAGCAATCCAAAGGTTTCCCGTTTTGTCAATGGTCATCCCATCAGCGATGCCTGTTATGTTGTTTGCTTTGAGATCAAATAAGGTACGTCTGTTCGCTAGATAAATATAATTAAAATTATCATCCAATTAATTATTTTTTTATAAATTATAAAAGTCTAATTGATATTTTTCTGACTTACAGATATCTCCAGTAGCGTCATCGTAGTCGTAGACATCAATAACGTATGCAAAACTGTCGATGTAATAAAATGCGTCTTTATTGAGACTCCAAACGAGTCCGTTGCTGATGTCAACTGGGCTTATCATTTTTTTCGGAGTACCATCGTAGTCAAATCTGTACAAGGAGCCTTTGCCGGAGACTGGAAGCCCGTCTTTTTCACCCATAGTTCCGGCCCACAGTCTTCCTGCCGGGTCAACTTTTGCATCATTGAACCTGGTATCACTGACACCAACATCAACTTGGCTGATAAATTTTACTTTAGGATCCAAGTCATCAGTGGCTGGGTCCCAAGACACCTGGATTAAATTTGTTCCGCATGCTGTTATGAAGGTATTCTTCTTATTGGCGACGGGTATCGCGAACCCAACTGATCCACATTCTAGCTCAGAAGAAAAATCAATTTTTTATCGAATAATTTTAAGGTAGTAATTAAATGTATAATGTACATGCTGTTAAAATTTGGAGACAATTTACAGTGGTAAATCTAACCAAAGATAATTGCAATTGATATACAGGTGGTGTGGAAAAATAGAGAGAAAACCGCGAAGTTTTTTTTAATAACCGCAAACTTTTTTTTAATAAGAGAAAAATTGAAAAAAATTTTTAAATGTTAGTTACTGTGTTTTGAAATTGGGCAGCCGTATTGGGAAAGAACTACCTTAAAAGAAGAAATTTGTACTTACTCAGATAAGCGTGAGTTACTTTTCGAGTCGTTGGATTGTAACTCATTATTTTGTGGCCAATAATGTCGACGTAATAAAGCCGATTATTTTCATAATCCCAATGTGGTCCTTCAGCGCACATGTACGGCCCTTCGATTCGCTCAAATTTTATTTCTTCCGGAGTTCTAAAATAGAAATTTACGTTTTTTTTTTTTTTTTTATTTTCTTTCACTTTAATTAATTATATTACTTTATTTTTTTAGGTACCGTTGTGTAACTGAGGACATCGCCATCAAAAATTGATAATTCATAAAAAATGTAAAGATATTCATTGCTAATTTTTGTGTGAGTACTAAAAATATTTAAATAAAAATGAACTTAAAGCACACGGTGTAATTTTAATAGCAACTGAACTTAAAGTTAAAAAAAAAAAAAAAAAAAAACGAGAAACAAGTATTGCAATTTCACGATGTGTAGCTCAAGGGATGTTCTAACTCGAATGACTTCACTTCATTAGCCCTCGGTGTCTCATTACCTCGGAGCTACCCATCATAAAATCATTAACAAAATATTTATGACTTAATCCTAAAGTACTTTTTAAACGAGAGTGGAAGAAACAAACTTCACAGTATTGAAATTTATAAAATTATCGCTTCACTGTTTAAAAAAGAAATTATTCGATTTTAACTTTATTAAGATTGCAGGGTAAATAAATATGTTTATCAAATATTTACATATTCGTGTTACATTTGTAAAAATATTTTTTAAAATTAAGTAACTTATTTTAAGAAAAACAAAAATTTCCATGACTTTAAAATAGCTCCTGTCAATTTTTGTCATTTTTACAAACAAGTTAAGTATTTTATAATTTAAATAAACACAGGTTCAAATTTTTCAAACTTTTAAGTTTAAAAATATTTTTTAATCATTTATTTGCAAAAAAAAAAAAAAAAAAAAAAAGTGGAAAAATTTCACTTAATTTTGGCATAAAATATTTTTGAATTTTTATTTATTTTAAATTTCATCACTGACTTTCAATAAAATTCATATATTATTCACTTAAATTAATTCCCCTAACCAAACAAACATAATTGTTTACCTGACATCCATGACAATCGATGTAATTGAATTTCCAAACTGAATTAACGATAACGTCGTTCAATAATTTATATTACTCTTAAGATTAATGAATTTTTACTCAATTTATAAAACCAAAAATAATAAATATTTTCACAAGAGTGACATAATATTATAAGTTGAATTTTAGCCAGCTTCTAAAAAGACGATCTAGAGGAATTTTCAAATGACATGTCAACAATGTAACAAACAACGTTTCAATGCAACAAACTGACAGAAAGGCTTAAATAACTTGCAGGGTATGCGGCCGTTACTTCAAAGAGTCCGTCGTATAAATAATAAACCTTTCAAGAGATTAAGTACGCAAACGTACAAGATTATCGACAATGCGCGCTAGATACAAAACACATCCGTTTCTGCAATTGATAACAATTTTTTTTATTCACCAAGATTATTGTAATAAACAAATATAATTGTGTAAGTACAAACATTATTATTTTTCAATGTTAACTCTAAATACATCAATAATCACATTGTTTATATAATTTTACTAGCGAGCATAGGAGAGCCAGAAACACCAAGACCATAAATAGCAAAAACAGAACCGGCAAGTGGTTGTTCTCTCAATTGAGACTGGTTCAGTTGGTCTCTGGCTGAAGTAACATACAAAATGTCTTTATTACGGCCACCAAAAGCAACACTGGATACCTCAGTCACCGGCATTTCAACTGATCGTAAGACTCTTCCAGTTTTTGGGTCAACTTGAATTACCTGAAAACAATATACCTTAATAAATAGATATTTTATAATAATGAAGTTAGCCGACATTTTTATTTTTTTTATTTTGCTTAATTTATTAAATTATAACTAAAAAATATTTTTAAAAAACAGCACTTATAGTTTTTTAAGTTTTTAACAAATGAAAAAAATTTTTTTGTTATAATTTTTTAATAAAAATAATCATAAAAATTTTTAGATGTCGGCTAACTTTATTTTCATATAGTTATTTTAGGTAAATATATTTTTATTTTATGAAAATGAAGTTAGCTGAAATTTCAAAATTTTTAGAAATTTTTTTTCCAAAAAATTTCAATTAAACAATTAAAAAAAAAAATTTTACATGTAAAAAACATGAAAAACTATAAGTGCAATTTTTTAGAAATATCGTTTTAGTGTCATTTTATTTTTACCCTTGCACCACCGTAGTTAACCGCGACCCAAAGATTTCCCGCTTTGTCAATTGTCATGCCATCAGGAATGCCTGTTATATTGTTTTTCTTGAAATCCAACAATGTTCGTTTATTAGCTGGATTAAAATATTTATCCAAAGATTATTGACAATATTTGTTTATTAAAAATGATAATGATAAAAGATATTTATATTTGGCTTACAGATATCACCAGTGGTGTCATTGAAGTCATATACAACGATGTTGTATGCAAGACTGTCAATATAGTAAAATGAATTGTTGGAATGACTCCAAACAAGACCATTGCTAAGGCTGACTGGAGTTATCATTGTCGTTGGAGTACCATTGTATGCGAATCTGTACACTGAAGCTTGATCCGGTGGGTGGGCCTGTCTGCTGCCAATGAGCATTGTTCCGGCCCAAAATCTGCCTCTTGGGTCGACTTTTCCATCATTAAATCTTGTATCTGGAACACCGATATCAACTCTTGAAAGAACTTCAATTCGAGGGTTTCTATTGGTGGTAAGTGGATTCCAATAAACTTGCACTAATTCTTGACCGCAACCCGCAATAAATGTATTTCTTCTTCCAGCTACTGGTACGACGACACTCACCGGTCCACATTCTAATTTTAACAAATAAATTCAACAAATTATATAGTTTTAAAATATTTTTTAAGACTTATTTATTAATACCTAGGTGAGTATAAGTTATTATCCCGGTAATTGGTTGATAACAGTAAATTCTTTGCTCCGGAATGTCAACAAAGTAGAGAAGATTCCTTTCGTAGTCCCAGTGTGGACCCTCAGCCAAAACATATGGCCCAGCGATTCTGGTGATCTTTACATTATTCTGACTGTTAAATTAATTTATAATTATTAAACTAAATATTTATAATCTGATACCAGTAAGGTTAAATTTTGAGCAAAACTTACCATTGTCCTAGCGTGAAACTAGTAACAAAAAAGATTATAAATGAAACTCCAAAAGTTTTCATTTTTTTTCTTCACGCGAAAATTTATCAATTATATTTATTTGATCCTTTTGCACGAAAATAAAAGTTAGTAGTGACCTGCAACAAAAACCGGGACTATTTATAAGAAAATTATCAGCAATAGTCCTGTCAGAATATTTTACAATAAATAACACTGTTTATCTAAATTATATATAATTTATAAATTTTGTTATCATTCGACTTTCTGAATTTTTATCTGCTAATTAAATATTTAAAATCTTTTTGATTATTATAAGACTTACATTTTAAGGAATACTTTGAATATTCTGCAAAAAGATGTGCGCATGCGCAGTAAAACCGCGAACCGCGCGCGCATATAATTAGCGATACTCGCGCGCCACGCGTTTGTGATTTCTGTTTGTTATAAAAGCTCCCTCTGGTGGACTAACGGTACTCGTGGTTAAAAAATATGCCGTGCCGGCAGCCGTCAGCCAACATCATCAGGTCACGTGACCACGTCGTATTGATACGTGTCGTTTAAGTGTGCCCCGATTCGTCGGTTCTTCTAGCCTGCCGAACGTATTCATCATCAGTTGAGATTATCCAGCGGAATATAACCCGTATATATCTAAGTTACTCCAAGTCGACTTTCGACTTGGCATTTTACGTCAAATTTATTATTTAAAGTATTAATTACTCGCCCATAGTGTTGGCTAATATTCGCCAAACAACGGATCCACCATGGGGAGTAAGTATTTTATTTAAATAATTATTATTTATTTATTTCTCTGTCATACTTTTACATTTTTTTTTGGTTACTTTGCTTTGGATGATCAACATATTGAACATGCATCAATAACTCAACTCTAATTTATTTTATTACCTTTCAGTTAAATTTTTGGAGGTGATAAAACCGTTCTGCAGCGTTTTGCCGGAAATAGCGAAGCCCCAGAGAAAAGTAAGGCTGAATAACTATTTTTGGGCTCCATTATTTTAGTTCAAACATACTGTTGTTTACTGGAATCATTAATTACTTAAAATGTTCATCAGATAACTGATAGCTTGCTTAGTTTCTTTTAATTAATCAATCTTATCCTATTAAAGTATTTAAAATATTTATTTTATCATTACTTTTTAATAGATTCAATTCAGAGAGAAAGTACTATGGACTGCAATCACTCTCTTTATCTTCCTCGTGTGCTGTCAGGTAAGATTTAAATAACCAGTTGCTGTATTATTTATTTAAAGAACAAAAATTCCAGATGTTTCAAAAATAATTTACAATAAATTATTTATTATTTAAATTTTAGATTCCACTTTTCGGAATCATGTCTTCAGACAGTGCAGATCCTTTCTACTGGATAAGAGTAATTCTTGCGTCAAACAGAGGTACATTGATGGAGTTGGGTATTTCTCCAATTGTAACTTCTGGCTTGATAATGCAGTTGCTTGCCGGAGCTAAAATAATTGAAGTAGGCGACACTCCAAAAGACCGAGCGCTCTTTAATGGAGCACAAAAATGTAAGACTTGTTTATTTAATGTCTATTATTGCCATAATTAAAACAACAATTAAATTATTAATCATCTTGCAGTATTCGGTATGGTAATTACTGTTGGACAAGCAATTGTTTATGTAATGACTGGTATGTACGGTGACCCAGCTGAAATTGGAGCTGGAGTGTGTCTGTTGATCATCATCCAGCTCTTCGTCGCTGGTTTGATCGTACTGTTGTTGGATGAGCTTCTTCAGAAAGGTTACGGTTTGGGAAGTGGTATCTCACTTTTCATCGCCACAAACATCTGTGAAACAATCGTCTGGAAGGCCTTTTCTCCGGCTACGGTCAACACTGGTCGTGGTACTGAGTTCGAGGGTGCGATTATTGCATTGTTCCACCTGGTAGCAACTAAACCAGACAAAGTACGGGCCTTGAGAGAAGCTTTCTACCGTCAAAATCTTCCTAATCTCATGAACTTACTCGCCACCATCTTGGTCTTCGCTATAGTCATTTACTTCCAGGTAAATAAATTTTGTAAATATTTACAAGTGGGGTCAAACATTTTAATTTTTATTTTTTTGAATGAAATTTCTATTTGATTTTATTGATATATTTTGTTTTTTAAAAATACATAAAAAAATGAACAATTAAAAAATAAAATTGATTATCACAATTTTAACAAACTTTCAAAAAATTTTATAAATTTTTTAGAAAATTGTGAAATTCAACTTTTTTTCTTAAATTGTTTTTTTTTTTTTTTTTTTTTTTTTTTTTTATGTACTTTTCAAAAAAAAATCTATGAAAAACATGAAAAAAAGATAGAATAGAAATTTTATCCAAAAACATGAGAGCCAAAATTTTTTCTTTTTTGGCTCTCTTATTTCATACCTTTATTTTTTATTATCATAAATGCGCCGTAAAAACAAGCAAAATTAAATAAAAAATCAAAAGTTATTTAATAAATTATTTTATTAACAATAATTTTATTTTAGGGCTTCCGAGTTGATCTACCAATCAAGTCGACCAGGTATCGTGGTCAATACAGCAGTTACCCGATAAAACTTTTCTACACCAGTAACATCCCAATTATCCTGCAATCAGCGTTGGTCTCCAATCTTTACGTTATCTCACAAATGTTAGCCGTTAAATTCCACGGAAATATTATTGTAAACTTACTGGGAGTTTGGTCTGATGTTGGTGGAGGTGGTCCGGCTAGATCGTATCCTGTGGGTGGTCTTTGTTATTACTTGTCGCCACCTGAATCCGTGGGACACATTGTTCAAGACCCTGTTCACGCATTCTTATACATTCTCTTCATGTTGGGCTCTTGTGCTTTCTTCTCCAAGACCTGGATTGAAGTGTCTGGAAGCTCCGCTAAAGACGTAAGCATTTTTTTCTATTTATTTAATTAATTAAAAAAAAAAAATATATATTGTGACTGATATTTGCTTCATTCAAATGTTTGCAACAGGTCGCTAAACAGCTAAAAGAACAACAGATGGTAATGAGAGGACACCGTGACAACTCAATGATTCACGAATTGAATCGTTACATTCCAACAGCCGCAGCATTCGGTGGTCTCTGTATTGGAGCGCTTTCTGTTCTCGCCGATTTCTTAGGAGCTATTGGATCGGGTACTGGTATTCTTCTTGCAGTAACAATCATCTACCAGTACTTCGAAATCTTTGTGAAAGAGCAGAGTGAAATGGGTGGAATGAGCACGTTATTGTTCTAAATATAATTAGAGACTTTAAAAGTGAATAATTTTTTTTTTTTACAATCAAGATATATTTTAAGTATAATTTATTTAAAGAAAAAAAAAAAAAAAAAGAGAAAAAGAAAAAAAAACGATCCAAATTGGATATTAATGGCAGTGTTTTTGGTCTGTCGTTTTATGAAAGACGTTTATTTATAAAAAAAAAAAAAATAACACAAGATTTAACGTCCAGTTATATTAGTTTACTTATTAAATTAATCTTGATACAGGTTAAGGTGACTCGAGGAAACTCGAGTTGATGCCTATTGGGGCATGATCGTCTTCCTGATGATCATTTAATATCACATACCATAATTCAAGACTTGATTGTACATAGAGTTGGATCGAATGTCTCAATTAAGACAATCGGTGTTTTTCTACTCGAGCTAAACAATAGCTCATGCGAATGCGCGGAGTAGCAGCAATATAACTTTCGTCAGCATTTATTACATATGTTGTGACGTTTGTTTAACAATTTAATAATTATTAAATAGATATATTATAAAATTTAAGCTCTCGGTGCATTCGTCATGATTTTTGACAGGACGCGGTGCCCACCTTAGGGTAGATTGTTGAGTAATTCTTAACGAAAGATACTCATCTAAGGTACCATCATTCCTGTATTATTATTAATAATGATGATACAAATTAAAATAATTTTGTCTCTTGTATTTTTAAGAGTGATTTTATTAAAAAATAATATTTCATACCTCTTTATTCAAATTTATTTAAATTTCTGTCATTTTATTTAGTTTAAAAAATTTCAATAGCTAATTATTCATTATTTAATGTATGTCTCATAATTATTAATTTATAAACAATATGTATATTTATATAATTATTTACAAAAATTTACACTAAAACTCAATTTGTGTTTTCATTATAAAAAAATGTCGCGTATAGCATACCAGTCTTGGCAATATTTGCGAGTAAAAATAGTCTTAGTGTGTTGGTAAATCGGATGATAGGCGTCGAAGTAGGGTCTGCGTCTTCTTCTCTCCACCCGATACTCGCACCTTCGCTCAGAGTAAACAGCGCTGGAGACGGAACATTTTCGTGCATGTAAGCCCAAACGCATTCCTTCATAACGGTATTTATCTGCAATTAAATATTCCATCGTAAATATTAAATATTAAGGATTAAAAAAATAAAAAATATTTTTAAACAAACCTGAACAGGAGTGAGAATTGGCAAAACATCGGAGAGACAATTTAGAGGAGTTGGAAGCAATTTTCCAAGTGCCATGACATTGACCAGCCGAGTACCTTCAGCATTATCCCAATTAGCAATCACAGTTGCTGCAATAGCCCGAAGTAAAACCGAGCAATAGGTCAAAGCGGGTCTATACCTGGCAGTTAGCTCCAGAAAAGTCCAAAGAAGAGGAATATCTTTAAACCAACGACGAATTTGGAGATCTCTTTCAACAGTCACCTTGGTGAACTCTTCATCTGGCCAAGGTAGTCCATTGTACATAACATCAGGCGACACCAGCTCGACAAGGAGCAAACTTACCATCGTCATAGCGTCGAGTTTTGGATACTGGCTCAATCCTTCATCAGTACAGCAAGCTTTAATAGCGTCTAGCAGTAGCAAACTGTTAAAATCAACGATATCTTTATCGAAATTATTTTCAGGTACAGATCTTCTTGGACCCTCGCCAATAATACCAGCATGAAACACCGAAGAGTGTCGTTGAGCTAACATGACACTCGTTCCGTGTTTATGATTTTGATGGAGCAGCGAAAAGTCTTTTGCTAGTTCGTCGGGTTTAACTTTAGCTCCGAAATACTTAGCCGGTTCTCCGTAAATACTGTTCTCAACAAGTTCGCGAATTGCGAGGACTCGCGCACATGGAAAACGCGATGTGATCCACGTTATAAGTCGGTGAGCTATTTTGGCTCCACGCTGCTTTTTAATTATGCTGTCTTCAGCTACGCAGATGAAGAAATATCTTATCACTGCTCTGGTTAATTTTAAAGTTAAATCTAGACTGTAGATGTAAACGTTTTGCTCATTAATATGCAGCAAATCTAGAGTCTTAGCAATATCGTGAGCCAGTTCAGTGTCTTCGCATTTCATCAGAAGACTTGCTATCTGTTCGAGATTCGAATGAAGTCCACGGGAAATTAATTTAGACTTGAGAATCGCTGCTCTGTTGGTGTTCTCCCACTTCAGCAGCAGGGATAAATTTTTGAACAATTGCCGAGCTTCGACATCTTTTTCTTCACTGGTGTACTGGATGTCTCTCAAAGCTTGCTCCAGAGTCTGAGTGAAGTACCCGTGGCCTGATAATGAATTCTCGGGCTCTGGTTTGATCACAGGAAATATTACAATGTTCTCAGCGACCAACCGGACGAAAGCAGCGAGGTGGAAATCTCGTTGAGATTTTCTCAGGGCAAATGAAGCCGCTGAAAATATTACATTCGGACTCTGAGCTCCTAGAAGGGATATTAGTCTTACTGCTGTCTGGACTCTCAGAGGTTGGGGGTCCAAGAGCAAGGGAACTACCAGCGACAAGTCTTGTTTTATTGAAGTCATTAATGCTATTCCTGCATTGTGAGTTCCGTTCATACGCATTAGTAAATCTATCTCCTGGAGAATCATTTCTAGGATTTCACGACAGACGTTTTTAACAGTCAATGCTGCGTTTACTCCATGGTAACCTACGTTGCTCGTGTTCAAGCTGGTGTCCAGGAGAATGCTTATTATCTGCCAAGCTTCTTGCTCACAAGCCAATGCTAAATGTACGGTTAAATTTATTAAGACTTCAGGCTGATTGTCGAAGTAACTACACCAATCTGTTGCAAATAATGCTAGGCGTGGAATTACATCAGGTCTCACTGGAAATACTAAAATTTTTAATTAATTATTATTGATAAAAAATATCTAACATTTTTTTATACTAAATTTAACAAACACCTAATAATTTTTTTAAATAATTGATTTTAATTAATTTCAAGAATTTTTAGGTAATTGCTAAATTAAGTATTTTTTTACAATTAAAATTAAAATTTTTTTTTATAATCTTACATGTTTGAAGAACTACTGTTGTTATTACTTTAAGTAATAATTGTGAAAGAGACGCAAGTTTTAATAAATATGGAACTGTTGCTACTTTTTGTCTTCTTGTTAAATCATCATCGTTTATATTTTCATTCAAGCTCCACTGAAATAAAAAATTAATTAGTGTCTTTATAATTTAAGAAAAAAAAAAAAAATGTTATTACTTTGAATAAATCAAGAAGCGCATCTTTGATTTCGTAAAAATGACTGCCCGCCAAATGTCCCAAAATGTCTTTAACAGAATTAAGTAAAACGTTCTTTGAAATCTGGACGCCTGTGATGGAAAAGCCTTTCAATCCCCAAAGTAGAACTTTTTTAATAATCAGCTGGGGAAAACAACTTCCAATGTGAGCGACAACCCAATCAAAATAAGGACTGTAGTCAGCTATAGATTGCGTGAGGACATTCATACACGATTCAGCTTCAGTGTCTGATAAATATTTGATACACCTCGCTGATAAGTCAACTAATATTCTGGTAGATTTAAATGACAACCAGTATTTGAGGCACGAGTTTATTCCCGAGTCTGCGAGAAGGTTTGCTCTTTTAGAATAACGCCAGGACAATTTACCAAGAAGGTCCAGTGACCAACTGGCGACAAGAGGTGCCCAGGCTTGAGAATTACTCGAGACGATGTCAATCAAGGCCTTGTGGATTTGTGGGACTGTTTTGTTCATGATTTGCTCTTCGGTCAGCGGTGAATTTGGATGCATCTGAAGAATAAAAATTTTGTTAATTATATAAAAGAATTCATTTAATTGTTTAATGAAAATTAAGTTAGCTGACATCTTCAAATTTTTATAACTTTTTTTTAATTATTTAAAAAAATTAAAAAACTTTATGTTATTTCTAAAAAATATTTTATTATTACAATTTAATAATTAAAAAAAAATTAAAAACATCAGCTGACTTTAGTATTAAAATTGTTTAATAATTTTCTAACCTCAATTTGACGAATTTGCCGATTTACCGCAACAAAAAAAACTTTGCGTAAATATTCCAAGACTGCTTCTCGAGCAGCAGGAAGATTTTTCAAAAGAACCAGAGCTCCAGCAGTAACTTCGGGACAATTCGTTCGTTGACATTGCTTCACTGACTCAGGAATAAACTTCCTAACCTCTGCTAATATTTCCTCAGGAGATAATGACACGTCAACAACTTGCGACATTTTAAATAGATATTACTACCTAAATGTTTTATAAATTTACTAAAACACTTTTTTTAGTTAATAAATAATTTTTCATTCACTGTTATAATTGATTATTGTATACAAAAATAAACAAAACATAGTGTAGTGCACACTACATGAGATCTCGATGTGAAAAATGTCAACAATTGCAAAGTGATACCCAGAGAGCAGTGATGACAACTTTTAAATTCAAAAACATTTTTTTGACTTTTTAAACCAAATTATTAGATTATTTTTTGACTAATGAAACGGGTAAGTAAATAAAAAAATGTTTATTTTGATTTTAATCATCTTAGAGCTAGAAATTTTTTCTATTGTCAATAAAATCAGTCATACATTTAACACAATTATTTTTTTCGTTGATAGAATCGATATTAGTTTCTTTTTTTTCTTTTTTTATAATAAACTTTTTTTTTTCTTCAATAAGAGCAACAAAATATAAATAGATTGTAAATAATCTAGACGATCACAAACCATTCTAATTGAGTTGGCATATGATATAAATATATCAATTGATAAGTATATTTATTAGTTAAGTATTTATAAATCCATTAACGTCTTTTTTTCTTCTCTTGCTTTCGTCCGCGATGAGGTCTTCTTGGAGTGACTTGAGGACTGCTTTCGGAGCAATCTACATCGCTTGTAGGATCTTCCTGCAATTACAACATTACGAACAGCTGATCTTAATAAATTGAGCAAGAAAATTGAAAATTTGGAATAATACTAAAGTTAACCGACGATTTTAATTTTTTGATTTTTTTTTTTTAATAATTAAATTTAAACTAAAAAATATTTTTAAAAAATTTCACTGATAATTTTTCAAGTTTTTTACAAGTGAAATTTTTTATTTTCTTCTTTTTGTAATAATTTTTCAATAAAAAAATTTCTGAAAGTTTTTAGATGCCGGCTAACTTAATTTTCATAATTTGGATGACACTGAAGTTAGCAGACGTCTAAAAATTTTTTATTAATTAAATTACAACTAAAAAGATATTTCTAAAAAAATGAACTTATAGTTTTTTTCAAGTTTTTTACATGTGAATTTTTTTTTTTTTTTAATTGTTTAATTGAAATTTTTTCAATAAAAATTTTGAAATCTCGGCTAACTTTATATTCATAAATTTGGAGGATCATCTTCATCTGAATGATTAGAAAAACTTACTTTTAGCGAAGAAAAACTATCGCCGGGCCAATTATGATAAATAGCCACGGTTAATATGCAAATAACTTGGAAGACAGCGCCGACATACAGGCCATACCTAATGATCTGTTCAAATAAAGTCTCCTCGTCGGGTAGCAAGAGCCTCTTTATATGTTCGTTTTCCATTCCTCAGCTCTTGACACTCGTCCGATCATAAATGACCTAAACAAAATATTATCAACAGTTTTACATTCTATTTATCTCATATCAGACAAAATAAAACAAATCTTGAATTATCTATTTAAGTCATCAATGTATAATGACAATAATAAAAAGCAACGTGATGTAAATAAATAATAAGTTTACCTTTGTTTGTAATTTAAGCATCGAGTGCTGGCTTTTAGATATAATAACAGTAACCAGAAATCAATATCCTCTCCTTCGGAGTCAAATCCGCGGCTTCTATTACCTTGAAGCTCGACATTTATGTATCCACTTGTTCAATCTTACCAACCTGCAATTATTAAATTCAAGAAAAAAAATATTATTAATTCAACTATTTTATTTTAAATAACCTTACCTGTCAAAAAAATGATAATAACAATTGCTGTATAATTATTGTCATTAATTAATTAATATTTTCAGTCCAATTATAATCACAAGAGCTGTCAAAGGAATTATTTTAACCACAAAATTGTTTATTTTTTTATAAACATAAACATTTGACATTCGCCGTGAAATTATCTGTCATTTGAGTTATCATAGTCGCTGTCAAGATGTCTCTAACAATAGTGTAACAAGTGGCGCCGCATGTTAACGATATTTTTTATTAATTATTTATATAATTTTTTGTAAATTACCTTTTTCTGTTGAAATAATTTATTAAAAATATTTTATTTATTATTAATATTGTAATGTGTGACAGTTTTTTCATAAAAGTTACCATTTTTGCGGGAAATTTCGAGTTTTTAAAAAAGAGGTTCAAACTTGGCGGGCTAAAATGAGAACCGGAAAGCGACTGGTTCGAGGCTACGTCGCTCGGGAGTCCGTGGATGTGGTCCAATGTTTTGTAGAGAAGAATGGCTGCCATCTTTAGTTTTCGATGGATGTTTTACGGAGAGATCGCGAATTTCTTTTATTTAGCACGATAAACAATAACGCAATAGTGAATTAATAAGTGAATAATAATTATTCGCGATGTAAATAACGATTTATAAATATTTTTAATAGCTGCCTTGGTGCAATTGAATGTTTAAAATGCGTGTGTTTACATCAATGTTTGAAGTCAGTCTCTGTATTCCTGTCACAGTAAGGTAAGACTTTTATTGTTATTAAACTATTTAACGCCTAGACTATTTAATACTGTGTTATTAATTTTCCTTATATATTATTTGATAATAAAATGTTATTTTAATAAGACAAACATCAATAGTTTGAGAGTCGTCAGGTATAAAGCTGCATTTGTTAAGAATTAAGTGTATTATAAATAATAATTTTAAGTTGTTTATTGATTTACTCAGTGATTAAGTGATTAATTATTAATATTTGACTATTTAATTATTGTTTTTATAATTATTTTACAGTGATTCTGGTGTTTCTACGCACATAACCAATATGTAACCCTAAAACGCGGGCATCGTTTGCTTTATTCAATTCAAAGATGCTTTAATTTTTTTTTCACTCGATGGTTAAGAAGTTTATTGATGATATCTACAATTACAACATATGTATTGATGACTTAATTTGTTTTTTAGTGGTCACCAGTGATGTTGTTGAGTTTTGATGATCGTGAAAATAGACAAGCTACATCTGGTCGTAGTTTGAACTAGAAAAAAAAAAAAATAAAATAAATTATTTTTAACAATTACTTTTATGAGTTAATGTGCGACCTGAGTTTATCAGTAAGAATTATAAAATAATTGATGTGGTGATTAATATTATTATTATTATTATTATTATTATTATTATTAACCCTATTATTATTATGTCACTAGAAAAATCAAAAGGCAATTTTCTGATGAAATTTACTTTTTCGACAATTTAATATTTTTTTAAGTTTGTTTACTAATTTTAATATCACAATTAACGATTATAAATTCGCTTATCATAATAATAATAACAGTGGATTGTTTATTGAAAAAATTTTGATAAAGAAAAAAGTTACAAGTGTTTAAGTTGATTTAGCATGATAAAACTAAAACTAGTTACGGCACTATCGGTCAACAATGATAACTAGACGTATCAAAAATTCGATTATATATTATCAGTCTTATTTGTCATAATCGTATTTATTAAAAATGTTAATTTAAATTCGGTATCACTATTTTACTTCAACCATATTTTTATTTTATTTTTTTTGCGCTATTACTTTCGATCGTTAAGTTATTGATAAAACCTCATAAACGTGACAATACATAAAAATTCAAATAAAAAAAAAAAATTACGATAGTAATAAAAATAATCTAAGACAACAGCTTGTTACTATTTTCCCCAAGACATTAAATTTAATTATTTAAACAGTCTGTACTTATTATCTATTACTAAAGATATATATATAATAATAATAATAATAATAATAATAATAATAATAATAATAATAACCTTCTCACAAGATAAGTTAAATATCTATTGTCTCGAATAATTTAAAAAATTCACCAGAAAAATATTTTTTCAAGCGCATTAATTAGATACTTAATATAAAAATAACCTAGCGAAATTTTTCATAAAAAATCCATCATCTTTTTTTTTATTTCAGAAAATAAATTCTGCGGATTAAATGTCCTATAATTAATCTGGCAAAATTAAAGCATAATGAACGAAATTAATATCAAGATCGTGGATGGAAAATTTATTTATCCTCCCGGCGGGAATAGAAAAAAAATAATTCCAGACGGCGCTAGTAACGTTTTACATCACGGCCATTTTGTTGGTAGCCGTCCGCCTCCTGGCCCCTCGGCTGGCCACCAAACTCGAGCACCTACATCTACACAATCGCACAGCACACCTATCAGCCTCCTCCACCAGCGGTATCAGACTGCCTCCACTTTTCCCAGTTTCCCCTCACCTTTATAACGTCACCCTTTAACTTGACGTCTCGCTGGTGGTATTCTCCATGTTGTTCTCTCTTGTCCTTCAGTCCTCCGTCCTTTTTCCTCCGCCTCCGCATTAAATAAATGCCCTCTTGTACCCATCACGTTCTATTCGTATAGTACTGAAACTTCCTCTCCTTCTTCCTCATCCTCTGTTCCTATTCGAACTTGCTCTTGTTCCTACTTACCTCTTCTACACTCTACTCTACTCTACTCTACTCTACATCCCTCTGCTCTTTTTGTCTTACACATCTTATAAATTATATAGATATATATAAATCTACAAACAACTAGCTCAACGAGAATCGCCATTTCGAAGCGCCATCGATTTTCCGTTAACATACGCCGCCTACACGCGATTTTACCATCTCGTCGATTTTATTCCATTTTTAATCAAATGCAGCCTCGCCATTAATCCACAATCCTTCGGTGTAGCTCACCAATGATCAATTAATCAATAATCAATAAGTTGACGATCTTGATGACGTGAGTAATGGCCAATTAAACCGGTTTATTGAATTAAAATTTCAATTACAAACTTAATTGTACCAACCAAGATCCCTTATATATATTTATAGATCCTTTTTATTATTTTATATCTCTATTGCTAGATCAGGGGCTACAGCGTGTTGAGTTAGGTTGGTAACATAACATGTACGCGGAATGCTAGGTACAACGACCTTCTCCCGCGTCTCTATTGCACTCTACGTCGCAGTTTATGATTGCCGCGTTATACACACGATCAAACCCGGATATGCTCCCCCATTGGCCCATTATTTTATTTCACTTTTTTTTTTTAACACCACGGACTATCCGACCCATCTGCTACGGTCCTTTGTCTCTGTGATTTTAATCGGTCTCTTTACAATAAAATTTTCAGAGCTTTAATGTGACTTAACATGAAAAATTGTCATTTATTTATTTATTTATTTAGCACACTTGACAGTAATACCAATGAATTTTATTTAAATAATCGGAAGATTTATTGAAGAGCATCCAAGAGATTAAATAGATATCAAGAAGCTAAATTAGTTTTGAGATGAAAACTGCTGAAAAGATCAGGCCTAGAATAAAATTAACCATACCTACGGTAGTAATGATTTTAATTAATATTTTTTTATTCATTATTTATTATTAAAATAAATTTTAAACACCAACAGGTTATTTAAATGATAAACCAAGAATTGCCAGTAGAAATTGCATACTGCACGTTGCACTCTGAGGACAACGACAGCCAATCGACATGAGAGAGATCGTGGCTGTAGATGATATGATAAGAAGCTCGAGTAGAGGTTGCTGGTTAGCAGCGGAGCAAGAGACGAAGAAGTAGAGGCCACATAAAGGAGTTAAAGGTTCGCGGAGGTGGAGCTGGCTCTACTTGTAAAATGGTTGAGTTAGATCAAAGCGTATAACTGGGTAATAGTTAGGGTGGGTTTCTACATTGGAGCTAGAGTATCCATCAGCTAGTGTAGGTGAAATGGTATCGACCGTACTCTACTGTACTTGCAGTATGTACACATTAAGCAACAGTAGCCAAAGGATATAGTGAGAGCACACGAGTTGTAGCTTTCACAGATGCAGGCACGCGCCAAATCAAAACTCTTTTGTCTTTGTTATTTTAACTCAAAACGTTTTACTGCAATTTGTTTGTGTGGATTTCATACATACGTGCGTCCAATCGTAGGTTTATTTTTTTATTTTTTTCATTTGACCTCATCAGCTTCAATTATTCTGCAGCCTCCACACCGCAGACTGTCTCCCTCAATTTCTTTTATTTATTTTTTAGCTCTCTAATTTACAGTTGTCATGAAAGCTAATTGTTCTGTAATCTTTTTTTTTTTTTTTTTTATTTTTGCTTCTCGGTTATCCTATAATTTTTTTTCTTCCTTCTATTATTCTTCTCTTAATTCAGAGGAGGATTACCTCGTTCAGGAAAATACTTTTTCGAGGATAGGATAGAACCTCGTTATCAAACAAAATGGATGCAATTTTTTTTTATTAAATCTCTAGAGTATTACAAACTTGCAGAGAGAATATATTTTAAAATTTAGTTTATATTTTATCCACCCAAGAGTTTAACTTTAAGTTGAAGTTAGAATTGGTAATGCAGTGAGGATGTGTAATGCCATTTCTCTAGTGTCTATCGGTGAGACAAAGAGTAGGACCATGAGAAGCAGACGAAGAAAGAAAATAAAAGGTAGATGAAGTTTAAAAGGAGTAGGAGAAGCTATTATGGCTACAATTGTGTACACTATCCAAATAGGCGTATACATTCGTTAAAAAACATACTCGTGCAAATCAACAGCGTACTTTTCAGTGGCGTAGAGTTTGTTGAACGTTGCTTGAGATTGTTCATGGACATTTGCCGTCTTCTTGTACCAGAACTGTTATTATCATTGCTATTGCTATTGCTATTATTATTAATATTATTGTTATTATTGTATGTACTTACTCTGTCTTCTTCGCAGGAGTGGAGCGCCCAATATGCCCACGACTGGGTAACCTTGGATAAAATGCTGAGCTCTCACACAATGGCCCAGCGTTGTTGCCATTCCTCCTCTCTCCTTCGAAAATCACCGTTGACTTTGTTTTTAAAAGTCATTTTAAATATTCGCCATCTTTCACCTGGATTGCTAAATATATGACATATAACTGAGGGCAATTTCACTGTTAATTGCAATAGTATCGTAAAGATTATTTATTTTGTAGTCACAAATGATTGCCTCCTATGAATGGCGAGTAACAAAGAAATCATTGAATATTTAAATCACGAAACAATAGACACTGGCTCGTAGGACTATGCAGCCTAACAATAATGATCAGCCGGACTATAAAGTAGGCTTAGCTTCGTTAGGTCATGATGTCAATTGCTGGCGCAGTATAACGATGAAATCGCCCAATGTTACGGCTATTTCATCCGACATATACACGTTTCATAAAGAAAATACAAGGATGCATTGATATATGGACGGTTGGATTGCTTCACAGTATCACAGATGCATCTACTCTTATTTCTTCTTTGATCTAACTCTTTAAACTTTTTATCCGGCTTGTGTTTCTTCTTTTCTGCTTTGGTGAGGTTCAAATGTTGGAGAAAAATAAACAGGAGAGAGAAATATAATGGTAAATACCGGTTATTGGCGGGAGCTCGCATATTTCACTTGGTTCTTTCAGCAATTACTTTTCATGGCCTCTTTTCTCATCATCTTCTTTCGTGGTTACCTCGACTCTGTTCGCAATGAAAGAAACATCCCCATTTTTTTTTTTTTTTTTTTTTTTTTTTTTTTTTTTTTAATTGAAAAATTAAATTATATAATTTGAGTGGATAATAATTCGGTGCTTTAAATTGCAGGGCAAAAGAGAGCCAGAGTAAACAAGTGACAAGAGAAAGCAAGCTAGATGAAATGAAAAAAAATAAATGAGAGTAATGTAAGCAAGTTGGCGAATTATTTCGGCTCGTGCTTTTCAAATCAATGCAAGGGTCGAGGTACGCCAAGTAGGTCGCTGCAGATTCCATTGCTGCCAACCGAACTCTGTTGACTGTTGTCGTCGGTATAAATGTAAGAAAACATTTATACATTGGTTTGCTTTGCCGAGTACGAGGTTGTACGCAATGCAAGCTAAAATAGGGTACAGATGTACAGTTGAAAGAGTAGAAAAATGTTGTTGATATTTTATCGTACAATATTTTTTTTTTTTTTTTTTTAATACTAATATTCATATTTAATTTTTTATACTGCTATAAATTACGTTTACAATTGCACCAGGTCGATGCTAATATATGTATATACGCTGAATATTTATACTTACCAAGTTGATGATTCATTTTCAGTCTCATTTCTCTATCTAGATTGATTTAAATTTTGCTGTATATAAATACATACACACAAACTGATTATTATTATTATTACAGTTTATAAATTTCAAAACGTCACGTAGTGCGAATTTCAAATGAATAATTTGAATTATTAAACCCAAGGTCTCAGCAATTACAATAATTATCTGTCGATCACATTAGCAATGAAATTTTTAAAAAATCTTTATAAATTAATATTAAAAATAATAACAGTAGTGTAAAAATAATTATTTAAAAAAATCCGGATGTTTTTTATTGTAAATAGAATCTGGTTCTAAAGTCGGGTGAAGCGTTCTAAAAGAGGATCGAAACTTCTGGTATTCTACATTTAAATTTATCTCAAGGCTAGCAAATTTTACGAAGACCCGAGCGTAGTTTTAAACTACCGAATAAAACGATTGTAAGAAAGACGTATGTGTTAGAGCACATCCGTCTTATTTTTTGTACTCTCTTCTTGGAAATCTTGATACAATCGGATCATTAATTCAGGAACAACGTGACGGTGTATTGACTACTGCTACCGCTATTGAGTATGATGCAGTTCTCTAATCGTGAAAGTAATTCGCCGCTGTTACTACTAATGTCTTATGTCTAAACGTTATTACATGTATAATGTCCGCAGTACTCTCATGGCTATTTATTATTTTACAGGATTTAAAACTACGAAAGCCGAGAGATCCAATCACTTGGCTCGACAACTGAGAGATATTTCACGAATAGAAAGTATTTCTTGATGCAGCAACAGTGTCTTTTTTTTATTTTATTTTTTTTTCAATTTATCGCTGGCTTTCCAAGTCTCTCCCTCAATTATTGTAACCCAATTGATTTAATATCCTTCCTTTTACGGTCTATAAGTACATACTATCTAATAATAATGCAGCTTGATACTTTGTCACAGTTATAGATTATTTAATTTAATAATTAAACTGTCTAGGCGTTAATGATATATACTATAAATAAATTAAATATATATTCTAATTTTTTTCTTTCTGTTCCAGTTCCTGGCCGAGTATTCTCAAATAGCTTAAACTCGGAGTCTGTGCATCATCGCTCAGCGATTGGCTGCCGAAAGTATAAAAAAAATCTACCAGTAATAATAATAATAAAAAATATTTATTCCGTCGTATTTAATTTTCGACGGTAGCCATAAAATTTATCAAAACGTCGACTCCGTCGGTAATAAGGTTATCCGGTGGCGCAGCTGGGGCAAGTGGGTCCGAGAAGGAGCAGTCCCCGGGTCCCGGACCGTCACCGGAGAATAGTAGTGTGGAGAAAGTTGCGTCTGGCGACAACAATGGCACCACTGAAGCCACCATGAGTTTTGTCCTGCAATTGGGTTCTGGCGAGACCCTCGAGGAGACCGCCTCGAGTGTCAGAGAAATCGCTTCGGTTACAATCCAAGAAAGAACAACCGAACCAATGAGTATTGTCCTGCAACTGGGTACAGCAACAGCGACAGCAACAGCAACAACAACAACAACAGCAGCTGTAAATTCTAAAGAATTAGATAATCCTGAAAAATCAACTATGGTGGTGACCAAGCCGGCTATAGTTTACCCGAGTAATCAGATGAAATTTCAGCAAAATGCCAGCAAGAGTAATGTGACAACTGTTACTAATGTTGGTGGAGTTATTGCTGCAGTTGCTAAACCTGGAACGATTGTCTACCCAGCTAAAGCGATGAAAGATCAAAAAATTACCGTACCTGCTCAAACTTCTGTAGATTCTAAAATAATTGCAGCACCTTTGATTCTGACTCAGCAGCAGGTACCGTCCAGCACCACCGGGACGTTAATTCCTTGCACAGGAAATAATACAGCTCCAGTAAATCCGCTGACGTCCAAGCCGGTGATTAACAGCACTGCTAACTCAAATCTTCCCGGAAAAGTTCAACTTACGTATGAAGTTATGCAGAATAAGCAGCAACATCAGCATTCATCGGGGATTATTCAAAGTACAGCATCACAGAAGGTTGTTAGTACAGCTGCGGGTGTTAAAACAATCACCTCGACTAGTACTATGTCCAACATCCAGAGGTTACGAAATAAATCTCCAAGTGCTACTGCTCCCAATAGCAATGTTCATAAAGTAAAGACTATTACAAGCATTAATAATCAAGGAATGGTCACGAAAAATTTTACACCTCGAGTACAAGCTGTTCCTAAAGCCCAAACTCTGTCGACAAATGTTGCTATCACTCCGGTGACTATGACGCAAGTTATTACTAATTCAAGTATTCAACGATTGCAGCAAAATAATCAGAAAATTCAACAAAATCAGTCGACTAATCAAACTGTTATAAATTCACGAGTTAATGCTAATCATAAAGTACCAGTTGTACAACAGCCAGTTGATCAAACTCAAGCGCTGCAAAAGGTTGCTGGAGTCTTTCCAAAAACTTTAGCTGTTCAACGGCAACAAGTTGCTTCTACTGGGGCCAATAACGTCCAGAAAGTTTCTATTGCCGGAATACAAAAAACAAGTTCACAAAATCAGCCACAGAATAATGCTGTACATTTTCAGAATTCTCAGCAGCAACAGCAGCAGCCTAAATCACAAATCACATCAGTACAAAAATCTCAAACAGCTTTGGTATTAAATAACTCACCGAAAAATTCACAATTTACAACTGTTGGTAATATTGTTAAAAGTAGTAGTATTCCAAATGTCTCAAAAATTCAGGCTAATTCTGCTGTTGCGTTAAGTAAGGCTCAACTTATATCCCAGTCTCAAGTTAATGTACATCACACGGTTCATGTTCAGCAAATGATTCCTCAGACTATTCAAGGACAAGCGGTTTCTAAGCAACAGCAGCAGTCGCTTACTTTACAGACAGCTCGGGTTTCAACTAATTCTAATTCACAACCGAAATTAAATGTCATTCAACAGAATGCCACTCTTACAAGTATTCCGATAAATCAAAAAAATCCACTGGTTGTCAATGCTAAAGTACAATCTCAACCGCAAATGCTTCTCAAGGTTGGCCCTATGAAAAATTCTTCCATTAACTCACAACACCCTGGGAATATTATTAAAACTGTGGGTCAAAAAGGCAATGCTGCGAATCAGATGAAAACAAATCCTCAACAAGTTGGACTCTCGATCAATCGCACTGTCAATGCTCAGCCGGTTAAAATAATTCAACAGCATCAACAACAGCAGTCACCTCAGCAACATATTGTTGTTAATCAAATGACTTCCCAAAAGCAACCGGGTTGTATAAAAACAATGCCTGCGCAAAAAGTTACAGCACATCAGCAGCACCAGCATCAACAACAACAGCAGCAGCAGCAACAGCGAAATAATACCCAGAAAGTTGGTAGTATAAAAACTTCTTTGAATACTAATATGAACTCACTAAAAGCTCAACCTGCTAACAATTCTGCAGTCCCTGTTGGGAATCAACTCTCACAAAAAACAAATCTACGTAATTTTCATCCTCAGCAATTGAATACTTCTAATATAATGATACAAAAAAATCAAACTATGAAAATTCAACAGCAAAATATTCAGCAAAAACAAATTATAATGTCACCACAGTATCCCCAGTCACAAAATATAAGGCCACAAGGTGGACAAATTAAAACTATTTTACCAATAGTTTCACCGGATACCCATAAAGAGATGGAAACAAAGTAAGTATATAAATAGTATTATTAAATAATTATAATTATCTTATTCAATATTGTATTAATATAACTTGTATTGATTTTTTATTATCAGAATGGGACAAGAATTACAAATGAAAAAGGAACCAGAATCTCAAGAACAGCCGACCTCACCTGTACGACGAATGCCGCTACCTTATGAGGTATTTATAAAATTATCTATCAAATTTTACATCAAAATAAACACATAAATATTTATTAAATTGTTTTTTTTTTTTTTTTTTTTTTTTTTAAATAAAATCCTGTTGAATTTTAGTGTCTGCAGTTCGTCCTTCAAGACCATAACTACGGAGCTCCACCACCGCGAACGCCACCACCAGCGTCGCCACCACCTCATCCACAACAGCAATCACTAAATGGTGCGAGTGGTTCAACACTTCAACATTCATTTATGTACAATCAAGGTAATTATTTTTCTGACAATTATAAATTTTATTTTAATTGTCTATCAGTTGAGTTTTAAATAAATTTTTTTTTTACAGTAATTACAAACAATAGCACAGCAGATGACGCAGCGAGTGCTATCAGCAGTGATGGAGGTCGTGAAGTAGAGCCCGAAGGTGAAGAAACCGAAACAGCTCCCGAAGGAGAAGGTGACGACGAAGACAGTGTTACCCGGTGTATTTGTGATTTTGAGCATGACGATGGTTATATGATTTGCTGTGATCGCTGCCTCGTTTGGCAGCACGTTGATTGTATGGGCATCGACAGATCAAACATTCCTGACGAGTATCTCTGTGAAATTTGCCGACCACGTCGTGTGGACCGTCAACGAGCACGTACGCTTCAATTACGTAAGCGCGAGGAGCTTCTCAACTCTGATACTTCGTCGGACACATCATCGACTAGCTCTGCAGACACTGATGTCGGTAGCAATAACCCTCCGGCTAAGAAACGACAGCTTCAACAGCTCCCAATTCCGAGGAGAAAATCCGATCCTCCTCCTTCGACACTTAGGAAGTTGAACAACAATAACAATAACAACAACAACAACAATAGTAATAGCAATAACAACAATAACAACAACAACAACAACAACAACAACAATAATGTCGCTAAGCGTCAAAGACGAGAGCAGCTTCCGAGACAAGCTAGTGCGAGCAGAAAGAAGGAAACTGCGAAACGTGGTCCGGGAAAAAGAAAAACAAAACGTAGAATTAGTTTAGATGGTGAAGATGAAACTCAAGATGCTTGGGGATCAAATATGGCTCCACTGAGGCAGTGGATTGAGAGATATGAAGAGGCTGTGACAAATCACTATAGTCCTGAGCTTAGAGCCAGAATATCTAGCATTAAAGTAAATGGCACCCATGGTGATTTAAAACAAAGTAATATGAGCTCTGGCGTTAGCGGTAAGTGTCGGATTAATGTACAAAGCAACAGTCTAAGATTTTTAGTAGCTACTGTATACCTTCCACCTAATACACCAATTATTGAGTTAAGAGGTAAATATATGTTGAGCACGCAACACAGGTCGTCTTATCCCCAAGGACGACAGCATGCTCAACGACCAGGACCTTTTGTATTTTTCTATCGCTTACCACGTGAGGGCACCGAAGTTTGTGTTGACACAAGAACGTACGGTAACGATGCTAGATTTGTACGGCGGAGTTGTAAACCTAATGCTGAGATAAAACATTGTATAGAAAAAGGCACGTTACACTTGTATGTTGTTACGATAACGGCTATTGAAAAAAGTAATGAAATAACGATTCGTCATGAGCAACACGATCTGCTGCTTTCTCCTAATACTAATTTAACCGGCAGTACACCTCTTCCATGTGCTTGTGGTAATCCACGTACTTGTCAAATCACTGCGACTACCGGACAGCTGAGTAATTCACGGCGAAGTAGTAATGGTACTCTTGCGGAGAATGTTGATGGTCGTGAACGAAGAAGACGAGGTAGAAGAAATACTGTTAGTGAGGAAAATGACGTGTCTAGTTTAACAGCTTCTTCAACACCACCAGTTACAAGCCAGTCGACACCAAATCGAACATCGACTCCTACGTCTTCAACATCCACAACTCCAACAGTCTCAGCTGGTGCTAAAAAAATGATAACAAATACTGTAGCACCTGTTCCAACTTCAACTGTCACTACAACAACTGCACCAGCAGTAGCTTCAACAGCCGCCGTGGTAACTGCGACGACAACGATGACCACCACCACGTCAGTGATAGTAACTACAACGTCATCTTCAACAACTACAGCAACTGCAACAGCGGTAGCTGTTTCTACGATAACAACGACGACAACTACCAGTACATCCACAGTGGTGACTCCTGCAGTGACTAAAGTATTACCTAAAGAAGAGGCTCCTCCTGTTTTAGCATCACAGCCACCGACGCAACAGGTGGCTCATTTGACACCACAAACCGCTCCTACGTTACAAGAAACTAGCAACAAAAAAGATAAAAAGAAAATGACCCGGGAGGAGCGTAAAATGGAAGCTATTATGAAAGCCTTTGAGAGACTAGAAAAAGCCGAACAAAGAAAGCAAGAAGTCCAAGCAAGAAACGCTCAGAGAAAAGAGTCAGGAGGCGCCCACAGTGATAACGATGATTTGCCTCTCAGCCTTCCCACCAGGCCAAAGCAACAGCACATTGAACGACCGCTCAGACGAAAAAGACGAAAAGGTCGGGCAAGAACAACAAGTAGTTCACAGTCTCAAAATAGTCGGCGAACTAGATTAAACTCAGCCGACTCAGACATGTCGTCTGGTGATGAAAGTATTATGATGCAATCACCACCCTCCTCATGTATACCTAATCGCGAGGCTCCTTTTTCTCCGCGGCTTCACACTCCAACAAAGGAGGAAAATTGCGTGGGAATTTCTCGGGAGTCTAATAATCAAACAATACCAACAGCAGCGGGTATTTTATTAGCTCTTGCTAATTCAAACATACCTGGTCCAAGCTCACCGCCGCTCCAGCAACCACCACCAAGTAAAAGTCCCACTTGCGACAGTGGAGCGAGTAGCAGCTCTCAAAGTTCAACTCCCTCGACGCCGTTGTCATCGGCTTGTCTTTTAGTTGCAGCTGCGGTTGGACCTCTCGCTCCGGGATTCAAGTTTCCCAAAACCAAAAAGGCAATGATGAATGAGTGGCTGAGAGATTCTCCGGATACACCGCAAGCTCACGTGCAAATACCATCGCATATATCACCAAACATGTCAATTGCGTCTGTACCATCGCCAAGTCCATTAATTCCTTCGACAAATAGGTCCATTGATTTTCTTTCACCTACTGACCCCTCGCCTGAGTTTTTGACTCAAAGTTATGCCGCTAAAAGTCTCGCGACTCTTGTTCAAGCCGCTAACTCTGTTTCGGGAATTTGTGATTCTCCTCCACAACGTAAACAAGCTGTTCAGAATGCCAACGGCTGTCCAGTGTCATCAGGATCAGCTAAGAAACGTTGGCTACGACAAGCCATCTCAGAAGAATGCGACTCGCCCAACAGCAGACCTGAAAGTCCGCCCAGTGAAATGGTAGCGCCGCCAAAAAAACGGCGAATCGCTCGTGAAAGTATTTCATCGGACAATTATACTCCACCGACTACGCCAACACCCGTACACACTGAAGCCGGTCCCACTAACTCAGCGCTTACTTTGTCTGAAAATGATTTTTGTGAACAACCACACTCCCCACTGTTCTGCGAGGGAAGGATTAAAACTGATTATGAAGCTGATAATTTGAAAGAAGATACCAACTCAGAGTCAGAAAAACCGGAATTCTTTCAGGCTATTAAAACTAAACCCGAATTATCTGACTCGGAAATAAAAGACCAGAGAGAGAGTGATAAAATAGACGTTTTGGTAAAAAACGAGGTCGATTTAATAAAAACTGAGGTTAAAATAAATGTCAAAGACGAGCTTATGGAGACAGATGAGGATAATCATGACATACTTACGTCTGTTAATTTAACAAAAGTCAAAGTAAAAAAGCATGATATTAAACCCCAAGAACCTTTAGACGTCACTAAGCTGCCTAGTGTTCCAGAGTATCCGATCAAACAAGAGTCAAATTCACCATTGCAAGATGAAAAATCTCCTATGGAAATTGGTAACCAAAGTGACCTAGAAAACGATGAACCAAAGTCACCGGTTATTGCAATGGAGTCTGATGTTGAGGTCAAACAAAGTTCAGAGATGATATTGACGTACAGTCAAACAGCGACTGTTGATCAGACTTTTGAAAATTTAGAAAAAGACTGTAAGTCTAACGATGCTTCTTCTATTGATGAGTTTGACGTTGAAGCGCAGATGAAGATGATAACCGGTGATGACGGTAACGATTACAAGGAAAAGGTTGATACTTGCTCGGATAAAGATTACAAGAGCATGGATGGTATCGAGGGGTTGATGGACAGCTCCAAAGAAGACTCCGACTCAGAAGACCGTGATATTGGAGATTTGCAGCCTAAAGAAGAACCGCGGCGATTTAAAGAGCTGGAACGAGCCGTCGAGGAAAGAGCTTTCAAGGAACTTGAGACAATGTCTCATAATCAAGAGTTTAAAGCTAGTAGTCAAGTATTTCTTGCTGAAAATTCGGACACTCGGTTGAAATCTCCGGAGACTACTAAGTTAGAGTCAACGACGACGACGACGACGACGACGACAGCGTCTGAGGAGTCAATGTTTGATTCTGTATCTTCGAATATCGATTGCGAGGCTGCTGTTGTCGAACCGCCTAAGATATTTCAGTCAATCCCGCCGTTGAGTGAGAGAATCCGCAAGAAACCAGATTCTTCCTCAGCTCCCAAGAAAAGTCTTGTTTTTGAAGCCGCGATGATTGAATCGACGATCGACATGGAGTCTGTTGAAATAGCAGAGAATGGCGAGGATAAAAATCAGCTCTCGACTGCTTTGAGAGAAATTTTAAGATCTAAAATTGACGAGGAGCCAACACCGTTTATGAATGCTGAAAATACAGATCCGCCTTTAGAAAATATTAATCCATCACCGGAAGATATAAATCCACCATTAGAAAGTATTAACCCGTCTCCGGAAGACTTGGAGCCACCAATTAATTCAATGTCGAAGAACATTTATTCATCACCTAAAGAAACATCACATTCTTCACCAAATAAAGCAAATTTGTCTCCAGTAAATGTTAATTTATCAACCAAGGAGATTAAATTATCTCCTAAAAATATCAGTGAAAATATTAATTCGTCGGAAAGTATCAGTATCAATCCGTTGGTGGACGATGCTAGCACACCGTTGGATAATTTGTATCCAGCATTAGAAAAAATGAGCCCGCCGTCGGAAAATTTCAACTCGCTGTTGGAAAATACAAGCCCACCTGTGTTAAATCATATTGAAGCTATAGTGTCGGAACCAAGTGTCCCAGAGAATTTACCAACTGTCCCAGCTAAAGAAGAAATAGTTCCTGCTAAAGTTGAAGAAAAAGTCCTGCCACCACCGCCGCCTCAACCTGAAGTTAGGAGGCTAAAAGATCCGAGGACAGCAGTGCCCAATCGATGTCCATCTCCAAAACACGATACACCGGCACCAGTCAAGCGTAAGGTTAGAACGGTAGGAATGTAGTCAGGTCTGCCTAGGGTAGACTGCTGTTTATTTTTCTTTTCAAACCTTCACTCATCCCTCCAGTCAATAATCCTGCACTCAAGTAGCTGGTTCTTAATAATAATTATCTAGCATGTCATCTCCATTCATCCTTCCGCTTTATTGATTTTGTTGGCTGTCTTCTTATCTGTTGCTAGAAGTTTAGGTTAAAAAGCCAACTGATGAATTTTAAATATTAAAAATAATTTATTTTTTTAGTTATCAATCTCCGAGTATCGAAAACGGAAACAACAGTCCACGGAGACACCACCAGAACCTGAACCGTCAAGTGACGTAGCTTCGTCAGATAAAAGTCCACGCGGTCGATCAGACAGTGCAAGCAGCGGAACATCTTCTCTGAGCTCCGATGATGATAATGCTAAGACGGGCCATGATATTCCGAGTTTGACGTCTCTTCCGCTGTTTGCTAACTCGGAAAATGACGAACGTAAAGGTAATTAATTTATTTTTTGTAGAGTTATAAATTTATTGTAAGACACGGGGTTTAGCGGTACTAGGGATAAGCTCGACTGGTATAAAGGCTAATATATAGTTAAATTACAGGCAATGAAGAAGGGGTTATTGGATGGTCAGCAGCACCTACGCTTGTCGAAAGACAGCGAGAAAATCTTACTGAAAGATTAAAACGCGAGTTTGGACTTTTTTTGAGCGATGATGAAGAAGAAAGGGCTAGAAAACAAGGTAATTATTTTAAAATATGTATTAATTTTATTAAAATAATTTAACAAAGATAAAATTTAATTTAATTTAATTTAATTTATTAATAAAAAAAAAATTATTTTATGAATTAAATTTTTATTTTAACAGGATTAACTGCAGAGGCTATTTTAAAAGCACGTAAAGAAGCAATGCCAAATCAAATTCCAATGACCGTAGGACCGACGCCCTATACTTCATCGCAATTACCCCCACAAACTTACATACCACCACCAGGATCGGCGGCCATACATTACCCGCAATTTCAAGTAAAACCAGGAATGCCTGGACCGTATGTTATGGCTGTACCGCAGCCAATTCCACCGCCACTACCACCTCCAGGGATTTATCCAGTGCCAGCACCGACGTCAACTCTCTCAACAGTGGGTAAGACGGTACCTCCACAATTTCTCGTGCCGCAAGCACCACCTGGTGCGAATCCGTACCCTCCGCAATTTATCCCAGCGACTAGTCCACCCGCAACTACACCACGGTTTCCCGTTTCGACGCCGACGCCTGTACCACCGCCGCCCGGCTTCACCCCGCCACCACCTCCCCAAAAGCCTTATTACAGTCATCCTCCTCCAGTACCCAGGACATAACTTCTAACTGATGAATTTATTTAGACTCTTGATTATTTGATTGACTAGAAGATTAATTATAACTGGCGTTTTAAAAACGGCCTAAGTTTTTAATAGAATTTATTTTTCTTTTTTCAAAAAAAGATATATTAAATTTATAAAATGCATTTGACGTTTTATATTCGATTTGATTTTAGTAAAGGTTCATTTGAGGAATTAAATAGTATTTTATATTAGCGGGTACGCTGGAGAAGAAAAAAATTATATTGATGGTTGCATAATATCAAAATGATAAGCGTAATTCTTTTTTTTTTTTTTTTTATTTTTTTTTTTTTATATACTGGATCTAATCGCGGTGCCCAGAGTAAGAGTAAGAGTAATTAAATTTAAGATTAAGGAAAATCTGTTACAACAGAAGTCATAATGTACAGATGAATTTTGATAATATTGAGGTAATACGATGATTTGAATGATCTTATACAAGTGATGGTCAATCTGTAAAAGGCTTTCGTTGAGACTAAACTATGTGTAATCATAAATATATAATAATTATAGTAATGTTAAAATAACATTAATATGTCATTCGATATGTAAATAATTAAATTTAAGATTTCGTAATACTATACATACTATAACAAAAGTATATATACATTTAATAGTAGCTGTGGATTTTTAGATCAGCTGCACTGCTAGTTAATTATTATTCCTATTAGTATAAAAAAAAAAAATAATTGTTAATTTATAATAAATATGCTAGCAGTGTAAAAATTATTCTCAGAGTTGTCTATATTTTATATTTCACTGTAAAATTTTCGCTAAACAATTAATTAATTAATTAATAATTATTAATAAATACATGTTGAATTATTTTTGAAATCTAAAATCAAATGTTTATTTTTTTTTCTTTTTTTTATTAATGTTTAAACTTTTTTTATGTATTATTATTACTATTATTGAGTCGCGTGTATTCTTGCCCGCTTCGGTAGAACTTTACGATTATTAAATAATCATTAAAAAATAACTATAGAAAAAAAATAAAACTATTATTATTAATTAAAGTGTTAATTGTAATTATTTGATAATTATTAGTTATTATTTTACTATTTATATTTTATTTTTTATTCGAATATCATTAAATGGTAAACAGAGACTTTATTTCTGTTACATAAAAGCGCTAGTAAATATAAAAAAAAATGGTAAAATATATGAAACTATGATAAAAATAAAAAAAAAAAAAATAAATGAGAAATTCCAAACGTACATAAGTCACTTGTACGAGTACAAACTTAAATCGAACAAAAAAAAAGCAAACTGCGATAGTTGGGGTAATGTTTAATAATTTAAATAAACAGAAAAAAATAAAATAAATATAGGTATTGCTATCAACATGAACAAGCGTCCAAAAATTTCTAACATCACATGATAATTAAAATAAAACTTTACTAGGGCTGTATGAAAAAAAATCGGCAGTAAATTATATATATATATATATATTATATTAATTATTAATTAATAATTAATATTAATGCACAATACAATAGTTGAAAGTTAGACAACAGATAATATTCATATCCTATTAGCCATACATTTAAATCCCATATAATGGTTGTATTATTACAGTACATTACAGTAGCGCAAATAATTACACAAAAAAAAAGCTTTATAGTATGTAATTAAAATGTACATGTGTAAATATATATTTAAAAATATTATTTAAGATAATATTAATGTTCGGATTTAACGGTTTAATAATTTAATAAGAGTATTTAAATATTGCTCTGTATTACAATAGTTAAATGTATAAATTTAATCAATCATAATTATTTTTTTTTATTTTCATAAAATTATTTTCATAAAATTAATTATTGATAATGGCTATAATCTGTATTTTTTTTCTTTTACATTAATTTATGTTCAGTTTAATTTGTTCAAGCTGTTTAATTATCAATGACATACAAAAGTCTTAATATTAATTTTATTTAATAAAAATAATCGCGTATTAAATACACCAATATTACAACGACTCACAGGTCACTTGATACATATTTAGGTACAACAAATCTACATTGCTCGATGTCAGTTTATCAAAAAAAAAATTAACATAGAATAATAATGATAGTAGAAAATATTAACTTTAAATTTAAAGTGAATTATTATAATTAATAATAAGAAATTTAACGTGAATATAATTACCCGGTGAAGTGAGAAGACTGCTGAGAATAAAATAATTGTTTTTTCTAAATACCATAATTTTTATTGTAAGAAAAAATAATTATAAATTATAAATATATTGAAATAAAATTTTTATTTCAGCAATCTTTTCATAATACTATTGTAAATAATAATTAATATTCCGAGAAATAGATTTTTCGCGTCACAAAATATAAAATATTTAATTAAAATAATACACTTGTAATAATTATAAACTCATTCTAATCAGATTAATAATTAATAGGCCCGCGGTGCAATTTTTCACCTTCTCTTCAAGCATTATAATCAAGAGATACTTTGTTGATACACTTTATTTTAATAACAATTATTGCATATTATTTTTTTAATTTTTTTAATGCTGATTAGCGTGTAATTAAATTTTAAAAAATTATATTGAAGACAACTAACAAACAAGATGTAGTTTAATATCCCGTAAAGGCATCTGCATGATAGTTAATTTATCGTTTAAACTTTATGTGAACTTTAGCTGCAAAATTGAAGGATTTATTTAATTAATAAAATTGTCCATGTGTTACATTTAGTATAAAGAAAATTAAATCGCTTTGGAAATACAACGCAAAAAAAAGTCAAATATTTTTTCTACGCAGACATATATTTTTGACAATTCTCCTGTTTAATTTAATTTAATTTTTTTGTCAATTTATTATTATTATTATTATTATTATTATTATTATAAAGAAAGAAAGGAAATTAGAGACGATTTTTTTTTACCATCTAAGAACGTCAAGTGATAAGATTTATGTAAATTGGTAATTTTAATTCTGTAAATACTATTGTAATTATTCTTATAAAGAAAAATTAAAATCGCATGTATTTTAAAATATATACATATAAATACAAGTATTAATGATTTTATAAAAGAGCAATTTGAACAAAAGAATAATAACAAAAAAAAAAAAAAAAAAAAAACCATGCGGGAATAATTAACAATACACAATACAAAATTAACATTTTTTTACACTTTCTCATTATAATATATTTTTTTTATTAATTTGTTACTTTTATTTTATATTTTGTTCCCCTGTAATGATATTAACATTATTATAATTACACTATTATTAATATTAATCTTATGAAAATTATATCTAAAATAAAAGGTGTTAAGATGAAATTATAAAACGATGTTTCGGTGTTGTAAATAATTAATGAGTGAATAAATATAATAATTATAAATATTATAAATAAAAACTAGTTAAAATTAAAAGTACATAAATAACAAACAATTTTTTATTTTAAATTTGCCGTTACATATGTACGTGCCTAGATTTTAGAAAATATTACGATTTTAAATATGTGTTATATTGTATAAATGATTTAATTAATACGATTTAAAAACAAATAAATCTAATTAATTAATTATAATTAATATAAACGAGTTCTATAATATAACGCTGTATTACATATAATGTGTAAAAAGCTCATTATTTAGGCATACATATTATTATATGAAATTTAATAAATCGAAATACATTTTACGAATTAAAAATTAATCATGTATTTTTTTTTTAAATATCTTCCCTTAATTTTAATCATATTTTTAAGTAAATATTATTAACATTTCATTGAACTTTAAAGAAGATATTTTTAATCTTTAAATTTTAATGAAATCTAGTCCAAATTTATTAAAAAAATTTTTTTACAATGTAATAACAAAATAAGTAAGCAAATATGATAAGATAATAATTAATTTTAAATTTTAAAGGCATCTGATAATTTTTAAAATTTTTTTATCAAATAAATTAGAGCAAAAAAGATCTATTTAAAAAAATTCTATATTTAGAAGTTTAAAAAAATTATAAGTACAATTTTTTATAAATAAGCTCTTTAAGGCCTAGTTTTTTTTTTTTTTCAAGAAAAAATTAAAGTATCATGATAAAAAAATAATTTTTACTTTAAAACTAATGACAATTTATAAAAATATAATAAATAATAACTTTAATCTTCACTTATATTTTTTATTGCACGTAATTTTTCAATTTATTTAATCAAGCAATTGAAATAAAGCTGCAATGAAAATAAACGGGAATTAAATGATTGATCTATTAGTACAGAAAAATTTTTTTCTTTATAAATTACTCAACAATTATATGACATTATTAAGTTATTAGCAGTCTATTTTTTTTAATCATTAAATTTGTTCCAAAAAAAAATATGAAAATTAATTTAGCAGATGTTTGATAATTTTAAGATTTTTTTTTTTAACAAATAAATTTTGACAAAAAAAAAAATTGACATCTAGAAATTTAAAAAAAATAAAAAATGCAATTTTTTAATTTTTTTAAAATAATTTTTTGAAAAAAATCTATTTATTAAAAAAAATTAAAAAATGATTAAGCAAGTGCTAACTTTAATGTCATAAAAAAATTGAATTTAAATTTCTACGTCAATTTTTTGAATAATTTTTTTTGCCATAATTTATCTCGAAAAAATTCTTAAAATTATCAAATTAATTTTCATAACAATAATAAAAAATTAATTGTAATTATCAGAAATTAAAATAAATAAATTAAACCAAAAAAAAAAAAACCGTTCGGATAAATAAATCAAGCTCATGCGCGTACTTGAAATTAAATTGAATGATTTGATTGGGTAACGAGTATAAAGTTGGCCTTCCTGACTGGACAAAATACAAAACACACGAGAAACTCATTGCTGCACTATTACAATTATACATACTTAGCTGTACTTAGCACCGACTACCTCGAAGCTACATAAGTAAGAAGAGAGAAGAGTAGCAACAGTTTACTTCCAATACTTGCACATCAAACTATATAAGTATACCTCAATATACAGTAGTATAGTTAATAAGAAAGTGACAGGTTACGAGTAACAAGCAACAAGCAGTGCAGTCCAGGGTAGCAACCACTCAGATTCTCTCGTCAGGTCTTACTTACATACACATCAGACGACACCGACACACACAACAATCACCAAGTTTGGCAAGTTTAGTTTGAGGCTAGTGTAAGACTAAGATTGTACATTGCACGCGCATTTCAAAAGTGTACACAGTATACAACAACACATACGCAAGCGCCATAGCATAAGCACACCATATATCGTGATGTCCTCGCCGTCTCGGACTCAGCTGGACGAAACAGCTGTAGAGAATTTTCGCGAGTATCTGCGGATTCCTTCTGTTCAGCCAAATGTTAATTACGGTAAGTTTGTTTATTTTTTTTTTAATTACACTCCTCGGTACACTAACAACAATAATAACATATTTTTTTTATTTATTTAAATAGGTAAATTAATTGTTAACTAAATTATAAGAGCGTCTGGGATGTAAGTAACGCCGCGTGAGTCTCTCCATAGTGACGCGTCTTTTAGTTAAACTTTATTTAATTTATTATTAACTAAAGTGAAATTCTTAAAGTGATTTTTATTTATTTAATAACATTATTATTGACATAAATTTTTTTTTATCCACTAGTTATATTTTGTGAAAATAAATGACGCGAGAGTGGACGCAAGTCGCGTCAGAGACGCTATCATCCAGCCATTGTCGCTGCCCCGCCCTGGCTTTCTTTAGTTAATCTTCTATTTAATAATTATTGTTTATCAAAAATTGTTTATTAATCATTTTTAAAAGGTATTTCTAAGTTTTGTTATTAGTTTTCAAGAGTTTTTACATTTTTAAATCCATTTATTTGTTAAATGTTTGCGTGACAAAGATGTCGAGTCGTATGGCAACTTTTTGGAAGACGCTAACGTTGTTTTAGAAGTATTTATAGATTGTATAGAGTTAAATTTTGCAATTTTTTCATCAGTATTGCGTGTCATGAAGATAAAGTCCTGTGATAGGAGATTTAGGCGGTGATAAGTTAACTATTTTAGTACAAAATTCGACTTTGCTCTAGCGGTGTTGCTACGTGGACTTTACTGGGTTGTTTTGTTCATATTTTATTTTATATAAAAGTTATAAATTATTTAAATTTATTTTTGTATTAATTAATCATACTATCATTCATTAATTATAATTTAATCTTTTAAATACTTAAAGATTTATTTAATGTCCTATTTTTGATAGCAAATACCAACGCGATGCTTGAATAAATTTATTTAACATCTAACCATATTTTAAAAATTTTCCAGATGATTGTGTTGCGTTTCTACGTCGTCAAGCACAAAGCTTGGACTTGCCTATCAAAGTCTACGAGCATTACAAAGGAAAGCCGATTGTTGTCATCACCTGGGTAGGTACTGACCCAGCAATATCCGCGGTGTTGCTCAACAGTCACATGGACGTAGTTCCTGTTTTTGCTGTAGGTATTTTTTAACATATCCTTAAATGTAATAATAATATAAAATTTATCTGAGATTAATGAATTAAAAATTGTAGGATAAATGGACTTATCCGCCATTCAGCGCAGAAATGGACGACAAAGGGGACATTTACGCTCGTGGCTCTCAGGACATGAAGTGTGTTGGTATCCAGTACATTGAGGCGATAAGACGCATGAAGATGAATGGGTTGCGCTTCAAGCGTACAATCCACATGTCTTTTGTCCCTGATGAGGAGATTGGTGGGGTTCTTGGCATGGAAGCTTTTGTCAACACTGCTGACTTTAAAGCTTTGAACGTTGGCTTCGCTTTGGATGAAGGCGTCGCGTCACCTGAAGAGACCTTCTACATGTTCAATGGCGAGAGAGCCATTTGGCATATCAAAGTCATTTGTCCCGGTCACCCGGGTCATGGATCTTTGTTGCTGCCTAACACTGCTGGTGAAAAGCTCCGGGTTATTATTGATCGGTTCATGGATCTCAGGGCTGATCAGAAAGCTAAGCTTGATACTGGCAATTATATGCCTGGAGATGTCATGTCGGTCAATCTCACCAAGCTTTCAGTGAGTTTAATTAATATTTATATTATTAATCTCTCAATTTATTTTATTATTCTTTAAATAACAAATTTTTGACTTATGTCTGACCCAGGATTTTTAAACTGTAAGTATGAAGAAATTTTTGCTTTCAAATTTTTTAATTAAATTAAATTTATTTTTTTATGACATTAAAGTTAACTGTCACTTGATAATTGTTTAATTTTATTTAACAAAAAAATTATTTTTTTCCATAATTTATTTGTTAAAAAAATTCTACAAATTAATGAATATCTGCTAAATTTATTTTTATTATTTTTTTAAGAGTGAGGAATTTTTATTAATTTTTATTTTAACTTACAGGGTGGCGTTCAAGCGAATGTTATTCCGGAGCAGTTAACTGCAGTGTTTGATGTTCGGATCCCGCCGACTGTCGATCATGCAGAATTTGAGCAGACCATTCTCAGCTGGTGTCGTGAAGCCGGTGAAGGAGTTTTCGTCGAGTATGAACAGAAAAATCCTAAAATTGAAAGTACTAAATTGGATGATAATAATCCTTTTTGGCTGGCGTTCAAGAGTGCAATTGATAAGCGTGGAATGAAAATACAAATCGGAATTTTTCCAGGTGGAACTGATAGCCGCTATATACGCGGGGTGAGATTTTTTTTTTTTTTATTAATTAATATTAAGGTAGAAGACCCAGTTATTGACACTGGTCCAGTTATTTAACACTTGCAATTTTATTCTAATTAAAAAAATTAAATTTTCACAAAAAACCAATCTCGAAATTTATAATTCAAAAATTATGCTTATTAATTTATCAGAGTTTGTTTTTTTTAATTAAAATAAAATTGCAAGTGTCAATAATTGGGTCTTTTACTTAACAATAATATTATTAAGCCATAAATTATATAAATAATTTTTCAACAGATTGGATTACCCGCTATTGGCTTCTCACCTATGAACAATACTCCGATATTACTTCATGATCACAATGAGTATTTAAACAAAGATGTTTTTCTACGTGGAATTGAAATTTACATGGATATTATTCCATCAGTGGCTAATGTTTAGTATTTAAACAACACTTGATATTTTAATACTCAAGATATTGAATATTGATTCAGTTAATTGAAAAGTGCAATCAAGATTTTTTGATAAATCAAAAAATTAAGTAACAAGTGATAAATAGATCTACGTTCTACTAGCAATAATATTCAATCTTTATAAAAAATTAAATCAGTGCTACACAATTCAAGTGATTGTAAACTAATCTTAAATAATAATGAAGAACAAGTTGATGGAAGAAGAATTCAAATGCCAAAGAAGATCAACTGAAGAAACACTGCAAATAATTTAGTGCAATTACCGGTGGAATGAAAAAAAAAATGAAGAGAGCTAATTATCAACTGTTTTTTTTTTTTTTATATTCAAATCTTTACGAATGTTATAAAGTTATTGTTTTTTTTTTTTTTTTTTTTTTCTAATGAAATATTGAGAAGACAAGTGAAGTCTATAATAATTACAAAGGAAATATATTTTAAAAATATTATTTACAAAAATGAAAGTTTAACTTTAACTTGTAGACCCAAAAGTTTGATAATAGAAGTATAAATTATAAAATCGTGCGATTAAACGTAATATTTATACTCAGTGAAAAGTAATAAAATGTAATATTAATATATAGATGATTGATAAAACACGTGCAAGTGCTACGAATTAATTACTATCGTGTTTTTCGTAGAAGGAATCATCTGAGTGTATATCACGAAATATATTTAATGAGTAAGTGTAATATTACCATGATAATTGTATACACATCGTACAATCATCACAATTCATTCTTAACGGAGTATAGTATCCCTACTTGGACTCATAAATATATATATATATATATATATACAGATATATACGAATCTCTGTAGAATGCCCCCACTAAGGCAAACTTCCTTACCTTGAGTAAAATAATGGACTCGTCCACTAATCTACTTCAATATCTGTCAAATTAAAAATTATTAAAACTCGGAAAGTTGTGAAAGTAATTAGTATGAAAAAAATAATTAAATAAATTAATTAATTTTAAAAATAATGACACGACAAAATAAAATAAAATAAATAATATTAATAGTGTTTTATAAATGTTGAATAAGAATCGGCCATTTTGCTGGTAGGGAAGGTAGGGGAATAGAGCCTCGACCCCGGCGGAGCCACCGTTTATTTACTTGACTAAACTGTCTTGCAGCGGTAACTAGCCGGTCTTTAACAAGTATTGAGTTAACAAAATTACTAAAAAAAAAAAATTAATTTTTTTTTACACTCAGCTAATTTTACCTCGTGGTGTAAATTGTTTAAAATAATTGTTTTTTTTTATTAAGTACGATCATTTAAAAGCATCCTCCGCACCCTATTTCGTTGCCCGCCAATACTGAACAGGCGGGAAGACCACGTGACGTTGTTTAGCGAATGAACGTCATGAGATTTGAAATCGTGCGTGGTCTTTGTTCACGAGTTGAGACCGTCAACGTTACTTCAGTTCCGTGAAGGGGACCCTGTGTTGGTGATCCGTTTATCCATGGTCGCTGCTGCCGAAAAAAACTACGTTATTTTCACATTTAATTTATATAGATATATAGTACATATATTTAATAAGTGAAAGTGGCGTTTTTAGTAATAATTATTCCAGAGATATTCATTCGCAATTGTCATCATTACGGTAGGTTATTAATGTCATTTATATTATAAATAATTATTCATTTGTTTACATTTATTGAGTGCATGACAAAAATAAAGGCGGGTGTTTCTGGTTGTGTTCTTATAAAAAAAAAAAAATAATTATTTCATTTATAAAATTATTTTTATTTTCAGTGATTATTATTTTATAAATTTATTCAACTATTTTTAACATTTTTATTTTTAGTTTTTTTATTTGTGTCCGAGGAAACGCCTTTAAGTGTTTAATACCTCGTGAATTATTTATTTTACCCAAAATTTATTTTAGTATGCATGATCTCAAGTGACGGATAAATATTTAATAATTAATTTATTAATAAATAAATATTAAAATAGTGAAGGTAAATTTTGCGCGGCAACTAAATTCCAGTCTTCCACTCGTATCTTTGTCTGTCTCGACAACGTGTGGAACCGAGGAGAAAAAAAAAAATGTAAAAAAAACCGGGAGAAAAAAATTCCGGCGGGAATACACTCGATGATTGTCAAGGTCTATGATCTCGTGTAGTCATGACGACCGGTTGACAACCATCTTTGTTCGCGCTTTGACGGCAGGAAACATCTAAAGAATTTTGAGTTTATTTTTTTTTTTTCTCTTTGGTACTTTTAATAAAATATTATTTTTTAGTTCTTCATTTCCTCTGTAAAATAAGGAGGAGAGTCTCGACGAATCCCCAGAGCATCTCGCGGGGCAGGGCAATTTTTAAGCGGGAAACCGCTGCTTCCTTTCTCTTCTCGAAATTATATTTAACCCTGAGATGTTTTTTAGTTTTAAATAAAAAAATATTTTATTTAACTTGACATTCTTTATTAATATTTTTTTAGTCGCTTTATATTTAATATTTGTTTTAGATTTGTGGCTGTACTGAATATATGGTGAATGATTAATCGATAAGAAAAATATTTAACTGTTTTACTACAAGCACGTGCTTGAGTTTTTTTTTTTTTTTTTTTTTTTTTTTTTTTATTTATTTTATTTTATTTTATCAGCATACTTAAAAGCAAACGGCGGATGTTCTCATCGACTATACTTACTAGGGCTAAGATCAAATGACTGTGGAACGTATAAATAAGTCGTTAACTATTAAATATCGATTTTCTTCTCAACTTGTACGTTATAAGGTTATTTTACACTGAAGATTATTTAAAACAAGACAAAACCCGATACCTAATGACACACGATTAAATTTCTTTGTCAACTTTAGTGTAAACAGCTAGTTAAATAACCAGGTTCTGGCTATTAAAATAATTGTGAGTACTAAAATTACATTCTAATTTTATTCTACGAACAGAGTACAATTTTATTTGCTTTGGTAATAGTTTTTAATTTATATTATATATATTTTTTAGTTTCATTTTTGTGAATGCTAGAGCAGCAGAAATAAGAAGGCGGGAAAACTTTAGACCGTGAGAACATTCTGGGAACTTAAAACCTTCCCCTCTCGCTTCTCGGTCCCGGTCCTGTGAGCACAACCAGACCCCTACGCCATATGCACACCGCAGGAAATATCCTTCGGGCCAGAGAGAGCCCCTTTGACCAAAATAACTTCCCCTCGCCCCTCGGCAATAGTTTCATATATTTATTCCTTAATATATTTTTTTTTACTTGTGCTCGGGCTTTTTATTGCTTTATATTTCCTAGAACTTCCGCATTTGTGTAACACATTTTTCTGCTCGAATTTTTTTGGTGCTCCGTCATTTTATTAAATATTTATACGTAGCTCTTTATATACCCACTCTTATATTTTATTTAGTTAACTCTTAAATTTATGTAATGTAATATACCGAGTATATACATTTATTTGTGATGAATTTATTTAATATTTTAAATGTTACTTTCACCAGTCGGATTCTAACGGCAAGCCAAATCTTACCGAGGTCACAACAAAAAAAAAACCGCCAAGAGAGTCATTAGTTAATTCACAAGGACAATGAGTGCCTTAGAATTTTTTATAATATTTTTTTTTATCATTATTTAATTTGTCATGAACTTTAGAAAAGAAAGGAATAAAAAAAAAACGAGCCAAGTTACGAAAAAATAAAATTTATAGACGATAGAATAATCTAAAAAATTGATTACTAAGTGAAACCGTTAGTTTTAAAGAAGTCGCCGATTACGTAACGTAGGGATAAATGAAATAAGAAAAATAAAAAAAATTCCCCTCTATATATTCACACAGCCAGCTCTCGACGATCTATTCCTCGTCTTCCTTTCTCGTGTCCCCACGCATTACTAAACTTTCGATCGCGTTTATTTGCTATTACAATAAATTTAATTAACAATAAATTTATTTCGAGCCTTCTCATTATTTAATTTAAATTCATCTTCTAGATACTTATCATCATTATCATCTTGATAATAATTATAATCTTGATAATAATTATAACAGCAATAAAGTATAATTCAAATAATGAATCAGTAATTACAGCTCTATTTATGAAAATATTATATTGATTAAAGCTTCAACTGTCAGAGTATAAAATGGTAATTTTATAAATAAAAATGAGAAAGACTGGTTAAATAAAAAACAATTACCGAGGCGTCGATTACGTTTGAAAATGTTCATCGAAAAAGTTTTTTCGACGGTAAGCATTTACTCCTCGTATATATTTTCTGTTCGCAACCCCTTCAAGGGGTTTTTATTTGTATATGTTCATGTTCGTGCTCTAATATATATATATATATATATATATATGTATATATATTTTTGTGTTGAATGTATAGGTGTGTAGTGAACTTCCCCTTTATTCCATCCCTAAGAGTAGCCGTGAGAGAATAGGAGACGGGGTGAAGAGACACACGAGGGTGCAGACTGTTTCGCGCAAGCGGCTGCACACAGGGGTAGCAATTTTGCACTCCCCTCTTCTATTCCCGTTTTCTCCCTTTACTAACTCGCTCTCTTGCTCTTTGGAGCTCCGCGAGCACGGGATGATAGTGGTAGGGAATATCAGATCGATACTTTGCAAAACGAGACGACGAGGGGTATGAACTCACCGCCCCGGAAAGAGATCTCGTCGCTTGGTCCAGGAGCTAAATATTTCAATCTCCTTTCGTTTCAATGTAAATTTCCTTCTGTGTTATTTTATTTTTTAACTTATTCACTCCGCTCCTTTCAATACTATTTTATCTAGATGACTGCAGTACATAGAAAATAATTTTAAGTCTAGCTTAAATTTTTTTCTATTAAATCCAAGGGTAAATTTAATTTTTACATAGAAAAAAAAATTAATTTGAATCAAGTGAATAATTTTGAAGATTTTAAAGTAGAAAAATTTTTAAACTAAGAAATTTTTCGTTTTGATCCAATCCAATGAAACTCTTCAAAATTATTTTTTTGGTTCAAAAATTTTTCTCTTGATTCAAGTTAATTTTTTTTCTGTGTAATTTTAAAAATTAAATAAAATTCTATAGCACATTCTAGCTAGAGGAAGTTAAAACTCGATAGAATTCTAAGCGCGAACGCCCGCATGTTTTTGAACAAAAAGAAAAAAATGCGTTTGACCGTGAATATTGTTCGGAGGATGAAATATTTAGTAAAGACCCTTGAGGTAGGTATGCCATAGTACAATACAACACGTATTCTGCTCGGGCTAGTATACCTTTACCTTTACCCAGCTAGTTTCTCTTTCAAAACGTGCCCAGAATCCCGGGTTCAGCATTATTATACCTGCTGGTCCGCCTATCGCCGTTTTGCTGACTAGGAAATTTTTTTTTTAATCGAGATGGGTAGTAGTAGAAGCTTAGGCCCTAAACTAAAATTTCCGAGTAAAGTACTTGAGAGAAAATATTTTTTAGCGGACCTAAACCTACCTCACCAAGCAGGTAGTAGTCTTAGCTGAATGACAGTCGGAAAATCTCGTATTTACTGCACCGTAATTCATACTTCTATTACTTAGAAAACATTTTCTAAATTAACAATAGTCCTTTCTACCTGCATCAATGCACCCTACGCTCCTTAGATTAAGTTTATGTACATTTTTCATGTCTACAGCCGGTGAAATTCCTGCTTTAAAAATAACACTCATTGTTTCTCGGTAAATCTTTAACTTGAATAGATAATAAAAAAGCTAAAATGGAGAGAAAAAAAAAAGTGAGGAAGAAAGAGGAGTGGAATGATCTTGAAAAGAATATTAAAAAGCGGAAAGAGTCTTCGCGTGCCGACTCGTAAACCCGCGAGTGATAGCCAAGACCACCTTTGCTCTGTTCGACGTACAGAGAGTACCAGGTATCATTTCCGTTTATTTAAAAAAAATTTATCAAGTATATTTAATATTTAATATTTCATATTTCATGGCTCAGTGAGCTTTCTCAAACTCAATTAACCACACTTGACTTGAATATAAAATTCACGATTAAGTATTATATTTACAGGGAGCGAGGAGTAAAAAACGAGCTCTAAATTTAGCAGATGAGTTCACTCTTAATGTGTCCGTTGGTCATTTGAGTCATGTCACTTGACTCTTAAAGTGACGGCTGGGTCTGCTGTCCGAAGAACTCGATACCGCTGGCCATTAGACTGGAAAATTTTTCCTTCCGTCGCACCTGTCGACGAGGACTCTTTTTTTAAGATTCTGATAGGTGTATATATCTATATACACCCATCAGGCATGAGTTTCTTCGTTTACCTGGCTAATGGCAGCTACGAATAAAGGAACGGTCAATTTGGTACCACCTTTAACCGGTGCGTTTCCCCTCGGCCGCTCGATCAACCGGGCCCGGTGTTCTCAGGTATTTGCGAATACGAATGTCCCGGTCTTTTTTGGTGAGCCGTCTCTCCCCTCGCTCCTCATTTGGCCTTTCTTTCAGTCACGAAACCAAAAATTGCGAGGCAATCGGATCATCAAGAGACCTCGATTGTGTTATTTAGTACGGACGATTGAAGGTTGCGTGGAGGAATAAAGACTTGCTTGTATATTATTATCACAGGAAGTTTAAAGTTTACATTCACCAGATGAAGATAATAATAATTGAAATATATATTTAATAATTGTAGGTGTGGTACTTTTCAACAAAGACACAATTGGGTTTAGCTTCTACTCTCGAAAATTGATTCCTTGATGGAATTTGGCACATTGATGTTACTTACGAGCGATCGATAAAAATACGGCTACGAGAGACCCACTAAGCGGCTCAGTTTACATCTTGCGATGTAAGGCCTACAGAACAAAACGAAAACCGGTTCTTCAGTCGACGGTGATCACAAAGAAAACCGTCGGGCGGTTTCTGCTGTGTGATTCCTCGCCACTAAGCTCCACAACCGAACCAGTACCAGCGAACCAACACAACCAGTGGAACAAAGAAAGCTAATGAAAGACGAGATCACCACCACACTCCAAGACCGGGAAAAAGATCAACAAAGAGAAGAGATACTGCTCTGTTGAGTTCAGTATTTACAAAAACTCTCCTCGTCTTCTGGTTCTCCATCAATGGCACTCTTGATTTGTCTCTGGCTACTCCACACTTCTTCCCTCAGTCTTCGATATTAATTATTGTATTTTAATCACTGGATCAATTTTTACGTGCTCTTATTTGCCGATCAACATCTTAAATTGTCAATCAAACCGGAGAATTAAATCAAGTTTAACGATTTCGTCCGAGGCTTTCTAACACTCAAGGACGTGCCCACAGAGTTGGGCTTCTAAGAAGCCCTGAACCAAATTAAAAAAAAGGCTCGGGATCCATCCCGGAAACGAAAGAAATTCTTTTTAAATTTATTCCGGGGCCTGTATAACTAAACCACAAATCTCTCCCTTTTTAAACCATCATTATGGTTATTATTTTTAATAACCAGGCAATTCCAAATTTGAAATAATAGCCTTTAATTATTGCTGGCTTACAAGCGGTAAAAATGAAAAAGTAAATTGGTAATGCTAGGGGAAGAAACATTGTTGGTTGATGATCTGGTGTGTGATATAAATTTATATTCATACGACTGTACTCACTAACTTGTACATAAAATCAAGTTCTTCCCATCAAAGTTACTTTTTTTCAAGGTCGTTTGCTGCTCGTCATGCCCCTGAAACTTTTCACCGGAGACAGTCAACCTGGTCGATGTCTCTGGTGCAGCTACCGTGACCCTAGCTATCACATCATCGCACAGCAAAGTACTCCACACAAGAATATATTTTTCATCGGTTAGCAGAGGTGCATGGCACCGTGAAACAAGTTCGATCTTACATTTAGATTAATACACACTATACACCATACACCATACACCATGGGATTCATGGAAATCCGTTGGTAACACGTGTTATGTATCATCTTCATTTAATTTAATTTAAATGTTAGTAAAATAAAAATCATAAATTATTTAGGATAGAATTGGCTTGATGACTTGGACCTTTGTGTGGTCTGTTAATCCGCTCAAGACTAGAGCGAGTTCTTTGGAAAAGTATAAACAGTAACCTTGGCGTTCTGTCATATGTTCTTTCTGGGACCCTCGTTTAAATGTTTGGATTTTTTATTTCAGTCCATTTACATTTGCCTGATTCAAGTCTCGCCGTCTACTCTTAAAACCGCGTGTTGTGTTTTGTATGTAGCTTCGTATGCACTCTACACTCAATCTACATCCAAAGTAAAGGATAAAGCAAGAGGTTCAACTTGAACGAGAGTGCTGGAGCTGAATCTCAGTCTGAAGAGAGCGAGTGAGGAACAAGAGTAAAGAAAGAAGAAAGAAAAATGTTGCCTTACCGCAGACTGAGGCCTCTTTTATTCATCAACTCTCTGGCAACATACATGTATATATACGCAAGACATTACTTTTACAACTGGTTGAATAAAATCACTCTGTAATGGCACTTGTACCATCGGTAGTCACTTGAATTCCAGTAATTTATTATAATGTCTCCTCACGGTATTGATGGAGCACCACGTATGCTTTACGTTTTGATAGATGCAGGACATAACAGGGGGAAAAACATTTTCCCTTGATTCTTTTTAGCTCTTCTTCACTTGCTGGTCTGTATACAAATATAAATACTTTATTATTTATATCTGGCTCTAAAAACAGCCCTCTAACTTTTATCATTTCAAGGTTTAATATTTCTTCAATATTAGGACAATAAATTTAAATCAATTGATTGATTATCATCATCATTGAACATTGAAAGAACTAAACATGACAAGAGAGTGAGCGAGTATTATTGTATGAGAATCGAGTAAAAAAGAATGGTAGGAAGAACGTGTGGGGTCAGTTCTTCAGCTGATAATTTAGTATGCGTAGTAGATACTCATTGAATCCAGTCAAGTCGTTTATTTAGCATATAGTATCGTTCAGAACGTTCACGTTATATCGTGAGCACGTTGGCTGTGTTGTTGTACCAGACCCGAGAAGTTGTGGATGTGGAGAGGAGGAAACGGAATCGGAAAAAAATATACATATATCTATATATATATATATATATATATATATATAAATAAAAAGAGATAAATCCAAAAGAAGCAAAGAGAAAAGGAGAAGACCATACGCTGGGAGTTGAGAGACTCGTCGAGTGACTTGCCGACTGGAGTACGCTTACTACACACGGGGGAAACTACTACGTTGCACACATTCTATAGTAAATCGGCTATAGTACTATGAGTCAGTCACACCCACGAGTCGAGCGAACTCTGGGGCTCTCCTCCGTGGGTTCAAGACCCTCTATGTACTTCTCTAGCACAATGTTGAGCCTGCTTGTGTGTTGGAGTATACATAGCAGCAGCAACGCGAGGTCACGCGTACTTAAACTTCTTCTACTTCTTCCACGATGGTATCGTCGGAGGAAAATCTATTGCCCTTGTGTCTGACGAAGTTGGCTGGATCTTTGAAGCAGAGGTTTTAAGAGTAGCTGGCTAATGCAGATAGACACAACAGCTTGGTCGAATTAACTCAGCGGCGGTGTATATATGTATAAAAATAAGTACAGGAACAACAACGAATAAATGCAAGCCGTTTTATCGTCAGTTCACTGACATCGAGAGCATTATCCCAATGGATAAACTATATTATCCCAGAGCTAGCGTAGGCTCTCCTACACCACTACTACGAGTAAACCATCCCCGAGATATTCTTAGGTCACTGTATAAGCACCGAGACTTTATAGTCTTGTCTCTTCAGGGTCTTGGTTATTATACCAACTTTATATCCAATGCTGTAGAAATACCACCCGTCTTTTTTTATTTTTATTTTATTTTATTTGCTAATAATTTTTTTATTTTATTTTTCTCTAGCAGACTTTTATTCTATTTTATTATATTTATAATTTATATTATTTTTTTTAATTACAGCCGAGTGAATGTTGAATACTGAGTGCAGACCTAGCGTCGGGTTGGACCAGGGAGCAACAGCCAGGGATCCTTGGCTAACAAATACCATGGATTACTATCTGGGAACAGATAGTCTATCCTTGCAGGAGATGCTGGACGTCGACATAAAGTGCGAGGTCGAGAGCCTTATCGGTGGAAATCCAACAGTAGGATTCTGCTTCAAAGAAATGTCCCCGCTGGAGCTAGATGATGATCCAGTGGACTATCACAGCGACTTGAACAGCTGGTTCGGCTCGGCCAGTCTGCTAAACGGCAACAGCAACAGCTCTCACAGGTGAGCGAACATCCTGCATGTTGACATGTCGAGGCTAAAGAGTAGAATAAAAAATATGAGAAAAAATAAATTTAAGAATTACTGACCCGCTTCGTCGAACCCACGTGGTCGATCGATCGTCTCCAGGCGACGTAATTCGTGGATTCCCTGTACTCTGGCGGGTCAGTGAACCACCGTTCTTGACGAGTTTCTTAACGACTTCCGCTTTGATAAACAAAAGTTGCTATATTCAACGCAAATATTTTATTTTATCATTTCTTTTTACTCGTCAAATTACTGTTAATTTTGCAATAAATTTATTTTACTCGTTCTTTGTAATTAATTTATTTATTTTTATTTATTTATTTTTTTAATTGCTGTTGTAGTAATTTCAACCTTGACCTTAATGGAGATGTCTCGTCGATAATGGTGAATCCAAATTCAGTGATGCCGATTTTGGTATCAAGAACTCCAACTCCCAGCAACAACAGTAGTAGTAATAATAGTAATAACAACAACAACACCACCAGCAACAACAACAACAACAACAACAACAATAATAGTAATAGTAATAACAATAATAATACTTATGCTAATAGTAATACCAACCACCATAATAATTGCACGAACCACAACAACAACAACAATAATAGTAATAACAATAATAACAACAACAGCAGTAGTAATAACAATAATATTTTTAATGGGGTCTTACAAGCAAGAAGACATTTCTCATTTCCCATTAAGAGCGAAATAAAAGCAGAAAAGGTCGAAGTTGAGGATGATGTCGAGACTGGCAATGAAACGGATAATGAGCATTACGAGAATGACATCACCGAAACAGAGGATGAAGAAGATGACGATGATGATGATGATGATGAAGAGGAAGAAGAATCTGAAGATGAACAGGATGAGGAAACTGTAATGATGAACGCTGCGAGGTCAATTAAATTGAAACAGCCACAACAGCAACAACAACTTCAACAATTACAACAGCAGGCTCAAAACAATCCTCAGCAACAAATGCACCTCAAAACAGTTCCAACCATCAAGACGTTGCCCCCACAGGCGATGACTAAAATAACAAATGGACAGAAAGTTGATCCTCTGGCTCAAATTAGAGTAAGAAATTTGAAACTTATTCAGCAACACAGTCCCAATGTCCAGACACAACATGTAAGAAAAATCTTCAATAATAATGTGCATATTACATCACCGAGTACAACTGGAAATTCAACCTTGAAAAGGGATAAGGATTTTACTCTTAATATTGCGGAGTATGATGAGAAGCCCTATCCAAAACCAGCCTACTCCTACTCTTGTCTTATCGCAATGGCATTGAAGAACAGCCAGACGGGCTCGCTGCCAGTATCTGAAATATATAATTTCATGTGGTAAGCATTTTTTATCCAAATATTTGCTTATCGTTTTATAGTTTTATTTTTCTAGCTTCTATTTATTTATACATAATATTTATATAATTTATATACCGGTTTTTATTGTTGAAATTATATCGGGAAAGGCATTTGGTAATAATAATACCTTTGAATAATAAAGTTGTAGATAAATTTAGGAAGTGGAAGAGTAGGGCGAGTTGAAAAAAACCGCGGTCTGCGTTTCACTCGAGGGCTCAAGGGATCCGGTTAAGGGGAAAAGTATTGTCCTTCCTTTATTCTATGCTCGGGATCGAGTATACATAGTGGTATAAAACTGCCGGCTGCCTTCCATTTTGTAAAAGGGGCCCTGAGCGGCACCAGGTGCGCACTGTCGGGGTACAGTCCCCCGAGAAATGTTCATACTCAATATGCTTCTTTGTTTACCAATTCCCGATATGATGTTCTCATTCGACCATTAAATATAATTTATAAATACTTTTTTTTACATCATCCGATTAAATTAAACTTTTATTTTTTTTTATTAATTATAATAAACTTTAAATTTTTATTTAATTTAATAATTATTTAATTTTTTTTTTTTTTTTTTTCAGTGAACACTTTCCGTATTTTAAAACAGCACCAAATGGATGGAAAAATTCAGTGAGGCATAATTTGTCACTGAATAAGTGCTTTGAAAAAATAGAAAAGCCAGCCGGCAATGGAAATCAACGCAAAGGTTGTTTGTGGGCGATAAACCCGCAAAAAATAGCAAAAATGGACGAGGAAGTACAAAAATGGTCACGAAAGGATCCTTTGGCGATAAAGAAGGCCATGATATACCCGGATCACTTGGAGCTGCTTGAACGTGGGGAGATGAAATACGCTGGAAGTGGAGGCGACGATCTGTCGGAAGAAGCGGAGAGTTCTGGTGATGAAACTGCCGAAGAGAATACAACTTATGATGAACCGTCACTCGGACACATTGCCGCTAACTCCGTGACTGATAGTTATGATGAAAGCAGTCAAGACTGTGACATCGACATCACTGAACACTTGTACGATGAAATTGACATTGAAGACAACAAAGAAGCTCTTCACATGCAGTTTAATATCGCTAAAGACGAACCATACGAATATGAATTGAGCCCCAGTGCCAAGAGACAGAAGACCTTGACTGGTACTATTCAAGGAAATTACGTGTATCAATCTGTAGCGACGTCTCGCAGGAAAACGCCTTTGCTCGTAAGAACGGGTGCTGCAAATGGCGCTTTTCTTAAGATAGAATAGATTTTTTTTTTTTTATGGTAATTTTTTTATTTTTATTTTTTAAATAAGTTCTCTTTATTATTATTTCATCCCGTTTCTAAGAAGTAAATTCTTTAAGAGAGTTACATTTAAAGGCACAGTGCAGAAAAATTTAATTCAGGCACTTGGTTTTGTTGAATATTTTTCTACAAAGGCTGTGTGTATTTTTAATACACAGGAAAAAAAATAATTATAATATTGATAATAATGTAAGTAAGGTTTTTTTTTACGATATTGAATAAGTGTATATATTATGATTTAACAAATTTTTTTCAGGAAAAAAAAATTTGTTTTGCATTGAAAAAATTTACTAATTATGAGAAAAAAAATTTCTATAATTATTATTGGTTAAGGAAAAATTTTGTAAAAAAAAAAAATTGACAGTTTTTTGAATGAAATACTGCAAAACGAGTGCGTTCATTGACAGTTTGAGACCGGGGGAGTAAGTTTAGATGTCAACGAATGTGTCCTTCAGTTTAATAACCGTAATCTATTGATTTAGCCGAGTCAATTTGACCGAGAAAGAGGGCAATGAACTAAAAGAGAACAAGACTAATATGTTCGCACACAAAATGTTCTTCCACGTACATATATTTATGTATACATGTATAATAATGTTCACAACATTTCACTGTAAATCAATTCATCTGTTTCAATGTCGTGTGTATTTTTGATCGTAATTGCCAATTTAAATATGTTATCATTTAAATTATTATTCTATATATTATACAATTTTTAAAATTCAATATACGCTGCTTATATTTCGCTAGTTGATTAAAAAAGTATCAATATAATTTAATTATTAGCGAGAAGAAATTTTTAAAGCTACTTAAATATTAAGCTCATAAGAAATTTGGTCACTTAATCGACCAGACTGATGTAACATAACATTCTTTTAAACGAGAAAAATAACTGAACATTAAATCATAGGCTTAATAATATTCCATTTTCGTATATACCTAAAGTTAATGATTTAATTGATAAAAAATAGTAGGACTCGCAGATAAACAAGTACAAAGGGTCTAAGATTGTCGGTGATTATTCTAAATTGTATAAAGTTGTAATTCTAAAAAAAAAAAAGTGTGTGTGCTGAGAAAAAAAATTAATTTGGTACAAGAGAAAAATTTTTTTAAAAGTTTCTTTGTCATAAATCAAGAAAAAATTTTTTAATTAAGTAAAAACGATAAAATAAAACTCTTAAAAAATTTTTCTCTTGAATTAAATCAATTTTTTTGTATGTATGTATGAAAGAAAAAAAATACAATCAAATTGTATGTTTTTTTTACTTTATTTAGTGTTATTAAAAACGGAAAAGGAAAAAAAAAATTTTTATCTATTAAGTATTTAACTTTAATTACTACTAGAGAAATTAATTGGTTAAATTAAGAGTGCTCAGGCCAGTGAAACAAAACAATCGAATAATAAAAGTCTAATAAAATAGGTTTTTTTATATCAAGATTGAAATTTATAAGTAATAATATCGATATGTAATTTTTTTTTCTTTTTAAGTATGTAATATAAATAATAGTGTATTACCTTTAAATTTATAGTGTAGAACGTCCGGAGTATAATTATATAAATATAATTAATAACTATAATTTAACTTGTAATACTGAGCTGAGCCTTACAGTAACTGCGGATGTCTTTGTAATATTTTTTTTAACTTTATATAAATTATTCAGCAGTTGCTTTTGAAAATTAAAAAAAATTATCCGGTATATTTTTCATTATTTTTATATTAATAATAATTATTTTTTGGAGCTGGCTCAGTACTCTACGCTCTTGTTCATAAACATGTTCAACGAGTTATTGTAACGAATAAACCACGAATAATACGTATAAAGCCGATCAGCGTTAAACAAACAAATAAGTAAATACCGTTCCGTATTATTAATAATAAGAATATTTTGTATAATAAATGTAAATAAGTTTACAAAATCGTACAGTGTAACGTACATGTCATATATATTCGTAAGTTGTCAGTTTAATTAATAATAAGCAATAAGAATTCAGATGTAATTAAAATTATTACATAAGTTAAAATACGATTTAAAAAAGTTAGTACGTAATAATTTTACATCAATGTAAAAATATTTTATATTAAATTTATATAAAAATTTTTTTATCTTTTTTATATTCAAAATTAAATGAATATATTGTATAGATATATTTCCAGTAATTATTAATTATGTTAGTAATAAGTCTGTATGAAGCAATAAGTAAGGGACCAATTGTATGGATTCTTTATAAACTTAATTAATATTATTGCTACTAAACTACTGATTAAATATTATTTTACGGATATAATCAGTTCTTTAATGTGCGAGTGATTTAATGTGTGAAATGATAACTACTAATTAATGATCTGTATAGATACTTTTTTTTTTTTTGTAAATAATAATTTTTTTTTTCACTATTCTTACTAAAATATAATTTAATTAATATAACAAATTGTACCATTGTCAAGTTCTTGATAAATCTCATTTAATAAAATAAATCGATCTCTGAGTCAACAAAAAAAAGACTGTTGTATAAAATAGTTAACATGCAGACAACAATTTTTAAAGAGTAACAATTTTCAATTAATCGCATTTATTTAATCTTGCCAGATAATAATCTCATTTGATAATGGTCTATTGTATCCAATAAAAAATAAAAATAAAAAAAACTACATTTAAATATTATATTATAAAATTAAGTGAAATAAGGCATTAATTATAATTAATAATAATGTAGAGTAGTTTTTGTACCTGTTTGTAACAATTTTTAAGTAGTCGTTTAGTAAGTACATAAACAAATTTAAATTGTATATGTGCAATTTTTCAATAATAAAAGATAAACTGAATTTTTGTCTTGTTAATAATTTAATTAAAAAATTACATTGAAGTTAGCAGTCACTTGATCATTTTTTAATTTTATAACAAAAATTTGACATCTAATAATTTTTAGAATTTTTTATTATTAAAAAAACTATTACAAAATAATTAAAAAAAATTTTCATTTGTAAAAAACTCGAAAAACTGAAAGTGGAATTTTTAAAAAATATTTTTTAGTTCTAATTTAATAATTAGAAAAAAAATTAAAAACGTCGGCTAACTTTATTGTTATAAATTTGTTCTGAAAATTATTTTTAAAAAATTTCTAAGTGTCAAATTTTTTTTTAAACTAATTTATTTATAAAAAAAAAATTATCAAACATCTGCTACTTTAATTTTCATAATTAAAAAATAAAAAAAAAATAATTATTAAATTTGCGCGCTTTTTTGGTGAAAAAAGCCCGCGCAAATTTAAAAAAATGGCGAGCAATAAATAATATCTTTTCTTCAGAAGATAGCGGTAGCAGTCGAGCAAAAGAGCGCCTCTGATGGCGACAACAAAGTACTAGTCAGTAAGTGATTGACAACGGGTCGAGATAGAGGAGAGGAGTCAAGTGATCAAAAAATGGCATCCGCGACGACGTCGCACAATGAGGTTTCGCAGCAATTTTTCGTTAATAAACTTATACGCGTTGGTTATTATGAACTGGAGAAGACAATTGGCAAAGGTAACTTTGCGGTTGTTAAAATGGCAACACATGTCGTTACTAAATCCAAGGTAAGACACGACCTTATTTTTTCTCGCGGGCTCATCGTCCATAATTCACTCACATCTAGAGTACTATCTTGAGAACTAGTCTCTAGTAAAAATCCCTCATCCTTTCACTCTTTTATTAACTGTCACACACAATTCCCCGTATTTTAATATCTACTTGTCAATTATTTTATTGGTACCTTCATTTGTTTGACAATTGACTGTCACAATAGTCATCAGGATTTTTACTACTGCTCCAAATTATTTTTTTTTATACTACGGTGTATTTTTTATTTTTTTTAATTATTTGTTTTTTTTTTTTTTTTTTTCTTTTTCTTCAGAGATCGGTACAGAAGCAGAAGAGTCGCATGAGAAAAACATTCCCGAGAGAAACGGCCCTTGAAGCTGTCGGTTGCATTCAAAGCTTAAGAATAAATTCTCTGTAGCTATTGGGGTCACATGCATGCTAGTAAACTAGTTTTTTATATTTTTTTTTTTTTTTTTTTTTTTTTTTTTTTTTTCCTCCAAGTAAATTTACAATAATCAAAAAAAAAATTATCTCTTAATTATTGTTGTTATTAAATTATTGGTGTTATTATTGCCGTGGTTATTTATTTATATTATTATTATGATGATGGAAATCTCCGTAAATGTTACCGGAAGTACTGGGAGATTTTTACGTGACTGTTTGTCTACGTCACATGATTATTAATATTAGTGGATAATTAGAAATAATGATAATAATAATATAAAAATTATTATAATGCTTGTCAGCATATTTTAAAAGTGTTTACTTGATCTACTTTTTAAATAAAATATTTATTTATAAATTAGTTTAGTTAAATGGGTAAATATTGGCAGGATCACGTTGTTTGTAGTAAAAATTTAAATTACTTCTCATTAATATCTCTTTATCTAATCACATGAATCTTAGTTTAAAAAAAAATATATATATATATATATATATATATATATTTTTTTTTATTTCAATTCTCAAAAAATTATTACGATTAGGATATAGAATTTTATTTTTCAACCTTAAATGTCACATTTTAGTATTTATATTTCAGACAATAATTATTACTATTATTTCTCTAATTACTATTAAATTGTTTTATTGTTCCAGGTGGCCATTAAGATAATAGATAAGACAAAGCTTAGTGAGGAAAATCTAGCTAAAATATTTAGAGAAGTACATATTATGAAAAGGCTGAGACATCCTCATATCATAAGATTGTACCAGGTGATGGAAACAGAAAAAATGATATATTTGGTAACGGAGTACGCGCCAGGTGGAGAAATATTTGATCACCTTGTCAGAAATGGCAGAATGTTTGAACCAGAAGCCAGAAGAATTTTTAAACAAATTGTACTGGCAGTGCATTACCTTCATACACATGGAGTAGTTCATAGAGATCTTAAGGTTTGCTTCTTAAGAATTATTTCTTCATAAAAATTTTATTTATTAAACAATAATAATTCATTATTTATTTTAGGCTGAGAATCTATTACTTGATGCAGACAATAATATAAAATTAGCTGACTTTGGATTCAGCAATGAATATACACCAGGTATGCCTCTTAGTACTTGGTGTGGATCACCCCCTTACGCAGCGCCTGAAATATTTGAAGGAAAACATTATGACGGACCACGTTCAGATATTTGGGTACGTTAAATAATTTAAAAAGAAAAAATTCACCTTAAAAAAAATGTTTGTAATTTATTTTTTAAAATCATCTCGCAGAGTTTAGGTGTAGTTTTGTATGTATTGGTTTGCGGAGCATTGCCGTTCGACGGACCGACGATGAAGTCACTGAGATCTGTTGTAATTTCTGGAAAATTTAGAATACCATTCTTCATGTCAGCAGGTGATTTTTGTTATTTACTCATCGCATTAGCGCTTAAGCTATACGTTGAGCAAACATTGAATTAAAATTTTTAAAAATATTTCAGAGTGTGAAAAGCTGATAAGGCATATGTTAGTGGTGGAGCCTGAACGACGATTAAGTATAAGACAAATCTTGGCACATCCTTGGATGGGCGGTGATGGAGTTACGGAACCTGAACCCGGAGGGTAAATATTAAATTGATAATCTATAGGCTGCATTCGAAAATGCTCTGCCTAGATACATAATTAATAAATGACCTTGTATCTTGTGAACTATTGACATTTTTAAAGATATAAGCTAATCTCGATGTTACACTCATCAAGACCTTTCATTTGAGTACCCACATCAATTTTTCATATATTTGTATATATTATATATATGTATATATGAAAAATATATCAAAAATGCATGTGGGTACTCAAATGAAAGCTCTTGATGAGCGTAACATCAGGATGAGCTTATATCTTTAAAATATATATTATATATATGTATATATGAAAAACATATGAAAATGCATGTGGGTACTCAAATGAAAGCTCTTGATGAGTGTAACATCGGGATGAGCTTATATATTTAAAAATGTCAGTATTTAAAAAAATACACATGTCACATAGTGACTGCAAGATTGCTAGTATTTATTTAAATTAATTAAAAATATATAGGTGCAGCCCAGAGCCTACTCATCCTCCTCCACTAAACCAAGTAGTCATGGAGAATATGTTGAGATTACCGGGACTCAGACCAGAAACATTGCTGCAGTCTATCCAGCAAAATGCCTTTGACCACGTATCTGCAATTTATCATTTACTGGCAGACCGTCTCGAGTCGACGATGTCAAGTCTACCGAGCATACAAAACCTCCCGGGCGATTACATGCCCGACGGAGCTCATCAGTTGGAAAAGTTTGGAGAATCAGAGTCGGAAGCGGATTCTGAGCGAGCTGGACTCTGTTTACCGTTGGGCACGCACGCACCGTATCACGCGACAAGAAGACACACGGTCGGACCCGGTGACACTGCGCACCAGCCGCCATCACCGTATCCTTATCCTTATCAAAATTACACACCGGGTAATTACCCGCCGCTTGGTCTTGTGCCTATGATGCAGTGCAACGCCGACCAAGTTCTACCACAGACAAATTTACCGCTAAATCTTCCCCTGGTGCAACATCAACCTCCTCAAAATTTCCAAATCAAAGACCAGCATCTGTTGAAGCCACCGCCTGTTATGGGAGCCAGTAATTATTTTTTTCATTCATTTTTATATTAAAAAAAAAAAAAATTATTATCATTGCTAATCCAATTGTTACTTATTCCAAGGCACTTTTGGAAGAAGAGCATCAGATGGTGGTGCAAACCTCCATGTATTCTATCAACAACAGCACGGAAGTGGTAACGCAGAAGAGGGCGGGTGGAGTCATCCAGGCAGTAGAGAGCACTTGCAATCCGTAAAAATCACAATAAATATTTATACATTTATTGCGTTGATAAAATCTAATTTTTAAATTATTTACAGAGCGGTAGTCCTTCACTGGGACAATGCTCGCAAACGTTAAGCGTGAGCGGAAGCCCCGATAGCAATGGTGGGAGCAGTGCGAGTTCGTCAGGTGGTAGCGATCGTCGAAGAAGAAGTGGTTTGACAGCTGTAATGCAGCGGCCAGGTACGATTGTTATTAACTAAAAACATTTAAAAATTTGCACCTATGTGACTGTGTTAGCAAATATATATATATATATATATATATATATATATATATATATATATTTGTCCCTGATATTAGTAATTTAAATGCAGCTCTACGTCTACGTAAAACCGTCAATGTTATTTATTAATCGGATTATCGGATGCCAGTTAGTTTATATCTGGCGAAATTTTTTATTAGCTACTCGTTTAGCACCTCTTCACTTGTGGACATTTATTTTTGTTTTTATAACTGTTATTATTATTATTATTCGTTGTATTTATTATTTATCATTACATTACACCTGTCAATAACGACCAATGTTTAAAAGCATACATATTGACCCGCATTAAGCAGCGGAGTCATCATTATCACAATCATCGCATTGGTCATCAATCATATCATTTTATGTTTCATGCCTTACTTTATTTTTTTTTTTTTTTTTTTTTTTTTTTGTTTCTTTATTTTGATTTTGCATGGTTTTATTGTACCGGCTGCACAACAATGCCTCTCCCTGTTGGTTGGTTTACGAATGCATGTAGTTATAAATCCGGAGCTGGTCATGGAGGTGGAGGCTAGGATGAATAGAGCGTACGTCCCGTCAAGATTGCTGCCTTCGCACTTGAGGGACTTACCTCCACGCCCCTTGCACCTGAGGAAAACCTCACTTTATCCTGCTGCAGGAGTTGGTAATTTGAGCACTTTTTGTATTATTTGTCGCTATTAATCTTGAGTACTAGTGCTTGTTATGAATGTTTATGGTCTCAGGATAGATTGGTATGATCACATCAATCACATTGAAAGTCATTAGCCGCTGTTTGTGACTTTAATAAAAATTCACAGCAGGCGGTAGAGATTCATACAAAGAGCCAAGCGCACATGTCACCACTGAGAGGTACTCCCCAGTCAGAAGAGCGTCCGAGGGTTCCTGTCCACCTGGACCAGGGATCCAGGCATTGCAGCAGGAGTACCAGCAGCTCCAGAGACTCGCATCACCTTCTCACAGTCCTGCTAGCATCCCCGGGTCACCTGTTCATGAGCGAGGAGTTGCCGCTATTACTCAGGGTAATTGTTATCATTCATTTTAATATACATTTTTTTTTTTTTTTTTTTTTTTTTTTTTTTTTTTCATAAAATTAAATTTAGCAGTCACTTGATTATTATTTAATAAAAAAAGTTTTTCTAAAAAATTATTTTTTTTTAATTTATTATAAGTTAACTTTATAAAAAAAAAAAAATGATATTAAAATATTTGTTAAAAAACATTATTTAAATTGTTAAATAAATTTTAATTAATTGGTTTAATTCAGGACTTAGTGGATTAACAACAGCAACAGTACCAGGTAGTATAGTTCACGGAACACCAACGCAAGCACCAGCAGCGCCTTTGGATCTGAGTCCTTTGAGACATCACAGATCTCCAGCAACAACACCAGTAAGTTATTCACCGAGCAATAGCCCGGCATTGGATATGATTCAAGAAGAGCATCCTGTCGACATATCCAGAGTAAGTACTCACCTCACCACTTCAACTACTAAATACTTGAGTCTCACCAGCGAATAAATAATTAGTGATAAATAATAAAAAAAAACAGGTACCACCTCAAATATCAGTAACAGATGTTTCGGGCGGACAAGTGACCTTAATCGGCTGCCCGCTGTCTCCTTCACCGTCACTGGACTCTCTGGAAGGAAACTTACCAGTCTACAACCCTCTGCCGAGTTTTTTGATATCAGAACCTTGTGACCCATCGCGACCCAGCATTACTCGAGGAATCGGCCGGCCTCTCAGTTCACCTATACCCTCCGAAGTGGAAGTGACCCTCTCAAACGAGTCCAGCAGACTCAACTCTGAGGCAATACTCGGTAGAGTTAAGCAGATAATCGACGCGCGAGCTCCACCAAAAGGTTTTATTTTCTCCCGGGAAGAAGTCGAAGGCAGTGGACTCAGCCTCGAGTACCCCGGGGGAGTTCAGATCGAGCTCCGGGTCTGCGAATTCGAGGAGCACGAGAAAAAAGGCATCAAGATGCGGAGAATCAGCGGCGATCAACTGCAGTACAGTCAACTGTACGAGCAATTAATTTCGTGTATCACCGTTTGACAAGAAATAATTAAGGTAAACCTCGCGATAACTGTCATAATATTCAATTATTTTTATCATTATTACTACTATTATTTTAAATATGTTAGATTATTATTACAACATTCCCGGTGCCTCAAAAACACCTTTACAAATACAGTATTGCATTATATGCATGCTGCATATATATATATATATATATATATATATATATATATGTGCAACTCTAAGCGTATTTATCATTTTATTCTTTCATTTTTAATTATCTAGAATATTTTTTATCGCTATTTCTATTTTTAATATTATTATTTTTAGATCTTCTTTTTCATTTAAATCGTACAGAAGACTTTATTAATAATGATAATTATTATTGAAACAAATATTTAACATTTATTGCGTGAATCAAATGACGTGCCATGTTTATATTGAATCGGCTAAAATAATAATTCGAACTATTCCCATGTAAACCAAAGTCACCGAGAGTTTTAATTAGGAAAGTAAATAAAAAAAGATATAAAATTAAATATTAAAATTTTAAATGTAAAAAGAAAAAAAAACAACTTCAATTGAACAATGGACTAAAAGATACTCCCTCGATCAACGTTTATATATCTATTTATAATAATTAAATTACTTTGATCTTACCGAAGTATATGTAGTTAAATTATCAATAATATTCTTAGTGTTTTAATGATCCAAAAAATATTTTTATTATAAAAATGATAACTATTATTTAAAATGCTATCATAAATGCTTTTACCCTAAACCTTAGGAGAATTAAAAAAAGAGATTTTACACTGAAAAAATTTTATCTATAGAACGGTGTGTAAAATATAATAAATAATAATTTAAAATCACGACTAGTATTTTTTGATTGTTTCTATATACACGCAATTATAATAATCAGAGTAAATAAACTGTAAATTAATAATGTTGACTATATAAAAAATGAGCCAATGAAATTTTTATTAGCTTTTAATTAGATTTATTGATGAATAATTAAAAAAAAAAAAAATCAGATTATTACTATTATTATTATTATTATTATTATTATAATACGTCGTGATTAATTGAAGATGTTATTGTTTTATGGCACACCTCGTGTTATTGACATTTATATTCTATTGTTATGCGATTAACACGAGCGTAATAATTGTTTACGCACAAGTAAGTGCATATCGTGTGTGGGCGTTTACTCCCAATTTATTATTATAATTATTATGAAACTATTCTTATAATTTTTATCATATTATAGAATAAAAATAAAATAATTGTACATAATTATAAAAAAAAACTAAAAAAAAAAAAACAAAAAAACAAAAAACAAAAAAACAAAAAACAAAAAAAACACAAAAGAAAAAAAAAAACAAAAATGGAGTGCATAAAATTTTTGATTTTTTTAAAAATGTATGTATGTAACGAGTGTATACACGCATGTTAAACATTATTTTGTATGTTGTGTAAATAGACACACTTATCAGGTATCACACGCAGAGATGAGCTATGTATGTATATTAACAAAAACAAAAAATTATATGGATAGAGAACAGATAGTATTTTCTGCTGTCAATTCTTCAACTAAGACTGTGATTTTGAATTCAAGTAATTCTTAGACCTTGTAATTAATACATATTAAATATGATAAAAAAAAAAAAATTAATAAATCTAGCAAAAAAAATCTTTACTACTGCTCATTATTAATTAATTAATTTTTAAAAAACATATATTCCCTTATATATTAAAATTTATTACCAAAAATATTTAATACATTGAAAATATATTTATAACACTATTTAATAATAATCTTAAAATAAAGTATTGTTTATTTACAAGTTCAGTTAATGACTGACCTCAACAATCTTCAAGTAACATCATGTATATTGTACTGGTGCTTGGAGGAAAATAATTGAAATATATTAATTACGCGTCGTAAGTTGTAGCGGAGACATTACCACCACGGCCTGTCCAGTTGGTGTGGACGAATACTCCCTCCTGTCCAATCAGCTCGTAAGTGTGAGCTCCGAAGTAATCCCTGAGAGCTTGGAGTAAATTAGCGGGTAATTTTCCAGCTCGGTATGAGTCATAGAATGCAATTGCATTTGAAAGCGCCGGCATTGGAATCCCAATCATCACGATTGCTGAGACTATTTTTCTCAAGCTCATGTGACACTCCTTCATCGCTCGGGCGAAAAAGTCGTCCATTAGTAAACTTGAGAGCTTTGGATTTTTGTCAAAAGCTTCTTTAATGTTTCCCAAGAAGGCACTGTAATTAATTACAACAATAATTAACTTACAAGTATTCAATAATACTAAAGTTATACCTAAAAAATATTTTTAAAAAATTGCACTTAAAGTTTTTTTAATTTTTTACAAATGAAAATTTTTTTTCATAATTTTTTCGGCTAACTTAATTTTCATAAATAAATAAATAAAATAAATTACCTTCTAATGATACATCCACCTCTCCACATCAAAGCAATTCCTCCGTAATTCAAGTTCCAATTATTAACCTTAGCAGCTTCTCGCATCAACATGAACCCTTGAGCATACGAAATAATTTTAGAAGCATACAAAGCCTTCCCCAAGTCCTTCAAAAATTCTTTCCTGTCACCCTTGTAAACATCCAAGAGTCCACCAAGAACACCACTAGCTTCGATTCTTTCGTTCTGCAAAGCAGAAATGAATCTCCCGAAAACAGACTCGGCAATAAGCGTAACCGGGACTCCATACTCCAGAGCAGCATTGACAGTTAACTTCCCGGTTCCTTTTTGCCCAGCAGTGTCCCGGATCCTCTCCAACAAGAAACCTTTCTCATCTTTGAACTTCAAGATGTCCCGAGTGATCTCAATAAGGAAGGAGTCCAACTTGCCTTTGTTCCACTCGTCAAACACACTGGCCATTTCTTCTGGATTCATGCGAAGAGCGTCTCTCATGATATGATAAGCTTCGCAGATGAGCTGCATGTCCCCGTACTCGATACCGTTGTGGACCATTTTGACAAAATGTCCAGCTCCGGTCTCGCCGACCCAATCGCAGCAAGGCTCTCCGTCGGCCTTGGCGCAAATTGCCTGGAAAATGGGCTTAATATGTGGCCAGGCTTTCGGGTTGCCACCCGGCATCAATGATGGTCCGTACCTGGCGCCTTCTTCTCCTCCGCTGACTCCGCTGCCTACGTAGTAGAGCCCGCGTTTCTCCAAATCTATTGTACGGCGCTCAGTGTCTCGGTAATCAGAATTTCCTCCGTCAATGATGATGTCTCCAGCTGACAGCAGCGGGATTAATTTTTCGATGAATGCATCAACAGCAGAGCCAGCTAATTATGATGAATAAGCGGTTAAAATAGTTCAAGGTGAGCTTTTGTTATTAGTTATGATTTATGATTTATTATAGTAGTTTTTTTTTTTTTTTTTTTTTTTTACCTTTTACCAGCAACATTACACGTCTAGGTTTCTTTAGCTTGCTGACCATTTCCTCTAGGCTAAATGCTCCAATTATTTTTGTTCCCTTGGCTTCATTCTCAAGGAAAGCCTTTACTTTGTCTGTTGTTCGATTGTATGCGCATACTACAAATCCATGGTCATTCATATTTAATATCAAATTCTGGCCCATTACCGCCAGTCCTATCAGAGCAATATCTGCAGTTCTAAAACACAATATATTATTATTATTATTATTATTATTATTATTATTATTATTAATGATAGTAAAAGTATTAAACATTTAATAATTTTTTTAATTTTTGTAACAAATTATAAGAAAAAAATTATTAAAAAAATTGACATTTAGAAATTAAAAATGCAATTTTTTTAAATTAATTTTCATACTAAAAAAATGTTTTTTTAATTTTCTACATGTGAAATTTTTTTTTTTTTATAAATTTTTTCAATATGAAAAATTGTTAGATTTTTTCTAACTTTATTTTAATTATTTATTTAATCTTAAATACTTAGAAATTATTAGGTTAGAAATAAAATAAAATAAAAATGAAAGCTAGAGCTAACAATTCAAAGTCCATGGTTGAAAAAACAATTGGATGGAACATTCTACTGAGTGACTCAACAATTTCACATATAAATTATAATTTATAACTCGAAAAATATATAATTAGTACTTACGGTTCACTCATGATGAAGTACAAGTACAGGTAGTGCAATTACTTTCAAGTAATGATAACTATTATTATTTATTTAAATAAAGTACAAGAGATTAGCGGTGCGCAAAGATACGTCCTGTGTTTTCGAGCAACAAGTTGACTATGACGCTGCGCTTAACCGGAAATAATAGAGCACCTAAGTTGTCCTTAACACTCGCGGCTCAAATCAGCCGACTCTCTCTAAACCAATCACGGCACTTAGGTTTAGGTTGCCACGTAACGCTCACTTACACTGTGATTAAAATATTATTTAACTAAATAAAAATTGCCTTCTATCCGCTGATCGTGGTACTTACATCTGCTGTTTCTGCCCTACCATGCGATAATGTCACACGTGTAGAGATATCTATTTTTTTTTTTATGGCGTAATCCATTTTTTCGGTATTTTATTACTCATCAATTTACATTTGCGTGGTTTTAATATTTCAATAATTTTTATTTACTTATCTGTGATTTTTTAATTTGAATACTATCGTCGTAACTCATGACATTTTTTTATTTAAATAAAAATTACTAACAAGACAGCTGATATAAAATTTATAAGTGTGTATTGAGATATGATACTGAAGTTAGCTGACAACTGTCAATTTTTTTAATTTACTTTACAAATCAATTACAATAATAAAAATTAATTAAAAATTTTTTTTTTAATTTTCAATTCTGTAATTACTTTATTAAATTTTTTTTATAATTATTTAATTGTTTTAAAATCATAAAACAATTTTTAATGTCTGTCAACTTCAGTCATTTTTTAAAATAATAATAATTAACAATCACAAATTTAATTTTTTTTTAATTTTCAATTTTGTAATTTTTTATAATTATTAATAATAATTTAATAATAATGATAATAATAATTAACAATCACAAATTTAATTTTTTTTTTTTAATAAAAAAATTTTGTTTTTATAAAAAAAAACAAAATTTTTAAAAATAAATTCAAACTTTCGCGCGTAAATTTAATGGAAATCTTAGCGCGCCAATCAAACGACAGTATCTCAGAAATGACGTCAGAGAAAGAGTTGCGATTGGCCAAGAGTTTCAGTACAGAGATTGTAGCTAACAAGAGAGCAACATGTCGCCAGTGTATAGTGATCAAGTTTGATTAGATTAGGCCAAGCCTCCGCGACGTTACACTTATAAATAATAATATAAAATAATAAATTCCGTCATTTCCTTCAGAAGTTATTACACGTATAATGAATTTAAGCGCTGTGCGTTTATTTGACAAAACATTTGACGTCTGCGAATCTAGAAACACTAATAAATGTTAAATAAATAAATATTAAAAAATAATACTCATAGTTCGGAGTAAAAAGTGTGAACCTAACCCTGGTGGTATAGTATAACATGCTACAATCAACGCCAAATATATTTTTTATTTTATAAAATAAATTACATCTGATTGTGTGCTTTCAAGAACCGTGATACTTGATATTCTTTAATTACTGTAATTATAATAACTAATAATAACGATTTAAAAAAACTATTTAGAAAGATGGGTCTGCTGTTGTCAAAGTTATGGAGCCTTTTTGGCAACGAAGGTGAGAAACAGAGCTATTACCATCAAGATAAAAGCTTTATGCGGGCGTCATGATCTTGGACTGTGATCTTATTGTCAGATAAAGAGTGGAAATTTTTTAATGCTCCTCATTGTTTAATTTAACTCAATTAAATGTTAGCATATGGTTTAGTGCAGTGTCGCAATTACCTTTTTTTTTTTTTTTAATTTTTTCTATAGATTTAATGGTAGTTTTATTATTAAAGAGTTAAATGGGCAATCAGCTGATTTATCTTGGTCACTGATATTCTATTGAGGCCAATTGTTTGGCCTTGTTAAATATGTATATATTTATATCTGTATATATGTTCTTTATTGGCACATATCAATGGATAAAAGCTTTCTCTTGCAGTGAAAGTTTTATTTTTTTAACATACTAGAGTTATCTATCTGATAACAAACCATAACTATTTAAAAATATTTCCTTATGACATTAAAGTCACTTAAAAATTTTTTCATTTTATTTATCAAAAAAATTTGCTCCAAAAAATTATTTTTAAACAATTGCATTTTTTATTTTTTAAAATTTCTGTCAATTTTTTTTTTTGCTATAATTTATTTGTTATAAAATTTTTAAAATTTTATAACAAATAAATTATGGCAAAAAAAAATTGACATTTAGAAATTTTAAGAAATAAAAACTGCAATTTTTTTTCAAATAATTTTTTTGATAAATAAAATTAAAAAATTGTTAAGTGACTGCTAACTTTAATGTCATTTATTTCCTTACTATAATTACGTGTCTCATTTTTTTTTTTAAATTATATTTTACAAAAAAAAACTGAATTAATATTTATATTTGCATACTTGCTTCTTTATTGTAATTTAATAAGACAATTTATACCTGTTTATCAATTTATTTTTTTAAACAAGGAAATATTTGTTTTTTTAAACAAAGATAAAGCATTTATTTTTTTAGCATTTATCACGGCACTAAAAAAAAAATATCTGAAAATTTATTATCACTAAAAAAGCATAAAAATAATTTTTTTTAATTATTTATATTTTCAGAGCACAAAATAGTAATGGTTGGTCTAGACAATGCTGGAAAAACCACAATATTATATCAATTTTTAATGAATGAAGTGGTCCATACATCTCCAACAATAGGCTCAAATGTCGAAGAGGTAGTATGGAAAAACATCCACTTCATAATGTGGGATTTAGGCGGCCAGCAGAGTTTAAGAGCAGCTTGGTCAACCTACTACACAAACACGGAGTTTATTATCATGGTTATTGACAGTACGGATAGAGAAAGACTTATTACAACAAGGGATGAACTGTACTCAATGCTGAATCACGAGGAATTGTCTAAAGCCAACGTCCTTGTTTATGCGAATAAGCAGGACCTCAAGGGAAGCATGAGCGCAGCTGAGATATCCCGGCAGCTTGATCTGACGTCAATAAAGAAGCACCAGTGGCATATACAGAGCTGCTGTGCGCTCACGGGCGAAGGGTAAGTTCTTAATCTTTTATCTATCCAATTGAATATTTATGCATTTATTAATAATCTTTTTTTTTTTAGACTATACCAAGGTCTCGAATGGATAGTCGGTCGTCTGAAAAAAACATGACGTACGATATAAAAATATAATTTGACTCCAGGCTTGGAGTGATTTTTATGTAAAATATGTGAATGAATTTACTTTTTACATTTCTTCATTTTTTTTTTTTTTTTTTTTTTAATTTTGTTTTAGAAATAAATATCGCAGTAAAGGTTGTACAAATTTTTAGGGGTTGATAATTTAAGTGGAAGAAACTTGTAATGCATTTTTAAGTTTAATTTTTAAGTGGAAAATTTAATTAGTAAATCATTACATGGACGGGAAATACTTGATCTTGATAAATTAATTCTTAAAGTAAAAGTTTTTTAATTTTGAGATTTATTGCTTAATTAAATAAATTAAGTAAAAAAATTAATTTAAAATTTAAATAGCGAAAAAAAAATTAATAATAAAAATTGGACATCGAAATCCCGTCCATTTTTTTAATATTATTAATTAAATAAAATAAAAAAAATTGTAACTATGATGAAGCCAAATTTTTCGGTTTATTGCGCAACTAGAGTGTAAATATATTAAAAAAAAATTTTGTTTTTCTTGTATATATCTCTAAAAATTAAAAAAAATCCCTCCGTTTTAGTTTTTACCGAACATAGATTTTTTTTGTAGTGAAATCATTCGTTGTACTCTCGTTATCAGTGCATCAGAGTTTTATTAGATTTATATTAGCGCCGAAAACATATATAAGTATAAGTACATGTAATGAATTGTAAGACTTCGACACAAGGTTATTTAACAAGCCCGACTAACTTGTAATTATATAGAGACTGCTCTGTGATACGTGGTTTCAATGAAACAAGTGTTCGTCTGCTGAATATACAATGTTTTAAATGTATCGCGCTTGATTAAATCAAAAATTAATAGTTAAATTGTAAATTAATATTGAGATTCGTAATTATAACGCAGTTAAACCTATAAATTTAATTATTACAGCTACTATTGTAATTTATATTTATCGATTTATTAATATTTGTATCCTGTAATTGTTGATTAATTTTTTCTTCATTGTAAATGTCATCGATCTTCACGTTTTATTTTTAATTAATTATCTTTATAAATATAAATACTCTGTTAGACAATTAGGTGATTCTTGCTATCAAAAATGTTTATTCTGACAAAGTATGTTGTTGACGCGTTGACGTATGAGTGAAAGAAAAAATTAAATCGAGTAAAAATAATTATATTAAAATATTTGAATAATTTTTTTTCTCATATTGAGAAACAATCATCATGAATTTTATACAAAATAACATTTCAATTTATCAAATTAATATCTATTATCCAAATAGAAAATATTTTAACCATTTAGTTTTGTGAGAATGCAATATATATAAAAAATAAACCAATTAATGACGTAATTATACTAAAAAAAAAAAAATAAAAATAAAAAATCTTTTTTTTTTTTTTTTTTTTTTTGCAAGCTAAATTAATAAAAAATTTGATTTATGAATAGAAAATACTTGAATATAAATATTTTCAAGAAAAAATACTTGAAATGAAGGTCTAAAAGTTGTGCAGCAATACTAAAAAAAAATCATGGTATAAAAAATTTTTGCAGTTACTGTGTTTTAAAATTGGGCAGCCGAATGTGTTAAAATTTATTTTATAAATAACAAGACAATTTATACTGTATGATTTCTATTTATTTTCTCGTTTATTATAAATTAGGTATCACACACTCATTCATTCAGAGTGGATGTTGATCATCCCGCATTTTATACAAATTTTAAAACTGAGGTCAAAGTCAAAACTTGTCGAATGATTTTTTTTAGACATACTAAATTTTTTTTTTTTTTAATAATCTAATGATTTAACAATTAAGTTAAATTATGATTATCTATTATTATCAAATTATTGTATTGTTTTTTTATTTTTTATTTATTACTTAAGAACACACTGTTGAACGATCAATAATACAGACTAGCACCAAAAAACATATTTGGCATTAGTGCTGATGACCTATTTTATCGAGATTTACTTAAATAATTTTTCGATCGATTTACTTACTCAAACAATCATTATCAGCTATTATTGAACGTCTAATTATTGTTCGTTTATTAATTCTAACAATGTAGCTCTAAAATAGTCACAACATCTAGGCAGTATTTTAGTGTCTCCATAAACATGATTATTTTTTTTTATATCATTCGTTCGACCACAAGTTAATGCCGTTCTTCAACATCTAACTTCAGTGACTTATTGATATTCAATTAATTTATTACTTTATTTAAATAAACATGATTTGTAATAATAATAGTAATAGTAATAATAATTATAATAATGACGATGATGAGTAATGTAAATAAAATAAACACGAGAGTATAAATGATAATTTGATTTTCAAATAAAACTAATCAGATTTTAAAATACTCGGTTGTAGCTGGGGGGAAAAAAAATCCCTTAGCTAATTAATTAAATCAATTATTTTCATACATTTAACTCGATGTATCGGAAAAATTTTTTTTCCATATAAATTCTCAAAATAAAAACCTAGTATCAAATTAACGGAACCAAAAAAAAAAATACTATCCAAAATAAATTGATTAATTGCTCGACACAGCGACGTTAAATGTAACGATAGTAATGATAGATAATATAAATGAGCTTGTACGAGATCGCTAATAATAATAATTAATTAGTGTTAAAGTAAAGATGACATTAAAACGACCTCGGTTGTTTGATGATGCCTATTGTTGCACGCGGTGACCTTTAACTATAGTAACAATAGTTGCTAATAATCCTGTTTAGGCTCCAACAGATTTCATCAAGAGATCTGTGCTGAGTGACTTGGGCCTCTCAATTGGAAGACCGTGAGCACGGTCCCACACCAGAGCGGAGAGAACACCAAGCGCTCGGGATACTCCAAACAAAACGGTGTAGTAGTTCATTTCCTTCATTCCGTAGTATTGCAAGAGCACACCGGAGTGAGCGTCTACGTTGGGCCATGGGTTCTTTACTTTGCCAAGCTCCAATAGAACTGGAGGGACGATCTTGTAGACTTGGGAGACAAGCTAAAATAAAGCATCAATAGTCATTTTAATTAATTGTTTCAATTAAATTGATGCTTGATAACATCAATAATAATAAAACGGGTTATTAAAACCAAAAGGGTGTATAAATAATTTTTTTATTAGATCTCGACGTTAAGAGGTTCTTAGACGCTACTTTGATTATTTTTTTATTTACTCGTTTTTGGCTTTAAAAATTTTTTTTCTTAAAGTCAAAAGATAAAAGCGTAAGATAAAAGACCCATTTATTGATACTGGCCTAATTGTTTGACACTTGCAATTTTATTCTAATTAAAAAAAAAAAAAAAAAAAAAACAATTTTCTTGAAATTTGTAATTAAAAAATTATATTTATTAATTTATTAAAAGTGATTTGTTTGTTTTAATTAAAATAAAATTGCATGTGTCAATAACTATCGAATATATCAACATATCGAAAAAAATTTTTTTTTTGCACTTTTATAACAAAAATAATAATAATAATAATAATAAATCTTTGAAATATTTAATATTTATTTAATAATTATTACCTTTTTAAAAAAAAAACTTAAAAATGTTAATTTCTAATATCTTACTAATATTTATATTTTATAAAAAAAAAAAACTTGTATAAAACTGTAAAGTTATGCAAATAAAACCCAATAATAATAAAAATAAAATTACCTTGAACATGGGGTCATTGGGAAGGTGTTTCATGGCGAATTCTCTCTGGCAAGTGTATCTAGGGTCAGTCTTTCTGAGCACAGCGTGTCCGTATCCAGGAACAACCTGTCCACTCTTGAGCGTGCTCCAGATGAATTCTTTGAGCTTCTCATCGGAGGGATTTTCTCCAACCTGAGACTTGAGCTTCATCAGCCAGACGAGGACTTCCTGGTTAGCCAGACCGTGAAGAGGTCCAGCGAGACCGTTCATACCAGCGGCCAGCGAGAGGTAGGGGTCGGAAAGAGCAGACCCGACCAAGTGAGTAGTGTGGGCAGATACGTTTCCACCTTCGTGATCCGTGTGGATGGTGAGGTAGAGTCTCATCAGTTCAACAAACTCCTTGTTGTCATAACCGAGCATGTTCGCGAAGTTCCAGGACCAATCTTTGCCGCTGTCGACGGAGCCCAAGCCCTTGCCGTTCTTGTAGATGTTGCGGTAGATAGTCGCAGCAACCACGGGCAGCTTAGCGATCAGGTTCATCGAGTCCTCGTAGGTCGTCTCCCAGTACTTAGACTTGTGGACTCCGCTGCTGTAGGCTTTAACGAACTCGCTCTCGCTGTTGAGCAGCGTGATCGCCGCCGAGAACTGGGTCATGGGGTGGAGAGTCTTCGGGAAGTCGTTCAGGGCCTTGGTCACGTGGGCAGGCAGAGCGCTCCTGGCTGCCCATTCCTTGGAGATAGCCTTCACTTGGGCCTCAGTGGGCAGGTCTCCGGTGATCAGCAGCCAGAAGAGACCTTCTGGAAGTGGCTCGGAGCCACCTGGTGCCTTTGGCAACAGCTTCTGGCACTCCGGGATTGACTTTCCACGGAACCTGATACCCTCTTCTGGGTCCAATACTGATGGCTCCCAAACTAGACCCTTGATACCACGCATACCTCCGTACATCTAAAAAATAATTGTTATTAGTTATTATTGTGGTGGTAAATTAATTGATTGAATCAAGAGTAGAATGAGTTGTAGAGAGATGATTTAATGAAAGTTAAAAACCAGTGGGTCAATAGGTCCCAGTAGTAACCACGATAAAGTTATCAGCACATTGACAAAGTATATATTTTTTTTTTTTTTTTTTTTTTTTTTAGAGTAACTTATCGATCAGATGATTATTAATTTAGAAAAATAATATTACGATAAGTTTTATTTTAAAAATAGAATTACTTTTAATTTTTTTTTTTTTTTTTTTAAATCATGGTGGTATTTTATGACACAATTAGCAGACACTTAACAATATTTTTAATTGTCTTGAAATAGAAAATTATTTTTAAGAAATTGCATTTTTTATTTTTAAACCTTTAATTATTTAAACCAGTGATATCTAGTATATAATTTATAACCCCGGGTGGTTAAAAAAATAAAAAAACTATAAAAGTTTTATGATATGGACAAATTAATTATTATATGTAAATACATATTTTTATAAATGAAATTTTATTTTATAGGACATATTTGTAAGAGTGTAATGCAATAAACTAATTAAAAAAAATTATCATGGTATTTTTAATATTCCTTACCATATCGATGGTGACTTCACCGACTTTGGTACCTCCATGCTGTTTACGGAAGTTCTTTACACGTTCCTGCTCTTTCGGGATTTTCTCAGCAAGGACTTTCTTCAAATCCGTTGTCTCAGCTGACAAAGAACGGATAATTGTTGTTGAGCTTATTTTCTGTAAATAAAAAAATTTTTGTCAGTAAATAAAATTTATTCAATAGAAATTTATTATTTTAAATTAAATTAGAGTAATTATTGCGGAAAGAGCGATGTAGTAGCAGGTGAGTAATATATGTGGGTCGACGTGGGATTTTTTTTTTTTTGGTCTTCTCTCATATCGGGGTAAGTAGAACGTATCATAATACAGTTGTAAACGAACATCACTAGACTTGCAGTGAAAGACAAATCTAAAGGTCATATGATACATAATTTCTTTATAAATAAATTAAATTTAATTAATAATTTATAATTACAAGAGATAACTGGAAAATTTTACTCTATTGCTGTAATTATTTTAATTGTCGGACATGTGTCTGTTGTTTAAATATTTAATATGAATTAATGTTTGTTCAAAAATCAAGATAATAAAAGATAAGAAATTTGTCAGTTAACGACCGCTTGTTTTACAAAAGTCGCAAGTTACAATCAATAATTGTCTAAAGTGTCGGTAACTAAAAACCGGGTGGATTTAAATGCAAAACAATTTTAACTTAGACAAAATATAATTATAGGTATTACTTTACAAATAAAATATAAATAAAATTATGAGCATTCATCGGCCACGAAAAATCACGTGAAGACTTATCGCATGTGATCTTCCAATTGACTTTCAGTATTATATAGACACTTCCGACCTCATGAAAATATCGTAAAACATCATTGTGTACAACAATATATCCTGATTAAATAAATTTTATTAAATAAAATTAAACTGTAATATTAAAGCTTGATCCTATTGAAAGAAAAAAAATTTACTGTAAATTTATAAGTAATTTAATAAATAATTTTTAATCCGGTGATTTTAATGTTAAAATTGATGACAAATTGACCTTGGACAAAACTAGCTTCCTCGTATGACGTCATTGATTCACTTGCTTATAATCGAGGAAATATACTGATACCGTGAAAGTATCGTATAATATATATATATATATATATATTTTTTTTAATTTGATTTAAAAATTTCTGGTTTTTTTTTTTAATTAACTGAACACCTAAGTGGAAATTAATAACTATAATATTCGATCGATGAATGAAAAACAATCCGCTGACTGTAATCAGAACAGCGGTGTATAATTTTTTTTTTTTATACATTGTGACGGAAATCACGAAACGACGAATCAACGATTAGAATGATTATGTAACATATTTTTTATCACTATTTTTACAACAAGATCCACCTGAGTGGCAAATTGTACGATTTATTTTGCTTGCGTCACTAAGATCACGCGATTTTTCGTGGCGTGGTCATATTATAATAATAATTAATAATGAAACGGTAATTTTATTTTTATTTTAACAATCGAGACATTGTGAGCTCATTTTGTTTTCAGGAATAAAAATAAAACAACTTTAATCTTCTATAAATTGTACTTATGTTTTACAGACAAATTTAATGACAAGATAACAAAGTAATAAAATAAAGCCGTCTGGTTTAGTAAAAAAGTCGAATAAGTAAACCAGAATTTAGATAAATAAATATTTGTAATTAATGAATTATTGAAAGAAGAAATAAACAAAACTGGTTTTCATAAACTTTCTCTGTAATAAAATTTAAGTATCATAATAAAATTTCTAACGCCACGTGGCTTGGCTTTTAATATATAAACGTGAAATAATACATATGTAGATCGTTTATATATATATATGTAGATGTATAAAAAAGAATGATGGGAAAAGTCTAACGTTTTTGTCACGAGCAATAGTTTTAAGCAGCTTCTCTCTCTAAATTCTTAAAAATATTAAATATAAAAATTATTTGTTTGTATATATTGAACAATTTGTTAACTTGTTATTTAATGTGTCTGCAATTAACAAGTGACACAGAAAAATATCAATAGCTGTGCTGATAAAAATTTAATTATCGGCATTAATTGTAATCCATATCACACAATAGTGTTTCGATGATAGGAAGGTAAGTCGGAAGTTTTTCAATACAACGCCGAGTCATCTTTTGTGTACCTAAGTATAAATAATAATATGTTTAATAAAAAAAAATTTGAAAGTATTTAAAATATATTAAAGAAGCCTTGACTTGTTTTACAAGACAAATGTTTAAGAATTATTAATAGCGAGTTCAAAAATAGTTTAGCACATGCCTTATGTTAGATAATGATGTTGGTGTATATATATATACGTACAATAAAGGTAATTTTCTAATTGCAAATGCTAAGCCGAAGGTTTTATTTTATGATAATTATTTATGTATATTTAATTGTAGATAATAATCAGAAAAAATTAAAAATCTATCTGATGATTTTATATCTTCAGGGACAATTATTGATTGTATAAAAAAGTGTCCTACGTGATCTATAGGAATTTAGTGACCGAGGTCGTGAAATTGGCAGCCAGGATGATTTTCAAAGACGTAAGAGCCTTGATCTATGTGGATCATGAGAGTGGAGCAGTTTTTCGGCCTCGAATCTTGGCTAATTTTAGTTAACGATTACCAAACACGTTTTTTTAATTTTAATGTCTCGGTTAAAGGGCGTCCGAGACAAGTTATCATATTTTTTTAAGTACCTAAAAATTAATTTATTATTAAGATATTAAATTTAGCTAAAACACTTGACAATTTTTTAATTTTTCTTAACAAATAAATTTACTCCAAAAAATTATTTAAAAAAAATTGCATTTTTAGTTTTTTAAAATTCAATTTTTTTTTGTCACAATTTATTTGTTAAAAAAATTCTTAAAATTATTAACTGTGCTAAATTAATTTTCATTTTAATTATTAACAAAATAATTGATCTACCATTTGAAGGTCAAGGGTATCACCTTGAAAGTATAGTTACATAATAATAGGGCAACAATTGGAGAATCTAAATTTAATAATAAATAAAACAAGGCTGAATAAAAATGACCTGGGTTATGATTATTGATTTACCAGCAATCCAACAAACCGGTCACGTTATTGGATTTTTAAGTTCTTTGTCCCTACAATCTCATAAGTATAAGTTAACTCGGTAAAAGTATCGTATGTAATCTTGTGTGAGCCGATATAAATGTTAGATATTTAAGAGGGGCCCTTCTCCCTTTTGACCTGAGATTTTTTGTCCGTAGGCTTCTCAGGTACAGTCGGTACAGTCAATTTTTCAGGAAAATTTACTACGTGTCATTTTTATTTATTTATAATTTTATGTAAATTTTTGAATGGTCTTTTTTCCTGTAATGTTAATTAGCAAAAATAGTAATTAGTTTTTTTACTAGCTATGGATTTAAGAAAAAGAGTTACGTAATTATTGACAGGTCTTTGTCACAAAGAGCGCATGCATAAGATTCAACTGACGCTTTACAGATATTTAATGTAATAAATAATAAATTATTTATAAAGAAATTAATTTTATACTTCATTTAACGAGGATAAACACTCTAAACGCCTCAATTGTAGATTTAGATAACTTTATCAGAAGATATTACTCTAAAATTTTAGCTAAGTTTTTTTTTTTTTTAATATTTAATATTAAAAAATTTTAACTACTTGTCAATTTTACGATTTTTGCTGGAAAAAATGGATTTAAAAATTATTAATTAGTAATTATTTAAAAAATTAATGAGAATTATTAAGTGGGAGGTCCCGTTGGATTTTTTAACGAAAAGGGGAGTGTATTAATTCGAGAATAGAAATAGAGACGCTCCGAAAAGCAGAAGAATTTTTAGGATGGATGAAATTAGTGTGAAAGTAAAATAATCGATATGAGATTCACGAGAGAGATTTTAATGTTAAAAATAAAAAAAAAAAAATAATTGTTAATAGAAAATAAAAACTTACTTGGAATTCTAAGCATCGTGCTGCGGTACAACGGAATAGAGCCATTGTCCTTATTATCCTTATGCAAGAAACGTGGGTACTTGTGATATGTGATGATAGACAGAAGGTTTTATCCCTTAGCAAGTCTTATTCTGTATAATCGACCGAACCGACCGCGCAAAGATCTGGCGCCTAACTCGACTACCAAAAGCACATACGCTGCCAACACTCACGGCGGTATTCCACACACACGCTTCCTTTTAAGCACGCATGCGTTTGTGCTGATAAAACTTCGCGCATGAGCGGGTCTTGATGGACAATCAACCAATCAACCAATTCTTAAGTTTTCAGTTGCTAACGCGGGAGTTTTTAAGTTTATTTGTTTAAGTAATAATTAAAAATTTCCAAAAGTGTTTTAGATCTGAAAGAAATTAAAAAAAATTTTTTTAAATTAAATTTTACTTAAATAATTAAGTAAATTACGCACTTGTTGAATGTAAAAAAATGAAATCCATAAAATCCGTGATCCATTATGTCTGTAATTATTTCAATTATTAATTTAACGCCATATTGGTGGACACTGAGGTCATCTTCCTTAATTTTTTCTAGATGTTTATGGACAGTTTCAGGAATTTTTAGCCCACAAACATTTATAGTCTTCATTAAAGAAGAATAATTAATTACAGGCATCACTCCAGCAAGTATTGGAACAGAAATACCATTTTCTGTGCAGTCTTTTACAAAATTAATAAATGCTTTTGAATCAAATATTATCTGTGTGATAATAAAATCAGCTCCTGCGTCAACTTTTTTTTTTAGATAAAAAAATTCTGACTCTTTATTCACTGACTCTGGGTGTCTGTCGGGATAACCAGCCACTGCTATACTAAATTTGTCGTTGTAATTTTTTTTTATAAACTTTACAAGGTCTACTGCGTACAAAAAATCTCCAGTTGTACACTCATTGTCTACAAGAACAATATAAATAAATAAAATAAACTTTATTATTAAATATAGTTTTTAAAAATAATAATTACCTCCACGAATAGCAAAAATATTGCAAATTCCAAGCTCCAAAGCTTTATTTAAAATTTTTTTAACGTCACTTTTAGTTTTTCCTCTTGCTGTCATGTGTAATAGAGTATTTTTGGGCATTTGCGATAAATTGTCATTAAAATTGTTGATATTTAAGTTTTTACGGCAAGTTAACGCGTAAAATAGTGGAGAATATTTTTGTAAATCCGTAAAAAATCTGTAATAAATAAATAATATTTAAAAATTAATTTAATAAGTTTTTTTTTTAAACAAATTGTGGCAAAAAAAAAAATTGACAAGTAGAAATTTTAAAAAATTAAAAATGGAATTTTTTTTAATAATTTTTTGGAAGAACTTTAATAAAAAAAATTTTTTAAACAACTGCTAACTTTAATGTCATAAATAAATTAATAAAATAAAAATTTTTTGATGTCAACGATTCAAAAATTTCACAATCATACATACCTTTGATAAATAATTTTATCTTGACACTCTATTAATTCAAAGCTATAAAAAAATTTTTTTTCTTCGCATTTTTTTTTAATTACTTTCTTCAAATTATAATTACAATTATTTATCGTTGAAATAATCGACATTTATATATTAATATAAATCACTTTCTAATAAATGAATAGAAACTGAAACTGACACACTTTTTATATATATTCTAGTTTTATATCTAGAAGGAATGACAACAGCGCACGCTGCGGATTAATTTAGAACTAAGTTAAAAAGCAGATGGCTGACAAGTAAAAGCGGGAAAACTGTTAATAAAAAAATTATTTAATGAATTTCTGATTATTTAAAAATGTTTTTTTAAGAATTTCAATTAAATAAAATTGTCACGTGTTTAATTTTACTATTTTAATTAAATAATTACTGTTGAATATTTAATTATTCATGAATTAAAAAATTTATAACCTGTTTCAATAAATTCCTCTGTTCGGAGCAGCGCATTCCCTCGTTTAAACTGCTGGAATTAGTTTCATCAGCATCAGCTTAAAAACGTACACGTGAGAAAGCACACTCAACACGCATAGCCTCACAAATCTCGTCTAACGATTATCAGTGAGTTAAATAAATAATCATAAATTGTAATTGTTGAATTATTTAAGTAGTAACATCCCAAGAAGATGTCGTGGCTTCTTGGTGCTCGGCATCAACAGCAACAGCAAGATTTTTCTCAATTTGTTACTGGAGGAGCTGCTGGTGCTGGTGCTGGTGCTGGTGCCGGTGGCGATGATCCACCAAAGAAATCCGGAGGTGGATCAGGCATGGATGCTTACAGATTCGACTCAAGTGCTCTTGAGCGCGCGGCCAAGGCTGCCAAAGATTTGGAAAAATCACGTAAGTTTTAATAACTTGTCACCCGGGTTTTTTTAATTTTCATAGTGAGTTACGTAAGACTTTGGGGTTAGATCGATGGACTTGGATCCATTGATGATGCAACAGTGGTGCTCATTTGTGTATTCAAAATTTAAGTCCTCAAAATTATATTTTAAAATTTAAGTAATAATGATTATTTCAGCTGTCATAAAATAATTTTATTTTATTTTATTTTATTTTATTAGCTCACGCGAAAGACATCTTGGAGATGACGAAAGTCCAGGACCAGACCAAGATGAAAGAGCACGAGGCTGCAATCGAGCAATTCAAAGTCGAGCAGGAGCGAGTCAAGGGTGAGGAAAGAAGAAAAGCTATTATTGAAGAAACAAAACAGCATCAGCAGCGCGCTCAGTACCAGGACAGTTTGTCCAGAAAGAGGTACGAAGATCAGCTGGCACAGCAGCAGAGAATGAACGACGAGACTCTCAGGCGACAAGAAGAGTCTATTGCCAAGCAGGAAGCCATGCGGAAGGAGTCCTTAGCCAAGGAGGAAGCCATGCGAAAAGCTATCATTGAACACGAGCTCGAGTTGAGGCATAAGAATGAAATGAAGAAGCTTGAAGCTGAGTCTCGGGCTAAAGCTAAGATTGATCGGGAAAACCACGATATTAATTTAGAAAGAATTAAAGTTGAAGCTGCTGAACATCGAGCTACTCTTTTGGAGTCTATAAGGTATGTTAAAATTATTTTTATTATTTATAGATATAGATAAATTTTATTGACTATGGAACTTAAGCTTCCTAAGAGCCATCAGTATTTAATATCGATTTGCATTTGTATTTAATACAACTTAGTACGAAATTAAAGTTAACATAGAAAAAATAATATTTTTAATTTTTAATTTAAAATTTTAAATGAAATAAAAATAAAACATTGCAATTACTAATTATTATATTGGAAAAAATAATTGAAGCAAGCATTTATAGTATTTTATATTTTTATAGCTCTATAGTATTTATTATTAGGGTATGTCAAAATGTAACTTCCGTGAGGAACCTTTTAAAATTGGAATTTTGAGTTCCGCTTTTAACAGGGGCTGTGTTTGGGCATTTCCTGAGATATTTTGGGGTGAGACGATAAACTTTATTTTCATAGAATATTTAACTGGAGCTTAGTTTGGGAATTTCCGCTGAAAATTCAAAATTTGGCCGAAGCCCCAATTGAATCGAAATATCTCAAGAAATACCTAAACACAGCTGCTGTCAAAAGCGGAGCTCAAAATTCCAATTTTAAAAGGTTCCTCACGAAAGTTACATTTTGGCACACCCCTTAGTATTTATAATTTTTATTAATAAAATTAAATTTTTATTTAAAGAACTAAAGGATCTATATTCGGAACCGGTATGACGTTGTTTCTTCAAGACTGGGACAAAATAACAGCCGCAGCTGGTGGACTGTCCCTCCTCGCCCTAGGAGTCTTTACAGCTGGAAGAGCTACGGGAGTAGCAGCGCGATACATAGAAGCTCACCTCGGGAAACCTTCACTAGTTAAAGAAACTTCACGTTTCTCAGTCCTAAACGCTCTGCGTCATCCCATAGCTTCAGTAAAAAAAATCTACGAAAAGCAGCCGTCAGACGCTCTATCAGGAGTGGTCCTTGCCCCTAAGCTGGAGGAAAGATTGCGAGACATAGCAATAGCGACTAAAAATACCAAAAAGAATGGCGGAACTTACGGAAATATTTTAATGTACGGTCCTCCTGGTACCGGTAAGACAATGTTCGCAAAGAAGCTCGCCCAGCACTCGGGAATGGACTACGCAATCGTAACTGGGAGTGACTTTGTGCGCCAAGGAGGCAACGGAGTCACAGAAGTGAACAAAGTATTCGACTGGGCTTCGACGTCGCGCAAAGGCTTGCTGCTGTTCATCGACGAGGCTGACGCCTTTTTAAGAAAAAGATCCGGCGAGCACATATCCGAGGATCTTCGTGCGACGCTCAATCAATTCTTGGCCAAGACTGGGGAGCAGAGCAACAAATTCATGCTAGTGTTGGCCTCCAACACTCCCAAGCAATTTGATTGGGCCGTCAATGATCGTCTCGACGAGGCCGTCAAGTTCAATTTACCCGGCCGGGAAGAGCGAGAACGTCTAATACGCCTCTACTTTGACAAATTCGTCCTCCAGCCTGCGATTGAAGGCAACCAGAGGTTCAAGGTCGCCGAGTTTGACTACGGTGCGCTCTGCCGCAGGATGGCTGACATGACCGAAGGTCTCTCTGGACGACAACTGGCTAAACTTGGAGCCACTTGGCAGCGCGCTGCCTATGCTACTGAGGATGGACTGCTCACTGAGGAGAAAATTATTGAAAAATGCTTGGAAGCTGTCGAGGAGTACAAGGAGAAGGTTCAATGGCAGAGCGAAGAAGAAAAAGAAATTTCTGCGTACTCTGATATTGATAATACGGATACAAAAAAACCTCTGGCCATCGAACCGGCTCCGAAAGATGAAAAAGTAGATAAAGCCTAATGTATTTTATTAATTAAGTAATTATTAAAAATAAAAAAAAAAAAATCCAGCTTTAAGTCATACAAAGTAAAAGACCCCATTAGTGGCACTTTTTCTTTCAATGAAACAATGTTCTACTTGGAATAAAAATTAAAAATTTTTTTGATCAAAAGGTCTTAAAAATTATAAGTAATACATTTATTATTGAAATTATTTATTTAATTAATAATTGAATAAGTACCAAAATCAAAGAAATGTGTCAGTAATGGGGTCCCCGCCACTAATCGGGTCTTTTACCCTACTGGAATTGTTGAATACAAACTGCCGTACCCTATTTTTTCATTTTTTATTTATGGCTTCTTTTATGTATTTACTTGTAAAGTTTTATTCAATGACAATTAGTTTAAAATTCAATTAATGTTATGTCTCGGAAAATTTTATAGTGTACATAAGAATGGTTAATAATTATTAAATGCGTTAGTTAAAATAGTTACTTAGAGCTTAAATACATGAATCACCTCAGGGGCGTTGGATGAACAAATTTATTTCTCACACTTCCAAGTCAGCTGCCCAATTTTAAAACACAGTAATTGCAAAATTTTTTTTAGTATTGCTGCATTTCTTATAATTTATAACTTGTAGCCCGTAATTTCAAATATTTTTTCTTAAAAATATTTATATTCAAGTATTTTCTATTAATGAATCAAATTTTTTAACAATTTGGAGCACAAACTTTTTTTTTAATAAGAATAATTTAAAATTATCAGTTAGTGTGTTTTGAAATTGGGCAGCCGAAGTGATGATCAACGATGTTGTTAAATTCAGCATTGTATATATAGCAATCATTTATGAATTTGTTTTGTTATCATTTTTTTATGTAAAACATAGAACAATAAAATATAATATTAGGTTCAAAAAAAAAAAATTATTAGTTTTTTTTTAATTTTTAAATATTTATGACATACCTACGATTTAATATTATTCGAATTATAATTAAATATCTAGTTATCTTTGTTGGTTAGAAAAAATATATCTTACAATTGTTAATATCATTTCATTTTTTAACTTTGTAGTAAGTTATAATTAATCACACTTTCTTAATAATAAAATCCTTAAGACACTTGTGGCTTTTCAACAGTTGATTTTTCCCTTAAAATTTTTTTATTATACCGAAAAAAATTATTTTATAATTAAAAAAAAAAAAAAAGAAAAAATATTTGAAAATTAATTTTTATTCTTCTTTAAAATAATTGCGAGAAGTTTATAAATTACTAAATACAATATTAATTAAATAATGCGATGTTTTTAAGTAATGAGGTAAATGCTTGTTTTTAATAAATAAATTGGTATTTGTGATCAATTAAAAAATGATTCTAAAAATAAAAAAAAAAAAAAAAATTGAAAATGATTGTCGCACAGCCCCATAAAAGCTTTTAATTATTTAAAAATTATTTATGCTGATATACTCCAATTAAAACTGAACACATAATTGGATTTCGAGTAACTGTTGAAATAAAAAAAAAGAAGAATAATTAAGCCTACTTTTTTTTACAATCAAATCAACAATATTCAGTCTAGACGATTAGATATCGGTCACAAAAACATAGCCGACAACTGAATAACGGGCTGTTGTTAAACAATCGATGCCCTTCATCATTAAGTAGATAGTTAATAAATCAATTTCTATTAGTATTAAAAAATAAATTCAATCTCTTACGCGAAGACCCCATATGCTTGTTCTACGCACGCCGACAGTGGGTCTCGCAATAGAACTGTATAAAAATTTATTTATTTCAGTACCAGACGAATTATTTTGTAAATTTTTGAACATCGGCTCTGACATCAAGCCAAACACATCCAGGAAGCTGAGTGACGGCATGTAGGCGAGTCTTACGTATGAAGAAGGTGAAATACTGTAGCAGCGGCTTAGTGATAAATGTTCGAGCTTCGAGAGACTCAAAATACTTTGGACGGAAATTATTGTGAGCAATGTACAATCACTTAAATCGAGTTCTACTAAATTAGGGCATGAGTCTGTTAGTATTTTTACATCTGAAATTAAAAATAATTAATTAATAAAATTAATAAGTTCAAAAATATAAACTATATTTTTATGAGAGTAAGAAAATTTTGTTTTATCTTGTGAAATATTGAGAGTTTTAAAGATATAAGCTCACCCCGATGTTACACTCATCGAGACCTTTCATTTGAGTACCCACATCAATTTTTCATATATTTTATATATTTTTTATATATGTATATATGTATATATGAAAAATATATCATAAATGCATGTGGGTACTCAAATGAAAGCTCTTGATGAGTGTAACATCGTGATGAGTTTATATCTTTAAAAAAGTCAATATTTAAGAAAGTACAGAGCAATTTAACAAAATTCATTAATTACCTTCATCAGTAATTGTTTTCCTACAGCCGGCAAGATTCAATCTGTCAATGGAAGGAGGTAGTGATTTACAAAGTATTCCTACTGATTCAGAGTCTAATGAACACCATGATATGTTTAACGCAGTTAAACTAAAAATAAATATTTCAATATTATTTTATTTATCAATATAAATATTTAATTGTAAAATAAAAAACAAACTTACTTTTTTAACTTAATTAAACGTTTGACACCTTCAGTATTAATACCTTCGCACATAGTTAAATTAAGAGTATTAATATCATTATTTTTACTTATAGCTTCGCAACTGGCTTGATTCAACGTACACTTTTCCAGTGACAACTTCTTCAACAGTCGACAATTATCAATAAGATCTGTGAGACCATCCGGAGAAATAACAGCCATTGAAAGATCCAGATACTGTAATTTACTGGAGTAATCCTCACACAGGACTAATGATCCAGGACTAAATAACGGACTGGACAGTTCAGCTTGAGCCAGCCTAAGAATTTGGACTCCACGCGGCAAAATGTGTCCTAGAGTACCCTCGGCGAGGACCTTGCTGCTGAGATCTAGCCTTGTCCACAGAGCCTCATCTCTAGCTATTTGGCACCACCGTCTGCAGACTGACATCGAACGCACCAAGCACTTCTTTGGTAGCCATTTGAATATCATCAACACCATCTCATCGGACAGTTTGTTGAACTCATCTTCACCTACAATAGAGGGTCTTTTTTTTCGCCTGAACAGATAATACTGATCTGCGTCGCTCGTGTTCAACAAACTACTCGACTCATTTTTACTGTAATTCTGTTTGTCTGCAAACACTTCATTGCCAATGCGCGACGAATAACCAGACTCGTTACCCGTGGTACTATACACAGCTGGATCTTCTGAGTGGTAAGAGTCTTGATCCAACCTTTACCCAATAAATATTTAATGTTAGTAATTTTAGAGCTTATCAAGGTCTAAATTAATTTTTACTCGTCCTTGATCGATTACTTCGCTCGTATTTTAGTCTACTAATCCCTTGAACTTAAAGTATAGCTTCAACGGACCCTCGACCATTGTTAGTAGCCTAAATTTTAACACTGAAGTTAACAGACAGTGGAAATTTTTTTTTTTATTTTATTGCAATGAAATTATTATGAAAAATATTTAATAAAAAAATTCCACATGTGAAAATTAAAAAAAATTTTTTAGAAGCATTTTTTAATTGTTATAAAAATTAAAAAAATTGCCAGCTGTCAGCTAACTTCAATATCATCCTAATTTAAATTTATTATGATAAAATTTATGCAAACCTATCTATTGTATCAAAACTACTGGATTTATATATTTTATTTTTATCATCAGAGTCAGTGGTTCCATTTTCAGGGAACTGACGACTGGACTCAGAGCTGCTTTCATCAGGAGATGATGTCGCTTCATCCTGAGACGGTTTTTTGAAACTTTCCAAACTTGCATCGTCATCCAGCATGCTAACTCCCAGGTCTACCAGTACTTCTGGCTCGACGAGGCTCGTGTCGCCACGGTATGACCACCTTCGCCCATTTTTTGATTCACTGTTCAGCGTACTGTTTAAATTATTGTTGCACCCGTCATCTAGTTTCATTCGTTTGCTGCAAAATAAAATCAAAATTAATATAAAAAAAAAAAAAACAATAATCAACATATAAAATGAAAATTAAGTTAGCCGACATCTAGAAATTTCTGTAATTTATTTTATTGAAAAATTATTAAAAAAAAAATTTCATATGTAGAAAATTTAAAAAACTACATGTGAAATTTTTTTAAAATTATTTTTAGTTTTAATTTAATTAAAAAAAAAAAAAGTCAAAAATTGTTGAATGTCTGCTAATTTAAGTATCATACATATAAATACACTTAGTAAAAATAATAAAATAATATCAACCTGTTCCACCAGGAATTATCAAACGGATTCATTGGGACCAGCCACAAAAATATTTAATAAAAATTTAATTTAAAAATTCAACAAGCATTTCTTAAAAATATCCTACATAAAAAATATGCAAAAAATACACATGCTTTATAAAAAATCACACATTTAACGCTATAATAATTACAATTTATTTATTATTACACTAATATTGCTTATTAAAAATTATCAAGGATTTTAGCACAATTATAACAAAAATAACCTTAAAAATTTGGCAAGTAGAGCCAAAATAAATACTAAATAATCACAATAGTAAAATATATATAGCAATAATAATTATTGAGTAAAAATAAAAGTATAAAAAAAGTTTGTAAATAAATTTAGACTAATAAATATACAAAAGAAAAATTTTAAAAACAGGTTTTCCTCAAAATGGTTGATGAGTTACTTTTTTTAGCTAACCGACGCTTGGGAAATTATTTTCGTGGAAAATACGAGGGTAGTGGCATTATCTTTTATTCTTGTCTCACGTATTTTGGATACAGACTTACAGACCGGACCCGAATCGGATGCGGGGAAGGACAGAGAAGGGAAGGGGACTAAATACAACACTGTCTATTTTGGAGGGAACACTGCGAACCCCAACAGTTTTCTTGGTTAAAATTAATGACACTGTGGCCACGTCAAGAGAAACTTTTCTCACGGTTACAGCTCTTGATAATTAAACGTCGCTAAAATATCCGTTAAGATAAAATGCCGCGATAAATTGAATTTATATGTAGAATTTAAAACCGGCAGCTACGCATAACCTCACCTGGGTTTACTTGCACCTGCGCCCCCCTTTAGTAACTAGTAACAGCAACAGGTCAATTAAAACTCAGATTTTATTGATTAAGATTAATTCACAGAGTCACAACACACAATCACTGGTTAATTAGTTATTAATAAATAATGTCAAACCTTTCAGGAGGCGAATATTCTCCGGACTCCTCGGGATAATCGTCACTCAATCTCGTGTTTTCCTCCATCACGGCATTCATTTTTGGCGGAATAAAAGGCTACTGGTGATCTGGCCGATTAGTGAGTAAATACGCGCCAGTTGCAAGCTTCCATTGATCCCCCCTACTTGGAGATTATTATCAATACTGTTTTTTGATTGGTCAAGACTTTAGATGCGTGCGCAATTTAAATAAAAAGCGCGCGGTTTTAGAGCGCTCTTATTTTTGCGCGCTAAAATTTAAATTTCTTTTTTTTTAAACTTATAAATAATAATAATAATAATAATAATTTAGTTTTTTTTGTTGTTATTATTATTATTATTAATGAGTAAAAAAAAAATTTTTAATAATTTAAAATTTAATAATTGAAAAAAAAAATTTTTTTAGAGAATTTTTTTTAAATTTTATTATTTATAAAATAAATTAATTATTTATAATTGTTAAAAAATTATTATAAGTTTTATTTTAATATAATTTATTTTAAATTTAAATATTTTTATATTATTATTGCTAAATTTATACATTTGTTCTTTTTCTTCTTACTTATTAAAATTATAACTTGATAAAACTAATTAAAATTTAACAATAACAACAAATATAATTTATTTTTGAAATAAATTAACAAAGACCACGCAATTTGCGATCCTCATATTGAATAATTGCATTTGACTGAACCATATCTGAAGTATGCTTATGAAAATTGAATCTTGGATCCTTGGAACAAGTTTTAGGATCATACCACCATCCATAACTAAAAATAAAATTTTTTTTATGTGTTTTATTAATTATAAAAATGAAAATAACATATATATTGATACCTTTGACTAGATAAAATGGGATATCGGTAAAGATCTCGAGGTCCTTTGCGCTCTTGTTCAATCCGTGCGTTAACTTGATCAATAACGTCATCAATGGTGACATCTTCATAGTCCTGACGTGAGTAAAATTTCGGCGTGATCATATCTGCTGGGAATTTAATCACACCTTGAGTTAATTTATAATTTATAATTAAATTTGATATAATAAAGTACCGTCTACTCTGGAATATCGAGTGCCCGATTGACCGACCATCTGCTGCTTCGGGAAGCAAAGCTTGAAGGGAGGTTTTTCCTTTGGCTTTTTTACTAGTCCTGGACTTTGGGCGCTTCCGCGTGAATCTGATTGATCTGTTGACATTTTTTTAATTTATTCCATTTAAATTAATTGTTTAAAAAGGATAAATCACTTTTCACTGAAAAAAATCAATCAATTGATTTCTTATCAAAGATTGAAATAATTTAAAAGAGCAAAATGTCAGAATTATGGAGTTTGTTTAACAAAATGGCAGATTTAGAGCGAAGACTAAGTAGAAAATTACTAAGCAAAACATTTTGTCAATAATTGAGAACGGTGACTGGCGGTCCACAATATCTTTAAAGGATATAATAGCCACGCGACTGCGATTATTTGATCGATACTTATGGAACTAAATTATGTTATTACATGCAACAACTAGTAAATTGTTAAATTTTATGAGGTATTTAATATTTTTGTCATTTTTATTCTTCATTTATTGTAATAGATAATTAATCTAGCAGTAGTTGACTTAAAAATTTTATAATTCAAAATTTTAATTGCCCAAAAAAATAGATAATTACTTGAATATCTGAAGAAATACAAAAATTAAAATTTCTTCTTTTGTAATTATAAAAAATAAAAAACTTTGACTGCTTTTTATAATTTTAAATATAAAAATTTTAAACTTAAAATAATCAAAGAAAAAAATGAATTAGGAATTAAAAAATTAAGTAATAAATAAAGACTTTTTTTTATTTTTTATTTTTTATTTTCGATGCTCACCATTAGTAATCCATATGAATTACACAATTAATGGCTAATTATTTTTGCATCAATACAAAATGTTTTTGTTTATTTTCACCGCTCTTTATCAAAGTCGAGTTACAATTTAGACAATTTATTCGCGACAATCTAGTAAGCGCATTGCAAAAATTCTTTTCTTATTCCATCGAATGATCGATTAAATCCTGGAGTGATTGAGTATTTAGTGTGAGTGTGAAACACATCCAGAATAAAGTTTTTGTATTTAACAAAATGTCTTATCTCGTTCCACAATTTTTTTTTAATACAAAAGATTGTTTCGGTAAAAGTCCTCCGTCGTGCCTGTATGCCTTCAAATGTCTTCAACTGATCAATATCCGCCTTATCTATAAAGATTACTTCTACTTTTAACTTTATTTAAGTCTTAATCACTAATTATAATTACAATTACTTATTTATCAATTAATATTAATGTTATTTTTATTAATATTTACTTGCATGGTTGTTTGTCCATTTAACACCCTAGGGTTATATTTAGGTGGAATATTTTCACGATTTATAACGACTCAGAATTTTTTTTCAAAACTTCAACGGCTTAGTTTTTATTATAATAATTTATTTCTTTCGTTATATCTCGCGTAATTGTTATTAATAATTATTTGTTAATTTTTTAGCTTCCAATAAAATTATTGAGTTATTTAGATGTCTTCTTTAAAAAAAACAGTAATTAAAATTTTTAAAAATAAATTTTCATTCTAAATTAATAAAAAAAATTAATTTAATTTTTTTTTTTTTCAATAAATTACAATCCAAATTTTTATAAATAATTTTGTAGATTTAATTTATTAAAAAAAAAAAATAATAAAATTTTGCAATTACTGTATTTTAAAAGAAGACATCCAAAAATAATTTTTTCTAATGAAAAATAACAATTAAAAATAAATCTAAATTTTTTACAGATCTAATTAGACAAAATAATAATTCATTAAGATGGTACCAGTGAAAATATCCGATCAAAAAAAATTTACAAAAATATCACAAAAGAAAACTAATTAAAATTTTCCAGGAGATTTGACCAAGTAGAAGAACTTTAAGCTTTTACAATAATATAAATCCTTCTACATGCCCCCTGAGTGCCTAAATTAATTACAGTATTACTCATATACTTAATTAAACCTCTTTTTAATAATTAATTTATAATCTTTCTCACATAATTAACCACATTACTTAAAATACAATAATTAAGTTTGTACGTTCACGATCCAGTCTCAACATTAATATAATATATATTATGATTCGCCTTATTATCCCCATTGAAAAAATCTTGATAAATCAGCAATTAATTAATCATACCTCACTTAGAAATTATAAAATACAAAGAAGAAATAAATGCTTGGAGGTGATTACTAGTTTAGCAATCACTATTTAAATCAATAAAACAAAATTATTGTCTTACTGAAGTGAAACAATAATACGTAGGCCTATTGCAAGCAAATAAACTCGGTAAATCATTCAGCATAACGTACAATTAATAAGATATACATTGTTTATTTATTTTTTAAAACTACAACCAAGCGCATTAACAATTATAACATCAACGCGTCAAAAATATTTTTTTTTTTTACTTCAATAATTATTTTATACACTCTACTGGGGCTTTGAAAAATAAAAAATATATTTTTATGGATAGGAATGAGGTCAGGACGTAGGAGGTAGGACGGAGAGGATATTTATTTAGTAGGAAAGTAAGTGGGTAATTTATTTTAACAATGTCATGTAGGCATCATCATATTTATAAGTAACAGTAAGTTGGTCTAGTGAGCGTTTTTCTACACACTCTCCTTTACTTTATTTTTTTACAAATATTTAATGGATAAATAAAATAATGCTTAGTAGGAAAAACAGGAATTGCCTGTATTATTTTGCTGATAAATATTTAGCGATGTTAGTAATACAAAATTGTTAATAAAAGCCAGAGTTGTCAAAAATAAATAACACAAATCAATTGAAAACATAAAATGTCTTTATTTTTTTTTTTATTTCAAATAATTTTAATATTTTTTTATTAAAATTATTAATCTCCTCTCGTCCTCGTATTAGAATTTATTCTCTTTATTTTTAATTTATTAAAAAAGTAATGAAAATTTATACTTCGTCTATCACGCCCCTTCATACTCATACATTATTACAGTGGCGAAAAAAGTATATTTATATATTTTTATTTTTATAATTATAATCATCAAGTATTTGGTTATCACTTTTCTATTAAATTCACCGCAGACCTGATTTTTTACAAGCTTATTACTTCATGATTTAGATTCACAATATAAACCAATTAATAATAAAAAAAAAAAAAAAAAAGCCGGGTCTTTAAACATCAGACAGTTTTAAAGTTGACGAGCTTTGCGCGTACAAACTTAAAAGTGTAAAAAATAATTTAAGAAAATATTTGTTGGTTCAGATTTAGAAATTAACTATGTTAATTAGCAAATGGCTTTCGACGGTCAATATCGCTGGTACCTTTAAAAAAAAAATAAACAAGCTTGCTCTACAATAGTATTTCACTCATATCACTTACACGCAGATTAATTAAATTTTTAATATAATCATAATCTTTCATTCACTTATGGCCATTTAGTACTTTTTTTTTAATGCATTACTTCTCTTATCATGTTGATAAAACACTCTTAAATTTTCAATCATCCACCACATACTCACACATCATCATTACACGCTTAAACCTACGAATTTTTTTTTTTATTTTTATATTTTATTTATTATTTTTTTGTATTTTTTTGTTCACTTATAAAGGAAGCTTTCCTCCGTGGTTTACTAAACACGGAATATTATTATTAATTTTGCCCGTATATTTGTACTGACAATAATTCACGCGTGGTAAACAGTTGGACAATTTTTAATATTTTTTATAAACTTATATAAATAAACTACGAGCTACATCAGTTAGAGACTCGATTAACAAATAGTATCGATGATTGTAATTAATATTATTATTATTATTATTATTATTTTTTTTTTTTTTTTTTTTTTCATATTCAGAGTTCTTAAAATATTGCAGCCAACATACTGTCCATTAATAATTATCAAAAAACAATCAGCGGCCTCTTTACAATAACAATTACAATGAGATTGAAATTGAGAAAAAATGCACATTGGTGTTCTTAGATAAAATAGAAACCACTGATTTCCGAGTCTATTTGTGACATCTCTCCCTCTCATACCTCGAGTCATATTTATATTGTTTACTGTTCGCTCTTATTTCCTCATTATACACACAATAGATTCGTATGTACACGACTTTTTTTTTTTGTCATTCTCATTACTAAACAGAGCAACTGAAAAATCTCGTTGTCAATTAATGAGAACTAAATTTCAGCTCTCCTTTTTTTAATTAATTAATTAATTAATTAATTAAAAAAAAAAAATACATTTCAGTTACTCTGTCAGAGAATCTAATAGAAAAAATTCCTACGTGACTAAGATTATATTACACGACGATACTGACTCGCAGGACTCTTATCGTGTTCGGCGGAAGAGCTGGGCATTTTGAGACATACATATTTTATTTATGCAATGAGACTTGATCGAACTGGGAATTTTTTATTCACCGTCTACTCTTTCTTCTTTATATTTAATTCTCCATCTTCTCTCTACCTCTCTGTCAGTTAATATGTGAGTAATGTACAGTTGTACCATGTAATGCTGTATTAATTGTGTAATTATGTTAAATGTATGAATGTAATGATTCTGTGTTTAGTTTATGAATATAATAGATATAATTATATATTCGCTTTGTGGCATCGATCATTTATTTGACAATCTTATTTTCTTTCATACGATCACTGTGACCAGCTTATTTTTAAATATTTTCTCGTTTACCCTGAGTAACAAAAATTTTTCCACCTCTACGTTTAGTTGCAAAAAAAGACTTGAGATAGATATTGTTATTACATTATAATAAAACAAAAAATAAATTTATGCTGAGAAAGTTAAACAAAAATTGCGAGATCTATCGCACTTAAATATTTCTGGCAAAGTAAATTTTTTTTTTTTTTTTATTGAATAAAAAAAAAATTTACAATTCCACGTATCTAACCAAAAATCCAATGTTATACTAATGGATTTTGATAAACTAAAATATATAAATACTGCAATCATATAAAAATATGCGTGGAACGTAGTCGACAAAAATTAAATAATTTTTAATCATTAAATATTTTGCAAACTGAATTATTTTTTTACTGCCAATCAGTAGGCGGTGGGATCGATGATAAAATATATAATAAATCTTATTTTTATACTTTTATACATAAAGCTAATTATTCGATCAATGTGACCATCTTTTTTTTTTGTTTTATAATTTTTTTTTTTTTGCTTAAATTCTAATTATAAACTTTTATTTTCACTTCTTTCTCCTCCTCGCTCGTATACTCTCTTTCTGTTTATTTTAAAATGTCCCTGGCCGCCTTTTTCGCACACATTACAGGTACTACTTTAACAAGTTTTTTTTTCTCACTTACTTAGATAAATCTTACAGACTACGATCCTACGCGATACTTGAGACATCAAAGAATTAAAAAAAAACCCGATATGAAAAATGGCCTGTAGTTATAAATTAAAAAAAAGCGCTGATATTTTCTCATTATAACACATTATAACTTTCTATTTTTATCCCTACTGTTATTCAAATTACAAGCGCAATAAAAATTATATTAACAATAAATTTAATAATTACGTTATTTTCCACACAATTAAAAATTACGTCAAAATTACAAAAAATAAACTAAATTTTTTTTTAATAAAAAACTAGTGTTTAATTGTCCAATTAAATTTTTTTTCTGAAGAAATAAAATAATTTCAACATTAAAGTAAATTATATGTTATTTATCGCGCTCAATGTGAATTGAAATAAAAATAACAAGATAAGAAAAAAAAAAAAAAATAGAAAGTGTAATTTTCATGTGCATAAAGATTTTCAAGAGATTGTTACTAAATATAATTATAACAACTGACGGCCAAAAATTTTTTTTAATTGCCAATATTACTGAAAATAAAAAATCGCCATTGACTGACAAACTATGGCATGTTTATCAAAAAAAAATTTTTTTAATATTACTGTCAATGTTTGATATATAAATAAAAAAAAAAAAAAAAATTAATTTAGAAATCTAGTTTACGGCGAGTAAGGAGATTTTTGTACGATGAGTATAGTGGATACTCTTTCAGCCACTTGGTGATGCGACGACTGCCGGGTTACGTCGTTCGAGAAGATTAGAGCGTGCTTTTATCCGGCGCTGCATCAGTTTACTCTCACTCGGCGGTGACAGACCGTAGAGATGAGTCAGCGCGTCTTTACCGTTGAGACGACTATCGCCGATGAATTTGGAATCACTGTGCTCGATGGTTGAGTGCATGGAGCATGACTTGCGGCGTGAATTAGAATCAAATTCACTGGAAGAGTGAGCAACACAGTGTTTGCTGGGCTCCGAGCCTTCGCTGCTGGTATCAGACATATGGCCGTAAGGATGATTGTCATCGTCCGTCGAGGAGGTCGACAGCCTGGGTTCACGAATCTCCGCCAGATCTTCGAGATGGTTTATTGAAAAGTGCTGATGCACTACGCGATTCACTGCCATTGCTGACTCGGCGAACGCTGAAAGTTCACGGGCGGAATTGTTCCTTCTGAAGGGCAAAAAAAAAAAATGAAATTAATTTTTGTCCTTAAATTAAATTAAATTAAATTAAATAATTTGTTTTAAATGATATTATTACCTTATTATTTCAGGTGTAATGAGTGGCCTGTTGCCAGCAACAGTGATAGTAGGCCCAGGATTGATCCACTGATGATTGAGAACGCACTCGGCGCTCAATCTCTGGTGGGCGTCTTTGACAAGCAGCCCGCGAATAAGATCCTTGGCGTCCTCGGAAATGTCTTTCCATTCTCTGGCTGGAAAATCGTAAATCCCCTGCTGAATGCTGGTGAACAACAATTCTTGACACGCCTGGCAATTTTCCCCTTTCTCCCAGCCGCAGTCGGTGCCGCAGTTGCCGTAAAACGGCGGATAACCACACAATAAAATGTACATTATCACGCCAAGACTCCACAAATCACAACGTTTGTCATAGTAATTTGACTCTCCGATAAAAGCCTCGACAACTTCTGGTGCCATAAACTCTGCGCTGCCAACTGGTGTTAGTAGTTGCGGTGTCGCCAGGGGACTTTGCGAGTTGTTGAATTTAATTCCAGATCCAAGATCAAAGTCACAAACTTTTATTGGCGTCAATTTGTCTGGGTGGACGCACAGGATGTTTTCTGGCTTCAAGTCTCTGTGTGCGATACCTATTGATAAAAAATATTTAATTTATTTATTTATTGAATACTAATTATCTATATTATTAAGAATTCGAAAATACTCTATCTCGAGACACATAATTAAGAAATGACCTTGTATTTCGTGAACTATTGACATTTTTAAAGATATAAGCTCATCCTGATGTTACACTCATCGAGATCTTTCATTTGAGTACCCACATGGCATTTTTTATATATTTATATATATCAAATATATGTATATATGAAAAATATATCAAAAATGCATGTGGGTACTCAAATGAAAGCTCTTGACGAGTATAACATCGGGATGAGCTTATATTTTTAAAAATGTCAATAGTTAAAAAAGTACAGTGTAATTTAACGTCATCATATAATTATTTAAAAAATTTTTTAATTATAACAAACCTTTTTTGTGAAGAAAATGAAGTGCTCCAGCAATTTCTTTGACAATCTGACTGGCCTCTCTCTCGCTAAAATGAACGCGTTCTTGAATCCTCCTCAGCAACTGCCCGCCGTTGATCTTCTCGAAGACGAGATAGAACCGCTCGTCGTCTTCAAAGAACTCGATCAGCTGGATTATATTCGGATGGCCCTGACAATGATGGAAAGTCTCGACCTCCTTGAAGACCCTGGTGCGAGCATGCCCGGGAATCTTGTCAATAATCTTAACCGCGTACTCCAGATCTGTGTAGAGGGATGTGCAAGTTTGCACTGAAGCGTACGCTCCCTCGCCCAGTACTTCGCCCGTCAGTTTGTACAGCTCTGCAAATAAAATTTTTTATTACAACACATTTTCATCTACAATTTATAATTTACAATACAGTTAAGAGTGCGCTGTGCTTACAAGAACCGGTTTTAATTCTTCGTCTCTCTAGGCTTGTCAAAGTCGAAAAAATTGTTACCTTTAATAGAATAACCATTACCGGTTCTTGTGTATCCATTCAGGATTTAATGGGTACTTTACTGTACACTAAATTCTAATAATAATTTCAAATTAAGCTTTAACTTTTAACTGTTACAAACTTTTAAATTGTCTTTAATGTACTCTTATTGCGAGTTCTTATTTAGACTCGTCAAAAGATGTAATAAAAAAGTTTTACAGTAATCAAAAACACTTTAAGCTTTTATTGTTATATAAAATGTATAATAGATAGTTTAAAAATTATTTTTTATTACTTTTTTATTTCTATTATTTAATAAGCTTATTTAAAATTAAGTGTTTTAAAAAATTTTTTTATCAATTTTTTAGATGTAATTTTTTTATTAAATTTTTAAATATAATAAATTTTATAGATTTTATAATATTTTTACTCGAATAATTAAAAAAAAATTTATTTTTTTTCAAACTAAATTAAATTAATTAAGTATTTTTGACGTGTTCCACCTGATTAGCTTTCAAATATCATGCCAAGTACAATTAATTATAAAATTAAACATGTTCAACCATCAGAATCAGCTCTCAGCAGTCAATCAAGTCTCGTTATTAATTAAAATAAAAAAAAATTTTTTCCCTCAAAAATTCCAATCAATAAATTACTAAAATAATTTTAAATAAAATCCCCAGATCTGAATAAGAAAACAAGGAAATTAAAGCGGATGGGTAGTGTCATTGCGGAAGTTATTATTTGTTGTTAAGAAATCAGCGATACTGTAATTGACGAGCAAGAAAAGGTGTGTAGTGTATAATAAGTGGGAAAATAAATGAAGAAAATAAAAAGTACGCTTGCACAGCAAGGTGGGACATTGATTCGGTCATCGTCCGATGACGCAACTCCCGAGTCTCGATACGTCTAAACTCGGTCGTTGCACACATTATTGACACATCAATGTATATATATATATATATATTGGATCCTTATTTTATATGAATACAAATATAGATCAGTGATGCCGAATGGTGAATACTGAACAAAACGTATGTCTGCATCAGCAATTAATTTTCCTGGCCTCGACTCTAAGTGGTGGCCGGCGAACATGCGCAGAATTACATTCAAGCCGGTGCCAGTTGGAAGTTGAGCTCTAGAAGGTTCTAGAAGGAACGTCAAAGCTGCCAGTTTAAACTGCCACCACTACTAACTGCAAGTACGGTATACAGGCAAGTGAAGCGAAGAAGGAAATTTTAAAGAAGATAAATTATAAAGAGTGAAACAGTGATACTGTCTCGTCTGGATTTTACACCAGCTAACTTTGCTGTGCAGGTTGAATAAGTTACTTCATCACTCCAGGCTTTCTTCCTTTTTCAATGCTCTGTACTCTGAGGAATGTTAACAAAACACAGGGCTGGTATGTTTGAAGAGAGATAAAGTCTCAACTGAATGACGTAATTTAACGTTTTGGTTTTTACACAGAAAAAAAATTAAATTAAATCAGAATAATTATTTTTTAGGATTTTAATTCATTGATTTAAATAGAAAAATTATTTAATTGATTAATGACACTGAAGTTGACAGACATTAGGAATTTTTTTGCAATTAAATTATTATGTAACAAATTTAATAAAAAAAAATTTCACATTTAAAAATTTTAAAAAATTATTAATGAAATTTTTTTAAAGCATTTTTATTACTGTAATTAATTATTTTATAAGGAATTTTAAAAATTGACAATTGTTAGCTGACTTATAAGCATCATTTTGATTACAGTTAATTTTTTTTGTGCAATTTTTTGCACAGAAGACAAAATTGGCATGAATTAAAAAAATTTAATTTTTTAAGAAGAAATATAAAAAAATTATTTTATGGAAGGATCAATTACTTATTATCGCTCGAAATAAATTATCCGAGTCGGTAATAAATAAGTAATGAGGAATAGTAAGAAATACCTACCGAGATATTTCCCAATCCACAAGAACTTATCAACCTGCTCCGAAATTAGTACAACCCGGACACTCACGCCGTTATCGTTCTATCATCGCCACTCGTACTGGGTTCGAACCCCCTTATCTGAGTAATTATCGTGCAGATGCAACAGTAACCACCCGGGTATTAGTTGGAATTAATTGTACATGAGTATGACAGATATTTTGTAGTGTGAATTTATAAATTTCTCCAAGAGGTGTGTGTTTACCTTGGAAGCATGACGAGACGAGAGATGAGCCCGAACGATGCTTCCTACGTCGTCTACGTCGGGCTTCCTCTTGTCTTGCGTGGACTGAGCTGAGTGGTTCTCCAGTTGAAGCTACTTCTCTGCGATTTCCATCCACTGAAACAAATTTTTTTTTTAATTAATAATCAAAATAACTAAACTTTAGAATTTTTTAATAAAATTTAATTTGTATTTTTTCCTTAAAATAAAAAAAATTTTTTTTCTCAACTTAAATCTTAAAATTCTTGAATTAAAATATTTATCTTTTTATAAATAAATTTTATTTAATTAAAAAAATTTTCTTTTTATGTAAAATAAATTCCACTGATAAAAAAATAAACTTTAAAATAAAATTTATTCAAACTAAAAATAATATTTTGATTGCAAAATTTTTACTCAATTTATTTTGAATAAAATTTTATTTAATTAAAAATAATTCTTAAATAAAATAAATTTTCTTATCAATGCACGGGTGAATATCTCTATTGCAGAGGCAAACTTTGAAGGGCAAATGTAATTGAACTTGAGTTCGTCCTCGGTACAAAATATATATATATATATATATATAGATATATATCAGCCGTTTGGGATAAATTTGCGCCGACGTACATTCACCCTCAATCCCTTACACACTTCCTCCCCCATTTGTCATCCCTTGTTAGCATCCTCTTGATTTTTCCCACTATTTTATTTTTAATTTTTAACAACTACTGACTAATTATTTATACAAAAATTAATTTAGAAAATATTTAATAATTTTTAAATAAATAAATTAGTGCAAAAAAATTAATAATGCAATTTTTTAAATGGAAATAAAGTTAACCGACATCTAAAAATTTTTTTATTAAAGAATTATTGCAAAAAAATAAAAAAAAAATTTTTCATTTGTTAAAAACTATAAGTGCAATTTTTTAAAAATATTTTTTAATTATAATTTAATAAATTAAGCAAAATAAAAAAATAAAAAATTTCGGCTAACTTTATTATTATAATTTTTTAAAACAAATTTGTTTTTTTAAATAAATTAAAAAAAATATACAATTAAATAATTGTATTTAATTTTTTTATTTAAATAAGCTTATTGAAGTCAATATTGATAAAAAAAAATATTTAAACTTAAAATAGAAATATAATGGCTTCAGTTAACTTAACTTGAAAGGTTTCATACCTAATTAAAATTATTTACTTTTAAAAAGAATTGTAAAAAATATTTTTTTCAACAAAGTAGGTTAAAAAAAAAAAAAAAAAAAATTGATCAATTATTGAGATTATTTCTAACGATAATAAATATTAGTGCCTGATAATTTAATCTGAGTGCTCCAAATGATAATTGACGACAAATGAATAAAATAAAACTTTTGAAACAATAGACTGAGGAAAAAAAAATTAGCACGAACCTGTTGATAAACCCGTAACCACTCTTTACGTTGAACCACTTTACAGTCCCGGTCACTTTAGTAGCTGAAAAATAAAAAATATATTTATTAATTTATTTACTCACTAAATTCCAAAAATAAATATACTTGTAATAACAAGCTAAAGAATTAATTATTATTTACAATAAAACCGGATTAGAGAATAAAAATTTGATAAGAATCTAAAAACTAAATAAAATAATTAATTTAAATAAATAAATATTGATTTGTCTGCGGTTGAAAAAATAAATACGCCAAAAAAACTAGCACGTGATTTGAATAAACAACCAACCACCGAACATTGTTATCATTTATTTAAACAAACGAATGCTGATTAAACAAAAAAAGCATTGGATAAATAATTATGTTGTTTTAAGAAATAAAAAAAATTAATAATTTAATTTAATTGGATGAAAATTAAGTTAGCCGACATTTAAAATTTTTTTTTTTTTTATTGAAAAAAAAATTTTTTTTCTAATTTCACTTGTAAATAATTTTAAAAGCTGTGAGTGCAATTTTAAAAAAATATTTTTTTGTTCCAATTTCACTATTAAAATCGTCGGCTAACTTTAGTATTATTATATGGAGTAACTTTTTAAATTTCAAGATAAAAAAAAGAAGAAATAATTTTAAAAAATAATAATAATAATTATAGATGATCGAGCGCCGAATAAAATAGAGAATGGCCGGCATTTTACTTTCCAAGTACGCCTAGCATCTTCCGGTTGTAAGCCTAAGTCTCTATACGGCGGTCCTTCTTATGTCTCATGTCGCTTTACGGCTCGAAAAAAAAAAAATCATTTAGCATTTAGAATTAATTTAAATTAATAAAATTTTTTTATTAGACCGGAGTAATTAATTTTAAAATAAATAAATAAAAAATAATTGCGTTAACTTGAGAAACAACAAAGACTTGAATTGAGTCATGAATAAATGCTCCGAAAATGGTGAGTTTGGTAAAAATAAATGGCGCTTTGATAACTTGGATGGTAAAATAAATAAAAATAATTAATTTAATTTAAAAAAATAATTTTTAAAAGCTAGCTGGGGAATTTTGATCACGCCGGCCACATGGTCGTGCTACAACCGCCATTACGTTTAATGGATGGCAAAAAATGCCCGATAATTAGCCAAGCTAAGACGCAGATAAAAATTGACGAGAAAACGGAGCGTTACTCGGGAAGAAATGATAATTATTAAAAATAATATTAAAAACATACCGATGACCATTTTCTGTAGATTAGCCTTGGGTTGTTCGGGCTGTTTTTCCGGGTCAGCCATGGTGGTGATGTTAGATGTTAAGGTGGTGTTATACACGCCGCTACCGAACCTAGATGTTCCCGTCCTGCTTCCTTCTAGTTGTACTGATGGTTCCCTTCTGCTTATAATTTTCCCAACATGGCTGCGGCGCTTAGTGACCGACAACACACATATCCCCTCTAAGACGAGCTCTCCCATTGGCCGATTAATCCGGCGCCGACATTTTTCCGCCAATCACAGCGCCACTTTCATACCGTATTTTCAGTGATGTAAGTCGCTTGCGAATACTTACAAACAATTGCTATTGTGTTGGTGGTAATCCAGTTCACGTACGCAATTTTATATTGCACAATACTCCAGCTAGCGCTGTTTTGTTTGTGAGTGTGTGTTATTTTTTTATTTTTTGTGCGACTGGTGCTACAAGCTACCGGGCGGGAAATGACAGCGTTGTGATCGTCCTTTCGCGGTAAGTTTAAATTTATGAAAATTAAGTTAGTCGAAATTTCAAAATTTTTAGAAAAAAAATTTCAATTAAAAAATTAAAAAAAAAAATTTTCACATGTAAAAAACTTGAGAAGCTATAAGTGCAATTTTTTAAAAATTTCTTTTTAGTTGTAATTTAATTAATAAAAATAATCAAAAATTTTTAGATTTCTAGGTCTGCTTACTTCAGTGTCATTTTAATTTTATTTTAGTTATTATCATACTGAAGTTAGCCAACAGCTGTCAGTTTTTTTATAACAAATCAATTAGAATAAAAATTCTCACTAATTATTTATTTTTTATATTTACAAGTGGAATTTATTCATTAAATCTTTTTCATAATAATTTTATTTTATATTAAAATTCGGAGTGTCTAGTGACACCAGACACGGATGAAATCCGTGGATGAAATAAAGGTCACGGAACATATATTAAACACGGAAGGAAAATTATTTGCACCCAGTGAAAGTTATAATTTTGGATCGTATTTAGTGTGCGTGGTTACGAAATATTTTATTTTTTATGAAATTCCTAAAATCTATCTACTAGGACTTTTAAAAAAAATTGAAGTACACAATGACGCACACCAAGTACGTTCCAAAATTGTTTCTTTTAATTTTTAAATTTACAAAAAAGTTTTTTTTAATTTCCGAAAATCATATACAACCATATCGTCGGTTACTTGGATTTTTTTATTTTATATCTTTTTGTAAAGAAATAAATTTTTTTTTTTTCAATAGTCTTATGAACGTGGACTTGGCGCGATTTTTTTTTTTACAGTGAAACTGTTTTTGTTCGGATTTCAGTATTTTTTGTAATTATAATAAAAATTGACAATTTTAATTCAATGCATTTCCGGTGGCAAACTAGAAACTATCCCCCTTAAGCTATAGTTCATGTAAAAGTTATTCTTGCGCCGTCTGGCGTGTGTAATTGCAAGCTGTCAAATATCTTTTTTTCACTGTAGTTTCTCATCTATTATAAGATTAGCATGCATCCTTATATTATTTAGTCTCTGGCCGTCCGCTTTTTACATAAGAAAAAAGTTGAAATCTAAAAATCTGGGTCGCTATAGTTTGTGCTGATTATTTTTAATAATTTTAAATAGAAATTATAAAGATAATTGATAATAATCAAGTAATACGCGTAATAAAAAGCATGAACTACTATTATAAAATATCATATAAAAAAAAATCAAATTAAATTTGAAAAAAAATTTGTAACCTCAAAAAACCGTTCTGCTTACGGTATATACACACTCGGTAGTCTGGCTTGAGAACGGAACTTGGCGCCAGATTCTACCAAATCTGTTGATTATTTCTACGGTACCCGGGTGAATGTTTTTATTGTATTAATCCGGTAATCTTATGGGTTGCCAGTACTGCCTGAGTACTGGCAACCCACAAAAAAAAAATAATTTATTTACACACAATACCGTTGACGAGCCTCGATGTTGGCCGAGCGGTGGTTCAATGCGTTGGTCCGTTCGTACAACTCATGTGGCAAAGCGCGGGTTCGAACCCCAGCGAGTCCAAAGATTTTTCACATTTGTTGATATCTTTCGATTCTCTGAGATTCGCTCCAGCGCCGCCTAGGTTAAGGCAAGTTCCTAACCAACACAGCTACTATGGATACTATAGACCCGAGTGCTTTTCTGAAAGCAGTCCTGAAAATATCCGACGACAAGCCTAGTGCCCCGACACCGTCGTCAGCACCAGCGGCAGTAAATACCAACATAAAACCCTTTATATTTCCGCCGACGCCGCTAGTACCGCCGTCAGCACCACCAGTGGTACAACAAATGTTCGATGTATGTTTTATTACTGGGTTAATTAATGGCTCAGTAAAACATTATTTACATATTTATAATAATATAATTGCATGAATATTAATCAGATTAATCGTCGCATGCTTTTTCATCACTTAATTGTCATTTTCAATTTATTAAAAAATAACTATATAATATTTATATTAGAATAATATATAATATTAGAATATTCTAAACTAAATTTTTGTAACATTTCACTGAGCCGGCCTTTATTGCGTTCCGCTAAAATACTGCGAGTTAGTTTCTTTTTGGATTGGTGTGAGGGATGATAAAACTCCTTTCTCTCTCTAATGCAGAACGTATCCTAGTGCCGAAATTGTTTTTGACGTAATTATTTAATGCGTGCAGTACTTGAGAATGATGTTCAAGATTATTGCGCGCCACTTTACCTCCTAAAAAAAAATATTTTTAACTAAATATTTTTCAAAGTATTTTTTATAAAAATATTATGACATTTAAGTTAGAACTTGACCATTTTTTAATTTTTTTTTTTTAACAAACAAATTTGTTTAAAAAAACTATTTTCAAAAAATTGCATTTTTTATTTTTAAAAATTTTTATCTCAATTTATTTGGTAAAAGGGTAATTATTTACAAGTGGGGTCAACCATTTTAATTTTCAATTTTTTAAACGAAATTTCTATTTGATTTTATTGATATATTTTTTTTTAAAAATACATAAAAAAATGAACTAATTGTCATTTTCAATTTATTAAAAAATAACTATATAATATTTATATTAGAATAATATATAATATTAGAATATTCTAAACTAAATTTTTGTAACATTTCACTGAGCCGGCCTTTATTGCGTTCCGCTAAAATACTGCGAGTTAGTTTCTTTTTGGATTGGTGTGAGGGATGATAAAACTCCTTTCTCTCTCTAATGCAGAACGTATCCTAGTGCCGAAATTGTTTTTGACGTAATTATTTAATGCGTGCAGTACTTGAGAATGATGTTCAAGATTATTGCGCGCCACTTTACCTCCTAAAAAAAAATATTTTTAACTAAATATTTTTCAAAGTATTTTTTATAAAAATATTATGACATTTAAGTTAGAACTTGACCATTTTTTAATTTTTTTTTTTTAACAAACAAATTTGTTTAAAAAAACTATTTTCAAAAAATTGCATTTTTTATTTTTAAAAATTTTTATCTCAATTTATTTGGTAAAAGGGTAATTATTTACAAGTGGGGTCAACCATTTTAATTTTCAATTTTTTAAACGAAATTTCTATTTGATTTTATTGATATATTTTTTTTTAAAAATACATAAAAAAATGAACAAATAAAAAAAAAAAAAAGTTGGTTATCACAATTTTAACAAATTTTCAAAAAAATCTATATCAAAAAAAGATAAAATAGAAATTTTATCCAAAAACATGAGAGCCAAAATTTTTTCCAACTTTTGAAGGTAAAAAAGCGACCAAAATCTTTATTTTTTCTTTCACGACATTTTTTATCATAAATGCTATAAAAACAAGCAGAATAAAAAATAATTGAAAACCTTAATTTTTCACCTAGATATGGCCAAAAATAAGATAGACCCTTGTAAATAATTACCTTTTCTTTAACAAACAAATTTGTTTCAAAATATTATTTTAAAAAAATTGCATTTTTAACTTTTTAAAACTTATACACATGAATTTTTTTGCCATAATTTATTCGTTAAAAAAAATAATTAAATATCTGCTGAATTAATTTTCATAAAAATATTAACAAAGCTTACCAATGCATTCCATGATCATGGCAACAAGCTCTTCTCCAACATTTTCAACATACGATAAAATTTGAGTTTGTGCTATTGAGTGTATCAAGAATGTAGCAGCAGCTTTGATGACTGCCGTTTCTTGAAGCCCTAGAGAAACTATTCCTAAAAAAAGAATACCATTAAGTATCTTAATACCAACCATTAATCCTAATTAATTTCAAAAATAAATAAATTAATTTTATTTACCACATCTCAGCATATTGTTGATATGATCAGGAACTTGTGGCATTAATTTAGGAGTCTTTTTACAAATTTGTCCTAACAAACCCAAGTAAGCTTCCAGCAAGTCTCCAAAATCTGACAAATTCCCTCCAGGAGAGCTGCAAGAATTCAAACCACCTAGAGTATGTCCTCCAATTGCCGCAAAAATCGGGCCTATATTATGGCATTGTTCGAATCCGTCCCAAACAGCAGAACAACTTGCCTGAGCAACTGCAACGCCGCCGGATGAGGTCTTACTTTATAAGCTTCAACCAACAACTTCAACAAAAACTTGGAATCTTTCTCCGGGTGCAGAAGACACTGCAAGGCCCTTTGCGCGCAATTGTACATAGCATCTAGAATCGTATCATTTTGACTCAACTCCGGATGCGCGACAATCTGATTAACTTAAAAGTCGGCATTAGTCCATCCAGTACCGACTTTCCCATAGCTCCTTCCAACGTCGACAAAAACATAGTCGCCATCCTGAGCTGCGTTGCGACGTTTTCTTGTAACTCAGGAACAGGATTCTGCATAAGCTCTCGGAGTTTTAAAACACACTGCCCTAGAGTCGCATCTAGGTATTGCAGCTATTCCTCAGTAGTCCTCAAAGCGTTGATCAAATTACCGACAGCATACATTAGTCTCATCCCCTCGTTGCTTCCATTCGGCAGGACCATCAAAGTCTTGCTGATGGTATCAAGAATGGAGGGTGCTAGAGTAGCTAAATTCTCCTGACACTCGCGTGTGATGTCCTTGAGCGTCATCGTAGCTCGAGTTAGCACTCGAGTGGGCCAAAGATTTCATACTAACTTTACCATCTCTCTATACCTCTACGTGTAAAAGATGCGATTTCGAAAATTAATTACTCAAAAACGATGCGGTCAATTGATCTGAAATTTTAGTAGTGAATTATTAATATATTTATCTTTCGATAAAAAAAATTTCATAACTTTCTGTTGAAATGCCTTTCACGCTACAACTACCTTAAATACTGGGGTTGATGATTGACCAACACAACCCTTTCTCCAGTTATCCATATTTTTTTTTTGTTAATAAATTAATTATTATTAATTATTTAAGTTATTTTTATTATAGTTATATTTACGATTAAAAGATCTAAATTCTAATATTCTAATAACGACTATAGTCGAGTGTTACCCGTAAAGCTGTTCGGAACAGTGTGAGGAAAATTTGTTGATGCTCCATACACTTCACCATTGATAACATTGTATATTTACAATATTATCAATGGTACTATGGATTAGTACAACGTACTATTTTTCTGCATTCTTTACCCAAAATAAATAAAAATATTTAGATTTTAATTTGAGGCTTATTGAGGCTTAAGCCTCAACATTCTTCTCCTATGAGATTAATTTAATTTTTAAATAAAATCAAAAATTTGTCAAGTGACAGCTAACTTTAATGTCATTAATTAATTAAAATTAATTTTATTATTGTAAAATTATAAAAAAATTTCTAATGGCTGTCAAATTCAGTGGTATTTATTTTAAGATAGATGTTAATTATTTATTTATACACTTTGCCAATAAACAGATTACAAACTAAATAATAAACTAATCAATTTAATCGAATTGATAAAATTTTTACCATCATTTACTTTCTTTAGAGCTTTTAATTAAAAGCGTATAAAAATTTAAACAAAAATAACAATAAAAATGTTGGTTTCTATTTCTTCTAATTACTTGATTATATTTTACATATGGTAATTATTTATCAATAACTCAAGTTGATGTGGATACTGTTTAAATACACGATAGATAATAATTAAATACTAACAGAGACAATAAAAAATTTATCGCTTTTTAAAAGCTGTCCCATTGCGGACTATATAAATATATAAATATATATATTTTTAAACTAACAACAAATTAAAAATTATCACGACTGTATACTTGTTTAATAGTCGCACTAAAAATACAACTATTAAACAATAATGTTTACAGAGAAAATCGCCATCAACTCAAGTTAATTTACAAAGTTCAAAATTATATACTTATATAATATATGAGTATATATAAACTGTTACAGCAATTATTATTATTAATAAATTACTTGGTTAATTAATATCTAAGATAAATAAGACTTTTGTAAATCAATACACAGTTTGTGTATTAATATTAATAAGAGAAATTTATAAGATTAAGTTAAAGGAGAAAAATTAATTTTACATTCTCAATCATCTTTGCTGTCTTCTTGAGCGAGCTGGACGTGTTCTTGGAGCGGTTGATCCGGATCCGATGCTGAACATTCCACCACCTCCTCCTGCAGCGCTGCTTCCGGCGTTAAAAGACCCGGCACCGTTGAAATTAAATCCACCTTTAATTAAAATTTATTTTATTAATTTCAAGATTAAAAAAATTAATTAATCAATAATAGAAAGTGGGTAATTATGTACGTGGGGTCATTTAACCCCATGTTTGGCCACAGAATTTTTTTTTTTTTTTTTTTTTTTTTTTTTTTTTTTTGATAAAATTCATAAATTTTTTTATTACATTATTTTTTTTTTTTAAATAAATAAAAAAAATAAAATAGAAATTTTATTGTTAAAAAATAAAAGCCAATATTTTTTCTATTAAATTGTTCGGTTTTTTTTTTTTTTTTTTTTCAAAATAAATGAAAAAAAGATAACATAGAAATTTTATTCAATAAAATGAAAGCCAATTTTTTTTTCCAATTTTTAAAAGCAAAAAAACTATCAAAATCTTAATTTTTTTCTTTCATGACATTTTTTATCATAAAAACCAGCATAAAAAAAATTGTAAACAATTACCACTTTTAAATAAAAACCAAAAGATGCTTACCGGTACCTGCTGACGCCCCAGCGTTTCCAAATTGAAACGGAGTTGACGCGCTTCCTGCGCTGCTGCTTCCAGTTCCGGATCCACCGAAACTGTACACTGGATTTTGCGCCGGAGGGTTGGTGCTTCCAAAATTGAATGAACCGGCACCAGCATTATTACCAGAATTATTATTATTATTATTATTATTATTATTACTATTATTACTATTACTATTGTTGCTAGTAGCAGCAGAGCCAAAGCTCGGGACCGCTGAGCCAAAAGGAGCGGGAGTAGAACTGGATCCAAAGCCGCTGAAGCTTGTGTTAGCAGAGCCAAACGCAGGAGTCGACGAGGAGCCACCAAAAGTGTTTGAAGCTCCGAAAGCCGGAGGTGCTGCTGCTGACGAGCCAAAAGAAGGTGCAGGCGCCGAAGAAGCTCCAAAGGATGGAGTTGTGGACGTAGAAGTCGCTCCAAAAGCCGGAGGAGCGGATCCACCAAACGCTGGTTTAGCACCTGAAGCTGCTCCAAATGCTGGAGTTGATGAGGAACCGAATGACGGGGTTGCTGTTGAAGCTCCAAACGCTGGAGGCGCTGTCGTTGGTATTGAGCCAAACGCTGGAGGCGCTGTTGTTGATACTGACCCAAATGCTGGAGGCGCTGTCGTTGGTACTGACCCAAATGCTGGAGGCGCTGTTGTCGGTATTGAACCAAACGCTGGAGGTGACGTTGTTGGTATGGATCCAAACGCTGGAGGTGTTGTTGTCGGTATGGATCCAAATGCTGGAGGTGACGTCGTTGGTATGGATCCAAACGCTGGAGAAGTCGCCGAGGAGCCAAACGCTGACGTTGATGATGCTCCAAATGCAGGAGGAGCAGTTGTTGCAGTTGTTGCAGGCGCAGCTCCAAACATTGATGATGTAGAACCAAATGCTGGAGTCGCAGTCGTTGTAGCTCCAAATGCTGGTGGTGCTGTTGTAGCTGGTGCTGGTGCTCCAAATGGAGAGCTTGTTGATGATGAACTGCCAAATACTGCTGATGTATTTGGCAAAAGAGGAGTTTTATTTTGTGTAAATGATGTATTAGCCCCTCCAAAACCTGAAAATCCAGCTGATGAAGTTGAGGTACTTCCAAACGCGGGACTTGCCACGGTTGAAGATCCAAATGTTGGGGCTTTAGTAGCAGTAGCTGGAGTTGTGCTACCAAAACTGGCAGTTGTTGTAGTTTGAGATCCAAATGTCATGGTATTATTATTACCAAATGTAGGATTTGAATTAGTAGCTCCGAAAGTTAGGTTTGGCTGCGATCCAAATGAAGGTGATTTAGTTTGTCCAAATAAATTATTTCCTGTATTAGTATTAGTATTAGTATTAGTATTAGTACTAGGATTAGATGCAGTGTTAGAATTACTTCCTCCGAACATTAAAGACGAACTAGTTTGGTTAGCACCGTTGAACATACTAGAAGTAGTTGTGGGAGTATTGCTCCCAAAACTCGGGACTTCTGTAGTCTTGGGGACTCCAAATGACAAAATACTCGGCTTTGTACTAGTTATAGTACTTGCCGGGCTGGAGAAGGATGACTGGGTACTGGTGTTTGCTCCAAACAGCACAGCTGGAACTGAAGTAGTTGTTTGTGATGTTGGAGTAGAAAATGAAGGGGTCGACTGAGTACTAGTAGCCGCGGCGCTTCTAAAAACTGCCACGGATTGACTCCCAAATCCTAAAGGCGTAGAAGCAGTCACTTGGGGACTGCTCGTGTTACCGAATGAGAATGTCGGTTTAGCCACGTTGAAATTAAACCCTGAGCCGGAGCTTGAGCCTGGTGTTGATGCAGTTGTAGTAGTTGATGGAGCAGATGCTGCTAAGTTGGAAGTACTTGTACTTGCACTTACACTTGTGCTTACTGTAGGTGTAAAGGAAAATAATGAAGATGAAGTTGTTACTGGAGATTTAGCAGTGAAAGCCGGGCTTGGAGCGACAGTTTGCGGAGCAGAAGATGCTGGAGTGCTACCGAATGAAAATCCAGTGGTTGTAGTCGGTGGATTTGATCCAAATGAAAATCCTGAAGTTGTAGCAGGAGGCTGATTGCTTGTAAAGGTATTTGATGATGTGCTCAATGGTGGTGCTTGACTCGTTAGATTCTCTGACGGTGTTGAGGCAGTTGTTGCAGTTGTTGCAGTTGTTGCAGTTGTTGCAGGCTTACCAAATGAAAATCCAGTCGCAGGAGAAGAAGAAGGTAGATTTGTTGAACAAGTACTGGCTGGTTTTTGTACTTGTTTTTGTAAATTGAAGCTGCTGGATATTATTGACTCGGTCTTCTGAGTTAATGGTTGCACTGTAGTAGAAGCTGGAGCTTGAGTCAGTGAAAATCCTGAAGCTGTCGTGGCTGAATTCACGGAATTAAAAGCAGTTGAAGTGACAGAAGCTGGAGTAAAAGTTGAAGTTGATACTTGAGATTTCTGGAAAAATGAAGGTTTATTTGTAGCCTCTTCAGACTTTTGCAAGCTTGGAGCTGCTGATGAACTGACCAGCGTCGTGCTGCTAGTAGGAGTTGTTTCTCCGGATAGATTAAAAGTAACACGTTTAACCGGAGTGTTGCTGTCCTTAGATTTACCAATAATAGGTTTTATCGCGGAAGTTGCGATAGGTGAAGTGTTGACATTTGTCGTTGAAGTTGAGGAGCTTAGAGACGTAAGTACTGGTTGGGATTGTGCAGTTGAAGCCACTGGTGTAGATATTGGTGCAGATGTAGCAGGTCGATCGTTGACTTCATCCGCCTGGATAACGACACTAGGATCGATTTCACTGGAGGCTTTTCCGGAGATCGCATCGAACATACTCTTCAGTCTAGCTTTCATGCTAGTTTGTCTCATTGTTAAAATATCAGACTGTTTTATTTCATCGGCATCATCGCCTCCGAATTTTCCCGTGACATCATGCTCTTCGATAAGTGTCTTTATTTTATCAATATTCTGCGGCTCTGCTCTCATGAATAATTTATCTTTTAATTGAGTCAGCTGCGGTGAATTTCGGGTTATTAATTTATTATTATTTATTAAATTAACTTTGCTATTACTACTAACAGGACTCTGCTGAGAAGTTTGTTTCGGCGAATCAGCGGTCTGTTTTTTATTGTCGTCATCACAGGCGTCTAAAAACTCAGCAGAGCTCGACCTGCTTAGGGCTGAAGGAGAAGAAGACTTATTAATGATGGCTCGAGGAGATACTGAATTGCTTCTTCGGTTGCTGTCGAAGGACTTGAAGTGTTTTCCGACCTCCGGAGTTCCACTGCGAGATAAGTCAGCCTTTCTTTTGACTCCAGAGCTGCTGGAAGTCATGACGTTAGTGCTCGAACTCAGGGAGCTCAAGATATCGTAGCAAGAGGGGACTTTGGTCCTCTTGACAGGCCTCAAAGATGTGTTCTCGATAGAAATGTCATCCTCGGACTTGGACAAGTCTTCTCGAGTCCGCTTCTGCGTACCTTCATCAAAGCTCTCGTACTCCTCGCGGTGGCTCTCAGTCCGCTGCTTCTTTACTAATTCCAAGGAGATGTCGTCCATCGACGCGTGTCTTTTTAATGAAATCTCCTTCAGGACTTGGACTACACTTTGGGGAGATTTTTTCTCCGAACGGTAGATATTAGCAAGCATTTTTTGCTTTTCTGGTGGAGAATACTTTATTGTTTCTGGTGGAGCTATCCTTACGGTGACTGGTGACCTGGCTTTTACTGTTTTAGCGTTTAAAGTTGGAGTTGGTGAACAGTATAAATTTACTTTTGGAAACTGCCCGGTTGAGTATTGAGATTGATAAAGTAATTTTGTGTCAACGTCGCTTGCGTATTTTGTTAATCTTCCTGGAGATAAGGTACTGTACGCCCTGAAATATTAAAAATGAATTAGTAAATTTTAATCTATATCAAGAGAATAATTATGATAGGTATTTAGACTGCATTCAAAAATATCTCTAGGTATATAATTAAGAAATGACCTTTTATTTTGTGAACTAATGACATTTTTAAAGATATAAGCTCATCTTGAAGTAACATTCGTCGAGACCTGCCATTTGAGTACCCACATCAATTCTACATATATTTTATATATTTATATATTTCACAAATACCATATATATAAAATATATAAAAAATGTCATGTGGGTACTTAAATAAAAGGTCTCGATGAGTGTAGCATCAAAATGAGTTTATATCTTGAAAAATGTCAATAATTAAGAAATGACATTGTATCTTGTCAACTATTAACATTTTTAAAGATATAAGCTCATCCTGATGTTACACTCATCGAGACCTTTCATTTGAGTACCCACATCAATTTTTCATATATTTATATATATTATATATATGTATATATGAAAAATGTATCAAAAATACATGTGGGTACTCAAATGAAAGCTCTTGATGAGTGATAGCATCGGGATGAGCTTATATCTTTAAAAAGGTCAATATTTAAAGAAAGTACAGTGCAATTTAACAAAAGTAATTATTTAATAAAGCAAAATTTTATTTATTTATAGTTGACAAGTCACATAGTGACTGCAAGGTTGCTAATAAATAAAATATTAAAATTACAATTAATAATAATAAAATAAAAAACTTACTTGGAATCAATGTTATACCTTGATGATGATAACAGTGGTCCTGCTACGGTTTGTACAGTTTTAATTCCAGAACTATTTTTACCACCTAAACCAGCGTTCCAGGGGGTACTATGAGATCTAAATAATATTTCCTCTCGTCTTACTGACAGAGAATCGTCCTGAGCATCATTATTGCTGTACTTAGAGGGTGACTTTTTCCACAAGTGCTGCATTGAACCGTTTATGTCACCGTTTAAATGATAGCTTGAGTTCTCCCAGTGCTTGTTGCCGCCAAAAGATGAAGATGGTGATGTTGATGGTGACAAACGCTTTGCCACAGAGTTCTCGGACCCTGAGACAATGGAACGCCGTGAATTTTTGACGATGGGACTCACTGCACTCATAAGGCCCAATTGTGAATTATTTGACATGCTAATTGATGACTCACTGCTGAGTTGATACGAGTTTCTTCCACGTCGTTCCATTTTGGAAAAATGTTTTTGGTAAAATTTTTTAACAAAACCAACAAATTGGTGGAGATATGATAATAACTGATGATAAAATAGTGAAAATAAATCCGGAATATTTTCCCCGGCTTTTATTATACTGTCGTTTATTTTAGTTAGAAGCGTGTTGTAATTTTCGTTAATCAAAATGTATATACAACTATATATTATGGCAATAGTTATTAATATTTTACCGATAAAATAGCCCCATAAATTGTAAAATATCAAACACCCACTTAACACACTTAATATTATTACAATGTCTTGATTAGTTAGTTCCCACATATTATTTCAAAAAAATAACCTCTCCATTTTTTTAAAAGAGCACACTCACTTAACCATTAAATTTCTCATGTACCACCACACTTATTTCTGATGCATGAACATGGAGGTGAAATTATAATTTACTAATACCAACGTGGTCAACCGCGCTACTGTCATTGCTACCAACAATTATTTTTATTTTTTGTGCGCGCGCATTTTTTTTTTTTAAATTCTGATCAAAATTAATTTCATATTTTGCCACCAGATGGCGCTACTGCCACAGGCGGTAAAATACAAAACTTAAATAAAAAATTTATTAAAATTATCAGCTGTCATTTCTCTTATCTCTAAAATTTATTTAAAAATTTAATAATTTAATAGAAAATAATAAGTAATTTTTATAAAAGAGGATATTTATCGTGATAAAATATTTTTTTATAATAGTGAATATCAAAAATTATTTATTTGATTAATTTTTGAGGTTATTTGCTGTGAAAGTGTCAATTTAATTTTTAATAATAAAATTTTTAATTATTTAAATAATGATAAAAAAAAGTTCACACGTAAAAATTATAAAAAACTACATGAAAATTAAACTAATCGACAATTGAAAATTTTTATAATTTATTTTATTGAAAAATAATTTTTAAAAAATTAAAACAAAAATTTTCACAAGTAAATTTTATACGTAGAATTTTTTAGTTCTAATTTTTAATTAATAAAAAATTTCTGAGTGTTAGCTAACTTAATTTTCATAAAAACTACAATGACATTAAAATCAGCTCATTTAAAAAATGTATTTTATTTAAAAAAAAAATTTTTTCTAAAAAATTGTCTTTAAAAATTATAAAAGTAAAGTTAGCCGACGTTTTGAAATTTTTTGATTTTTTTTTAATAATTAAATTAGAACAAAAAAATATTTTTTAAAAAATTGCACTTGCAGTTTTCAAAGTTTTTTACAAATGAAATTTTTTTTTTCTATTTTTTTGTAATCATTTTTTTAATAAAAAAAATTCTATAAATTTTTAGATGTCGGCTAACTTTATTTTCATTAAAAATTGCATTTTTTATTTTTTAAAATTTTTATTAATTTTTTATTGCAAAAATTTCAATTAAACAATTAAAAAAAAAAATTTCACTTGTAAAAAACTTGAAAAGCTATGAGTGCAATTTTTTATAAATATTTTTTTAATTTTAATTTAAATTAATTAAAAAATTATTCAATATCTGCTTTAATTTTTATAAAACTACAAGTGCATTTTCCTAGAAATAATTTATTTGTGGTATAAAATAATAAAATACTTAGTAAAGTGTCAAATAATTTCAATGACATATTAAATTTTCATACTTATTAAATATAAACATACAAAGTTATACCTGAACTTTATACATAATGACAAGTTGATATGTACATAGTGCAAATAATGTAATTAGACCCACCCAGCCGTAGAATAAATATCTATAATTAGACGTAGACCTAGTCTACTCCATAATCTAGAGAATAAATTAAATTTAAGTAAACAAGAGAGATGAATCTGTGAATAAATCCGGGTGCTGTTGATCAATAATTACGTTACTGAAAAATACTTTCAACACCTTGGAATACATTTGAAGCATAAAAAGTTATAACATATAATACAATACAGTATGAGTCGGAGAAACAATCTTGAATCGTATGGTATTTATTAATCCAGCGACGGGAATCCCCTCTCCGGATCCACGTGGCCCACATTTACATGCCTGTTAACCAAATGCTAACAAACACTGTCAGTTTGACAGCAACAACTAGACTGTTCACTCTAGCATTTAGCCGATAATGTTTATTGTCGATCAATAAACAATTATAATTATAGTCAACAAATTAGTTAATTATGAAAGCAAGTACAAGTTCAACATATCATTTGTGAGCGGTATTAAATTTCATGAGTACAAATTAAATTAAAAACAGAATATTGATTGATGAAATCAATAGATAAGCAAATTTAATCTTACAAGTATTGCTCTTTTTTTTTAAATTTATGTTTGTCTTGTCATTTTTTTATGTTGTAATTGTTAAATTGTGTGGTACAAACTCTGATGAGTTACGAATGATTGATATTAAATCAAGAGCGGCGTTATAAAGTATAAAAAAATGTTAATTGTAATAGGTTCAACGGTCGCATTAATAGCAAGCCTGATGGCTTTTTCAAAACCAAGAAATTATTGGAGCACTTTTGCCCGAGGGATTTTTATGTTAGCCAAGTACAATCTTGTGGGATTAAAAGAACTTTTTCTTGACATTATTCATGCCAAGTACAATAAAACAGGTGAGAAAAATAATTATTACTTCATTATACTCAAGTTAGCCGATGAAAATTAAGTTAGCTGACATCTAAAAATTTTTATGATTTTTTTTAAATGGAAATGAAGAAGTTAGCCGACATTTCAAAATTTTTTATTGAAAAAATTTCAATTAAACAATTAAAAAAAAAATTCACATGTAAAAAACTTGATAAACTATAAGTGCAATTTTTTAGAAATATTTTTTTAATTGTAATTTAATTAATAAAAGAAATCTAAAATTTTTAGACGTCTGCCAACTTCAGTGTCATTTTTTAATGACATTTAATTTAGTTAGCAGTTATACTTGATCATTTTTTTACTTCATTTAACAAAAAAAGTAGTTTTAAAAAATTGCATTTTTTATTTTTTTTAATTTCTACTTATCTAACAAAAAAAGTAGTTTTAAAAAATTGCATTTTTTATTTTTTTTAATTTCTACTTATCAATTTTTTTTGAGATTATTTATCTGTTAAAAAAATTCTCAAAATTATTAAATATCTTCTAAATTAATTCTCTTTTTTTTTTTTTTTTTTTTTTTATTATTAAAAAATTATTACAAAAAAATTTTTTTCATTTGTTTTTAAATCTTCAAAAACTATAAGTGCAATTTTAAAAAAAAATATTTTAGTTATAATTTAATAAATTAAGCGAAATAAAAAAATCAAAAATTTCGGTTAACTTTATTATTATATAGCCGACAGTTTTAATTTTTAATTTTTCAATTATTAAATTAGAACTAAAAAATATTTTTGAAAAATTGCACTTAGAGTTTTTCAAGTTATTTACAAATGAGAATTTTTTTTTAATGATTTTTTCAATAAAAACTTTTTAAATGTCGACAAACTTGATTTTCATTATTACTTCTCTAAAATTTGACTGCATTGCAGTAAAGTAAAACTTATTTTCTCTTTATTAAATTACCTTGCGTGAATCAGCGATGTTGAAATAAACCATAATAATAAATCTCTCTTACAAAATAAAACGGTTTTATTAAAAGCGACAGAGATGTCGAGCAATAAAATTATAATTGTAAATTTAATTAAATTAAAAACAATTTACAGATTTACCAAAAAAAAGCGACTGTGTCGCTATTGTTACTGGAGGATCCCGTGGAATTGGCGTTGAAGTTGTCAAAATGTTACTCCGCTGTGACATGGAAGTTATTATAGGTAAAATATTCTACGACTCATTATATCTGAAATAACTTTCTTTAAAAAATTCAATAAATAATTCATTGAATATTTTAGGTAAATAAATTTCATTTAAATATCTATTGTTTACAGCCTGCAGAAGAAAAGAAGCTGGAGAGAAAACTATTGATAAAATTCGTGCCTCTGGAATCACTGAAGGAAAAGCTAAAGTTTACGTGCTTGATAATTCAAGCTTGGACTCTGTAAAAAAATTCGCCAATGATATAAAGAAAGATTATGACAAAATTCACGTACTGATCAACAATGGTAATCTCTTAAACATAGAATATTTTTTTAAATAAAAATAGTGATAGTATTAAATGAATTTTTGAAGCTGGAGTAATGTTCACACCTTACAAAGAAACGAAAGATGGATTTGAGCAGCAGTGGGGCGTCAATTATTTGTCCCACTTTCTGTTGACGTCGTTGCTTATGCCGTTACTTCAAAATGCAGGGACCGAAGAAAATTTTGCTCGAGTCATTAATATTTCTTCTTGCGCTCACCATTTAGGAACTATTAATTTCGATGACATAAATTATAAGTAAGTGTAACAGCTTTTGATATTTAAATTTAATTTTTTTAAATATAATTTTTTTCGTTACAGTAAACGAAAACCATTTTTAACTTACTGTGCTTATGGTCAAAGCAAGTTAGCCCAAGTAATATTCACTGAAACATTAAGACATATTATCAATAAAAATGAACTTTTTGTAAAAACTTACGCTGTTCATCCAGGCATGGTCAATACAGACTTATTTGAAAACAGCTTCATTCATTATTTTGGCTTTTTGATGAAAATAATGTTCAAAGTAAGCAAAGTATTTTATAATTATTAAAAATTATTCGGGTTCATTACGGATCAAACTATATTTTTTTTTTATTAATCTATATTATTAAGAGAATAAGAAAAATTTTGTCTTAATTTGAATTTGTGCCTTTTCAAGGTTTCATATTATTTTATCATTGTCAATTTATTATAAGTATTTAAGCTGCATTCGAAAATGCTCTATCGCTAGATACATAATTAAGAAATGACCTTGTATCTTGTGAACTATTGACATTTTTAAAGATATAAGCTCATCCCGATGTTACACTTATCGAGACCTTTCATTTGAGTACCCACATCAATTTTTCATATATTTCATATATTTATATATTTCACAAATACCATATATATAAAATATATCAAAAATGTCATGTGGGTACTTAAAAGAAAGGTCTCGATGAGTGTAACATCGAAATGAGTTTATATCTTAAAAAATGTCAATAATTAAGAAATGACCTTGTATCTCGTGAACTATTGACATTTTTAAAGATATAAGCTCATTTCGATGTTACACTCATCAAGACCTTTCATTTGAGTACCCACATCAATTTTTTATATATTTATATATATTATATATTATATTATATATCAAAAATGCATGTAAGTACTTAAATGAAAGGTCTCGATAAGCGTAACATCAGGATATCTTTAAAAACGTCAATAGCTACGAAATTACAGTGCAATTTAACAAAAGTCATTATTTAATAATGCAAAATTTTATTTATTTACAAAATTTTGCAAAATTGAATAAAAAAAAAAAATAATTCGCTACGTCATTAACCTGAATAATTTCTACCTCATTATATTACCTAGAATCTTAAATATTACATATGATGATTTAATATTAATTTAATCCATACTAATGTTTGTTTCATTTTCTTGCTTAGTCTCCGGAACGAGGTGCCAGGACAATAGTTTACGCAGCAGTAAGCAAAGCCATCGAAGACACTGACGGCTTATACTACAGTAATTGCCGTAAAGCTACTCCCAATCAACTCGTATATGATAAACCGACTCAAGAGAGATTATTTTTACTGAGTCTTGAACAAACAAAGCTAGAAAGTTTCCTACAATACTGCTAAGTAAAGTTTTAAATAAATTAATTAATAGTTTACTTAAAGTCCGTCCTTGAAAAAATTCTTATATTTTAATAAATACATCTTTGATGGATTATTTATAAAAATTACTGTTATATGTACAAATAGATTTTTTTTTATCGATTATGTTATTTATTTATACCTTAACGTAAACTTGGCGGCCGCATCTATAAGCTGAATTCATTTTAATGCGTGGACCACGTAGCGTTATTGATTTCGCGAGCAACGCTGGCTTTCGCAGGTGGATTCCTCGTCCTTCTGGTGTCCAAGCTTTCAGGGTGACCTCTTGACCGTAATCAGGTGTAATTGATATCCACCCTATGACATTTAAATATTTTTTTTAGGAAAATGATGAAGTTTTTATGAAAGATTTATTTTTAAAATAATTACCTGCGCTTGATAAAAGAATATCAGCTACAGATTCATCTTTATCTATTCCTTGGACTGTAAATTCTTTGGGCTTAAACACTGGCCATAATTTTAATCTCTCTGGATCATTAGTCGGGACTGCCAATGCTTCAGTGGTGAGTAATTTATTGTAAAGCTCAGAGGCGTCGGCAGTATGACAAATAGTTATTGGTAATTCTCTACTAGCAAATACGGTAATTCTGAAAATAAAAAATCGTAATAAAAAAAATTAATTAAAATAATTATTCATTTTACTGTACTGTAAATAAAATAAATAAATTACCTTATGTAATGAGGACCAGTTAATAAATCAAGTCTACCAAGTCCAGCCAAAAACAACGTTTGTCCAGGTTTAAAAATAAAACTACGCGGAGAAATAATTTCTTTTGGTAAAGTCAACAATAATTCATCTGTCGTCAATAAATTTAAAACTTGATCTGGATGAATAACACCAGGAGTATCGTAACACCAACGTCCGTGTTTGTAAAACTCATCGTTCTCGTCGATTCCAAACTTTCCTGAGGCTTTGGCTGCTTCGTATCTGGCTTGAACATTACCTTTATCAGTTATCATTCTTGTAAAGGTTCTTCCAATGCGTTCTAAAAAATAATTCATCGACATTAAAAATTGTAAATAAATAAAATTTTGGTTTATTAAATAATGACTTTAGTTAAATTGAACTTTACTTTCTTAAATATTGATGGTTTTAAAGATACAAGCTTATTCTGATGTTACACTCATCAAAAGCTTTCATTTGAGTACCCACATGCATTTTTGATATATTTCTCATATATACATATTTATAATATATATATATAAATATATAAAAAATTGATGTGGGTACTCAAATGAAAGACCTTGATGAGTGTAACATCGGGATGAGCTTATATCTTTAAAAATGTCAATAGTTCACGAGATACAAGGTCATTTCTTAATTATTGACATTTTTTAAGATATAAACTCATTTCGATGTTATACTCATCAAGAGCTTTCATTTGAGTACCCACATGGCATTTTTTATATATTTTATATATATAGTATTTGTGAAATATATAAATATATAAAATATATGAAAAATTGATGTGGGTACTCAATTGAAAGGTCTTGATGAGTGTAACATCAGGATGAGCTTATATCTTTAAAAATGTCAAAAGTTCACGAAATACAAGGTAATTTCTTAATTATGTATTTAAAGATAAAGTATCTTCGAATGCAGCCTAAGTACTTATCAATTTTTTTTATTCTCTTAATAATATAGATTATAAATAAATATTAAATTCTAAATAAATAAATAAATATTAAATCGTAATACCTTGCAAAGTCGCATATCTTATATCTCTAAGAGCAGTAACTTCTCTATGCCGATGTTTAGTTTCAGCGTGGTCCTCCAGCTGCTGAATCCTCCGTCGCTCAAACCGTTCAGCAAGTCGCCACTTTACTGGATTGAGAATAGGAAATTTCAGAAGGTTCAATGTTGTCCCAGGCCATGGAGAAACAGTGGCTCGCTGGATCAAGTCAACAGCTTGTACTTTGCAATAATCCGACTGTAGAAGAGTGTTGAATAAAGTCGATTTACCAACATTGGTACAACCAATCATATAGACATCCCCTGAAATAAAAAATCGTTTTAATTATCAATTCAATTACAAATAAACATTTAATTTAATTTAATAATAATAAATTACCTCTGTATGCCCACAAGTCTTGTAATTTGGTGATAAGTCTCTCAATACCGTAGCCTGTCTTAGCAGAAATCAAACCAACGTATTTTAACTTGGTAGTATTGATACCACTATCTCCAACAGCCTGGACCAGAGCATTTTCAACATTTTGCAAAAACCTGGGACAATCTTGCGGTAATAAGTCGACTTTAGTACCCACCAGGAACAATGGAGTGTTTTTTCCAATCACAGACGTTAAATTCGGCCAGATGCTGCACGGAAAATCCATCAGATCTACCATCAAGATAACAGCAGCTTTCTTTTCATGAAATTTTATGTTCCTTAGAATTTTAGGGTACTCTTCAGCAGACACCTTGACTTCCAAAGTCGTGTTGTAGTACTTCATAAAATGACATCTTTGGCAAGTGGTACTTTTAAGGTCTTCATTCTGCAGACCGACGAACAGCTCCGAAGGAAGATAACCAGGTATAGCCGAGTCCTGGCAGTGCAACAGAGCACCGCAACCTCCGCAAGGAATCGAGCTGACCGGTACGCCAGGATTCGAAGTCCCGTAGCAAGACTGCCAGGAGTCGTCTATTTTAGAGTCATTAAATTGCTCGTAGTCCCTCATCCAGTCTGGAGGAATATTTGAGAGATCATCAGCCGGCCTGTTAGTGTCTACAGAAAATATTCTGTTCTCCATTTTCTTAACCTGCCTCGTCGACTTTTCATCTTCTTTTACTTCCAAGTACGACTCGTATAATTTCTTAAATCTTTCATTAAGTTGAGGAAGTTCGACCTCTTCTTGCTTTGCCTGCTTCTCCATCCGCACCGGCGTGAATTGATCAGTAGGTTGGTAAGGCATGTAAATCGGTTTCCAGGCTTTTGCTTTTGGCTCGGGATCAGGGTCTTCTTTTGATTCAACTTGGTCGATAGCAGTGTCATTGCGAAGATATTTCAACGCAACACTGTAAGCCGGTTTGTAGGCAAGATCATTGAATTTTTGAGTCTCTATCTGTTTTTTAAACTCACCCTCAATTGCCTTGTTCTTCTGGTATCCAAATTTCAGCCTATTTCTTTCAATGTAGTCACAATAAATCAATTTATCATCAAGCTCCTCAATTCTGGGGTCCATTTTTACTTTTACTTTCCCTTCTTCATCCATCTCCAATTTTTCAATAATTTTTGCATTTATATTACGGCGAATTGTCGTGTTTATTACACATAACCTCAATTTCCTCAGTGTTATCATTTTATTTGTTGGACAATTATGCACGAACCTTGTTATTCCGCTGAATGATTTTCCAGTTGTCAAAAAAGCCATTGTTGGTTTTATTTTGCTGGTAATTGTTGTCAATTAATTGTTAATTTTAATTATCAGTCAGTCACATGTTTAGCACACTCTTATTATTTTTGTAATTTTCACACTTTTCACACTCGTGTATTTTTTTTTTTTTAATTAAAGTCGATAACTTAACAATCTTTTTTACCAACACTTAGAAAATATTCGGGCGTCAAAATAAATAAATGTTAATTAAAATTAAAAATTATTACAAACCTTCAATGATATATTTATTAAATTAAATTAATAAGATTAATTTTTCCATTAATTCATTTATATTTTTTTATAAGTCATATTTTAAAAATGACATTCAAACATAAATTAAAAAAAATTTACGACATTAAATTTAGCTTTCACTTGACAAATGTGTTAATTTTCTTACAAGCGAATTTGTTCAAAAAAAACTATTTTTAAAAAATTGCATTTTTAATTTATTAAAATTTCTACATGTCAATTTTTTTAATGAAAATTAATTTAGCAGATATTTAATAATTTTTAGAACTTTTTTTTTTTAAAAAATTGCATTTTTAATTTATTAAAATTTCTACATGTCAATTTTTTTAATGAAAATTAATTTAGCAGATATTTAATAATTTTTAGAACTTTTTTTAACAAATAATTTACGGCAAAATAAAAAAATTGACATGTATAAATTTAAAAAAATTAAAAATGCAATTTTTTAAAAATAATTTTTTAGAATTAATTTAATTGTTAAATAAAATTAAAAATTCGTCAAAAGTGACAGTTAACTTTAATGTCATATTTTTTTTTTTAAATTAATCTATTAATTAAAATGATTAGTAAAAATTTTTCAAAGTATTTTTATTATTGTAAATAATTTATTATAAAAATTGACAGCTGTCAGCTAACTTCAGTATTATATTTCAAATTTTAAAATATGGCGGATTAAAACAATCGATTATCGAATGAAAACTCGAAAACACGCGTGGTTCGATTTTTTAATAAATCGATTGGCTGCGGCTAGTAGACGCGCAGTGTGAAAAATAGAAAAACGTGGAGAGAATGGGCTGACGGGTTATGAATTAATAAAGAAATAATTGTAAATAATAAATACTGTTGCATGGTAATAAGCGCCGCGAGATTGAGCGATATCTATAGATGACAAAAATAATTTAAAGTCGACGCGTCATACGACCAGTTTAATCAAATGGGCTAGTAACTGCGATGAGTGCTGAGGGGCTACGATATGGCCGGTTCAAGAGCGGTGAGTTTTTAAATGTACTTTACTAATTAATTAAACACATTTTTATTTTCAACAACATTCTTACTCATCAAGTTACCGTAAAATGATTATTTTTAGATAATCATGTTTATTTTAGCTGATAATTTTATGTCATTATTTCGGGGCTAGACGCGCTGACGCCATATTTTCGTAAGATCGTGTTGTGAAGATGTTTATTTTGCTTACATCAGCTTCATACTGTAAACACTGATCATACATGATACCATATCAATGTTTACTAATAATTATTATGTCAATGTCATAATTTACAATCAATTATTTATATTTACGAGCCACTGTTTTTTATTATTAATTACTCAAAAATTTATTGTTTAACAATCACAAAAATTATTTATATTTTAATGGATGTTTAGATTAATTACCTTGTTATCAACAATATATTTTTGTGGAAAATTTTTCAAGCCGACTCATGACTCATAACAAAGATAAAAAAAATAGAGATGACAGTAAATAATTTTTTATTACTTTTTAAATTATTATATCGTGAGTATGACTAATTTTTATGATACTGAAATTATCAGCCTAAGCATTCTGATTAGATTTAAAAAAAAATAAATTAGAGTTAAGAATTTTTTTTTTAATAATTTATTTAAAAAAAAAATTGTCAGGCGTCTTAATTAAAATTTATACTTTTGGATTTTTTAGTTTTTTTTTTGACAAATAAATTTGTTCCGAAAAATAATTTTTAAAAAATTGCATTTTTTATTTTTTTTTTTTTTAAATTTCTACACGTCAATTTTTTTTAATAATTTATTTATCAAAAAAATTCTTAAAAATATCAAATATCTGCTAAATTAATTTTCATTAAAACCAGAACAAAAACTGCCGAGCGTTATTTTCGGTTAAGATTGACTTTTAAAAAGTACTGCGCACTATTGAGTCACTTGATAATCATCTGCAGACACACGTATGTGAGCCTCACACAAACTAAAGCTTTTAAAGAATAATACAACAATGTCCAAATAAATATTCAAATTAAAAAAGTCAAGATATGTTTGTTTTTAGTAGTTTTAAAATTCAAGGTCATTTTTTAGCTTTTTAAAGTAAAAACGCGTCTTCTAACTCGGAGCGAAACAAATAACTTTGTAAAAAAAAAAGTAATCTTATCGGATGATTTATTTTTATTTATTCAATAATCAGGTACAATTTTTTAGTTGTCAAGACATAACAATAATATTTCTCTACAATGAATTTTAATATTTTATAAATAATTTGTGTGCTTAAACAAAAACAAACCAATTAAATTTTTTATCTCTTAATTTTCAACTAGACTGAAGCTACTTTTTTCTACATATGTAAGCAACAAATATTAACTTAAACTTATCAGAGTAATTAGCTACCTGTAAATTAATTTAAGTTAGTAAACTAATATCTAAATAATTTAAGTTTGAAGCTCACCTAGAAAAACAGATTATGTAATATTAAAAAAGAATTATTCGTCAACTTGTAGTGAATTTTTTTGTGTGAGTATTTGTACTCACTTACACTCACTCACTTACGCTTTAATAAATTCGTGTCGATAACATGTACAAACACATCTATTTTATCACCGATAAAATAAATACAATATAATTTAATGCTCATTAATTGAACAGCACGTCCGCGTTTGAAAACAAAAAAATATCTCTGGTAGCTTAAAAACCATTCGGTATCATATGTACTAGACAAGAATATTTATTAACTATCTACTTACATATATTATATTATTTATATACAGACAAAAACGAGGCTAGCGTTAGTAAGTTCAACTAAGCATAAAAAAAATTACTATTTTATAAAGCAAGTGTCTTTAGCAAACAAAATTAACAATTTTAATTTAGTGATAAAATATTAGTCATGTTGACTAATGTTAATTTAACAATTGGTATTAATTACAATGCAAATTAATTAGTCACTTTTTCAATTAAGTTACCTTAAAATTTGATATTTTTATTTAAATTTTTAACAATAAATCATTATTAAAATTTTTTATTAAGTTTAATTGTAAATATAATAAATCTAGACATTTTTAATCTAGACATTTAAATCTAAAATAAATTTTCAGTTAAATCTTTAAAATTTTTTAAATTATTAAATACAGTAAAACTATTAAATCACTAAAATTATTAAAATTAAAATCTTTAAAATCATAATCATAAATATTGTAATCTACAATTAGTTTTCATTTTCACTTAAATTGTTTCTTCAAAATTAGTATATAAGCAATATTACTTCTTCTAATATCTTATTATGTATAATTATATATAAGTTATAATTATTATGTTTAAATCTAAATCAAAAAATTTAAAAATGTATTGCATTCACAAAATGTATATTTTTCTATTGCCATCTGGCCAGTGAAGGCTTTGGCATAAATCAATAAATTCAATTCAATTCAATTCAATTCAATTCAATTCAATATAATAAATTAACTGGAAATATTTAGATTTAATAGCAAACTAGCTTGCAGTTATTCAGAACATCTCGTGACGTCAAAGGCGTCCTTTATAGACAGTGAAGCTTAAATTCTTTTGTCAATAATAAGGAAACCGCGGAAATTTATGACCAAACTTTTTTATACATAATATTATGAAAGTTTAAATAATTGTATCATTAATGTTTCAGGTGGCGAATTTATAAAAAAAAAAATATCCAGTTAAAACTGGTTAAATTAAAAATCTGTAAAATATTTATCAAATGGAAAGTTATTTAAATTTTAATAATTTTGAATAAAAATCATAAGAAAATTTAGATTTAATACAATCGGTCAAAAGATGTTTGCGTGAAAACAGCTTGCAAATCTGGGTCACGGCTGAGCCACTGAATAACATTTCGTTCTTCTCATATCACGTATAAGTGTAGACCAATAATAGCCACTGGACATCACTGTAATTTTCCACTCAAGCCACGGTTTTATCTTTAAGCTTCTATTAACAATTAAAGAACTAATAAATGGCATTAAAAAATTAAAGAACATGTGGTTTATTTTTAAAATTGAGCTTTGTTTATTTTTAAAACTTAAGTGCTATGATAGTTTAAGAGAGAAAATTTTTTTAGTTTCCGATAATGAATAGATCGTTCTGGTATTAATTATATTTTTAAATATTAAAAAACATCAGTCATTTTTTTATCAAATAAATTTTATAAAAAAAATTTCGACTCTAAAAATTATAAAAAAATTACAAATAAAAATTTTTAAATAATTTATTTAGTAAATAAAATTAAAAAATGGTAAAATAAAGGGTAATTTCAGTATTATTAAAGAATTAGGAGGTTTTTGTTATAAAATAATTTAAAAAAGCGACAAAGAATAAGTAAACGTGGCACTCAGCCTAAGATTTGCACAGAGGAACTAGACGGAATTAACTTACATAAGATAAATTAGATGTTTAAATGCAATAAAAAGCAGATCGTAGGCAGAGAATGTGCTTGAGATCACGTAGGCATTTTTAATTTATTTAAAAATATAAATTTTATAAATTTTTATTAATAAATATTATATTTGAAGCCGGTACAGCGTTTCACGTGACATAATTTACATCATTTGTTGACAAGAAGTAATCGCCGGTGAAACGAAAGGGGAAAGGTTTAAACGCAATCTCATGCACTCAAGGACAAGCGAGCGATGAACCCGCTGTCTTTATTCACTAATCAAACATGTAGGCAACAAAATAATCTAGTTTAGTTAAAATGACACTGTCCATTTTATTGCAATTTTATTTTTTATAAATTTTTAATT